AACGCCTTTGGAGAGACTCGAACTCTCGATCTTTCGGTTAACAGCCGAACGCGGTAACCACTGCGCTACAAAGGCCTATGAAGTTAGACAGACGCACAGACTACCGAGTCTCAAGACATTCGTAATAATCAGACAAAAAACACTCCATCGCTTCACCCCAATGGATGCGCTAAAAAAGAATTCTGGCCACTCTAGAAACCTCGTCCCAAAAGTCCCGAGAAACACTCCTAATGACATAATACTATATGCTCTCACAACAGAGAAGGCCGCAAGATGCATGGATCAGTTCAACACCTTGGTCTTCTATGTGGAGAAAACCTCCACCAAGCCGGAGATTAAGAAAGCCATTACTGAGCTCTATGGGTTCAAGGTCAAGAAAGTCAATACCCTGATAAATAAGCATGGGAAGAAAGCATATGTCCGATTCGATGAGAAGGATGCAGCCCTTGAAATTGCTAGTAGAATAGGTGCAATCTGAATTAAATTTATTTTTCAGCTTTATATTCTCATTTGATGGCAAATTTATCATCTTCGTTAACAAGAGAAGAGAATCAAGAGGACATAAGGCTATTCACAATATCTTCTGACCCTATATTTGACAGATCAGAATTTGACTGCCCGACGCCCAAGAACAAAATAGGTGCATGAGAGGAGAAGGCCATGTTCAAAATCTGTCCTATTTTGTTATCCACAGTGTCAACCTTAGTAAGAAGTATACTGTCGATTTTTCTTGATTGTCCTGCATCTCCAATAGCCTTGTTAAATTCTCTAATGTGATCCAAGCTGTCAGATCCAACTAATGCCTCTCCTACATATATGATATGATCGGGATTATTGATCTTTATAAGTTTAGTAAGAGAAGCCATTAGATTTTTCTTGTTATGCATTCTTCCGGCTGTATCAATCAGAATAACGTCATATCCCTCGTGCTGGGCTTCTTGAATGGCACATCTTGCCACAGATGCATCATCTTTTCCATATCCTTTTTCATAGAACCCGACTAGATGACCACCAAGCTTGAATCTCTCTACATGAGTCCTAAGCTGCTCAATGGCACCTGCTCTGAACGTATCGCATGCAGCTATATATACCCTAAACTTGTTTTGCAACAACCAATAGCATATCTTGGCCAATGATGTGCTTTTTCCAACCCCATTAACACCCACAAAACAAATAGAAAACACTCCTTTGTGCCTCTTTATTTTATCCAGCATCCTTTCATGATCTACAGACGGAATAAGCCTACTAAGAACATTTGACATCTTTTGTTTAAATGCTTTTTCGGATATACTTTCTAACCCCTCTTCAGCCAACTCCATCGTGATGTTATCCACAAGTGTTTTCGTTATTTGAGAGCTTACATTCTTGCTTATCAGATGTGTAGTCATCTTGTCTTTCAATTCGCTTACTTGTATTTCATCCTTAAACAATCCAAATGCCTTTTGAACTGTTGCTTTTCTAATCACTTCAACAAGATTACTAATTCCACTTGAGGATGTGGAATAATTCAACTCCTCCTCGTTTCCTGCATCCTCCCACTTTCTTCCCTTGATACTATTTCTTGTTTTCTTTTTGCCTTCGACTATTTTCGGCTTATTTCCACCTAGGTAATCATCAATGATTGCTTTGAGATTGGGAGTCCTTGACAGACTCAAATACACAATTGGGCCTCTGATCTCGTACTCCATGACCTGATCCCGGATCTTCCTCAATCCAATAAGTTTAGACGTGTCCAAGGATGCTATTATTTGATTGAGATGATCGGGTGCTTTACCTTCTTCGTGAATGACTAGCCCTCTCTTGTTGAATACACAAAAGTACCCCATTAAGGGCTTAACCTTGGCAGTTTTTTAAGGCTATCGACATGGATCCCAGCACAATTATTCTCTATCTTCTTCTACAATTATGGTCCTTCCATTAGACATGAACAGTCCGTGTTCTACAACACCACAGATGTGTTTACATTCAGATATAAAACCTGCATTATATTCAACATCAACTATGCAGTTTCCTAAGTCAGTAATCAATGGACCCACCTTTCCAGTAGCTTTTCTCACTAAATGATTTAATCCATACTCCTTGAGGACTGAAACGAACTTCATAAGAGACATGGGAATAATTTCAATGGGAACAAAACAGCCATCAAATCTTTCTTTATATTTACAGCTCTGAACTATTATGATGGTCTCTTTAGCCATGGAATGAAGCAACTTTTCTGTAGTCAAGGCACCTCCTCCACCTTTAATCATATTGCCGTTTTTGTCAAAGTAATCTGCTCCATCTATGTATAGATCTAGGGCTTCATGAGCCAAAGGATTTGATACCATAAAACCTTTTTCGCTAAGTTTCAACGCTGTCTGAATGCTTGAAGGAACATATACCACGTCTTTATCCAGTGCCCCTATGTATCTTTCAATAGTAGTTCCTGTTCCAACCCCAACCACTATCTTATTCTTGGTACATCCTTGCCCCATGTGACTCTGCCAAAACAAAATTATAAACCATAAAAAAGGAGAAGTCTCCAATAACATGAAATACCTGTAATTGTATATAACAAACACTTCCTGTCAACTTTAATACATTCTTCGGCATTCAATCAATAGATATTAGCAGATATAAAGATCAAAAGACGTGGATTTACTTAACATACTTCTTGATTCGACGCACAACATCACATCCATATCCAACAATACTTGATGCATCCTGTCCCTCTCGAGAAGTTACTTCAATAACTCCGGAAATGCGATCTATCTTACCCCACAGGCGACCTTCAACTATAAATTCTCCAAGATCTTGTTCAATATATTCCACACTCACCCCAAATGTTTGTGCCATATTCTCAAGCAACATCAACCGGTAGCTCTCAAGGACCTGCCCATATACACGTAGCCTCATTTCTCGACAAAACAAATTTACAAATCTCCCGACAAATACATCATCCTGAAGAGATTTACAGAACAGATACAAATCATTCATAAAGTTTCCATAGTTGCATTCAAATAGTGAGGTTGCCAGCTGCACTCCAAGCTTCTCCGAACTCCCCATTACATCACTGCACTTAAGGATACGTGTTTCGATTTCTTTTCTTTCGAATCCGAGGAGGCCACAGAATACCATATATCGCACAGCTCGTGAATAGTTCATTACTTCGCTTGATTCAAATGATGGCAAAACCTCACTAAACAAGACACCCGCATCCTTGAACTCTCTTGCCATCATCTTGAATAATCCTTTGTACACCTTATATCTATTTCTTCTATCCCAATCACATCCTCTTTCGTATGTATCATCCGCTACCTTAATACTCTCCTCGACAATCTTTTTATTTCCCAAAATCAACCCCATTCTGGCCTTACAAAGGAAAATGTCCATCTTCAATGACAATGACATGTCATCTCTTATAAGCTTTCTCATCCACTCAAATCCGTTCTTTGTATCCATTACCTGAGAATATAATTCAGCAATCCTCCGATCAACTTCGCTTCTATATGTCTCGTTGTCCGTCTCCTCCTTTCGAAGCTCTTCAAGCTCTTCGATTTTCTTATTCTTGCAATTAAGTAGCGATTCCATCCTATCATGATCTGGCCTCAGCACACCCTTCTCTACAAGAAACTTATAAAGATCATACATGCACTTATCAACAATAAGCTTCTCAAGCTTTTTCTTAGCTTCAGGCTTACCCAACTTTGTTTCATGGATCAGGTCATGGACAAACAATGTCGGCTCTTTGAAATCAAAGTCCATGGGTACACGACCAGCCTCGATTTTAACACAAACACTGACACTAGCATTAAAAAAGGAAATGAAAAATGCTTTTGCTCGGGTTCGAACCGAGGACCTCATCCGTGTGAAGGATACGTGATAACCACTACACTACAAAAGCTCGTTTCTTCCTATATCCATCACCACCTGTAACTGTTCACTATCATTATATCTGTTAAGAGCTTAATCCCTTAATGGACGACACAATTCAAGTGTACGAGGAAAACCTAAAAGAATTATACAAGATGAAAGATGAAATAAAAAGCATGCTTTTTCTTGACGATGATCTGGAATGTCTGGGCCATTATCCGACTGTGTGCTGTATCATTACATCACTAAATGGGGGAATAATGGAGGAATTACAAGATAATCCTCATGCCATAGAAATGGAAATGATAATCACCATCGGGAGATCGTTAGATCCAGATGAAAGAAAAGATCTTATTTCAAAACTCGAAAAGATCAAGGCTGTTGCTATTGAGGTAGATGAAAACAGGGATATTCTTAGAGTTAGACTTAAGTATCTTCACAATTTATTAGGTGATGATCTTTTCTTCAAATTTATCACGGAAGTAAGAAGTATTTTTCTTTTAACAAGAGCAATTCCATCAGAAGTAATGAAGTACGGCACTAAGACATATGGGTCGCCATTATTATCCCAGCACCCATTAGTTGCTAAGGCGTCTCCTAAAAACCAAGAGAAGCTTCTCAGAAAGCTTTGCTGCAAAGTTACAATTGCTGCCAAGCTAGACTTCTGTGGAAGCAACTTTGAGACGGACTTTTCTAAGCAAATGGAGGAGGTTTTTAATAATCTTGAAAGCAATTCAAAGCAAGAAGGATCTGTTCTGAGGGTCCCACTTGCAAGAAAGGAAACAAGACGTGGTGGTATAAAGGCAAGACGTAAAAGGAGCAAATCCTCACCACAGAAGAGAAGGAAGTTTTCGAAGCTCGAGCCCGATGGGAATGATGAATCATGACAAAGGAAATTTTCATCCCATGATGAAAAGTGTCTTAGATTTCATAAGAAGTCGTCCCGAAGGTGTAGTTGAGGAGGACCTCTCTTTGGAGTTTCCTAAGATGTCGAAAGTAGATATTGCAAGAGAGTTGAATGAATGCCTTAAACGCCAAGAGATTAGCCTCTTTAGAGATAAAGGAGTTCTGTATTACAAGCCATCGCCGGTCAATATAGATGACTATGAGCTTACGATATATAACTTGGTGAGCCAAAGTGGAAATGAGGGCGTTTGGTTGAAGGTGATAAAGGACAAAACCAACATGCCGCACAATTTGATTGGAAAGGTCCTTAGAAGTATGGAAAGCAAGAGAATTATCAAATCCGTTAAATGCCTTAAGAACAATAGAAAGGTTTATGTTTTGTATGATGAAGTTCCTTCTGAAGAAATCACAGGAGGTATATGGTTTCAGGACAATGACGTAGATGCAGAATGTGTGACTCGAGTCTTAGAAATTATACAATTATTTCTAGAGAAAAGATTGAACGGAAACCTAGAACTTCCAGAATACGAAGATAATCCGGCCCTGGAAGAAATAATGAGCTATGTTAAGAATCTCAATATTCTGTCTGTTCCCTTAAGAGCTGAAGATCTCGAAACATTGGTAGATATACTTGTATTTGATGGCAAGGTGGAGAAACTCCACTCAGGGTCTGTCACTAGGTATAGAGCCCTTAGGCAAGGTGCTGAATAAACTTCGTACACTAAAATAAAAGCACCTGGGCTATTCCGAAATTTTTGCTTATTTTCAATTTCTCTTACTGGGGATAAATGGATGATAGGCTTCCGGTAGAAGGCGAAGGATATTTCCTAAATATAAAATGCCACGAGAGACCTATAACAGAAGTTAAATTCAATCATGATGGAGATCTAATATTTACAGCAGGGAAGGACTCTATAGCTACACTTCTTCGTGATGATGGCTCTGTGATCGGGGAATATAAAGGGCATCGAGGATCTATCTTCTCTCTTGCCATAGATAACAAAAGTGATGCCTTGATGACAGGAAGTGCAGACCAATCCGTTATTCTGTGGGATGTTCCTACTGGAAAAATGAGAGCACAAATCGATATTGGAGCTGTAGTTAAAGGCTTAGACTTTTATCGGGATGGGACACTGTGTTTAGCATGCAGCGATGAAACAATGGGAAAGACGCCTTTGATTGGAATACTTGATACCAGAAGTGGAAACTTCAAGAAAGTATTCATGCCTACTTCATCCCCCGTGAAGATATTACTAGATATCTCAGAGAACTTCTTAGTCTATTGTGATTCAAAGGGAGGGATCATCTCTGTAGACCTTAGAAACTCACAGGTTATAAAGAGTGTAAATGCCCACACTTCCAAGATAAACAATATTAGGCCAAGCAGATGTAGAACATTCTTCATTACAGGTTCTACGGATTCCCAGTCGAAAATCATTGATTTTCTTGATCTCTCTGTCCAGAAGACATTTGTATGCGAAGAGCCTGTGAATTGTGCATCTATATTCAATACAAATGACAAGGTTATTTGTGTTGGAGGAATCAATGCAAGAGATGTAACCACAACCAAGGGAAAGTCCTCTTTTGATGCAAACTTCTTCGATGTGGTGACATGCGAAAAGATCGGATCATATAGCACACACTTCGGAACAATAAACTCCGTAGATGTCCATCCCTCCGGAAGGCTTTACTGTTCTGGGGGTGAGGAGGGGACTGTCAGTATCCTAGCATTTGGACAGGATTTCTTCAAAGCCAACTTTACTACCTTCAATTAAAGCAATATACGAAAGCTATTTAATGTATTCATGGTCTTTGAGGCCATTTTTTATGGCGATGCTCCCGTCCGGATATCTGATCTCTCTTAGCCCCGAAGGAAATGTCTTTTCAATCTGCCCGTTTGAAAACTCGTAAGTAATCACCTTAGTTTTTGCATCATACAGGTATCTGTATTGATTGCTCTTAACAACATATGTAGACCCATCCTTAAGATAATACCTGGTCTTGTTTTGGTGTTGATCCTTATGCATGACTTTTTTGGCCTCCAATGCTTTTCTATATTCCTCGTTGAGCTTTCTAAGCTTAAGAACTTCTTCCTTGAGTATGTCAACCACAGAAATGTTTCTGTTTTCTTCCAACTGTTTCATCAATGCATCGATAGAATCAATCTTTTCTTTTATGTTTTCTTGCATGAAAGTCATCCTACACTTATGTGGGGCAACACTGATTACACGAGGTTCGCATGAAAGAATTAAAAAGGTCCACGGGTAGAGAAGAGAACCTTTAAAAGGTTACTTGCACTAAAACTTAGATATTTTATTCAGCGCTTACTTTCGATTATCCCATCAATTCTTAGAAGCTGTGATACAGCCTCGATGGCAGATTTGATGCATTGGCTCTTTACTGCATATGGTTCGAGCACAAGATTTCTTGTATCGACAATCTCTCCAGTTATTCCATTAACTCCGTAAAAAGAATCTTCTTCATGCTTTTTCTCTAGCAAGGTGATAGCTTCCAGAGGATTGAAGACCCCAGAATTTTCAAGGAGTATAGAAGGGATGATTGCTAATGCAGAAGCTACTCTTGAAAAAACCTCTGCTTCTATCTCATCATCTCCGGCATTCCGTATCAGTTCGCGTGCCATTGCCATCTCCACAGCACCACCTCCCGGGCAAAGCTTAGGACTAATGAATATACTCTTTGCAACCTTGACTGCATCCATGAAATTCCTCTCAAGCTCGTTAAGAATATCTTTTGTTGGGCCACGTATCACAACGCTACAAGCTTTTGGATTTATGCATTTGCTGAACTTGCAGTAATATTCTTCACCATACTTAACATACTCAAACAGCCCACAAGAAGTCCCGACATGCTTTTCTTCAAGATCTTCGGGCCTGCTTACCGATCGTGCTCCACATGCCTTACTTAGCCTAGAAATGTCAGTCTTCTTTAATCTTCTGAGTCCTGTGATGTTGTTTTCGAAAAGAATAGACAGAGCAAGATCGCTGATACCTTTCTCGCATATTACAATATCTGGCTTTACTGCAACTATTTTTTCACACATCTCGCGAACTTGCTCTTCTTCAATCTCAAGCGCTCTAGTAAAATCATTGTTTTTGGAAAATTCATAACTTGTCTGACTTTCTCCCTTTTTGTATTCAAGAGGAGATTCAATTATAATAATTCTTGGGTTCTCAATGACTCTTCTCATTTGAGGATGTATGATGTCCTTATTGATAAGTATTCCATCCATTACCTCAGACTCCATGAAGTTTCCTCCAAGGATTTTCTCTACCTTCATGTTGCTTTTGAGGTCACACCTATTCTCCTCCTTTACATAAATCTTTTTCACAGCTTCCAGAGCAAGTCTTCCAATAGGAACCTTGAGAATGCTGCAAACCTTCGACACTACGCTCCCATTGATAATTTCGATCCTTGCTTCTTCACTGCAGTCTAGAGACACGGATGTTCCATCAATTGCTTTGATACAGGTCTCTAGGGCTTTACTCAATGCATTGCATATTCTTATTGGGTGGATATCCTTATCTAATATATAGGTCATCTCATTCAGAATCTCGGCTGCAAGAAGTATGACAGATGTTGTTCCGTCTCCCACTTCATCATCCTGAGTCTTTGCAAGTTCTATAAGAGATCTTGCTGATGGATGTGCAACATCAAGCTCCCTAAGAATAGCATTTCCATCATTAGTAAGTTCTATCGAATTTATCTTTGTTAACACCATTTTTTGCATTGCCCGGGGCCCAAGACAGGTTCTTATCACAGAAGATATGGTCTTTGCAGCCATTGCACTTTCATTCTGAATCTGTGCAGGCTTGTCAGGTACAAGGATGTACATCTTTCTCGGAATTGGCTTCTGCATTTTTGGGGCTCTATAGATTCCCCTAAAAAATTGTTCTGGTTTTACAAGCTTTAATAGTGTAGCCGTGAACTTGCAGTGACAATTCCAAGCTAGTCTCCAGCCCAAAGCCTTAATAAGGATTTAATGGTTACAGATCGTCAAGGAGCGTTTTCATATTTCCTTGAATTTATTTTTTGAATGTTCAAATCCCTCAATGGAGTCTATATTCACAAAGGAACATAGCTGGTCGATAATATCTTCATTCTTTGAGCAAAAAGGGCTTGTTAGGCAGCAGCTAGATTCCTTTGATCAGTTTGTTAGAACAAAGATGCAGGAAGTTATCAATGAGAATCCGGCAATAATTGTCCAGTCTGCTCCCACTGCAGGAACTGAGATTCAAAAAAGAATAACAGTTAGATTCGGGCAAATATATGTTTCAAAGCCTCCTATCTACACCGAATCTGATGGAAGGACGATTACTGTGTTTCCCAATGAGGCTCGTATAAGAGACTTAACATATGCATCTCCATTATTCATCGATGTCATAAAGGAAACGGTGTCTGAGCTAGGGGTTGTTGACAAACATAAGTATTCAAGGGTTCCTTTTGGGTCATTGCCGGTGATGCTAAGATCGTCATACTGCGTCCTGCATGGACTAGGGGACAAGGACCTTATTGATCTTGGAGAATGCCCATATGACCAAGGGGGATACTTTATTGTGAATGGGTCTGAGAAGGTTATTGTTGCCCAAGAACGAATGGCTAGCAATACTGTTTACGTATTCAAAAAGGCACAGCCTGCAACATATACGCATTATGCAGAAATACGTTCTGTTCCGGAAAAAAGCTCTAGAAACCCAAGCACTTTATCTATGAAGCTATGTAGATCTCCCGGGGCGATAAGGGTTTCTCTGCCATTGGTTAAGCAAGACATTCCTCTCTTTGTTCTGTATAGAGCACTAGGGTTTTTATCTGATAAAGAGATCATCGACCATATTCTTTATGAAGATGATGATGAGATGTTTGAGCTTTTGAAGGAAAGTATTGAGGAAGGGACGGTTGTCCAGGATCAAAATGTAGCATTGGATTATATAGGAAAGAGGTCTGCACCTGTAGGAACACCACAAGAAAAAAGGATAACAATTGCAAGAGACCTATTAGCAAAAGAGGTTCTTCCTCATATTGGAACCCAAGAATTTTGTGAAACTAAGAAGGCATATTTCATTGGATACATTGTCCAAAGATTATTACTTGTGGCATTAGGAAGAAGAAATCCCGATGACAGAGATCATTACGGAAAGAAGAGGATGGACCTAAGTGGTCCATTGCTTGCATCTTTATTCAGGACCTTATTTAAAAAGTTATGTGCAGATACAACAAGGCATATGCAAAAGTGTATAGAGAATGGCCGGGAGTTTAACATAGCTCTCGGATTGAAAGCAAGCATAATCACGCAAGGATTCCGATATGCTCTGGCAACGGGAAATTGGGGAGATCAGGCAAAAGCCATGCAGACCAGAGCTGGGGTTGCTCAAGTTCTAAACAGATACAATTTTGTCTCAACACTCAGTCATTTGAGGAGAGTCAATACACCAATTGAAAAGGAGGGAAAATTGGCAGCACCCCGTCAACTTCATAATACACATTGGGGTATGGTTTGCCCTGCTGAGACGCCGGAAGGGCAAGCATGTGGACTTGTGAAAAATTTATCTCTAATGGCATACATTTCTGTTGGATCATCCTCAGGGCCGTTAATAGAGTTTCTGGAAGAATGCGGAGTTGAGTCACTTGAGGAAATATCTACTCTACAGCTCAGCACAGCAACCAAGGTCTTTGTCAACGGTGTATGGGTTGGAATTCACTCTGACCCTGTGTATCTGATAAAATCACTTAAGCTGTTGAGACGAAGCCTTGAAATAGACAAAGAGGTCAGTATTGTCAGAGACATTAGAGAAAAGGAAATCAGAATACAGTCTGATGCAGGAAGGCCTTGCAGGCCCTTAATGGTCGTTAGGGACAATAAGCTTGTAATCACAATAGAAGATATCAGGAAACTAAGAAGAGGAGAAATTAAATGGGACAACCTGATTGGAGAAGGATTTATTGAGTTTCTGGATGTTGAGGAGGAAGAAATGTCCATGATAGCAATGAGTACTAAAGTCCTTAATGACGAGTGCAAGAATTCTTCTGACGTGAAGATATCCTATACACACTGCGAGATTCATCCAGCATTAATACTAGGAATCTGTGCCTCAACTATTCCGTTTCCTGATCACAATCAGAGTCCTCGTAACACCTACCAGAGTGCTATGGGTAAGCAAGCGATGGGGATCTATGCAACAAATTTCCTACTAAGAATGGACACCTTGAGCAACATTCTGTTCTATCCTCAAAAACCTCTTGTAACAACAAAAAGTATGGAATACCTCAGGTTCAAGGAACTACCATCTGGCCAGAATGCTCTAGTTGCAATTGCGTGCTATTCTGGGTACAACCAGGAAGACAGTATTATCATGAACCAAAGTGCTATTGATAGGGGTTTATTCCGAAGCTTCTTCTACAGGACATACACCGATCAAGAGTCTATGTCAAGGCCTGGAGTTAATGAAGAGTTTTGTAAACCTAACAGGGGAAGTGTTTTAAGGATGAAGAACCTGAACTATAACAAACTGGATGAAGATGGACTTATAAGTCCTGGAGTAAGGGTCACGGGGGATGATGTTCTTATTGGAAAGATAACGCCTATACTGGATCCTGAAAGAAGTACTAAAGAGGCGCCTGTATATGTTTATAAGGACAGTAGCACTGCAATGCGTAGGACAGAAACAGGAATTGTCGACACGGTTATTGTTACAAACAAGGATGGTTATAAGTTCTCTAAGGTCAAGATAAGATCGGGAAGAATTCCTCAGATGGGAGACAAATTTGCATCGAGACATGCCCAGAAAGGAACTATTGGAATTACTTTGAGGCAAGAAGATATGCCATTCACCTCGGATGGAATAGTTCCAGACATAATTATAAACCCCCATGCCATTCCCAGTCGTATGACTATTGGACATTTGATTGAATGCCTCCTTGGTAAGGTTAGTGCGATGAGTGGAGAGGAAGGAGATGCAACACCATTCAGTGGAATGAGTGTTAATGAAATATCCACGAGACTGAAATCTTACGGTTTTCAGCAAAGAGGATTAGAAGTTATGTATAATGGGATGACTGGGAGAAAGCTTAGAGCCCAGATATTCTTTGGACCTACATATTACCAAAGGCTCAAGCATATGGTTGATGATAAGATACATGCTAGAGCACGCGGGCCTCTTCAGATACTTACCAGACAGCCTGTTGAGGGGAGATCCAGAGATGGAGGGCTTCGATTTGGAGAAATGGAAAGGGACTGCATAATTTCTCATGGCGCCTCGGCCTTTCTAAAAGAGAGATTGATGGATGTGAGTGATGCATATTCCTGTTACGTTTGTAATCTTTGTGGACTTCTTGCAATGGGAGGAACCAAGGTGAATGAGTGTAAGGGCTGTAACAACACCACGAATGTTAGCATGGTTGAGATTCCATATGCCTTCAAGCTCTTGATTCAAGAACTTATGGGAATGAACATTGCACCTCGAATTCGCTTTGAAGAATAAAACTGTTTTCGTTGTTCTGGTTGCTGTGTGGTGTTTGCGAGTTTCATCATGTATCTAATTTCCTCATGAAACCGTCTTTTTGAAACCAAAGATCTCAAAACAAAGTAGGTTTATAAAATGAGTAGGGATTTAGAACCAATGGATGAATTTTCGGAAGGACTAAGGCCTACAGACAGGTCTCTTCCAATAGCCAATATATCAAAGATCATGAAAAAACCTATTCCTAAAGAGGCAAAGGTTGCAAAGGATGCAAAAGAGATAATGCAAAAATCAGCAGGAGAATTCATAGCTATAATAACATGCCGGGCGAAGGAGATATGCGAGTCAGAGGCCCGAAAAACTGTTACTGGGGAGGATTTGATAAGAGCAATGGATGAGCTAGACATGCCATACTATGCTGAGCTTGCAAGAAAGTATTATATTCAGTATAGAGAGCTTGCCAAAAACGAGAGGGTCAGGAAATATTCGAGAGGCTTTGACTATGGTAAGCAGTAATCATGGAGTGTGGTGTTTAAATAAATCAATTAAATTGGTTGTTTTATTTTAATGGAAAGGATTTATTCCAATCGTCCAATACCCACCGTAAATGAGCAGAATAAAGTCAATGATAGGCGTGATTCCCCACTGCACTGGCTCTTCGAGGTTTTCTTACAACAACACAACTGTGTTCTGTATTGTCCATGGGCCATCAGATGCCATATCCAGGCACGAGGACCCAGAAAAGGCCTTTCTAGATGTAAGATGGAAGGATATGGTGCTTATCAACGGAAGAATTTACGATAAATACTTCTCAAGAGTGGTTGAAAGAGTTATTTCCAAAAACATCATCTTGGAACTAGATGCTTGGAAGACAATACAAATAATCTTCAACGTTGTAGGAGAAGCAAGAAATGCCTTGTTTTGTGCTGTAAACGCAGCACTTTTGGCACTTGCAGATGGAGGAATTCCACTAAAATCTATGTTTTATGCTAGTAGTTCGTTTACGAACGAAGAAGAGGTTGTAGTTTTTGATAATGACGAGAATGTGATAGATAGCCATTCATTCGAAGCTATTTCAAGGAAAAATATAGAAAGTGCAAAGGGTTTTCTCAAATATGTTAAGGAGGTACAGACTCATACTTTAAGGTCCAAATTTCCTTTTTCTCCTGTCTAATATCTGTGCTTGTACTATTATTGGATCTAGGGGTGCTATCTCATTTTTGCCAAAGGGAATATTAAAATATAAGTTGTTTCCTTTTTATTCTTTGTGTTTGTAGGACAGAAATTAGAAGAGACCCTATGTTCTCTTAATTCATTATATAATTTCTTTCAATGTCTTCGAGGAGAATTGACAACACTTTAGTCAGGATATTATTAATTTGAAACGGTTTTAGAGTAAGAAGCTCTGCAACCGCATCAATGCTTTTGTTCTGGCATCCTACCATCAACAAAACCGACTTCCTAAGAACCGACAGATCCTGATTGAGTTTTCCATAGAAGTACATCCTAGATATATCTGGAATAATATCTGTTACAAGATTCAAATCTATCTTCCCTGCAGCTGCCATTCTTATCCTAGAAATATCATCAGATGAGAAGTATGTTGCCCGCCCTCTTCCCACAATGGAATTATTTAGAAGAGATAAAGACAGAGATGGTCCAAGCTTTTGGAAGCTGTTTGAAAGTTGTCCAACAAATCTTGCCATGAAATTTTGATTGTACCCACGTATTCTATCATCTTCATCGTGATTTAGAGATCTAATGAAAATCCCAGAATGCTCTCCTGTTTCTTGTGTAACCGTTTGTTTTATCCCCACGGGAATAAACTTGCTCTTCTCCCAGAATCTACACAAAGACTCCGTTATTCCAAATGAAGCCCCGATCCATCCCACCTGAGGAATCAGGATGTCATCTATTCTATGTAAAAGAACATTTTCCCCCTCATTTTTCTTCTTCATTAGATAAATATCTTTACTATGGCTAGAAAGATGGTTGATCAGTAGATTCAAGGACATTGTTCCATATCCCATGCCAACATATTCAGGGTGAACAGCTATCCTAACTATCCTGATTCCATATGTGTCAAGAAACGATGGGTCCAGGTGTTCTTCAGATACAACCCAAGGGATTAGATTCCCTTCTCTCAAATGTTCTGTTCTTGCACATTTACCTTCAAACGAAATTTGGAGAGAACAAATGACTTTTGGTATGTCCTTTCCGTTATCTTCTACGGGGGTAACAAGAGCGAGTATCTCATGCCTCGGGGAATCTGCTAATATCTGAAGATCATTAGGACTATTTCTGTAGTGGGAAGAAATAAACAACGAGAACATTCCATTCAAGAATTTCTCTGCAGGAGGTTTTCCTGAAAAGAGAACACTCTTGTCTACGTAAAAAAGCTTACACTCTGCTGGGATTGGGCATCCTTGAATCTTTGGAACAGTTGTATCCAACAGCAGTACCTTATATAACCAGTTCTCCACAGGATCATTTTGGCCATACCTGATAGACTCCTTCATTGCCATCTCTTTGTATACAAAGGAATTCGTTTCAGCACTACTCTTCCTAAGTGTCTCAGACAACTTGACAGAAAACGCCCTTCCTGTCCCTTCGTATCCATTTATCGTTGTAGCCATTATAACGAAGTTTGGAAATATCAGTCCAGTAATATACGTAAGAGGAATTGCTGCAGCCTCGTCAATCACGATAAGGTCTGGATAGTACTTAAGCTCATTCATAGGATTGAAGTATTCTATGATCTGCTTTCTTCCGCCAATGAACTCGATCTTCTGCATAAATCTCTTATTTCCTCTAAATTGATATATAATTTTGAAGTCGACATACCTTTTATATCCCAATCTTTCAAGCCCAGCAATAAGAAACAGAAATACTGTCTTGACATTCTCTATTGCTGGAGATGCAATGTATACGGAAAGAAGCCCAAGATTCACTGCCTGAGCTATTGATATTCCTAGTGCAGCAGACTTTCCTCTTCCCCTTGATGCAGTGATAGAGAAAATTGTTCTGCTTTCTCGTGCCTCCAAGGCTTTAAAAACTTCTTCGATTATGTATATTTGGTCCTTAGTCCTTCCTAAACTTTTCAAACCCTCAGCATTTGAATCATCTGGAGCTTCAGCCGTCATTCTCTTTCCATCAACCTTGGGGCCCTGGATATCCAACTTGCTTATATTATCCAGTATATTAAGCTGGTCATCTAAGAACAATGCGAAATTCGAATTCAATAATGATTTGAACAGCCTTTTGTTGTATCTTGGCTCGAACTCTCCGATTTTCTCATGAATGTCGGACTTACGGGATACAAGAGTTTCTATAGAATGGGTACTATCCAAAAGTAATATTATAGCTCCTCCTCCTCTCACCGTTTCCATACTTGTTGCTATTAAATTAGGAGATAGAGCTTCAAAGTCTTGTAGTATCAGCATATCGACAGTTCTACCCAGAATCCTCTCACTTTCTTTATATTCAATAAATTCTATCTCATTACCTCTTATGAAGAGTGCTAGATCATCCTCAGACTCCTCTTTTTCCACTTCATTCTTCTGTCTTTTGCCATAGGATTTCCGTCCAGCCTTTCTTGTCACATCATTCTTGTGGCACCAAATTACAGTTTCTACAGCGCCGTTCGTATTCCTCTGCAATATCCTATGGATGGTTCGAAGCTGAGACTTTGCATGTTCTCCTAGTAAAACAACAAAAGATCTATGGTTTCTCCTTCCATTCGCTTCAAAAAAACTTTGAATCCTCCCATCGCATAGAAACGTCATCAATGAAGGATTATTTCTAACGAAAATATTTAGGTAGATGCTGAATAAGAAATTACACTCAATGAGATATGGTCTTTATCTAATCATGTGTACTTCTTTATCGCCTCAGTGATGTTCTCCGGAAAGTTTTTTCTGTCTTGAAAATCAAATCCAGATGGGAGTTTAAACCCAAACGGCTCTTCAGGTAGATCAAGGCCCAAATAAAAATCTCCTGGAGGGAGTGAAAAGCAGGAACCTTGTTTTTTTTCAAGGTCTTCCTGCTCTATTCTTTTATCTTCAGCTTTTATGTCACGAAGAATGGACGCCATTTCAACAGCCACCTCTGGTTTCTCGAATATCTCCATGTAGTAAGCTTTTCTCATCAGTTTATGCTTTGCGCCTTGGAAGTGTATCCTTCTACTTCTTAGCTTATCGTTCAAGAGTGTTTTGTTACAGAATTCGCAAAAGTACTTTGCCATATAGAGGATGGGAGGCTTTTGATAGTGCTTATCAAAAGAATTCCATAACCAGGAGTACTCGGAGGGGATTGAACAGGATATTATGACTTCGTAGCAAAGTGGTTAACGCGGTAGATTGCTAATCTATTTCCCTCTGGGAGCGCGAGTTCGAATCTCGCCGAAGTCGTTTTTTCTTTTGCAATATATCATATTTCTCGAGTAGTTTCATGTCAAATAAAAACCCTTGTTTATCCCTGATGAGGAATAACATCTGCGAACCTCCAAGGAATGCTTCCTCCCATTCATTGTCTGTGCATACCACAGAAAAGGTTGTAGGTAGGGGCGAAATGCACGGATTGAAAAACCTAGCCGTAATAATTGCTTTTCTAAGTGTTGGAAGATTCATAATAGACAACAATAGAGAGTTCGGGTTTCTTATGTCTCTGCCTCTTCAAACACTTTCTATAATGGAGTGTTCCTGCTTTCTTTTAGCGGTCCTCATGAGTTTTGTCCGATCACTCCTTGGGTTTTATATAGAGGTAAGGAAACTTGGGGTTCCATACATATATTTGAATTTAGGCGCCTTTGAGGCATTTGTTGCATATTTGAATCTAAACTATATCAATCGCATCTATTCCTCAGGATGGTCCATGATACTCAATGTTGTTTACACCGCCAAGCTAATTTCGTTTCATTTAGTTGTAAGGGAGCTTAGGAAAGACAAAAAAGTTAATGTAGCAAAGAGGTTAGGAATCAAACATTTTTTGTACTTCTTAGTTGTTCCCACCCTCTGTTTCCAGCTGGACTTTCCCATGAGAACCAAAAGAAATATCAAGGGGATTCTTTTGAAGTCTATCCAGCTTTTAATAGGCTTTCTTCTTTTTGTTCTTGTAATGGACCAGTATGCAATACCCAGTATATATCGAATTATTGATTTTGAAGATATAACAACAGTAATTGAAAACATAATCAACTTTTCGATAAGTACTATAATTCTATTTTTGATATTTTTCTATGCTGTGTTCTATTGCTTTCTGGACGCTGTTGCAAATTTAACATTATTTTACGACTCATGCTTCTATCAGGAGTGGTGGAATGCATCTTCTGCAAGGGAATTCTGGGCTCTATGGAACAGGCCTGTGTATCTGTGGTTCAAAAGGCACATATATGCCCCGTTGGTCAGTAGAGGAATGTCCAAAGAAAAAGCAGGTCTAGTTGTATTCACCGTGTCCGGATTGATCCATGAGTATGTTGCCTCTATTTCGATAAAGAAAATCACGGGATGGTTCTTTATAACAATGCTTCTTCAAGTTCCTCTCATCCATGTCACAGAGTCATTTAGAAAACGATTTCCTAGCCTAGGAAACTTCTTTTTCTGGGGGGCTTTTTGTGTCATTGGCCAGCCCTCTGTACTGCTGTTATACTACAGATCTTTGTACTTAAAAGAGTGCCACACATAGAAGTATGAGCTTAGATACATTGGTTTGAATTAAATAGTGTTTATTTTGGAGGTAGTCAGATCTATAAAAAATAAATAAATAAGCCTAAGAATGAAGGAAACGATACTGAGGAGAAGAACATTTTTACATGATGCAATAGACATGGTGAGTATGGGAAGCCACACGCTTGAGAACGATGACTTCACAAGATGCTTCCAGCCAACATCTGCAATGGAAATGGATTCGAGTGGGATATTTTATACATTCTCTTTTGTAATAAGATACTTTGTTTTGTTTCCAATAAGAATGGCGTTTCTTGCCATATGCATGTTAATTTTTCTATTGATGATACTCCGAGCAGTACTTACCAAAAAGAGTGAGCATTTGGAAAATGCGCTGATGTTTGGAGCCAAATCTCTGATGCTTGCGATGAATGCAAGAGTAAACCATATCGGGGAAAAAAAGAGACATGACGGGCCTCATGTATATGTTTCAAACCACACATCGTTTGTAGACTTCTTTCTTCTCAGTAGTCACGAGTTTCCTCATGCCTGTGTTTCAGAAAGGCATGGTGGGTTGTTTGGGCTCTTGTTTAAATCGATTCTGATAAGAAATGGCTCTATTGCATTCAAAAGAAGCGAGAAGGTCGATAGACAGCTTGTTGTGGAGAAGGTCAAGGAACATGTGCGTTCCGGTGGAGCACCCATGGTGATTTTTCCGGAAGGAACATGTGTAAATAACAAATTTTCTGTGCTTTTTCAGAAGGGCGCTTTTGAGCTTGGAGTAACAATATACCCGGTAGCTATAAGATTTCGAAGGAGACTGTTTGATCCCTATTGGAATAGAAGAAGTCATGGGTTTGCAATGCATGTATTCTATCTTATGACTAGATGGAGACTTGAGGCGGAGGTTGTATGGATGAAGCCCGTCTCCATAATGAAGGATGAATCCCCTACTCAGTTTTCTCACAGGGTCAAAACTATGATATCTAAAGAAGCTGGGCTGAAAAATACATTATGGAACGGGTTTCTCAAGAGTAGTCCTGCTATCAAAGACAGAGAGATCCTAAGAGAATCTTATTTAATAACGTATGAAAGGGTTGTATCAAACACACTGGACAGGATCAATTCTCTTGACATCGAGCAAAATAGATTCTATTTGTATGATAGCAGCATTGACTTTTCATCATTAAGAAGCCATTCCTACTTTGAATCCATGATACCCTACAAGAAGTTTTTAAATGAAGTTTTGAAGGAGTATTTAAGGCTCAAGGAGCTTCCTCAAAAAGAATTAAAGTTCTTACTGGCCAATCACAAAAGGGAGGAAGGTTCTCTTAGGGACTCCAAAATGGAAACGTTTTGCAGCTGCAAGCCTAGGAAAAATCAAAAAATAAATAGCCTAAGAAGAAGAGGCAATCCACTTATGTCTTGTAAGTACGAAAGCTGTACAAGCCATGGCCTAGGATAGATGCTTCTACTTTGTGCCACATAAAATAAATCCCGACACTTATCTTGTGACTATCCAGAGACAATACTTGTTACTTTCCGCCTGATAGAACCGAGCTTACACTGGCCAACTTTGTCTGCAAATCTAAGTGAACATATGGTTTCACTAAAATGGTCTGCATCGGGTGAGATATTGACAAGCATGATAGTCCTGGAGTTTCCAGATAAAAAGCTTTGCAGGAGATGTGTAAGCTTTGAGTTCCTGAAGGGAATATGGCTATCCTTCCTTAGAATGGAGTTAAAGACATCTCCCAAGGCTGATAGACTTTTGTTTATGCTCTGCGTTTCCTTTAACCTAATTCCCTCGGCCCTAGAGACACTTAGCCTTTCAGACCCTGCCAGATCTACAAAAACCATGGCGCCTTCCTTTTGTTGCTTCAAGGCTTCATTGTTCATTTTTATCCTCAAGATATAAACAGCATGGCTTCTACTTGACTTCGAGTTGCATTTAGTACTTCCAACACTCCTTCTCCTTGCTCCATCTTGGAACAATCTAATGGCATCTGATATATTATGGATAGGTACACTGATACAGTTCATGTTTATATTTACATCTTTATGGACAATCGTGACTTTTTTCATGTCTTCAGAAAACAGATCCACCACATCCTCATTATATATTTCCACATAGCTGCATGTGATATCCAAGCCCCATCCATCTTCCTTCAGTTCCTCAATAATACAGTATACATCCTTCAGTGCTCGAACAATCAGCCCTGGATCTCCATCAACGCCTTCCATAGTATATGTCTTTCCGCTTCCTGTCTGACCGTATGCAAACACACACACACTGTACCCCTCTAATACAGACTGAAAAGTTGATTCCATCTCTCTATATACGCACTTTTGGGTTGCATGGGGTCCAAACACTTTATCAAATGAAAATCCGTGCTCCTTGCTATCTGTACTAATCCTTAGATATCCATCTGAAATTTCTATTCTCGATCCGTGGTGGTTGGGAGTATTGGGCCTTATCCGGCAAATTATCTGAATGGAACCTTTGAGAACCATTATTTCATTTCTAAGCTTCGATATGGTTTCTTTATGCTCTAGACATTCCTTCTTGATTTCTTCCAATTTAGAAGCTTTTTCTTTGTACATGTTTAGACGACATTGCATCTCTGAATTGACTCTTTGGAGATGATCATTCATAGATAAAATCCTAGAGAGTTCTTCCTTCATCCTTTGTATTTCACTATCCTTTCCTTGCAACATAGCATTGATATCCTCCACATTCGATTGTCTTGAATTGATATTACTATCTGAAGCTTGTTTCAGTCTCTCTATTGCAGACTCTAATTCCTCTATTCTTTCAAGAAGCTCCGACTCTCTATTTCTTGTAGACCTACTGCATCCGTTGTATCCACAAGTTCCAGGTGTACATATCTCTAGCAGGATGGAGTCTTTCCTGATTCTGCTGGATGGGTTTCCATCGATGTTTTCCTTGATTTCACTGAAGACTTCTTTTATTTCATCTATCCTATGCTGAATTCCTGGCCTTACCATTCAAAGGGCTCAAAGGTCCATGCATTAAGTTTATCTCCATGGATTACCATGCGTTTTAACATTTCTAGGGTTGTGCAAAGTGCTATTCTCATAGGCTGCTGTGCTGACATCTCACAATCCAGTAATCTGATCGAAACGACATGTCTTAAATCCCTGATTATCCAATGACTAAAAGCTTCGTCCAACGGTTTGCCTTTTTTAGAATCATATATCATTCTTTTCTGGCCCTGGGGATGAAGTGCTCTGCGTGCCAAGTAGAAATAGGTGGAAATATCAAAGCTCACTATGCTTCGGAAGTGCACAAGATAAATGTCAAGAGGCAGATTTATAATGCACCTCCAATAACAATTGAAGAAATCAATGCGGACCAGCCAAGCGACGATGTGTCCCTGGAGATTAACGGCCTCGATGCTGAAGAAAGAAGTTCCAGGATGTGCTCTAAAAAAAGAAGCCCTTCTAGGCAGGGAGGTACCGCCTCGGGATCAGTGTGCTTGTTCTGTGACCTTCCAGAAGGCACTATTCACTATAAGAGCCACGGGCTATCTGATGAGGAAATAGCATACATCAACAACAGGGTCTGTTATGTATGTTATGAGGCCTTCAGTGACTATGATGGTCTTAGGAGACATATTTCTTCAGGGAACCACAGAAGCGCAATGACTGATGGCGTGAATCTCATACTAGAAAATGGGAAGGTTATTCAAGGGAGAGCCCGCTCTAGAGTTAGGGAGGAAGAGCTCATACAGAGATCTGAAAGGGCAAATAGAATTACTGTAGTGAAAAGCCTAATGAAGGAGGATAAGAAAGGTATTATGAAAAACAAGAATCAGCTAAAAATTTCGCTTTCGATGAATTATCAACCACGATTTAAGCCAGACTGGATGCAATAATATAATAGGACTTTAAAACGTTTTGAGTGACAAATGGGGGCTATTGTTATTACTCAATGGTGTTTCAGATATTATTTAAAAATGTTTGGACCTTACCCCATAATGGTAAACTATTCAACAGTGAGAGTAGGAAAGAAATACTCGCCTTCATTTAAGGTATATGTAGCACAGGGTGGGAAGATAGTTTCCCCATTTCACGATGTTCCCTTGTATATGTCAGAAAATAGGGATGTTGTATCTGTGGTCAATGAAATTCCCAGGTTTGAGAACGGGAAGTTTGAAATCAATAAGGAGGAGAGATTTAATCCAATAAAGCAGGATTCTAAGAACGGATGGCCAAGATTTGTAAAGAATGTTTTTCCTATGAAGGGATACCTATGGAATTATGGCGCCTTACCACAAACATGGGAGAATCCTCATGAAATTGACAAGCACGTTGGAGCAAAAGGTGATAATGATCCTCTGGATGTCATTGAGATAGGAGCAAGGAGAAAGGAAATCGGAGAGGTTTACCAAGCAAAGGTCCTCGGGAGTATTGCATTGGTTGATGAAGATGAATGTGACTGGAAAGTAGTAGTTATTGATGTCAATGATGAAAAGGCTAAAGAAATTAATGACATTGAAGATGTTCGGAAAGCTTACAGGGGGTTGCTTGAGCAAACGATCTTTTGGTTTGAGAACTACAAAGTTCCAGATGGGAAGAGTAAGAACAGTTTTGCTTTAGATGGAAAGTACATGAACAAGGAGTTTACTGTAAATATCGTCAAAAGTGCTCATGAAAATTGGTGTGGGATGGTGAATTCCAAGGGCAATGATTCCATTTGCAAAGAAAATTCTACCTTGATGGATAAGATCGATCCTCCAATGATTTCCCATGAAGAGTTGTCCGACGAAGAGGCTCCTGAGTATATCAACCAATTTGAATTCATTAAATGATGGCTTGATCTTTATTGTGCTTAACTCTCTTTAATCTTTTTCCTTCTAAAACATGGAACAATAAACCCTCATGGAGACTCAAAGAAATGGGCTTTTTAGCAGCCTTAGATAGCGAATTGATTTTAAAATCCAATATTAGCTGTACAAAAAATCTGTATGCATTGGTCAATTTATAGACGAAAATACTGCAACTCTGTAATGACTGAAAAGATGTTAACATCTCTTCGAATTCCAAGAAACCTTGATAGCTGTTAAAGGGCCGCGCTAAAGCCCTGAGCGGAAAATACTAAAAGATATTTATTTTACGAAACATCTACTCTGTTTTATCTATAATGGCAGCAGCTCATGCACGAAAAGAAGCTACATGGCCCAGACTCAGAAGCCGCTCCCTTTGTATTCCATATGTGCTTTGCAGCTTCTAAGAATACAAGGTTCACGTTTTCTCTGGTACGTGAGGAACATTCGAAAAACTTGGCCGCGTTGATGTTGTCTGCAATCTTCCTTCCTTCACTCTCAGAAACCATTGAAGACTTATCAACGGTTGGATCTTCCATGTCCCTTACATCCTTCTTTAACCCAATGAGGAAAAACTGCGATGAAGGGCAGTAGTTTTTTATCTCCATCAGCCACTTTCTTGAGATATTCGGAATCTTCTTCTTATTTTCTATGGTATAGCATAGTAGTACAAGGTCTGTCTCTTTGTAGGAAAGAGGCCTGATTGTGTCATAGTCCTCTTGCCCAGCCGTATCCCACAAAGCTAAAGAAACATATTTGTCATCATCAATCTTTACTTCCTTAACAAAATTATCAACGACAGTCGGGATGTATGTTTCTGGGAACTGGTTCCTTCTAAACACCTCAAGTAGGCATGTTTTCCCGCATGCCCCATCTCCTATAATGACAACTTTTCCAGACTTATGTGTTTTGCTATTCATTATTTGACTTTTTACTTCATTCTTTTTTATATGAAGTTTAAAGGAGATTTCCCATTTGTTAAGCCTTCATCTTCCTTCTACCAATGCCACTGGTAGTTTAGGAATCCACAACTGGTTTATCTTCTTTGAGTAATGAGGTAGGTAACCACAGTAATTCAACCATATTATAGGGGAAAATTACGTAAATTTGAATTTCCAGGAGAAATCAGATCTATTGCTACTACTTGCGATTCTTCCTTTTCTTGGAAATCCCTATGGATTCCATCCTTTCCCTCTCGGCAATAGCGCTTGCCTTTTTTCTTTCTATGCTTTTCATTATGCAGTTAAGTGGGATGCAGCGCTTCTTTACATAACCACCAAGCCTCTCCATCTTTTTTCTCTTTGATTCGATTCTCTCCTTAGCCGTTTTACTGTTTTCTATGACGTTTTCTATCTCCTTGATACATTCCTGAAGCTCTTTTGGTACTTTTCTTGGCATTAGTAGGGCGTTTTCCATGCGAGAGTTAAGTTTACAGAGCAATGTGTAGGTTTTGCCATTAATCCCTATAAACATTAACCCCTCAGAAATGAGCTTGACCATACCTGGGTTAGATCTTATAAAGAACGAAATCTCAGAGATAAGAAGTGGAAACCTTCGTTACACGATTGCTTATCTATCGATAAAGGAGCCTATATCGCTGTCTGTTGTCAGGAGTGGAGGAAGAATCAAGAATTTTGATTACAAGAGAAAATACACTATAGAGGAGCTTCATGAAACTTTCGAAGAATTTTTGGAGGGCATTAATGAGAAGGACCCTTGCTTTGTAGTATATGACTTCATACATTTTGATGATGACGGAATTCAGAAGAACACACTCTGTTTGATTTCTTACATTCCTGAGCATCTTATGCCCCTTGAGAAGGTTGCGTACTCCACCAATGTCTTAAATCTCAAGGATCTGCTGGATATCTCTGTTCACATTCCCATAAAGAAGAAATCCGATTTCATCTTTGATGATATTGCTGAAAAGTGTGCAGCATCACGAATGAAATAAATGTTTTATTATTATGATGCTTTATGGGATCTATAGCTCAAGGACCTGATTATTAATAACTCATAAATATTTCTATCTATGCTGCAAGAGATATGGGTCCCAAAACAAACACAAGGTCTATTAAGAGTCTGAGAAGACTTACAAGAAGTAGGACTCAGGTCATTTTCTTTGATGGCACCCAGATTATGAAATCGGATGAGGGAATGCGACCGCATCTACCTGGCTGCAAAGATGATACAGAGGAAGAAGTTCCATCTTCAAGAAGCATTCCAAAGACATGTAATATCTTAAATGGTGAAGAAAGAATGTTCTCTTTCAAAGATCTCCTAGAAACTTTCAACAGTCTGGAAGGAGGAATGACACAAAAGACATCGAGGCTTGAATCTAATACTGGTCCCATCGAATCCTTGAACAGAGATACTATGATGAAAAGAAAAGAAATGTTTGACCATCCTTCTAATGATGTTTTCAAGCGGAAAGGGAATATGGATTCACTTTCCAAGAAATATACGAGAGACTAATTTCATGAGTCAGGATGGTTTGCCTCGAAAAATGGGAGCAGACCATTTTAAAACTTTTCATTAATGAGGCCGATCTATGAAAAATAAAAAAGAAGAGATAAGAAAGCACTATAACAGCATTAAGGAGAGAGGGAGGGAGGTTAGGCAAAGAAGCAGGGCCATAAACATCAGGAATACAAACAATTTCATCAAGGCCTGTCTCATAAGACTGTACACAAAGAAAGGAGACACGGTTTTAGATCTTGGGTGCGGCAAAGGAGGAGATCTGTTGAAATATGAAAAGGCGGGAATTGACGAGTACTATGGGATTGACATTGCGGAAATATCCATAAGAGATGCCTATGTTAGAGCGGAAAACATGAAGAGAAGATTCAAGGTTTCATTCAAGGCTCAAGATGTATACAACCAGCACATTTCACTTGGAAGACAGTTTGACATAGTATCTTCCCAGTTTAGCTTCCATTATGCCTTTTCTAGTGATGAGTCTTTGGACATTTCTTTAGGAAACGTAGTGCGGCATTTAAAGCCTGGAGGGTATTTTATCATAACAGTTCCTTCCAAGGAGGTTATCCTTGAGAGATATAGACGAGGCAAGATATCAAACGAATTCTACAAAATAGAGATCGACAAGAAAGAGGATGCCCCTATTGAAAGCGTTAAAGAGTACCGATTTACATTAGTGGATTCTGTAAATAACTGTGTTGAGTACTTCGTCGAGTTTACAAAGATGCTGGATGGATTTAAGAAGCTTGGAGTTGTGTTGATTGAAAGAAAAGGATTTATTGACTTCCTTGAAGAAGAAAGCAGGAGAAATCAGGAGCTGTTTAAGCATATGAGAGTTAGAAGACTAGGAAAGGAGGAGGCTGAAGTTGTTGGAACTTATGAGGTTATGGTCTTCCAGAAACTAAACAAAAGTGAGGATTAAGTGTCTAATAAAAACCCAAATTGGTCTTGAATCTCATCTATTTTTTTTCTGAGGTCATTGGATATCCTTGGGGGCCCGGTTGAAAGTATGTTTGACAAGTAATACATAATCACAGGATGTCCTTCTATCAGTGGCCTCATACGCTTTATTATGCGTAAATGCTCCATTGGCATCTCCTCTATGATTCTCACAATCTCCATAAGAATTTGCACATCCGGCACTTTCCTTTCAATCATTTCTTTTACAATTCCAATTACCTTTGTGGCATGGTTATCCATATAATTGTTTATCATCTTATATAGGTCCTTAACATCTTCAGATTCTGGTACTCCCAGTAGGTGCCTTATTCCATGGATATTTTTTATTACAGCTTCAAGGTCGGAGAATTTCTTTAGCTCTATTGAGTCGTAGCACCTACCCACATATTCCAAGACCTTGTTTTTAAGGTAGCCCTTCTCTTCTTTCGAAATGATATCAGCAAAAAAGTAGAAAATGTCTTCCAGATGTTTCATTGCATCCCCAAATGTATCGATTGTTACAGCAGGTATCTTTTCAAACTCATCATCAATCACTTTGGTTTTTACATTTTTAAGATGTGAAAGATAAACTATTCTTGCATCGCTGGAAAATTGAACCATCTTAACGTTTTCTCGTAATTTCTTTATCCAAATCTTAGCAAAAAGCAGTTCCTTAGCGTACAGAATCCTTTCAATGCATTGGAAGTAATGGTCGGTTCCCTGGATTTGGATTTTTCCATTGACCCTTCCCATAATCTTCAGGTAATGTCTAGTAATTTCGTTTAGACATTCCCCCTCATCTAAGTAAGATAGTTCTAAGTTTTTCACACTATTTTCCTTGAAGTTGACTAGCAAAGTGTTCATAATCTTATGTTCAGACTTATGCTCGCAAACTTTAAAATATAAATCAAAGTAATAAAGTGCCTCATGGAAGGAGCATCTAGGTCTCTGGATATTTTTATAGATGATCTCTAAGAACTCACATCTTTCATCATGGATGGAATTCCAAACCTTTTGTACATACACTGAGCTCTTTAACTCCTCATACATCTTCATAGCCTCTTTGTATATATCAACAAATCGTTCTAGATTATGAAGATTTCTTTTTAGGTCAGACTTTATATTGAATAGTAAGGCATACCTTTTCCTATAGTATTCCCTCCTACCTTCGCTGACTTCTCCCCTGTTATCACCAGATATTCCAGAAGTCATTTTTCTGAACTTCTCCTCAATCACTTTGATATTATTTTCGAGATCAGAAGTAAACTCCTTGTCATATCCCTTTTGCTTGATGTCTATCCAGATTTCTTCTAGAACTGTTCTGCATTGCACAAATTTTCCAAAGTGTTGCTTTACAAGCTGTTTGTTTTTGATCTTTGTTTTATTTATCACCTTTGCCAGGAATATTAATGCATCGTTCAGGTCGTATTCGGTGGAGTTTGCATATGTCTTGTTTATCACATCCACAGCATTGAAATCTTTCCCAAGGCCTTCTACTTGGCGGGCCTCCGTATTCATAGTCATGGTCTATAGAAAAATTTTATCATCTTGCATTAGAAAAAAACAAATCAAGTCCCCCAAATGTCAGGGCTGTTTTCTGCCAACAATCTGATAAAGAACAGGAAGGCCAAGAGATTAGCAGACACTGTCTATAGGAAGCGAGCGCTTGGAACAAAATACAAGCACAGTGTGCTTGGAAGGGCTCCTCAGGCAAAGGCAATTGTCCTGGAGAAGATCGGGGTGGAGGCTAAGCAACCGAACTCTGCTATAAGAAAAGCTGTTAGATGCCAGCTGATTGCGACTGGAAAGAGGATAACTGCATTTGTTCCTTACGATGGGTCTGTTACATACATTGAGAGCAATGATGAGGTGACTGTGGAGGGATTTGGTAAGAAAGGAAGAAGCTTTGGAGATATTCCTGGAATTAGATTCAAGGTATGTAAGGTACAGAATGTGTCTTTGCATGCTATATTTACAGGGAAGAAGGAAAAGCCCTCAAGGTAATATTAAAGTCTAGTGGCTGTTTTTCATGTCGAAAGAGTTTTATTTTTGTTGTTTCTTTTGCTCCTCAAGAGACAGCCTAATTGCCTCTGCTAATTCTGGATCGTCTTCTTCAAGGTGTTCATCCCCATTTATAAACGATAAGACTCGGTCGGCAAACTCCTCACTGGGTTTGACCTCTATACATGAAAAGTTTGTGAAGTCGATCTTTTTGTAGGCTTCCGCCATCTCGATTGCCTCACCAAAGAAGACCATCTTTATCATGATCCCGAATGTTAGAAGTTGGTATAGTCTTGCAAATAGCTCATCTTTTTCTGTTTCCGGAGGTTCAGAACCAAGAAAAATCACTAGCATACATCCTGGAGAATCTTTTTGATTGAAGATGTGGAGAGACTGAGAAAGACATCCCATAATATCTACATTTCTGCTCAGCTTTATCTCGTTAAGAAAAGTCTTTATGTAAGGCCTTTGCTTTGTAGGTGTGATTATATCATTAGATTGTGTTTGCACCAAAGGAATTATTCCTATTGTGTTTTCCTGGTTGTCTTCAAACTTTCTTGATATCAAAGACTCCACGGTTTCCTTCTGTACTATAAGTCTACTTGGGAGATAATCTTGATTCTGAGAAGCCATTCCATTATCAAACAATACAACAATAGTCTCAGGCATTCCAGGGGTGCCTTCGTTCTACAAATTTAGAAAGATCTGTGGAAAGGTTCGCAGAAAACACATTCAGAGAAACGCCTTGGCATAATGGTGACTATTGGCTGCGATTTATTAGTCGTCTTCAGTATTCTGCCAGTTCTACATTGATGAAATCATTTTTTTCAATAGATTCCTTGTATTTTTTGCTTATATAAAAAACAGATCTTATCCATATTACACAAAACACCCCTACAAACACGGTGGATATAGAAACCATGTTCCTAACATCCCTGACATCAAACACAACTGTTATTAGAGTGCAATATACAGAGCCTATTGTCTTTCCAATGTTTATTCCCAATCCGTCATGTATTCCTCTGAAGGAATGTCTATGAATGGGGCTCACTCTTATGGAGGCTGCTTCCTTTGCAACATCGAAAAAGCAGTATTTGGATATTCTTATGATCGTTGTCAGAAACATCCCGGCATAGTTTTCAAGGACAAATCTTCCCATGTGCCCTTCTGTGGGCAGGATCTGATCATCCTCAGTGATGTTGTTGAAGAATACCATAGGGAAAAATAAAAGTAACGTGATAATGGCAACGGCAGGTGCAACTATTGCCACCAAAAGCCATCCCCTTCTCTCTATAAGATGGGTTGCTGGCTTAAAGAACATCACAAGCAGAAAGACAGAAGTTATTATCTGTGTCATGGCATTTAGTTTGTTCATATATGAGGATCTAGGGGAAGAGGCTTGAGCTGCACCAAGTATTATCCCTCCTCTGTATGTTGCCTCGAATATGTTAGAGCATACGGAAGCCGCTACCACTGCCTCAGTCATTGCCATAAGAAATCTAGATCTTCGCATTATTCTTAATGATTTAACAAATCCCATTTTGCGAGCCTTCTGCACCTTTTTGCTCTCGTATTCTGAGTCTTCCTTTGGGATAGTTCTATCTACAAAGAAGCTTGCCATTGCAGTTATTACTGTAAGCATCGAAGTTGCAACAAACACATAAGAGAACAGCCTTTCTTTTTTGTGATATGGAAGCCCATCCCTGTAACTGTTTAAATTTTTAGTAAGCAAGCCAGAGGATAGCATAACGATTCCTGATATCAGAGACACTGTAGGCAGGAACTTCTTTACCTGAGCCTCTGTGCACTGGTGAATTGCTCTTGAGAAGAACATGAAGGAGATTATCAAGGATCCCCATAGCTCTGCCACGAGATACAGTATGGTTGAGGACCATTCGTTAAAGACGAGGAATATCGGGAAGAAAAAGTCCAGGTGCCTAACCTTCATTTTTCCATCGCTGAATATATCTCTTGACCAGAAAAAGTCCTGTTGAAGCCTCCCGCGGTAGGGCCAAACCACAAATCCAAAGAATAAAAAAAACATGGATGAGATGATGAGGATAACTTCAAGCATTCTTGGCTGGCTAAGGAATTTTAGCCCTTTCTGCACAATAACGATGAAAAAGAATGTCACTGGTAAGACTAACACAGACTTTATGAACAAGATCGAGCTAGGTATCTGGCTACTCATCATGACCATATCACCTAGGATATATAAGAATGCATCTATATATGAAAGCAGGGCATAAAGTAGGCCGAACAGCAGGGTGGATTTAGTATCGCTATTAATGGATTCGAGTTTCTTAATTATCCTCGTATGAATGCAAGCAGAGTGTCCTTCTTTTTCGAATTGCTTGTCTCTCCGTTCTACTGCATCAGTATGTTCATTTTCTGACATTTCGGGGTATTCCGTCTCGAGAAAATTAAATGGATTTGTTGTTAAGACTTTGATTGATCCTCTGTGTGACATATTTATATTAAGATGAAGAGTGTTTATGAGTTAAAATTAAACTTACTATGAGGCAATGGAAAGAGAATTAAATTCCACCTCCATAATCCCGGCGATGAGCGATGAGTGGAAAGGCCTCAAAATTGAGCATGTTTTGAATCATAAACGAACTCTTGAATGGGAAATGATTATAAAGCAGTATATAAGGCAAAATTCATTAAGCTTGGAAACCGAAAGCGAGGTTGTGAGATACTCTGACAGATACTTCAAGAGCTCTCTCTCAGAAGATATGGTGAAGGAGATAGTAGACGGGGAGCTGATGCCGCCGGAGATTTCAAGAACGTTTGGAGAGAGAAAAGAAAAGAAGATGGAAGACATTGGAGAGATTGAGGGTTCAACCGAAGAAGAGTCTGTTGGGACCGAAGAGATTGAAGATAGTAACGATATTGAAAATGATTATGTAGACAATTTCTATGAAGATGATGAAGAGCTTACAGAGGAGAAGAATGAAGAAGGATTTTTCTGATGTGTGTACTTGAGTCCGGAAGTACTTACTTTGGTTGAAAATAAAATTTTTCTAAGCTGTATCCTTGACCACATATTCTAAAATGAAATTCGATGAACTCCGAGTCGATGAATCTTTGATAAGGATATGCGAAGGAAATGGTATTACAAAGCCTACAGAAATTCAGGAGCAGGTGATTCCTGTGATTCTTGGAGGGAATGACATCATAGCAGTCTCTCAGACAGGATCAGGAAAGACCCTTGCATTTGTTCTTCCAATAGTTTCATGCCTACTGTTGAAAGATAGGTCTTTTTATTGTCTAATCATTGCACCTACAAGAGAGCTCTCTTCACAAATAGCAGAATGCTTTAACATGTTTGAAGAGACAGGACTAAGAGTATGCTTGCTAGTGGGGGGAACTAGCTTCAATGTCCAAGCCAACCAGCTTTCTAAACATCCCCACGTGGTTGTCGGGACACCTGGAAGAATTGCTGAGCATGTTCTAAAAACAAAGTCATTCAGAATAGAAAGAGTAAGAAAGCTTGTTCTTGATGAAGCGGACAGATTCTTTGAACAGGACTTTGTAGATGATCTGGAGACAATTATTAGAAGCCTAAAGGAGAAGAGGCAGACTCTCCTTTTTACGGCAACGATGTCGGACGAGATATCTAAGCTGTCGAATTCGATACTGAGAAATCCCAAGATTATTCGTGTGGTAGAAAAGTATGAGACTGTTCCTACTTTGAAGGAATATTATATCTTTATAGCTATGAAGTGGAAAAACGCTTCATTGGTTGAATTACTTGAAATGAACCCGGGAATATCTGTCATTGTGTTTGTGTCCATGTGCATAACTGCTCGTGTAATGTCTCTCGCACTGAGCAAACTTGGGTTCCACTCAGAAGCATTGCATGGGGAGCTTATTCAGGAAAAAAGGGAGGAGACCATGAGAATGTTCAAGGAGAGCAAATTCAACGTTCTTGTTTGTACCGACGTTGGAAGTAGGGGGTTGGACATAAGCCACGTAGACCTAGTAATAAACTTTGATGTTCCGAAGAATGGGAAGGATTACATCCATCGTGTTGGAAGGACTGCAAGAGCAGGAAGATCTGGAACAGCCATTACACTTGTGACTCAATACGATGTTGAGCAATTCCAAAGGATGGAGTTTGCATTAAAGAAAAGCCTGGAGGAATTCAGGCCTATGAAAAAGGACTTTGGACTGACCTGTAAGAAGATTGGAGAAGCCATTGAATCAGCTCAGGAGATTCTTAAAGAAGAAAGAAATAGAAGATAGCAATACATATGACTTATTAAACTACGAATATCTGGAAATATTTTTGTAGTCCACAAGTCCTTGATTTTCAAAGCGAAGATGGAAAGCTAAAACAGAAGTGAAACGATATCAGACACAGGTATCAATATGTTAGAGCTTACGAATTATTGAAAGTATTTACTTGGCCTAGAACGCAACTGTAATGCCGCCAGAAGGTACTGACCCAAAGAAGGAAGTACCACAAGAAAAGGAAAAGGAAGAGGAGAAAGGCAATAAAGAAGAAAAAAAGTCGGAGAAAGAAGAAGAAAAGAAAAAAGAGGAGAAGAAGGATGGTGGTATAATTGGTGACATCATTGCCAACAATGCCGTGGATGCTCCCCCTATTGAGCCCCAGGAAGAGATAATATTTACAAAGGCAAAGATATTTGAAGAGGAAGAGCTTTCGTTTTGGAACATAGATAGCTATCTGAATAGTCGGTTCTGTTATGTTCCTGAGACTGTCAGAAGGTTGGTAGAGATATTTATTGTGGTGATTCTATTCATGATATTCCCTGTGATTCTTGCATTTCTGGAGAATGGAAAAGATGCGATATACCTTCCGGTCCAGGTATTTGAGAACACAGGAAAAGGCCCAACATACTTATTCTTTCGGATCAATCTTTTCATATCGATGTGTTATACTATTTATGTAATGGTCTCTTTGTTCGCTAACAATATTCTTTATATCATAATTTGGGTTTTAAACTTATTTAACTATGAACTTGATGAATATACTATAGAAGTCATTCAAGTGATAAACTCGACGTCCTGGTGCTGGAAGCAGTCTCTCATAGCACTCCTGGTCTTTTTTTCTGCATCAATCACCTCCCAGCCATATGAGTTTGGGAAGAATGATGGAAGTTACAAGTATAATATTATTACCATGGTACTTATGTACTCGGTTTTTATATCTGTGGTGTTTATAGAGAAGTTTTTCATGTGCTTCATGATTTCTGAGATAAGAAGGAAGGAGTATAGAAACAGGATATGGGACATCAATTATAAAACATTTGTATTCAAGAAACTGGCAGCCATTTCAGAGGCAGCCCCGGGAGAGAGAAAGGAGCTTGCTGAAACTATTCAGCCCGATTTTGACCCGGGGTTCTATTTGAAATACAACGACCTAAAACTGAATTCGGTAGAGGGGGCAGAGACTGTTGCAGAATCTATTTTTGGGTTTCTAGAGGTTCGGACAATTTTGTATGAGGATCTGGAGAAGTTCTTTCCGGACAACCACAAGGAAGTATACACATACCTAGCCGAAAGCTCTGAGGCTAAGGAAAAAGATAGTCCTCTTCCAATAACATTTGAAGATCTTAAGACCAGAGCTGTTGCTCTGTACAAGGAGAGAACAGACATATCAAGAACACTCCAGTCTAGAGACATTGTCATAAACAAACTGGATATAATATTGATGGCAGTTGCCATGTACTTTGGAGTCATATTAGTAATGATTCTTCTAGGAATTAACTACTCAGGACTACTCGCAACTATTCTTCCGTCGATGGTCACCTTCAGTTGGATATTTTCTGATACCATCAAGGAGATATACAACTGCTTCATATTTCTTCTGGTGAACCACCCCTACGACTGCGGAGATAGAGTTGTAATAGATGGAGAGGAGCTTTATGTGTCCTCCGTTGACTTACTATCTTCAACCTTTACTGGGGTGAATGGCAGATTGGTATTTATACCAACGTCTACCCTATTCCGAGCAAAAATCCATAATATAAGAAGATCGGGAAAGCAGTTCTCGGAGGTTGGAATTCTGGTGAGTAAGACGACTTCGTTTGATACAGCTCTTAAGCTCAAGGACGGGATTACAAAAGCTGTTTCAGAGTCCACAAAATCATTTTCTGGAGAGATTTACATTCGGGAGTTCAGGGCCGAGGGCGATAATGTCAAGATTTCTTTTGCTATTCAACATCAGTCCAACTTCCAAGATATCAAGAAAAAGCATGATAGAAGAGCTGAAATTGTAAATATACTAGAAAGAGAGATGAAAGCTCAAAAAATACAATACCTGAATTCATATACATTTAGTGATTAATTTCTAATAATAAAAATATTTCTACTAACCCATGTAAGATTTTCCCACCACAGGCAGGTAACTGCATTGCTGGTGCAAGGACCTGCATTTGGAGGCGCCATAGTCCAGTGGTAAGATACGTGCTTCGGGTGCATGTGACCCGAGTTCGATTCTCGGTGGCGCCCAGGGCTTTTGGAGTTGCAAGTTTTTTTTCTTGATCTAGTTATTGTCATATCACATACCTTAATCCTTTAAATATTCGAATACTTGCATGAGTATATTTTCCGGTACCGATTTGCCCCAATAAATGGAATTCGGAGACAAAATAATTCCTTACGACCATGTTATAGTGAGAACAAAGCATTCATTTGTCTTCACAAACCTCAGGCCATTTCTTCCTTTGCACATACTAATATCCCCTATATCTAAGAAGCAGAGGATATATGAGTTGACAAACGAGGAGACATCTGATCTGTTCAATACTGTAAGGGTTGCGATGAAAGGGCTCAAAGATCTATGCGATGGATTTACGTTAGGGGTTCAGGATGGCCCCTGTGCTGGGCAAACAGTATTCCACGTCCATGTGCATATAGTTCCAAGAGTATCCGGAGATCTTAAGAGAAATGATGACATATATGAAAAGGGGGCTTTGGATTCGGTAGATAGGCCTGCAAGGGAATACGGTGAAATGAAGAAGGAGGCTGATAAACTTAAAGAAATAATTGGTAAAGCATTTGATTCCGAGGGCTTGTATTACCAAAAGACTTTTGGATGATTCTTCTTTTTGTCAATAAAGTAGTTTTCCTTCTCCCCACGGATGTTAGAGCTGCCACCAGATACTAGAAAAGGGTTTTTGTATCTAACGAATGATGAAGTTTTCAGCGCATTCAAAGGCTGTATAGGCCTTGACTTTCTGTATATGGAAAACCAGGAAGGAGTAAAAATTATGGCTGTTAGTGTGATGGAGAATAGCCTTTTATGGTCTGAAGATCCCGACGTAGAAGAGGCTCTTCCAGATGCATTTAGATGCTTGCATGGAAATGAAATGACTTATAAATCGCTGAATCGACTACCTCAAGAGGGATGGGAAGAATTGATAGATTGCTGGTCATGCCACAATTGCGAGTTTAGAACGATGCTGAGTCTTTCTCCCCATCCGAGGGAAGGAGGATTGCTTCTCTCAAACTTCTTTTTTCTCATAAATGATTCTGATCTCCCCAAGTGTTGCAGAAACAATAATTCTTCTGTAAGGAAACTATTCTACAATGAAGTTCTTCAGTATGGATGTACCCATGAGGCCCTGGCATACTCGTATCTAAGCTCTTACTTCCAGAATAGGAGTGTTCTTCTACTTGAAGTAAGCCAAACAAGATGCGAGATCAGATATTTCTACAAAACAATGGTGATAACCATTGAAAACAAAACCTTGTGCAAAAAAGAGGCGATGAAGGTGGGTGTCAAAGAAACAGACAAACCCATCGAAAAAAATGAGAACATAAATGAATTCTATTCCAAGTTGATATATAACATTGTGGTATCAGGTGTAATTGGAGCAACTGCACTGGGATATAGGATCTCACTTGTAGAAAGGAAATAAAAATATCTGAACCTTTGATTTATTAAAATCGGTACTTTGAGGCCTTTACTCCTTTCATTTAACACCTAAAAGTGAAGTCGGTGCTTATAACTGAAGTAGTTGATACCCACCCTTGTTATGTTTCCTTTCAATTATACTAAGCAGTTTCCTAGCAGCACTTGAGATATCTTTTCTTGTACTATCCACGACTAATGCGAAGTATGGGGAGCTTTTTACAAGGCATTTCTTAAAGTGATATACTTTCTGGTATAGCACTTGGAGTAGCTCTAGGATTATAACAGCCTTGTCTCCTTTCATTTTGTTAAGCATCATATCGTTAGCATATTCAATTTCTTCTGGATTATGCCTGAGGATACTGCTGATACACCTAGCATATAGAATGTCTGGCTCATCACAATAGAATTCAAAAAATGCCTCAAATAGTTTTCTGTGGGGAATACGGTATTCTAGATCCCAATATAAATATTCAGTTATGAATGCTATTGCATCTCTATTTTTTTCCTTGGCCATCCTGACCATGGTATCAGAATACGGCTTAAAGATTTTGTAACACAGAGGAAGGGATGTTTTAGACACCTCAAAAAAGATATTTCTATTGCTTGAATAGAGGGTTTCCAAAAGAAGTTGAATCTTTTCACCTGCAGATGGATAAGCCCTTAGATAGACTCCGAAGAACTTCGTAAAAAGTCTGCCTTTTGCTCTTGAGACATTTGCGCCAAGGAATGTCATGATCCTCTCAAGTACGGGCAAGGGTAAAAATATGTCTGGGAGATCGAGTACCTTATACATGAACTCAAGATGGCGATCATTTGGCACATCTGTGTATGCTTTCATGGATCCTGCAAGAAGGTGCCGAGGATCAATTTCAAACATACAGTCTTCTATTTCTGGGAATTTTAGAAGAACATCCTTGACATAGGGACCCATGATGTTTTTATGTTCCTTAAAGAGTATCCTAACAGACTCCTTCTTGTATTCTATCATACTCGGAGTAATCACAGGCACAAATCCCAAGGAATTGAATGAAAGGTTCCTCAAAAGAATGTCTGCAAGCCCACTTCTGAAATAGCTTTCGGAGCCTTTGAAGACCTCCATAAGCTTTGCATAGTCTACACTGATTCCATCTCTTATGATTACGTCCAGAAGATCAAGATCATTTTTGAAATCATTGTAATTACTGAGGAAATAATCAAAGCAGAATTGTCTATGCTGGTTGTATTGGAGGATCAGCTCAATAGCAATGACCTTTATGACTTGCCACTCCTTTAGCATACCACATTTTATAAGATGAGGAACATATCTATTTTGGAACAGTGTCTTGACTATTTTCTTCCTTTCAAATGCAATAAGAGAAGAAGAATAGTGGATCAATTCCTCCACTTCTTCAGGGGGTAAATCTTGCTTAGACAGCATATCAACGAAATCCGTTACATACTCATCGTTTCTGTTTCCAAGGACCTTAGAAAATCCATATCTTTTGCATAGAAAAAAGAGAGCGTCGTAATGCCTTTCCATAAGACATTCATCAGCTATATTCTCCCGATATCTATATAACCTATCAACAACAGGATAGTTTTCCTTAGAGAATCCCCTTATATCTAAAATTCTTTCACAACTTTCTTCACTCAATACTTCCATATGAAACATTAGCGCAGAGTAGAATGTTGGATAGAAATATCCCTTTTCTATTAAGCATCTCAGGGCATCATTTACAAGCCCCTGGTCTTCTATTTGATGCAGATATCTACAAAATGCATCCACATGTGCTTTTCCAGGGTGTTTCATGGTATCTTCAAATATCCTCCTGCTCATCTCCACCGTAAGACCTCTTGGCTCTTCTGAAAGATAGTTCAAGTATCCTGGGTTGGTGTAGAACCTCTTTTCAACAATTATAGGTGTTAAGTCTATGCTCATAAGCTTGGCTGTATCAACAATGTTTCTTACAAAGATATCTTCTAAGCATTCCTCCATTAGTAACAGAAGTGCCTCCCTGTCCAAGTACTCTATAAACACAGACGCATCATATCTTACATACTTTAAGCACACCTTCATGATCTTGGTCAGATCCTCCTTGATGGTTCTTCTTGGCATATTCATGACAACCATGTCATAGTTGCTCTCGGTTATCAAACACTTCCATAACCATGGAGACAACCGTGATAGATATGCCTTATCTTCATCTCCCATATATGGAGTAAGTATGAGAATGTCCTTAGGGAAGTTATAGTTCAACAGCTCAATAAGTCCCTTCTTGTCTCTTAGTTCATTAAATAAATCAATATAGATAGATATCTCTCCATCAATCCTCCCCTCCTCGATTCCACACAGAATTTTCAAAGCTTTGAATTCCGAATCGCTGAATGATTTCAGAGCCAGCCCCTCTCTGTATAACCATATCACGTAGTTCTTATATCTGCTGATGTCACCTAGAATTTTCCTATCCTCTTCATTGTCATATATATTTCTAAAAAACGCAGCTTCCGAGTGTGGAATACTAATCTCACGTTCTACTTCCCTCGGTCTTCTTGATATAAGATATTCCTTATTGAAATGAGGCACCAGAACCTCGATAAACTCATCAAGAACTTCTTCGATATAATCTCTTATCTCGAAAAACACTTTTACTGCCACACCGTTTTCCTCTAACTTAATCAAGTGGGATATTATCTCGAAAAATTGCATTGAAAAGTCTTTGTCTACATTTCTCATCCCAGAAATTATATATCCAAGTACGTCGAGACAGAATTCTCGTACGTATTTGAAATACTCGAAGTATTCCACAAAAAAGTCAAAGAACTGCCTTTCCCTCAGGCAAAGATTCCCAATAAATTGATATGAGTATGTCGGCTGCACAGAAAAGTAATTGAAGTCCGATCTTCTGCTCAGGCATAAAATCTGCCCATAGTACTTCCTAAATGGAAGTAAGAAAAAAATCATTTCCTTCGGGTTGAAGGTGTCACATAAGTATCTTCTTACAAGATAATCAAACAAATACTCGATATCATTTGTGTTTCCATACTTCACTAGATCCTTCAGGAACTTAGAAAACTTCCTACTAAACCTTTCCTCTTTTTCTTCGGTTTGCTTCTGGCGGTCAAAAAACAAGCTTCTGGTACTTGTGTATGGAGTCTGGATCGGAACAAGATCAAGAATCGTCTCGTCGTCCATATCTTCCGTGTCTCCAAATCTCACTCTCTCACCCTCTCTTGAATGAATGGCTCTCCTGCACTTCTTAAGCTTCAATAGCTGGTCCTTTAACGACATGAGGGCTTTCCATATAAAATAATAACATTCTTTAAAGTTCATATCCAAAAGAAAAGAATTTATTCTGTTAAAAATTCATAATGTCTTGCAAAGGAGGATATTCTCTTCAGGTAGTATCCGGGTAGGTAGACTTTTTCCTGAGTCTCATAGTTGTCCTGTGGTATAGGATCCTCAATAAGCTTTATGAATTCCTGATATGATATCTCTTTTCTTTCGGATAGTCTTTCTCTGAATCCAGTAATCATACAGCCTTTGGAAACTCTTTCCAAGCAAAACATCGAGCTGGATGTCCCGGATCCATACGAGAACAACAAGACTTTCTCTCCAATTTCTCCGTCGTGTCCATCAAGTAGGGAGATCAGTGAAAGATACAAAGAGGCTGAATATGCATTTCCGTTTTTCCTGGAAGCCTCTAAGGACTTTATAAACTTCTTCCTGTCTATGTGGTTTGCGACACATATCTTTTCTGGAAGTCTTGTGTATGGAGAATGGAGTGCAATGTAATCAAACGATCCCAAGTCGTCCATTTTCTTCTTAAGCTCTCCATAGCATATTTCAAACGCAGTCCTGTAGTTTTCTATTGATTCTTTTCCCTTGACAACCGGAAACGGGTGTAGTTCCTTGGGCTTCATGAAATCAAATTGGTTTGAAAAGTAATGGGTTATGCTTGATGGAATGACTCTGTAGATGCAGTTCGGCCCCAATAGGATTGCAACTGCTCCAGCACCTCCTGTTGGCAGGCAGTTCTTATCTTTGTACATTGCCACATCAGTAGCAACAACAATTGCAAATCTTCCATCCCACAAGGATGATTCCATCCATGCAATTGCATTCAGCAATGCATTTGTTCCGCTATAGCAGGCATGTACATTGTCACACCCGCACATGGAAGTGTTCCCCGGAAACAGGTCGGTAAGATATGACTTAATGGATTTAGATCCATCGGGGTTGCTTTCTGTACCAACCTCTAGTCTCCCAACATCCAAAGGGCTAACACCATATCTTGTTATCAGTCTACTGACTGCATTCAATGCAAGTGAAATGGCATCCTCTCTTCTAGATGGAACACCCATTTGCTCGAGTCCCAATCCTATTTTTATCTTATCAACCTCAAAGTCGATGTTATTAGCAACCTCCTCTTGATTGATGTAGAGAGAGGGAAGCTGGTATTCAAGTCCAATGATTCCAAACATATTCTTTGCAGGCATCTTTTAGGGTAAAAACCTTGATGAAATACATGATGTTTTACCATTATCTTTGCTACAAGAAATGGAAATTGAAGGATAGTTGGAACAATAAGGATCTTTTATGGAAATATTTCAATAAAAGCAAAAGGATTTCATAAACTTTTATATAAGCTCCTACTTCCAATTCATATCATATATGATCGGTATAGAACTCGAAGCGTTCATTCCATTAAAACTCTTCTAACTCAATGTAGGTATTGTTTTCCATAGCCGTCTGAAACTTTTTGTTCAGGTATCTCAAGACACAAAGCCATAACATAATTATAATCGCAACAAGAATTCCAGACACACTCGAGGCCATACGAATGTCTGTTATATCCCATATCCCAGTCATGATTGTGCATATCACAGACCCCAAAGACTTTCCAAGCTTTCCGCAAAGCCCGTCATAGACAGCCTTGTACTTTGCTCTGTATAGAGGATCTATCTGCATGGAAATGGCTTCCTTCGAGGCATCAGCTCCGAGATACTTTCCTATCTTCAAAGATGCATTTGTCACAAGCCCAAGGGTATTTTCAAGAAAGAACATCGGCTTTCTGCCCTTGAAGAGAGATCCAAAGAGCACATTTCCCCCGCCATATGCTCCTACATTATAAAAAGCAACCAGGAACACAGAAAAAAATGAAAACACAACCACCATTATGGGAAGTGATGCTACATACTTCCACCCACCTTTCTTGATCAATGCAGAATATGGAGTATTGACTACGACTAGTAGAGACATAGCAATTATTATCTGCTCCATCCCGTTATAGAAGTTTGAAAACGTCTCCTTTGAGTTATTTGTGTATTTAGCACCTACAGCTATCCCACTTTTAAACGTTGCTTCTACTAATGTAGAGGATACTCCGTAAAGAAGTACATTTAAGGATATGGCCAATAATAGCTTTGACCGAGACAAGGCTTTTCCGACTTCCTTTATCTCAACCTCCTTTTTTTTCACGTTCGGCGTTTTTGCTTCTTTGATAAGAAACACAGGTATAGGAAGTATTCTCTTCTCTATATATTTCTTCAAGCCCAGAACTCCAAGAACAATGAAAGCCAATGCCAAGATCAGTACTCTGAACCCCAATTCCTTCGTTTCAAACACAACGCTATCCCTCCACTTGTTGAACATCAGCGTAAAAATGGCAGAGAGGAAAATCGATATGGCGTTTGATATATTATAAACTGATATGTATCTTTGGGATTGCTTTCTTGTCGATACCTCATTAGTAAAGAGGTTGAAGAAGTAGGATACCACCAGCGCGCCCCACATTTCTGAGCATAGAAAAAGAAACGAAGACGTCCACTCATTGAAAACAAGAAATACAGGATAAAGAAAATGAACTCTGAGTGATTCCATCTTTCCATCCCCAAAGATGTCTCTTGCCCAATAAAAGTCCTTTTGAATATATGCTTTGAATGGCCACATAACTAATCCGAAAAAAATGTAGCACCCGGAGAAGAGTATCAGGGTTATATCAAACATCTTGGATGGTGTGAAGAAATTTAGTCCTAGCTGAATTGTCCAGACAAAGAATAAGGAACATGGCGGAAGAAAAATCGACTTGATAAAGAACATAGACATAGGGTCCTGCCTCCCCATAAGTATCATTTCTCTTAGATTTCCCATTGTTGTGTGAACCACTGTTATGGCACCAAATAGAAGTGACAAGTATAGGACTCTGGACCACTCATTTCTTGCTATTCTTATGTGCTTGAAAATCCCGGTCTTCTTGTAGACCTCTTCCTCCAACTCCTCCTCTGTTTCGAAAAGGTAAGAATCTTTAGGGAACGCAGATGGATGAAGTGCGCTCATTTAGGGTTGAGTAAGTTGACGATAAAATTGATTAAAAACAGAAAGTCGCTCAGAGAGGGTAAGGCTTACATTTTGATGAAGAACGGCTTATTGCTTTGGAATTGCATGCACAGTAATTTAATTTGTCCCCTAAATAAGGATAGTCACTTTATATGATTTTGCTTGTGGCCGCTTCCACCTGCTTATACCCATGAGTCTATCATGGATGGTTGTTCAGAGTTCTCAAGAACAATAAGCTACAAAACTACATATAATCAATGCACCTGTATTCGGTAATAAAACCATTTTAAATTATTAAATGCCTATCCTAATAAAAGGATGATGGAGCAAGAAAAAGAGGAGAGACATATCTACACCAATAAAAGTTCAAAGAATATGAAGGAGCATAAGGAAGATAGGTCTGGAGGGGCTTCCTCCCATCCAGATAGTAGGAATGGTCTTGGAAAAAGACAGATGAGCCTAGATGACATATTTTCCAAAAAAAAGATCGCAACTGTTGTGATACCAAGTAAAATTCAAGAAACAGACTGGATCTGTGAAGGATGTGTCAATCCATGCGAATACTGCAAGCTAGAAGAGAAGATTGACCTGAGATGGAGAGGATATCTGAAGTCGGAGTTTGGAAAGGATTATTTCAGGGGAATCAAGAGGTTTCTCCATGGGAACAGAAATCATCTACCTCCGATTGATAAGATATTTACGTTTTCAAGCTTCTTTCCATTAGAGGCGACAAAGGTTGTTATAATGGGCCAAGATCCTTACCACAACGACAATCAAGCAATGGGATTGTCTTTTTCTGTTCCCATGGGTGTTCCCATTCCGCCGAGTCTCAAAAACATATACTTGGAGATAAGTTCTGATATTGAAGGATTTGAGATTCCTTCTCATGGAGATCTGTCTATGTGGGCCAAGAGAGGTGTGCTATTATTGAACGATGTTCTCACTGTCACAAAAAACCGACCGAATTCTCATGCTGGTATTGGATGGAGAGAATTCACAAGTAGGATTCTTCAAACTATAAATGAAAGATGTACCAATGTTGTGTTTATGTTATGGGGAAGGCACGCCCAAGCAAAAGGCAAATTCATCAGCAGGAGCAAGCACTTGGTATTGGCCTGTGGGCACCCAAGCCCTCTCAGCTCCAATCATTTTTTCGGATGCAAGCATTTTTCCAAAGCCAACAAATATCTTATGGACCATGGAAAATCTCCTATTGATTGGCAAGTATAGGAGTTAAGATTTGAATAAACAAAATAAATCTAGAAACATTAGTAAACTAGGCGAATTAATTTATTCGAGATCCTTCTTCCCAGAGAAAAGATCAAGATCAATTGGAGATGAAGTCTGAATGGATTGATTGTATTTTCGATTTAGATATATAACCGAGAATATCCAGATGGGTGATATTATCAACCACATGCCTAGAGTAATGGGTGCTGCAGCCCTTACGTCGTTGTATCCCATTAAAGACCAAAACATTGCATAGAGAGACCCTATTGACTTCCCAAGCTTTCCACAAAGCCCATCGTAAACTGCCTTCAACCTAGGCCTGTATAATGGATCAATTTGAAGTGAAATGGCTTCTTTTGAAATGTCATAAAAGGCATACTTCGCTATCTTCATTCCGCTCACACAATAAATCCCTATATTGCATTCTAAATAGAAATTCGGGGTATATCCTTTGACTAAAGAAGAAAGAACAACCCCTGTCTTCCCAGGTGGGTAATTTGAATAGTTAAAGAATGCTGATCCAAATACCACTATAGAAGATACCAATGTAACCAATGGAGGTACAATGGCCATAGTTATCCATCCATGTGTCTGCACAAGGGTAGATATGGGTGTCAGCAAAATTATTGCAACTAAGGCACCAACAACCCGTTGTTCTCCGGATACAATGGAGGCAGAATATGCTCTCTTTTCCATGTTATAGGCATCTGCAGCAACACTTATACCATTCTTCCACGAAGATTCGATGAGATTTGTACCTGCATAATAGAAGAGGGCATTCAAAACCATAGCAACCAAAAACTTGGATTGCGCCATCAGCTTCAAACTCTCAGAAAACCCAGCCGAAGATTTCTTTCCCTTCTTCTTAACTCCTTCTGTTCTTATGAATAGCTGTTTCTTAAGGATAGTGTTTTCCGCATACTTCTTGACTAGGTAAGTAATGGCTATAATAACTCCAAATATAACAAAGAAAGAGTTTGTAACCCAGCTCGTAGTGTCATAGTCCCATTCCTTTACCTTCCTTGAATAGAAAGATGTCGATTCAGATGACAGAAGAAGAAGAATGTTGGAAACAACGTAAAACAACGGTACCATTCGTGTGGATTGTCTGACAGTAAGTGCCTCGTTTGCAAACGAAAGGAACATAAACTGTACAACTAATGACCCAAACAACTCTGCACACACATAGACAAAACTCGTGGTCCATTCATTGAATATCAGAAAAATCGCAAAGAGGAACTCAAATCCTTTGTATGCCATCTTTTCGTCTGCAAAGATATCCCTTGAAAAGTAGAATCCTGGTTGGATACTCCTTGCAAAAGGAAAAAGCACAGCCCCTGTTAGGGTATACAGAAATGAAAACGCAAGTAAAGTATAGTCAAAGACTTTCGATATTGTCCGAGTCATTAGAAGCTTCTGCACAACACCTGTAGCTATGATGGACATGGGAAGAACAAAGCATGTCTTAAGAAATGAAATGGCAACTGGCAATTGTCGAGATAAAACAAAGGAATCCTTCATCACTCTTGAAAACGAATATATGTAAGCTGAAGCTCCAAAGATAAATGCCAATGCACTCCAAAGCTTCCACTCACACCTTGCTATCCTAATTCTGCTTAGGGGCCATGTTGTGGACGAGTTTGCTTGTGCTTCAATCTCATCCTCTGTGAAAAGAGGCCTATTCTCATCTACCGGAACAGAAGATCCGATTTCACTCATTCCTTTGGGGTTGGGGTTTTCTTTTTTTATATAGGAGATGTAAAAATTTGCAGATCCTAGTAACTCTATTGCAAAATCTATTAAAACCAAAGGGTTCCCCTAGAATACTACAAGCCCCTTCTGTCCTATAATCACAGCTCATCATACCATTGAACTATAATCAATCCATCAAATAAATTCTCTGGAACCGCTATCCAATATGCCATACCAGGCCTATCCCGTATTCTTCGATCAGATATATAGAGCTCAATTATACAAGAAATGGCTTTATTTCTCCGCTATGTCTTGTAGAATCTTATCGATTTCCTTTGCAGATAAATAGCATAGGTCTTGCCCTGCTTTCAAGTAGCACACTTCAATCTCAGAGCATCCAGAATCTGTACCAATGGATTCAAGCAGTGCTCCAATGGCTACCTCAAAGAGCTCTTTGCCCTCCATATCCTTACGATAGCTCTTTTCAATAAACTTAGTCATCTTTCCGTGTTTTTCTCCTGATGCAGTGGCATAGCAAGGATATGAAATTCCAGACATATCTGTTTGATAGATCATCGGCTTCTCCCTATCAAAACCAAATATGGAAGCATTGAATGCAGCCGACCTTTCCTCGGAACTTTGAATAAGCTGTTGGATCTTATCTGCAAAAGATCTGCACAAAATATCTGGCGTCACCTCTGTTCCAAGTGAGAAAGTTTTCCTGTTTGCAACCATCTTGATCCTCTTTATAACATAATCAATGTCCCCGGGAAGCCCAGTAATCCCCACATAACATTTCTCAGATACCCTGTAGAAGCTTGTAGGGCTGGATTCTTCAAGCTTGCCCTGAGGAACTTTCTTCGATGCACAGACCACCATGTCCCTCGACTTAACAGTCACAATGGGCAGAGCATTGTTCACAGCCTCCAGGCCGTACTCAATCTGTAGCAGCTTCCCATCACTGTTGAAGATATTTGAAATCTCTTCTTGTGTTGTCATTTAGGGTGCCATATATTTCAAATTCTATAGAGCCTTGCTATGAGCAAAGTAAACCTTGCAGGGAAAACAGTCTGTCTCACTGGTGGGAGCAGAGGCCTTGGTCTAGAAATCGCAAAGGAGCTCGCAAAAAAGGGCTCCTATGTTCATGTGATCGGGAAGTCTCCTCAGTCCTTCGGCCATGAGAATATAAAATACTACCAGATAGATCTTCTAAAGGAAAAACCTGACATCACAACTCCATTCGATATTGTCATATCCAATCTTGGAACAAGTGTTGGGAATAAAAGGTTCGATGACATGGAATACAATGAAGTAATGGACATGCTGAAGTTGAATGTAGAGCTGCATTTATGGCTTCTTAAGAATGTTAGATACAAGAAGTTTGTTTTTGTTAATTCCATACTGTCACAGCAAGGCCTTCCGGAATATTCCATGTATTGTGCCTCTAAGTCATTCATCCACACTTTGAATCAGTCATTGAGAAGAGAAGGAAAAGACACAATGATAATCTATCCTTACAAAATTAACACTCCATTGTTCAGAGAGGTCAGGGATGTTTGGACACTTGATGCAAACTATGTAGCTGTAAGGCTTCTGAAAGACATAGAAAATGGTGTTAGAGAGGACTTTGTGCCCTGGATATTCAAGCCGATTATCCTGATATCAAGGATGATTCCCATGTTTATTCAGGATCGTCTCTCTAGCCTTGTGAAGAAGACATTTTATAACTCAGAGGAAAAGAATAAATAAACTACACCTTCAATACATCAGTGGATCGCTATAAAACCTCTTGGGGTCAAATGTAACCGTATCTCCATATCTTCCTATGAATATCCGGAGAATATATGCTTCCATATCCTCTGAATGTTTGCCCATATCCGTCCTTTTGGTCGGGAAGATAATCTGTTGTATAAAGAATTCTAAGATTTGCCGATCTCGAAGTACATTCCTTTTTCGTAACATTAAACAGAAACGGAGGCTTTATCTTTTTCTCTAGAACATCCACCCAGCTTATTCCTTCAAAAAAGGGGTGTTTTCGGATCATCTCTGCATCCTCTTCCATATATCCGAGCCTGTCTCTAGGAGAGGTAACTAACAACTTTGATATCAAGTTTCGGGCATGTTCATCAAAAAACTCCGGGAACCTAATTCTATTCGTCTTAATTCTTGTAATAACGGAATCCATGCCAGGTGCTGCAAACGGAGTGATACCGCCAAGCATATGGTATAATATTATTCCCATAGACCAGTAGTCAGACACAGGCCCAAACTCTCCACTGTTTGCATAATCTATCGATGCATACTCTATATTTTCCTCAAAATCTCCAACAACACAGTCTATACCGTTCAAAAAGTCGTATTTCAGCTTTATATGCCCATCGTCTCCTATCATCATGTTCTTTGGAGACAGAAATCCATAGGTGAACCCCTTTGAATGCAAGTACTGTATTGCCAGAAGTATCTCCGCCATATAGAACCTTGACACCTTTGCTGAGAACCTTCCCTCGGAACTGATCAAATTGGCAAGGTAGTTCTGGGATTGTTCAGAAACCAAGAACAGATGCTCATAGTCTTGAAATCCACATATGGTATTGATGAGAAAAGGATGTCGTATCCGAGATCGGATGTAGTATTCATTCTGTATCATGTCACACTCCCCATAGTCTATTATCTTCTTTTTTTTCATAACACGGAGGTGATAGAGCCCCCCGACTCTTTTTCTAACTTCTATAAACACAAGAAATTCCTCCCAGAATGGACCGGACCCTGTCTTTTCAATACACATTATGTCTTCCTTTCTTATCATTTTGATGGGTATATCCTTATCGGTTTTGAAGATAGTAAGATTTGAGAAGGTTGGGCCCACAAAGGCCTGGGTCTCCTAAAATAGAAGGCTTTTATTTGTACCTCAACACTCTTAGATAAATGCCTTGATACACAAGCTAAATACATATCCAAGAATAGAGCCTTCCTCCTCCTCCTTTACACCCCTGTCCTGAAGATCCATGTCCATCACCCTTTTTGCCTTTTCAAAATCTTTCTGCCTCTTCTTGTTGATTTCATTAACTCTATCTCTGTATTTCTTTTCTACATCCCAAGTAAAGAGATTTCGTTGTACAAATATACTCTTTTGGACTCTTTCATAAGCGTTATAGAAATTCTTTCCAAAGTATGTTTTCAGCGTGTCCCTGAAGTCTTTTACTCCAATAAAGTGAAGGTTATGGAGAAAGTTCAGAAGGCCTAGTAGTCCCCATTCAGGTTCTCCTTGCCACTTTTCAAGCCTTAGAATGTTTTCATTGAAATCCCTGTGATACTCACCTTCCCTTGTCGAAATTACCACAAACTTCTCTAAGGGCCTGTTCAGATGCTTGCTGCTGAACATTTTCTTGTCTTTGCAATAAACCTTGTAGGAAATACAGCCGTAAGGATCTATTCTATGCAGTAGATATCTGCTGAAGCTAACTGATGATTCAGAAACATGAACTAACTCGTATATGTGAGCAGAATGGAAAAGAAAGAGATCTGTAAATGACCTTTTGGTAACTAGGAAATCAAAGCTGAAAAACGAAAACTTCTTTTTCACAAGAAAATCCTCACAATCAAAGACAATGGTTGGCCTAGCCTGTTCCTGTGGGGGTAAGGTGGGGATGCTCATATCCCTTTCCTTTGCAAATCTGCATATCTTTTCCTTGGCTCGTCTAATATATCCTATTATACTTTGGTCTTTGAAGCCATTTGGCCTTCCAAGAATGGCTACTCCTACCCCAAAAGACAAGATCGATGATGTTATGTAAGGAAACCTTCGCTCTTCCATTCTACTCTTGAATGCTTGTAGAAACTTCTCTAAGCTCATCAAGGGTTGTGCACAGGCATTCGGATCATCTCCTCCAGAGTATCCCTATCCTGTTAACAAGATGCACTACAGATGTTCTAAAGCTCCCAACAGCGCTCTTGATCTCTTTTTCGAAATGCTCCAGCGCTTCTTTTTCGGTAATCTCCAGCTTCAGTCTATCTCTTGCAAATGAAATGATTTTGTCCAGGTCGAGCCGAAAGATCTCGTTTCGAACCAATATACACCATAGAACAAAGATCTTTCGCCATGATCTTCTTATTTGAAGAAACATCTCTCCGGACTTTGAAAGAAAATCCTGGTAAGCTAGCTCATCATTTACCAGATAATCGCGTATGGGACTAACAATCGTTATTCTATGCGAAATGGGCTTTGGTTCATTGCCAAACACATAGCTGAAATCAATATGAAAGAACCTTCCATCCTTAGCCACCATCATGTTCCCTGGATTTCTGTCTCCAACCCCCATCACATAACAAGCAACGGAGTATCCGCAGAGGGTGTCCACAAACATCTTTTTCTTTTCAAGACTTCTTCCATAATCCGAGCACTTCTCTTCTTCAATATATCTTACCAAATCGCTTCTTTTTCTGATTTTTGTAAAGTCCACCCCATCCACCACTTCCACAATTCCTTCCTCTCTACTCAGTGGTATGACTCTATAAGCAACCAGGTCAACCCCAATCAGTCTCGACATGTACTTTATTGTTTCAAGAACAAACAGGTCTTTAGTAAGGTCATCTCCCTTTTTGTACATGACTCTTGAAGTACCCCTATCCGTATCCAGAGGCACAAGGATTGGGAATGTCGATGATGGAAATATCTCAATCTCTTTGAAGACTATTTCCTTCACTGTTGTGCCAGGGTTGAACAACGAGGTGTATACCATCCCTCCTAGTCTTGAGTAGAAACGCAATGCACCATACAACTTATACTCTCTTATCCTCTTCTTCTTGGATGATTTGTGGGACGTTATGGCATAAATTCTTCTTATCTCTTCAATCAGTGCCATCTGTCCCTCCAGCATTCCTAGCATTCCATACTTAGCATCGAGCGCTAGAAAACCATTCACAACGTCTTCGTATTTATGGCTAGACCTAGCACACCCCTCACGAAGCTCAAACCTAACCTTCCAGAATCTACTTACTTGATGGCTGATGGATAGCTTATCCTCTATATCTACTTCCGAAAATGAAGGGAAGTACATATACAAGCCGTCCACCTCTTGAAGGCACAAATACTTCGCAACTGCTTTTTCTATGTCTTTATCTGAGTCTTCCAAGAGCTTTGAAACACTCTCACCAAGCGAGGAGATGTGCACTTCTTCTACCATACATCTGAAAGTACTGCTGTTCCACTCCTCCATCGATTTATATTCCTCAAGTGTTTTGGTGCCTCTAGTATATATCAGCATCTGAAACAGTATCCTTTAAGCACAAGTATTTCAATTATTAGCTTAGGTCACCCATGAAACTTGAACCAGGAACGGTCGAAGCTCTTTACAACAGTCAGACTAATAATCCGCTGTACAAGAATCCCATTCTCCAGATTACATCTCTAGGGAAATTATCAGTTGCTATTGGGGACAAGCAAAGATATCGAGTCAACCTATCTGACGGAGTAAGCTATATGAAGGGGATTTTTTCCAGTGAGCTCACACCTCACTTTGAGAAGGGGCTCGTGAGCAAATACAGCCTGATTAAGCCTGGAAGGTTTAGTGTAAGGTCAAAAGATGGCAGCGTGTACATATACATCCAGGAGATCCAGGAATACGAAGACTGTAATGTCGAGATTGGGAAGCCTGTCAACATAAGTACTGGAAATGCATCTTTTAGTGATAATCAGCCAAGCCCGGGAAATCCAAGACGTATAGAAGGGAGCAACCAGCAGCATTGTAGGCCTACAGATGAGGGGGATAAAAAAAGAGTAAGGAGAGATGCTGATGATGAAGGAGAATTTGTAGCGATAAACATGCTGAATCCATTTTACAATAAGTGGACAATAAAGGGAAGAGTGGTAGTGAAGAGTGATATAAGAAGGTTTACCAACCACAAAGGGGAAGGAAAAGTATTTAATTTTGAGATTTCGGATGGAACTGCACAAGTAAAAATAATATGCTTTTCGGATTGTGTGGACATATTCTTTCCGATAGTGGAGGTTGGAAAAGTGTACATTATCTCAAAGGGAACTGTAAAGACGGCAAACAAGCAGTATTCCACAAACCCCTTTGACTATGAAATAATCTTGGACAAAGGCTCGGAAGTTAGGTGTGCTGCCGATGATGGGTCACCTCGATATTTCTTCAACTTTGTTAAGATTTCAGATCTATCGCTCGGGAGTACCTATTGTGATGTAATTGGGGTTGTCAAGGAAGTGTACAGCCCTTCGACTGTGATGATTAGGAGCACTCAGAATGAACTCCTCAAAAGGGATGCCATTCTTGTTGATGAAAGTGGGAGTGTGAGGTTAACGTTATGGGGGCCAAAGGCTGAGATTGATATTGAAGGAGGAATGGTTCTCGGACTAAAGTCTATCAAGGTCAGTGAATTTAACGGAATCACGATATCAACTACCGGAGGATCACAGGTTGTAGTGAACCCAGATATTCCTGAGGCACATGAGCTTGCAGGATGGTATCAATCGATTGGCAAAGATATGCAGGTATCTCTCCCCCGGAAAGAAGAAAAGAGGAGATTGATACAGGAAGTCAAGGAAAACGAGCTGGCCTATTCGACGATTCAAGGGACAGTAATGTTCCTGAAGGAAGATGCACTGTGGTACACATCATGCAAGGGTGAGGGATGCAACAAGAAGGTCGCGATGGAGGAAAGTGGGAACTACAGGTGTGAGAGATGCAACATGACATATGAGGACTGTAATTACAGATATATGGTCAGTATGCATCTTGGAGATTTCACAGGGCAGATATGGGTGAGCCTCTTTGATGAGGCGGCATCAGGATTCTTTGGAATATCTGCGAGGGAGATGAAAGAGATGAGCGAAGAGTCTCCTACTGAGCTACAAACACTAATTAGAAGGATGTATTTCAGGGAATGCCTATTCAGAATTAAGTCGAAGCAGGATAGCTACAATGATGAGCTTAGAATGAGATACAGCGGATTGAATGTAATCACCCTGGATATATTGAAGGAGTCAAAAAGGCTTCTTGATGTGATTGAGAAGGTATAATTAGGGAAATAAATCATTTTGAAGCCAAAGATATTTTAGTTTATGAATAGCTGCCCACATGCAATACAAAGGCATCAACAGAATGACAAGAGAAAAAATACTTAGCTCTGAAGAATTCAAGAATATGAGGTCATTTACAGAGCCGGATGTGGTTGGAAGCATCTGCTCCCTGAATTCTATAGGGGGGCTGATCAAAGGAATACCTCACAAGTTCCTATGTCTTATTCAGAAGATGGGTGCAATCTCTATGAAGGAGGAAGTTGTTGCTACAAGTCTAGAGGACCTGAGACCTAGTGAACCCGGGCCTTTGGATTCTTCGATGAAGGTATTTCGTGGGAACGTGTACTTTATAGCAGCCTCTCTCATGTATCTGAGGCTTTCCAAGAGGTTTCATGAATACAAGCCTTTGGTTAGATCATTTCTCATGGACTTCAGAAAGATACCTATCATTGATGGACAAAACAATAAGGAGTTTATTTATCTTGATGTCTTTGCTGATGATCTGCTTAACAAAAATAGGATATTCAATGTCCATTTAAATAGAACTTGTTAGGGCTCTTGAATAGCTATTCAAGTTGCTACAAGCCGCAAACAGTCGGAGTAAATGGTTTTAATGGCTTCATATTTTCTGGACAACTCTCTCTCCGTTAAGAACAGTAGAAATTGATGCTTTCTGCTGGTCGGTCATTATAGAGACAACCTTTTCTCCATAAGACCCAGCCATGGGAGAAGAGAGTATGGAGGAGATGTATCCAAATGGCTCAAAATGATCTAAAGGCGATTCGAAGTAAATATCCTCCTCTAAGATATCCATGGCATCAAAGTCGTCATCACTTGCATCAAGGTACTCGTCTTCTTCAGAATCTGCTGAAGATGTAACAGTATCTTCATTTTCCTTCATCTGGTTTCTTAGCTTTATGGCATCAGGAAGAGAGGTAATTATTGCTACAAGAACTTTGTTAAGGCTGTGGAGGTCAAGTTCAGGAAGACTTCCTTCCTGAAGTCTACAAATCGTGCCTACGAACAGAGTGCATATCTTCTTGTCATGGACTCTTTTGAATCTGTTTTTCTGGTCAAAGAACTTTTCAAAGAACGTTTGGAAATACTTCTGTTCCCTAAGAATCTGAATAGTCTCATTTGGTCTTAGGATAAAGCAGTTCATTACAACCTCAAGTGCATAGACCATTGCCGCACTACTCTCGTCGATATTATCGCCAGACATCCCAACAGAAATAAAGAAAGATAGTCTTGAGGGTTCTTTGGAAAGAACCTCATTTCCTATGTTCAGAATTATCGACTCAATGATTCTGCACCCTCCTATGAACTCTTCATCAGAAAGGTTCTCCTCGTTACACAAGCAAAAATTTGATATTAAAGAGTAAACACTCCCTATTATGTTTGCATCCATGATGCTTGTCTTTCCATATGTTACGAAGTTGTCGATCAAATTAGCCACTTCCCATGGATATATTCCTATCTCATCAGAAGGGAGATTCAACACCATCTGGAGAAGGCCCCACATGGACCCTTCTATCTCTTTGATCATGAACACATACGCATTGAGTATGTCCAAGGCTTCGTGGTAGAAGTCGGACTTTTCCTCTTTTAGAATGAAGGAGATTACATCATAAGAGTTCACATATGAATGCCTGAGTGTAGGAGATCCTTGGTTGAGTGATAGGACGAGACTCTCCATGTTTCGAAGGAATCCAGAGACAACCAGGAGCTTGTTTTCCCCTTCATCATTCTCATTCAACAGATGTGACAAAGCAATTCTTGATATTGATCCGACAAGCTCAGGTGCATATTTTGAGATTTCATCGGGGTAGTACCCAATAATAGAGTCCAGTAATATTGCAAGGGATTCGAAATCATATATGTTTGAGAGATTCAGTATAGATTCTACTGTTTCCGGAATCAACTCCTTGAATTTTTCAGAGGCCATCTCATTGAACAAGAAAAAAGACATCGCGAGAGTACCTTCCACTCTAAGGACCTTGTGAGTAGATTTCATGAGCTTATGTGTACTGTCCAATGCCTCAAACACCAGGTTGTTAATAGGAAGATCTTCTTGTATTTCCGACAAGAAGTAGCAGGCCTGAGATTTCATAACCAATGAGTTCCCGCAAAGATATGGAATTACATGATTTATCACAACATATTCAACCACACTTCTGGCCTTCCTCAGCAGCGTTGATTTTATCTTTGTTAGCAAGAAAAGAGATCCATATGCTGGTCTTGTATTGTCCAAGGTTGGATTTTCTTTGTATTTTCCGAGAACAGAAACAAGGTAGCTGATGATTCCTTGGAATGTTTCTTGTTCCTGCTTAACTTTAGATATAATGTCGCAGAACAGTATGCTAAGTCTATTTCTCAAGTGGTTCGCAGAGTAGTTGTATTTCTCTCTCAAGTACCTGTCGGGATCATTCTCGATATCATCCTCCTCCGAGTCAGACAAGGAGTATAGTGGTAAAATGTATCCGGAAATAAGATAAAACAGATCCAACTCCATGTATCGAAAAAACTCCGAGCTGGACGTTAGTAGCACAAAAAAATCTATGGCGTACAATTCAACGTCAGCAGTATGCTCAGATCTTTCTTGGATTATCTTAAGGAACGTCGCGTATATCATCTGAAACCTGTGCATGTCGGTGATGTATTCACTGAGTTCATTGTTCTTGTAGAACTTCTTGATCCCCTTACTGCAAGCTTTGTACATAAAATACGCCGCCCACTTCCTGCTTTCAAGTAGATTCTCGTCCGCACCTTTTAAATTCAAAATTCGAAGTGATAAGTTGAATGTATATGAAAAGGTACCTATTGAAGAGAGAAAGTCAGGAATTGAGTAGCAACAGTAAGACTTGGCAAGCACGGTCATCCCAATCTTAACCATCCTATAATTCCCACACTCTAAAAATTCATATGTCTTCTCAAGGATATCCTTTCCTGCAGTGCCAAATGTTAGCTTTAGAACTCGCTCTAGATTATATTTTATCTTCTCCGCATCAAATATCCTTTCATACATGTTCAGTGCAGTGAAGATGCTGTTTAAATCAGAGCTTTTCATAAACACAGATGCCTTCTGAAATATCCCTTTCAGATCATTCAACTTCTCAGTATTGAAGATGTGCACAAGAATTGCATTGTATGCCGTTCTTGTTATGTCGTCCCCATACAAAAACAAATCCAATATGTTTTCTATAAGATACTTCCGAACTTCAGAGTACATATCGTCTTTCCATTGCTTGATTATTGTATTCTTGAAATAGATTGCTGATATTCTCCTCAGTGTAACATCGGAATCTTTCATACACGTATGCGGAAGGGACATCACAAACGTCAGATCCTTCTCCAGATTCATCAGTATGGACTCCGCTGCATTTCTCTTACCAAGATCTGCGTCAATAGTCTGCAGAAATATTTGCCGCGCTTCTTCTTTCATGAGGGGATCCCAGATATTTTTTGAAAAATTTTGTAATGTTCTTCCCAATTTCCTTGTAGAACAAGAAGATTTCCAGGACTATTCGAAATATTTTTATTGACTCCTCTCGGCCATTATAGTCGAATCAATCATGATGATCGAGGCTGCTCCATTGAAAGATGCCTTGATCATATTTTTCTTGACCTCAAGAGGCTCGTATATCCCAAGATCCCGCATATCCCGAACTCCTTCAATGCTAACTCCTTGATAGACAGACCCGTTGGCATGCTTCTTCCGGAGGTCCTGAATTATGCTGATAGTATCAAATCCAAAGTTCTTAGCTAGAAGAAGAGGAATCTTCTCAAATGCTTGTCCCACGGCTTTTGCAACAAATACTTTCTTATTCCCATATTCCATCGACTTCTCTCTAATCATCTTGGACAGCTCCATTTCAACAGATCCTCCTCCACTGACAGCTCTCCTAGTCTTTAGGGCTGTTCTGACAACACATATTGCATCATGGACAGCCCTTCCAATCTCTTCAAGAACCTCCTGTCCAGGCCCTCGGAGTATTATTGTGCATGCATTCATTCCTCCTCCTTCAAAATAGTTGTACCTAAGCTTTCCTAACTGTCTTTCCTCAAAGAGTTCACATGATCCCAAGCTGTCTTCCAAGTAGTCTGTAGACCCAAGTATTCTTCCTCCACATGACCCAACAACCCTACCAAGATCTTCCTTCGAAACCCTTCCGGCACAGAATATCCCATGCTTTGCAAAGTACTGTGTAGCATAGTCTCCTATAGATAGAGAGCTCAAAACCACATTTGCCCCGCTGTCTATTATCTCGTCCAGCTTCCTGCTGATAATGGTCCACTCAGCATTAACAACTTTCTGATACTCCTCAACTCCTCCAACCCTCATCTCAGCATTATCACGTTCGCTTTTCCACTCAAGCTCCACATTCAAACATAGAATCTTTGGATTTGAAATCCTTTTCGGCTGTTGCTCATATCCTGCATAAGTAAAGCATTTCTCAAATGCAACCCCATTCACGGCAATGGAATCCCCGATGCTTCCTCCTTGGACCTTTTTTATTCCAATGGACTCCATATCATCTACCCTCGATTGTCTCACTGCATCAACCACCATTCGTGAAAAGTGCTTCTTTTCATGTCTTATATTCTTGGAAGTAACACAGGTCTCTGCCAGCTTGTAGAGCATTTCGTCGTCAACCTCCACACTCATCTTCTCCACATGCTCAATGCATGCAGCCCTAAGCTCAGAAAGGCACTCCCTAATGGATTCAAGGTCAAAGCTGTCTTTGATGAGCGATTTCAAACAGTTCAATATTTCTGCAGTTAGAACCACAACACTGGTTGTTCCATCCCCAACCTCACTATCCTGGGATTCAGATATACCCACTAGAAGCTTTCCCACAGGATGCTTTACTTTCATATGCTTGAGTATCGTTGCCCCATCATTGGTTACCACAATCTCCTTCCCTGCAAACAGCTTATCCATCCCGTAAGGCCCTAAGGTACTTTCTAGAAACTCGGCTATTTTGATGCATACGTCTATGTTCGATACTACCTGAAGCTTTCCCTCCCGGGGATCTGCTACCTTCTCTGTCTGTACAAAAAGCTGATTCATATCTGGGCCTAAAATTTTTATGCTCGATAAAGGTTCAGAAGAAAAGCTCCTCACCGACTATGAGCCGAGGACATATCGAGAAAGATCTAAGGAACGAAGATTTAAGGATGTGGCTCTTAAAATGCCCAGAAGGCGTGGATCTCTTTTCAGAGTCGATCTCTCTAAAGTTGTAGAAGAAAAGAAGTACTTTATATTTTCAACATTTCTTAATAGATTTATCAAATGAAACTTCTTATCCAAAGCTTTTATCTATGGATTCATAAGTCGATTCTGCTGCTATATACAATGGTTTTCAAATACTCCTTGTCACAATGTCCCATGTTCTCAGTACAGAGCAGGAGATCTTTCACTCCAAACTGCCCATTCCTAGTCATCATTTCTATATGGAATTTTATCAGCTCAGGATCCCCTTCAGAAATCATATCAAAGTCTGAAGCCTCCTGACTTGCATATCTCTTGCAGTAGGCAACCTTAGTGTCTTCCATCAGAGAATGCCTCTTCCCTTCTTCAATCGTAAGTATTAACCTATTATTCCCTGTTTTCTTAGCATTCCCTAGGTAATGAATATTCTTGATCAGATAGATCTTACTTTCTTGCGATTTCTCCTCCAACATCTCCCGGATTTTCTCATTATTTTCCTTAGGCCCAGCCGATATCACAGAAGTTATCTTCATCTTCTCTTCAATCATGTGCATTGCATCATCACAGGCCAGTACCAGTGTGTAGTCAAATGGATATCTAGTCATTTCGCATAGAATATCTGTGTATCCACTCTTGGTATCCGGAAATGAGCTGGAGTAGAACGAGTCCACATTGCTCGAAATTATGTCCCTTAAAACGCTCATATCTGTATCCATAATCCTGATCCACAGGTCCTTGCAGTTATCATTACATATTTTACTACTCAATATGGGATACAATACACTCTCCACATATTCCTTATAGATTCTGAAGGAAAGCTGTACTGAATACACATTAAAAAAGCTCTCGCTTTTCTTATCAAACACCGTATTGAGGACTTCATAGACTTCTCTTTTTTTAGAATGCTGCCTGTCAATATTTCTCTCCTCTTCCAGTGCCTTTTTATGTTTATATATCTCTTCGAGTGGTGCATGCCCGACTATCAGTTCAAGGAGCCTTTCCTCAGACCTTTCCAGGTTTCCAGACTTCTCTGCTTCAAACCTCTCTGCAAACCTACAATTGTATGTATATCCCTTGTAAAAGTTTGCCCTTGAGTTCGATACCAGTATGATTGAGTGTGTGGCATTGTCCATCTGCCGCTTCAGCGCCTTGTATATATCTCTATCAAATCGATCACAGCCATAGACAATAACGTCGTTTCCATAATAGTTACAATTTGATAGAACTTGCTTATAATTCTTGTCTGAAAGGCTTGTGGAAATAAACCTTCCCGCTTTAAGGAGCCCGGAAATACTGCTCCCATGAACGAACCCGTTTCTATTGTGGTGAAGAATCCAGTCTGTGTTTGTAAGCATATACCTTATCGGGCATAAGTACTTCATTCTTTTCCATTTATCAACCTCGTCAGATAGTTCCTCTATGATCTTATTAATAAGTGAAGCTTTTTCGTCAGCAGTTGATATTTCTGTTTTTGTAGTTTCAAGCCTAAGTGTCGATGCACTATATTCATCCTTCATGGCCTCAATCATATTCTCAATATCTGCAAGCTTCTTTTCTTCTTTCTCTATCTCCCCTCTGCTTTTTTTGATACTACTGTCAAGCACCGCTATCTCCTCTTCCATGGGCAAAATCTCTGCCATGATCCTAGCATATTTGTACCTTGCCATCACCCACATGAAAAGAGACCCACAAGCTTTGCTTGCATTCTGTGCTTTCTCGTAGGTGAACAGCGGATTGGACATTAACTCCTCAAGAATATCAGGGATCGTGGTACCTTTGCAGTTCAAAACCTTGGAGACAAAATCCTCTCTTTTCACAAACTGAATCAATCTCTTCCACTCAATCTTTTCTGTATCTCCCTTGGATGCCCCTTCTACAAGCCAGAATACAGCCTCGATAGTGTTTCTGATTATTTCCGGGGGGTTTATCATCACTTTTATCTCCGATAGACTACTCTTGGGGAGCTCTTCAATACTTCTTTTTGATTCTTCCAACAGTGTTTTAGCCATTGCAAGTCTTTTATCCATCACCTCCTGCTTCTTCTGGTTTATCTTTAGTGCACCTTCCATTTCGCTTTTCCTACTCCCAATAACACTCTTCTCGTTTTCTAGCTGTTTCTGAGAAGCAATAATCTTCTCAAGTTGCCAGTCCAGTTTGGAATTGAGTTCCTGTAGATCTTTCTTCTTTTGAGATGATTCAGATCGCAATGCCCATGCCTCCTTCCTGAACTCTTCAATCTTCTGCAGTCCCTCTACTAGAAATTCTTTTCTCTTTGCCTCATTCTCTCTAAACATTCTATAAATCTGAACAAAGCTCTCTACAAGCCCGATCGCCTTACAGAAAAAGCTTGTTGTTATAACGTTCGGATGGAGACATGAAGAGGGATGCCCATCTTCCTCAACATTTATTATCGGAGAAGGCGTTTCAAGCAATATCCCTATGTTCTCAGAATCAATACACATTCCAACCTCAGACACAAGGCATCTTCTCCATCCACCTCCCTGTAATATATCCTCATTGATGGCCATATTGTAAACTTTAAGTAGGTCTATAGAATAATAAGGGGCCCTTTTCAACCTGAACATCATGCATTGGCTGAGTATATCTTTCCCAAGATCAAGCCCATTCTCTACAAGGAAGGCTGTTTGCCCATTAATCTTCTTTTCATCCTCATTTCCAACCATTTTTACATTTATCTTCATACGCCTCATACACTCTCTTATCAGCCAATGCTTGCCTGACATCTTAGGCCCTTCAATCACAATGCTATATCCTCTATGAAGAATCGACCCTACATAAGAGACATCGTCACTCTCCTTAGCTTTCTTGAACCTCCTAGTCTCAAGATCAAACTCAACCTCATTGGCTCCTTTTCCAAATATCCTTCGTATCTCATTTCGTAGGTTCGTAAGTTCTCCAAAGTAAATCTTCGATTCAAAATATACTAAGTCAACCATATCTCCATCCTCTGCACACAAATCCCCTAGTGTCTCGATGAATCCTATAATCCTCCTAAGAGAGGTATCAAGGCTTTTGTAAACAAACAGTACTACCTCTAGGATCTTTTTGGATTCCTGAAAATGCCTTGTGTCTTTAAAGATTTTCCTGATCTTCTCCTCAAATAAAAATGATATGTCTCGAGGCGCCTCCACATATATCGATCTTATATTTCTTCTTAACCTTTCTGCCATCGTGCCAGAAACAGCGTCTTCTCCTCTCTTTTCATCAATCCCACATACCAAAACCACGTCTTTCATTTCCAGCTCTCCAACTCTTCCATGTTCATTGTGTTCCCTAACCATTTCTACTAAGTTTGCATCCGTACAATCAAATCCTTCAATGTAAACTACAGATCTTGTGTCGTATACCTTTTCTCCTCTTATCCTTTTTATCCTATCCTCTCCTAGTTTTCTTTCAATCATTGAAGCTTCTAATCCTTTTCCTTCAATCACAATAACATTATCCGGAAAAACCTCTTCGATCAATGATCTCTTTCCAACCCCTGCTTCTCCTCTGATCAAGAGAGCTCTTCTGCCATCCTTTGCCAACCTTTCAATACTCTTGGCATAAAAACTTTGTTCTTCCGTTGGAATCAACTTCCTAAACGGGAACTCAGGAATTCTGCTTCCATCATACCTTACATCTCCCTCAATACTAGTGGCATCTTGCCCATCTAGCATGTGTAAAGATTCGTCCTCCTCCATATATACAAGAAATACCCTAGTCAGCGTTGCAGGCGTTAGCTTTTCCATGGATGTACTTTCAAATACAAACTTGTAGTGGTCTGGAATTCTAATTCTTTCTCCAGAGCTTAAGCACAGCAATCTATTCTCATCCAATATCGAATTGAAATCTTCAATCCAAAAAGAATCCACAATTCCATCAAATACAAACCAGCATTCCTTCTCCCTATGCATGTTTCTCCTTAAGTCTCGGATAAACTTGCTGTCCCTCCACTCCCCAGTGACATCGTCTCTCCACCCAAACACCTTACCCATATTCCTTGGGTTGTAGTGGAAACACTCTGCTTTCCTTGCATCTTGTACTGTTTTTATCAGCGTGCTTTTTCCAACACCGTTCCTACCAATAATAAGAACTCCTCTTCTGCTTTCAAGTCCATATGTCAGCACCTCTTTGTATGTGAGATCTACATTTATTTCTATTCCAAAAGTCTTTTTGATTTCCCTGGCAAGCACTCCCTTATCCTTCTTTAGAAGACATGCCATGTAGAAATAGATGATCGATTTTGTGATCTCAAATTCTTCCTTTTGTCTTGCAATCATTCGGACTGCCCTTAGCCCAAAATCATAGTGCTCCTGCTTACTCACGTTAGCTTCCACTTCGCACATCAAGCTATAAACCTTTTCAGAGACTTCCCCGCAATAGTGGTCGATGATGTCCTTCATATCAGGTGTATCGATTCTTATTTCTCCAAACACACCTCTTAGGCTTCTAGGAAGTTGGTATCGCCCCTTATATCCTATGTTCATTGTAAGAAAAAACTTTGTCCTTTCCTTGTTCGAGAGAATCAGCTCTGTAGCTCCGCTCATTATCTCTTCACTCAGTCTATTGAACTCGTCAAAGCATAAATAAGACCCAGTTAGAACCCCAGCCTCAATGACATTCCTTAGAGTCGCTAACTCACATCCCTCGTTACAGCAAAATACAAAAACAGGCTTTCCAACAAGCCTACAATAGTATTTCACAGACTCTGTCTTTCCTGTTCCACTCCTTCCATACAGAATTGCACCGCACAGGCTTCTTAGCGAGATAACTATGCTTGAAACCACTCGGCATACTAAAGACGTAAATACAATATCTGTTGGAGGATAATACTCAAAGCCATATTCTGTCCTTTCAATGGAATCCATGTAAACCACCCCATCTATCATAATTGGCTTTGGATACAACCGATTCACCCCATTTGGATACTTCTCCATTTCTCTTTCAAGCACCTTAAGCTTTGGAGTCATTTCACAGCTTTTCATGTTGAAGTACTTGAACTCAACAATGAGGTCAGAAATGATTGATGGGCATCCTTCCTCCATGCCTTCTAGACCTTTGTAAAACCAGGACTTGAGAGTGTCGCTAATCTCTTTTGAAAATATCCTAATGAAACTTGCAAGGTCCTGATCAATTCGAACTTCCTTTTCCAGCATTACCCTTTCTCCACAGCTTTCAAACCCTATAACACTCCCATTCTTTTCTATAATAGAATCTATATTGAACATCATTCTTGCTATTTCTTCGTAATAGAATCTATTGTTCAATGCCTTGATAAGATCTTCGTCAGAAATAAAATATAGCCTGGGTGTTTCTTTCCTATATCTTTTGAGAAAGGTCTTAAGCCCTCTTGATATATCATCAAGATCTCTTTTCATCTCCAGAAGCTTATCTTTAAAAGGCAAAAGGGCCTCTAGCTCGGCATCCTTGCTTCGGACAACTTCTGAAGAGTTGGATCCAAACAACCGATCAGAGAATCTTTGTCTTATCATTGAGTACTTCTTGGCTTCAAACTGGAGTAGGTCGGAAGAAAAGACGTTTGTAAACTCCAGTACTCCTCTTTGCACCTCTTCAAGACAGGATAGGAGGTCAAGACATCTACTCATTAGTAGCCTAGCATCATTAAGCTCTTCAAAGAAGAAATGTTTCTTGTTGAACCTTGATATTGAATCGTGTTCTACTAGAAGCTTGTTTATCTTATCTCCAATGGCATCTATATTTGATACAACCAGTTGTCCATCCCTGGTAAACCGTGTCTCTAGTTTCATCAAAGATATCTCCCCTCTAACCTTTTCTATGTATCTTTCGACCTCATATTCAATTCTCGAATCTGTAATTTTCTGCTCTATGTCCTCCTTGTTGAACATAAAGAAAAATTGCTTAACCTCCATCTCCACGTCGAAATATTTTTTCTTCATATATAGACTCTTTAAATGTTGTAGATAACCGCATGCTGCCGTGTAATGTCTTATCTTATTCAAAAACTCTTTGTAGTATCTTGCATGGAATCTCCCCACATCAATGAGCTTTAGGAATGAGGTGATCTGGTTGATATCCACATTGCATACCTTCTGAGACTCGTATTTCTTAAGAGAGCTGCTAAGTTTACTGAAGCTATCCCACTCACCATCCAGGACAGCTAGTTTTTCATTAAGAGCATCAGAAACTACTGGTAGTCCTACAATCTTAAGAACCCTGTTGAAGCTTTCAATCCTTTCCCCGAGCTCTTTGTATCTAGCCTTAAGGGACTTAAACACAGGCCAAAATATAAGCTCGTCCTTCTCTTTAGTTACATCATTTATCTTCTCTTCAAGATCTCTGGTTTCCTCAATCAAAGATTCTCGCCTTAATCTTATGGTGTCAAATGGGATGTCATTCAAAAACATGCTCAAAACCCTTCTATTTGCATTTAAAGCCGCGTCCCTTTCATTCCTGATCATTTCAATTGATATACTTGGCCCTCTCATCTCGTATTCAACTATAGCCTCATTCAGTTCTTCAAGAGTCTTGAATTCATCCGAGTTCAAGTACTCATCAATTAATACCACTTTAGATATCCTGTCCACCAAATCATCCTCCTTTATGTTCTTTCTCCACCATACATGATCATCTGCACTAATCTTTTCAGAGGTCAGCATGTCCCAAACTCTGGAGTTTTCTATATCCACAAACTTCTGAACTTCATTGCACACCCCCTCAAACAGCTTCATATGTTCAGAAACATCCATACTGTGTTCAAAAACAAAGAAGGGGATCGTGTTCTTAACCAGCATCTCTGTGCTTCTGTAAGAATCTCTTATCCTTATGAATCTTTCATGCAACCCTAGAGGAAGCTCTGCAATCGAGATCCACCTTAAGGTTCCCAGGCAAAGGTCGTACTTCATTACAACCGTTTCAATTATGTCTTCCACTTTGGCTTTTATCTCATAATCAGGTTTAAAACTTCGAAGAATCTCATCAAAGAAGTATCCTCCCGAAGAGGGGAATATCTTATCCAGAATCTTAAAGTATTCAGAGAGAGGAGGTTCAAAGCAATCTTCCAAATCATGCCACCCTCTGGTGCTCTTTATCCCTTCTCCTTTAACCCTATGTCTCGAGGTAAAAAAGTTGCTATCATCCTTCTTTAGTGCCTCAAGTACCGATTCAAGATACTGTGAAAACACCCTGCTCATTGATCTATTTATTCCCCGTATCACAATACTCTTTTCATAGAGCTTGAAGAATTCCAGATAAGCCTTTGGGTCAAGTGAAAATACCATTCTTTTCCGAATCTGCTTCGAAAATATTGCCTTCATTTCTTCCTTGGCTATCTTCATCACAAAGAATCTGTAGGAGTATACCCTATCTTCAAGTGCCCCCACTTTATTCATGAGATCTTCTATTTCTTTTGTTTCTTTCACGTCTTTCCACTTCATCTCTAGGATCTTCTCCATTGATGAAAATACCATATCTATTTCTCCGTAAAACAGATCTAAGTCTCCCCTCATGTCCTCTAATATCCTATTGATTGTATTGCACCCATCGTCGAGCTTTGTATAAGTAGACCTGATTCTAGATGCCAAGGCCGTTGCTTCCTGAACTTGCTGAGAATTACCAGGTGCACAATCTCCCAACCTCATGGTCGTTATATACCTGTCTAACCTCTTTAGAATGGTATATCCAAGCGAAACCTTAAATTTTCTGCCCCCCTTCTCTTTGGCAATCCTTACTATTCTTTCAGAAAGAAATTCATCAGAGAGTACCCAAATACACCATTCATGCACTGCATCCACTATATGTCTTTCCACATAGTTCTTCATCTTTCTGATTTCTGACAACTGCACCATTCCATCGCTTACCTCTCCAAAGAACAAACCTAAAACCCTATCTACTTCAATGAACATGTCATGAAGTATGAGCAGATTCGACATTCTGCTACAGGAATCGTCATACAGAGATGAAAAGCCCGTCTTTACAATGGAATTCATGTACTTAATGATCATCATTCTGCTGTTAAGTGTTCTTCTTGAAAATTCCTCAAGGGTGTTGAAGAAACGCAACATCTCCATAATCTTGCACAGTTTTGAGAACTTGTATCCATCCTCTTGGTCAAGTAGTACTGCCAGAGCCACATCATTACCCTCCAAAACAACTGGATCCATTTCATGTATCCTTTCAAAAGCTGCATTGAATACATCAGAAACAAGAATCTCTTGATTATTGAACGAAAGGCCTGACCTAACCCTCACATCGAATATATCCTTTTTCATCCACCTTACTACAGGCCCATCGTTCGGATCTCCTATCTCTGACACCATCTCCCTTAATAAGATTTTATATTCTGCTTCATAACTCTTGTTCCCAATGTTTACTTGAAAGTCCGCAAGAACCTTACCAACCCTCAAGAATGACCAGGCAAAGAGAACGATCCTCTTAATGTCTTTAAACTCGACATAAAATCTCTCCAGACATTCTCCACCCCTAAACTCATAGAACAGTGACGATTCTAAGGATCCCATTTCGGATTCTTCTTCATTCAGAGAGATTCCAAGTGAAGACATACCCTCTATGCAACGTATGAGCAGCTCTTCAAAACATCCAATTAACCCTATTGACATGTGTTCAGTCACACGGTCTACTATCAGCTTGGCTAGATGATCCATTTGCATGAGAATTAGTTTTCTGGCCATTTTTGATTGTCTCCCGATACTCTTACCAATCATCTCTATAGCAGTTATAGTAGAACTCTTGAATTCATCCAAGCTCTTTGGAAAATAGATCCCATCAAAGTCTATGTCCTCGTAGAATCCATGGAGCCTTCTTCCAAGCTCAAAATACTTGTCTGAAAATAGTAAGCTATCTAATGTTGCTACAACAACAAACCTTCTATTTCTCTTCAGAACATCATGAGCAAACCTGAATACCTCACTCTTGCTGAACTCCTTTATATAGCACATTGTCATATAGAATTTGCTCCAGAAATCCTTTTCCTCATGAAATCCGTCTCGAGTCGACACAGTAGATTCATACAGCTTTCTTACACAATCAATCCATTGCTCCCCACTCCTGTGAATGAGGTCCACCTCGCATCTTGAAACCAGCTTTTCTAGATCAAGTCCACTCCGAAGATCTCTAGCATACCTTTCATAAAGCTTGGAAACTTCCTGGGTTTCTATATTCAGGTCCAGCTTCTTACTGTTGGGCTTCTCATTTAGTATCTTAGCCAAATGCTTAGTATGATGCTCCAACAATCTAAGTGTCCTGTCTATGGAAACAGATGTTGATTCTTTCCTAATCCTAGATATAGTTGCTGGTATTATGAGGTTAGATATTGCATCTATCATGAACTCGGAGGAGCCCTTGAGAATCAGAAGGCCATCCTCGCGACGCCTGACTATACAATCAGTGTCACTTGGAACTTCGCCTTTATATACGCTTGAATGGCCATCAACGTCTATTATGCATTGGTGCAGGCCTTCAAAAGACTTCAGCTTATCTTCAATTTCATTGATCTCTCTGTGGAGTGCATTGTTTATATCCATTTGAGGGTGTGGAGTGTCTGGATATGAGGACCTTAAGAATTGATGGAAGCGCCCCTGGGAATGGATGTCCAAGGATTAAGGGAGGAAAGAGAGGCCTGCATCAGGGAAAGAGTCTTACTTGCAGACGAGATGGACTCCTTTATCGTCGGCCATATAGGAGAAATAAGAGAGGTGCTAACGATTGGAGAGGCCATTAGCAGCATGATCTGTTCGGAGGAGCTTCTAATGTTTGTTTCTTGGAGAGTCTCTAGGCTGGTAGAACTAATAAGAGACAAGAAGATAGAGGTTCTCAGTGATCTACTTGAGAAGAGAATAGATTGCAAATGTCTTGAAGATATTTTGGCTGCAGAGTACTGTTGTAAAAAGGTCTTGTCCAATGACACTATAGAATGCCCTGTGCTGGACATAGATGTGTGCATTGATGTAGTAAATGGAATTGTTGACATCAAAGGCGACAGATTCCGAAGAATCATAGTCGGCACAGACAAAGTTTTGCATAGATCGTTAGATAAGTTGTTTTCTGAGGCTTTTCATATGAAGGTTAGTAAGGAGCTGATGCTATCATACATCTTTAATGTGAAGCTAGAAATGGGACTGGAAATATTCAGAAGCCTCTATGAAAAGCCTTTGGAGGTTTTGAAGAGTTTGGCTTCTTACAAATACTACAAAGAAAAAGGAATTCACATACTTATTAAGAAAGATGAAGTACCACATCATCTCTTGGAAAGTGTAAGAGCCGAGGTTGAGAAAGAAATAGCTGGCATAATTGGCATGGAGTCTTCGGATGAGAAGAAGGTGCTCCTTATCAATTATCTGCTTGTAATGTTTGGGGGAATTGGATCAGACCTTGATCTAAGCTACTTCGATGGCAAGAAAGAAGGATACGTGCTGGATTGGAGAAAGTTTGAAAACAATACCTTTACTCAAAATACAAATATAAGCTGATAATCACAATTTCAGCATAACTTAAGAAGAGATCCATCCACACACTTACTCCTGGACCTCAGGGCTTTTTGCAGCTGCTTTTCATCGTATGTGAAAATAAACTCGTTTCCATCTATCCTCAGCATCTTGTATGCAGAAAGGGTTCCTATTATGTCATCTTCAGATATATGGGTTTCCTTCGATATATCTGCAATACTTGTCTTGCTATGCTTTGATAGGTATTCCACAATCACCTCCATCCAATATGTTCTGTAGCTGAGCAATCCAAGATCACTTAGAGGCTTTTCCGGCCCTGAAATCATATTTTCTCTTTTGCTAAGAAGATACGAGAAGTCTATCAGAATCTTTCCATATCCTTTCCTTTGTTCAAAAGGGAGAGTGAGGATGCACGCAAGATTGTATCCTTGTTCAGACATCTTCTCCTTTGAAAAGTATCCTACTATCTGGTACCCATTGTCCTCAAGTCTGCAGAGCACATAGAACATAAACACATCTATGTCATAGTAAAGTGACTTATGATCCAGAAACAACTTTGATAGTAATGATAGATTTCTGCAGTAATTCTTTTGTATGTGCCCATCACACTCAAAAAAGCTCAGGTTCCCATCCCGATATATTTCCCTTCCAGGAGGATGTCGAAGTTTGCACTGCTTTGCATGCAGAACCAAGTTATCCATTGTACTGAAGTAATACAAGCAAAACTCACATATATAAACAACATCACTCTCTGCTATTGCTTTTGGATACGGTGAGAAGTACCAGGCATCGACAAGATGATTCCGAAGCATGATTTTCTTAACATTCTTCATCTTGAACTCTTCATCTTGTGGAGGTTTTTCTAGTGTGGGCTTTTCTTCTTTCACCTCGTCCTCCTTCTCAGAGGTTTTTCTTGACTTTTCAGCCTTTTTCTTCTTTGGAACTTCTATCTGGCTTGGATCATCCAAGTCAACCATAGATCCATCAACCCATTCATCAAGTCTTCTGTTCAGCTCTACATAATGCACATAGAACTCAAGTCCAGACTTGTTTGTTCTTCTTCCCAGGATCTCTGCCTTAAACACTTCCTCGGTCCCATTTACAATCTTCTTGACAGGAACCTTGAATCCCACATAAACATCCTCGAGTCTCATAGGCTGGATGTCCGTGGCAAATTTTTAGGAAATCAGCTCTTCCCTCCAGATGAGGGATTTAAAACAAGAAGAAGAAAAGGAGGTTCTCAAAAAGCTTAAGTTCTTCATTGGTGATAACGTGCACAGGATCCTTTCTGGAGAGGACAAGCTCTTCCTTCATAACCAGCGCGTAATGCTTCTTTCAGAAAAGATGAGGGCTGCAACATCCATGATATCCAGGAAGAATCTTATCATGGCTGGGACGGTGATCGGCAGGTTTACTAAAGGCGGGAGCTTCCGACTCGGGATATCATCGCTTAACTTTCTCTCCCAATGGGCAATACACAAGATTTGGATCAAAAACAGTGCAGAGATGAACTATGTGTACGGAAACAACTCTCTGAAATCCCACATATTTCGAAGTTCAGAAGGGATCCCTATAAATGCAGGTGTCTTTGTATTCAACCAGCATGATGTTCCTCTTGGGTTTGGGATTACAGCCTTGACGCCCCAGGGCTACTCCAATGCAAAAGGCCATGCACTCGTTTTACTGAGGCAGTCAGATACAGGAGAGTACCTCCGTAATGAAGAAAAGGTGTGATTTATATAAACGTCTCCTTTACTAAAACCACTCTCTTTGGTTTAATGGGCTCTGTAGGCCTCTCATCTACATTTTATCATTATTTCTATTTGGCAGAATAATCCTGGGTGCAATGACTGCTAGGAAAGAAAAGCTTTTGAAGAAATACTTAGAAAAGAAAAGAAAGCAAAGAAGCAGAGATGAGCTATATGCACAGATAGCTGCATTGAATAAGCTCAAGGGGAATGGCTGTGACGAGAAAAAGCCTGTCCAAAGAAATCTAAAGGAGGCTAAAGAAGTTCAGCATGATATGGAGGACATCTCAACATCAGCCTCTGAAGATCTTCCATTTGATTTAAAGAATGCAAAGTCCCAGGCCATACCCAATGAAATAACATCTACTACCTGTGAAGCTACAGAAGATTTGGATGGAGAGGAGGTCATGGGCATGTACCTGTGGGATTCTCATATAAAGAATACTCATGTGCAGTCCACAGATGCTTCTGTCTCCCCCGGAGATAAGGAGATGTCGTATAGTAAAGACATTTCTGAATCCTCTGTCTCTAAGGAAGAAAACACCTGCACTGAAGAAAATGCAAGAAAAGATACTCTTAGAGAGTATGACACAAAAACTCTTGGAAACAGGAGAGAAGATATTGAAGAATTCAGAAAGACCCTGCCTATCTATTATGAAAAAGGTGAGATTATATGTGCCGTCAGGGCATCACCAATTGTTTTTGTTACCGGAGCTACTGGATGTGGTAAAACAACCCAGATCCCCCAGTTTCTTTATGAGGGAGGGCTTGGAATGGAAGGGATGATAGGTGTTACACAACCAAGAAGAATATCTGCAACTTCGATATCTGCCAGGATCAATGAGGAGGCAAATGAAAATCTCTGTGGATACAAGATCCGATATGAATCTACAGTCACTTCGGAAACAAAGATTAAGATAATGACGGATGGAGTTCTGCTCAAGGAAATACAGGAGGATTTTCTTTTGTCAAAGTACTCTGTCATAATCATTGATGAGATCCATGAAAGAAGTACCAACATCGACCTCTTGATTTCCATTATTCCTCGGATCATGAAGGTTAGAAAAGAGAGAGGGTGCGAGCTCAGGCTAGTCTTGATGAGTGCTACCGGAGATGTAGAGGAGCTCAAGGGATTTCTTGGAGACATTAAGGTCTTTGTGTGCCCGGAGAAGAGATTCCAGGTAAGCACGTTTTATGAGGAGAAGACAGAAGAGGATTATTTGAGTGCAGCATACGAGAGAATAAGAAAAATAGTTCTTTCTGGATCTGGGACTAGGAAAAAAAGAAAAATGAATGAAGGAAAGACTGACGTGATAGGGTCTGGGGTTTCCAACGACACATCTGCCTCGATTCTTGTTTTCCTCACTAGCAAGCAAGAAATATATCAGCTCAAAAATAGGCTAGAAGATTCAGGAATGGACATAACGGTGCTTCCTCTTCATTCATCCCTTTCAAAGGTGGACCAAGAGGCTGTGTTTATCAAAACAGTCAATAGAAAGGTAGTTCTTGCCACCAATATTGCGGAGACAAGTATTACCATAGCAGACATTGTCTTTGTAATTGATTCTGGAAAGGTTAAGAACAAAACAGTAGACTCGGAGGGTGTTACAAGATATTCGGTAGACTTCATCACAAAGTCCAATGCAATTCAAAGAATGGGGAGGGCTGGAAGGACTGGCCCAGGGATATGCTATAGGCTGTATTCTGGAGAAGCCTACGAGAAGTTCTATGAATCCCCAGCGCCACAGATTTTAAGAGAGCCTCTTGACAATGTTGTTTTGAATCTCATGTCTCTGGGAATCAGAAATGCACAAGCGTTCCCGTTTTTATCAAAGCCAAGGAAGACATCCATAGATGATGCCATTACACGTCTTCAGGGTCTGGGCGCTGTTGATGAGAACTTAAATCTGACGGACATAGGAAAGAAGATGTCAAGGTATCCCATAGAGCCTCGATTGGCGAGACTGCTTTGCACGCAAGGCCTTGAAGACATATTTACAGAGATCCTTGCTCTTATCAGCTTGATCTCATCTGGCACCGAAATAAAAAAGAATCGTAGCAACAAGAAGTACTTTGAAGGTTCAAAAAGTGATCTTCTTGTCCAGTTAGGTATATACAACGATTTCCTGAGAAGTAAGAACAGGAAAGCATTCTGTACAGAGATGGGCCTGAATTACACGACTGCAGTTGAGACGATGAAGATGATGGGGCATCTACTAAAGCTATCTGGACGTGCAGCTGATAAGGATCCATCTCTAGATCTGTCACCTAATATATGTTTAAAAATAAGAAACATAGTGTACCGAAGCTTTGCTGACCATTTGGTAATCCCCTTATCTGGATCACATTTCTTCCATAAAGAAGAGCTTATTCCATCAAGGGATAGTATTTCTGTTAACAGCGATGATTTTGTTGTGTTTGAGACTCTAGTTTCGAGCAAAGGCAAGTTATATATGAAGAACGTTACAATTGTCGAGAAAGCCTGGTTCTGAGGAGCCCTGAATAGACCATCCACTTCAATACTAACTTTATTTCTTTCTTTTATATTTCCTTTTAGGTTTTTCTCTTTTTCTTCCGCCTTCTGGAGGTTTGGCAAACTTCGCGAACCTAACATTCCTTAGCTCAGCCATCCCGGGTATCTTCTCTAAAAAGAAAAGCTCTGCCAGAGAATCGAAGTCCAGACCTTTATAATCTAATATGTATGATGCAAAGTGTTCTTTGTATGACCTTATGTATGACACAAAAGCCTTCACGGAAAGGCTTAGGAGGTTTGAATCAATCTTACTCTTTACGTCATCATAAGAAATAGTGGGCTTCATCCTGTAGCTACTTTCCACCACAGGAATACCCTTAAGCTTTAGGAATTCTGTGTAAGCCTTTTCATTTGGCATTACAAATAGAATAGACTCTCCTTTACATCCATTCCTGGCAGTCCTACCACTTCTATGGACTATATTACTATATTCTTTTGGAACATCGAAGTGCACAACCAGGTCTACATCTCTGAAGTCTATCCCCCTTGCAGCAACATCTGTGCAAAAGAGAAGGCTATTTCCTTGGCAGAACTCTTTATAAACTTTATTTCGTTCGTCTTGGGATATCTTCCCGTGGATCTTGTATATGTTCTCAAGACCAATTCTTGAAAGTAAGCCAAAAAAGAAATCAACCTGATTGCATGTCGCAAAGAAAATAATGCATCTTCTACCATTCACAATGTCTATCAGAGCAAACAGCTTTTCCATAGGACTTAGAATAACATACTCAAGAGCAACAGGCATTGCACTATTCCCCACATTGATACTGACAGGGTTTCTCAGAGAAGCTCTCGAGAGCTTATCTACCGAGTCATTGATCGTTGCAGAAAACAATCCTGTGACCCTGTTTTTTGGAAGCTTCTTAATCAACTGCATCAGCTTCTCCTCAAATCCAAACCCTAGTAGCTTGTCTGCCTCATCAAGAACGACATGCCTGATCCTCGAGAACTTCTTTATATCCTTACTAACAATCTCCAAAAGTCTCCCAGGCGTTCCAACAACAATGGAAAACTCTCCTTTCATTCTCTCATAGTCCTTTTCTATATTCATTCCACCTATAAAGCATTCACACCTCACATCAAACAGTTCTGCCACCTCTTTAATTTGCATGGCAAGCTCTCTAGTGGGTGTGATAATCATTGCAACAACATCCAGATTTCCACTCCCTTTTCCATCATATATGCAACTGAGTATCGGAATAAGAAACGCCATGGTCTTTCCTGTCCCTGTTGGTGATTGAACCACCACATCTTTTCCTTTTAGCATCTCAGGAACACACATCCGCTGGACATCAGTCATTTCTCCAAATCCATTTGCTCCAACCTCCTTCTTCAACCTACTGTTCATACAAACATCCTCAACTCCCTTGACGTACATAAAAACTGGGACAAGCCTCAGCAAATTCAAAAATGAGAAACATTCTTAGAAACTCACAACTCCTCTCTAAAACCTTTATTATCATTAACTAGCAATAGGGTTAACCCATTTCTTCAGGATCGAATTGTATCTCTTGAAGACAGAACGGGAGATGATTCCATCCTCAACCAATAAATAACCGTACTTGAAGACTATATCCATCCTGATCTTTGGTGGGCATTCTCCAAGCCCTTGCACAATAAAGTCCATAAGCATTTCTTGCTTTTCAGTTTCTCTCATGTGACCATCGAGAATAGAGAAAAACATAGAAGCTCTTATTGTTGATCCATCTATATCATTAAAGTCTATCATTTCCACTAGGAACATCGAAAATGCCTCTATAAGATCAAGGTCAGAGGCATTCCGCACTATTCTAAGAAGAGTTATTTGCTTCACCACATCGTCCATATCCACCTTATCCAAATCCTCTCGTTCAACTATGGACAAAAGATATGCCACCACATCATCAAAGAACGATGTCCCTCTCTTGTGCTCTTGTTCCTCACCCAAATCCTCATCAATCTCCTCTTCTAGGTGGTTGTAATGAACAACTCTTCCTTCAGAGAAGACTATGTGATCCATAAAGTCTTCCTTTATCGAAACATCATCCCATATAATGCATCTATCTATGTTCCCTCCAATAAAACACCCGTGTCCAACAACAGAGTTCTTGATGAAGTGGTTCATCTTAAACTTTAAGTCACACCCAATAACCGTATTCGATATAGGCTCATGGAATTCCACATCAGGGATGTCGAAGAAAAAGTTACTCTCCACCTGTACAAAGTTTCTAAGATCCCCAGAATTATGGCATTTGAACCTGAGTAAGTCGACAGCCTTGCCTTCCCTGACATCTTCATTAAACTTAAAGTAATCATACAATGTAATAATCTCTCTACTATAGAATCCATTCATCCTCTCAATACTGAGATGTTCCACCCCTCCAAACACGTCCACATCTCCCTGCCTACAGCACATTATCTTGAGGTTGTAGGCATTGAACCCAAGAATCCCTCCAACAAGGTCTCCAAGAGTTCTGAAGTCGAAATTCTCGGTAAACAATGGGAATATTGCTGACGACACTACAGCTATTGTTGGTGATGACAGACTGGCTGTAAACTCGACAGTCCCATCACTTTCAATTGCTCCCTTGACCTTCTCGCTGTCATACTTCTCATTGACACATTTGTTATAAAAAATGACCTCACTACCTTTGAATCCATACAGGTGCGAGACCTTACTGTTGCTCTCGTTGGGATGTAAAAAAAGAGTCATAACAAAACTCTTGTCTTCCCGGTGCTTATTAACTATGCTCCGGAGTGGATAATTTGTATAGTGGTTTGCATATATGACCAGCAGTTCATCAAATTCAAACCCATTGTCATCAATATGCCTCATTAGATCCCCCAAAGACTTCCCATCACACCCAAGAGATATAATGTTCATCCTCTCATCAAGCTCAGTCCTCTTGACATGCTCCACAACCTCTTCACAGTCATTCCCAGCAAGAACAACATTGAAAAATTTCTGATCGCAAAGACTCGATAGTACATACTCAATCATAGGTATGTTTGCCACAGGAAACAAAGACAAGTTTTTCTTGAGGCTGGTCATCTCCTCAGGAATATGCTTTGTTTCGTAGAAATCACATATCAACAGCACTATTTCCCTGTTTTCTCTTATAAAGTTTTTAATGCTCCTAACTTCCATCAAATTGAAGGGCCCCGGTGTTTGCCTTTTGTTTATCGATTAGAGATCTCATTGGTTTATGGTCCATCCAAATCAGTTCCACATTCAGACATACCATTTGTGCCTTGAGCAGTCTCGTCACGTGTAGAGAATTTCATAAGGTCTTTCACCATGCTTAAGCACACCTCGAAGAGGCAGCATTCTCGTTTCCCGTTATAAACACACAAAAGATTTCCTGATAAGTTTAATCTTCATAAATATCATCTCTCCCGGTTATTCTACGCCTTTCGTAGTCTCTCCCTTATCTTCTCTGCTCTCTCAACAATATCCTCGGGAACTCCTGCCATCCTCGCAACATACAACCCATGAGAATCCCGAGATACCCCACTCATAAGTCTGTACAAAAACACAATATCTTTCCCTTTGACCACGGAGCCCATGTATCCATTGCTGACACCCTCGACATTCTCAATGATTCCATGGTAGTGCGTTGAAAATAGAACGTGGCATTCTTTCCTTTTGAGGTACTCAATAACCGCTCTGGCAATGCACTCTCCGTCTTTAGTCGATGTCCCACGCCCGAGCTCATCCATAATCACAAGCGAGTTTCTTGTCGAGTGTTTCAGAATGGTGGCTGTCTCTTTCAGCTCAACCATGAAAGTCGACTCTCCCTTTGCTAGATTGTCTCGGGCTCCTATTCTTGTGAAGATCCTATCAAAGAGAGGTGTCTCCATCTTCTCGCAGCATACATCCATCCCCATCTGGCTAAGGATTACATTGAAGCATATCGTCCTCAGTAAAGTCGACTTCCCACCCATGTTGGCGCCAGTAAGCACAAGTATCCTTTTCTGTGCGTCATAGTCGTTTGCCACAAAGTCAGGGTGTATTGGACTTGACATCCTAGAGAAACATAGCTTTGTAGAAAGGACCGGCGTTGATGCCCTATTTCGCTGGGAAAACATTGCAAACGAAAGATAACAGTCTATGTTGGCAATCTCCCAGAACATTTGGCGGAAAAAAATAACATGTGGAAGGAGTACACCTATGGCTCTTCTAAGCAATGACCCCTTGGACTGAAATATCCTTTCCTCGCATTCTATGTATCTTTCAACAAGCTTCTTTAGATCTCTGGAGTAATACCTATTTGTGTTCTTAGTTGACGACATTATGTAGTAGTCCGGGGGAACCTTTGTTTCCTTAGGCACCTCTATTTGGAATATCTCTTTTCCTATGTCTTTAAACTTTACTGATGGGGACCTTAGCCTATCCCTTTGCCTTTGTAGATATTCATTTAAATCATCCTCGATCTTTTCTTTCTCACTTATAAGATGGCATAGCTCATCTTCATTCTGTTCTCCAGGTGATATTTCGGTATCAGTCACGTCATAGACCCTACGGTGCCATGTAAGTATTTCGTCTATTTTTCGAAAGCACTCCTCAGCCTTTTCTGCAATCGCTCTTGTATTACCACAATCTCTTTCCCTCATCATGTGTCCCAAGATATTAAAAGCTTCCCTACAAGTATCAATACACCCGATAAACTTGCTTAGATCCTTCACAGCAGGGTTTCCATTGTAGAGCTTCGATAAGAGTCGTTCTCCATCCCCTATCCTTACTAACACATCCCTTAGCCTTGAGGTCTCTATCTCCTTGAACATTCGTCCCATTTCTTGCCTCCGAACAATATCATCCTTCTTTATCAAAGGTGCCATCATCCATCTCCTGAGCAGTCTTTGCCCACCGGCTGTGCTAGTAAAGTCAACAGTCTTGAAAAGGGTCTTCTCGTCCGTTCCATTATAGTTGTTCTTGAATACTTCCATGTTCCAAAGCGTAGTCTCATCAATACTCATGGCTCGTGCCTCATCCTGAAGCCTTGAAATCTTTACATTCTTTAAGGCATCCCCCCGTTGAAGTTTATCCATATAATTCATTAGATATTGGAAGCACACATACTCCCTCTCATTTGAAAACTCATACTTCTTATTTGACACACACCCTGTTTTGTCAGGCACAACACGAGGAATCCCTTCAATGCAAAAGTCTGCAATCATCTCCTTGACGTCATGCTGTGAAAGAATTGTTCTGATCTCGTGCCTGGATCTGCTGTCACAAAAAGATGAAAAATAGATCTCTCCGATGCTTGCGTCATATAACAAAACAGATGTATGGATCTCTCCACGGCAGACTTCCGAATAGCAAATGTCATCTGTCGCAACACTCATCAGATACATAGGGACCGAAGAGCTTATGTAATCCATATTGTATATCGTTCCTTGGGTAATAATCTCCTTGAGCTCCCGCCGTATTATTTTGTTTTTAGCAATTCCTCTTTCCTTACTCTTGCTCATCTCGTCTCTTTCCCGTATCTGCTTTCCAATCATGTTTTCGCTTTGATCAACCCTTGCAATCTTGTATCCATGTTCCAAAAACCTTCTGGTCCAGTAATCGAGGCTACTTTCCGGAAACCCAGACATCCTCATGTTGACTCTGTCTGTTATCCTTAGATCAAATAACTTTGCCCCAATAAGTGCATCATTCTCATATAACTCATAGAATTTCCCTTTCTTAAAGAACACAATGGTGTCAAAATGCTCTTTCTTTATATCCCAAAACTGCTTTTCAAAGGGTGTAAGCCTGTTATACTCATTCTCCGGTATCAAAAGAGTCGAAGGATCGTATCCTTCATCCCCCTTCTTCCTTCCATTCTTGTCTCTAATATCCTCCATAAACCTATACCTCCTCTCTTTATCTTCTCTTTTCTTTTCATCCCCTTCTTCTCCGCCTATTGCCTTATCATACCTTCCTTGCAATACTTCCGTATCATTCGTGCTTGCCCACTCTCCTTCATTGTTACTCTCAGGACCCAAATCTTTACACATCCTTTTACCGTCCTGACCATCCATATCCCTAGAACTATTCCTACCATTTTCCACATCAAACTCCTTCTGTGGCAATTCATCTGAACTCTTCTTCTTTCCCTTTGAAACTTCGAAGTAGTCAAACAACGTCTTCTTCCCCTTCATTCACAGCCTTCTTTCATCGAAAATTTATATAGGCTTAGGCCTTCTTATATCCATACCTGCAGCTAGAATAAGCACAATAAAAACGGTTACGGATACCAACTCCATCCTCACCTCAGAGGCATGCCCAGATAAAAGTACATTTACAGTCACGGTAAAGGTGGAAAGCAGATGCCTTCTGAACAATCCCATGATATCCTTACTGATACAGCTGTTTATGCACGGGCAGTGGTGGTCAAACTCCAGGACACACCTATTGCAAATGGAGCAATGCTTAACTCCATCACCCTTTCTTCCCAAGCATGTGTAGCAGAAGTTCTCCACCATATATTCATCCTGCTCTATCATTGTAGATACCAGCTCTTTTACCTTATCATATGTACTTACAGACCCAAATCTTGGATCAGACAGAAACAAACGGAAGAGAGTAAAGAAATATTCAAGTGCATAAACACTATGCTCACAACTTTCTTCAATCACATTACAGCCAATGTAGAAAGAATAGAACAAATTAAGGTACATGGGAGCCCTTGTTCGAGCTATTCTTCCCCAGAAGACTAGAAACATCACAATCACCCCAATCTGATACGTCCTCCCAAAGAAGAAGGACATCCCATGCATCCCTATGGAAAACCCCTCTAACCCCCATTCATTATATCTTCCTGGCACTACATTTGTTTCTAGAAACCTCTGAACATTCCTGGCGCCTTTTACTTTTGCATATGTCCACAATGTCCTATTCTTGGTATCCTTGGTGTTCACATCGGCACCATAGCTTAAAAGCAAAATCATTCCGAGGACATCGTCGAACCTAACACATGTGTGTAAAAGCCCCAGGCCACTTTTGTTTACATATCTAATATCTGCACCGTTCTCTATAAGAAACTTCATGACCTTGTAGTTTGAGTTGTAAAGCGCATAGTATAAGGGAGAACTGTCTAACACTCCTCCAACACTATTGGCAGCTCCACGGCATTCCATCATCCTCCGGCACATATCTAGATTATTATACATGGATGCCCAATGGATCAAGCCGGTTCCATCAGAAAACTTATAATTGTTTGGAACGGCCTTTAAAGACTTTGTGTTGTTTGCCATCAAGGCATCCTTGATCTCTTCATCATCCATGCAATAAACAAAGCAAGCAAATATAAGCTGCCTAGATGTAAAAAGGTTATAATGCTCAAGAATGATGGTAAGAAGGTAATAAAAAGATATTTGTAAAACCCTATGATCTATGATGAAAAGACGCTCCTGAAGGCCTTGGAACATAAGAATACTGAAGAAAGGCTGCTCTTTCCCTCCATATGCTCTGTTCTTGGTCTCCAGTACTTCTCTGAAGAAAATGGTGTCCTGGCACATACCTTTGCAAGCCCATCGTTTGTCATAGACATGTGTGAAGAAAGTGCAAAGATAACCTTTGTCGATGAAAGCTTCTCAAAGTGCTTCGGATATGTTGAGTTCTGTCTATCCCGGTTCCTTGAAAAGAGAAGGATGGTTGACTTCTACTTCCATCTCAAGATGTTCTCTCGGATGGAGAGGGGAAATGAAAGGGTTTCCGAAAAAGGCTCCAAAGACGTTTGTCATTGCGTCTACGATGGGAACTACTGCATAAATCCATCGTTCAAGGATGTGGCCGAGGCGAGCACTAATGGGATTTATAACATATATAGACACAGGTTTGAATATCATCTATACACAAAGGAGTTTATTCTTCCCATTCCTATGAATGCTTCTCCAGAGGATGAAAAATGTGTCTCCCTGGAGGGCGAGGATGTGAATGGCAGAAAAGTAAATGCAAAAATAAGCTTGAACCTGGCCAGATATTTCGGGGCAAAGGCTTTTAGCCGCGAGGTGCTCAGGGCACTTCCTCCCATGGGCTTTTATTGGAGGGGAGAAATAGGGTGTTCGGAGGTGCTTGTGCAGAAAGACCTTGCTGTATATATTGATGGGGAGTTACACAGGGATGTGGCCTTTCTCATGAAGCTTGGAAAGAGCCTGGATTTCTCCCTTAATTTCTTTACCAGCTAACACATGTCTTTTCCTTCTGAATGCCCTAGAATTTGAAGGTCTATAGAAAGCCACCCTAGCCGAGCCAATGCTAATTGTAAACAGGGCCCGGTTGAGAAGAAACTCCATCATAGAGCTGTGCGTGTTTCCAGACATGAATGTCCATGATACAATGGTTGAGTTGAGTAGACAAACGGACAAGCCTGTGTTCTTTGATACAGTTGGAAATCTTAGATTTGTGGCTGATGCCTTATACATTCTGAGCTACAGAAAGCTTATAAAGGCACTCCTATCGTTGAGGTCGAAGCAGGGGTTTGTGCTGTTCATAGACTCTATTTCGTTTCTTGCAGACAAGTCAATGGAAAGCCTTCAAAGAGTTTACAATGTCCTATGGATGCTGATATATGAGAATGATGCCACCGTTGTTGTTTCAAACCACTATAGAATTGCCAGTAACACAAGTGGTACCGAGTTTGTCCCCAGACTAGGGAAGAGATGGAAGATGATGGTGAGCTATAGAATAATGTATGGATATGACGGTGATAAGATTGTTACAAGAGTTTATAGCGATGAATTGTTTGAATAGACTATAAGATGAGGAAATGTGTGGAAAGGATTGGAATGAAAACTTATAAATGCTAATTCACAGAACCCCTGTATCTATTGTCTTCTGTTTTAAAAGTTGCCTATGATGAGAGCTTCTGGCTTAGGCTTGCTAGCAGGGATCAAAACCCACCCTCTGCAATGTCCATATGACGAGAACAATAGGATGTCTCTGAGGCTTTTTAGTTTAACATCTATCATTCTTCGTCCACCCTCTCCTTTCTCTTGAAGAATAAAAGGGGCATTACAGGTAACAGCAAAATGTTTTAATAGTCATCACCTCTTGTAAGAACCTCTTTTCCGTTCTCACTCAAATATATTGTATGCTCGAACTGCGCAATCCTACAGCCGTCGATGTCATTGAGAGGAGGGTACGGGATGAAAAGCCCCATCATTGTGAGCAGATTCACACTCTTCAAGGAACTCCCCTCCACCAGATTGTAATAGTCCAAATGCCTTGGACTGAAGGGGAGAGTTCCAAACGAATCCCTCACAAACTCGTAAACCTTCATCAAATCCTTGTTGTAAAGCTTCCTACTTTTATATGTGTTTAGCATGAAATGCGAACATGGAGGCCTATCGTTTATAAAGCCCTTTCCGGTTGTTGCAAATGTTTCCACTGCATAAAATGTATCTCCCGTGATCCTTGTTATATCTTTGTTGTTCACCGGTGGTATAGAAATACCTCCATGGATCTTGAACTGAGATATGGAATGCCCGTGAAGATCTGACACTGGCCTAATCGCCCATGTATTACCATCTACCACCATTTCATAACTCGAGATAACTTCATTGATGTCCCTACCTATGTCACAGACTCTTACATCTATCCCCAGTGACTTAATTCCAGTCTCAGTGCCCTCCTTGGCAGCCATCAACAGAGGCTCAAACTCTTGTTTAAATGCAATTGTAAATGCAGAATCCATTATCCTCCCGTTGGAATGTGTTCCAAAGTCGACTTTCAAGACATCATCTTCGGTTAAAATAATATCCTGGTCTTCTGGATTGACTGAGTAGTGTGCAGCACAAGAGTTCATCGACATCCCTGCAGGAAACCCTATTCCGTTGTTTCTTTCTCCCGACAGAAGTACTCTCGTGGAATCCTCTATAGACTTCACAATCTCTAGGAGAGTTATCCCTGGCCTTATGATGCTTTGCACCTTGTATCGTGCCCTTCTATGTGCCTCAGCAGCCCTGCGGGCATCTTGCAAGACATCAGACTCAGTGGCATTTTCTATTTCGGTATTCTTTGGATCAAACAGCTTTCCTTTCCTGTAAGTACCATTCTTCGGCAAAAACTCGATGGGAAGCTCTGCAGCCTGATTCATCAAAATAAATTTCATTCCATGGGGTCTAGAAATGGATAATTATCCACTTACCAGAGGTCATCAGGTATAAAATCAGTCCTTTGATAGAACTAGCATCAGCAGCACTAGCTTTTATCCATGTCCTCAGGATCAAGCCTTAAAGATATGGAACATATTAATTTATTCATCAAAGAGCTCATTCAAGACCCGTTCCGCCTCTACAACCTCTTCCAGCTTCTCATTGTATTTCTTATACCCTGTCTCCACAATAGCATCTGCAATTCTAGTCAGAGAATGGTCTTCTCCATTGTACTTACGGCAGTTGTTCTGCATAAGCTCTAAGTCTTCTAAGAACTCGTTGAACTTCTTGTACTTGTTATGCCTCACCTTTGTCTTTATTGTTGTCAAGTCAATCGGATTAGATACAATCAGAGGATAGTCGGGAAATTTCTTGGTGGATACAGGCCTATGGAATGCAACAGAATATGGAATCTGAAAGAATTGGGTGAGAAGATCAAGCATAATCTCCTGTAGATAGACCCTGGCCTTCCTCTTTTCGGCCTCAATCTTTTTCTTTGTCATCTTCGTTGCAGATGCAAACTTTGGGCAGGATTTGTTTGTTTTCATATGTCCAACCTGCCCGCAGTTCCCACATGTAAGTACCCCCTTTCTTTCCTCAGATATCCTTTTCTTTCGAGCCTTCAGGTATGCTTTTATAACCCGGGGATCTGATATCCTTTCAATCTCCACACGAGTCGAATCCCCTTCGTTGTAAGTACGTTTGATAGTTAGGAAAGTCTCATCAGATAGCATTGTCGTCTCACTTAGTAAATCTGCATTTCTCTTCTCTTCCTTGTGTCTCTGAACAATAAACGATTCATCAAATGGAATTTCCTCTATAGAACTCAGAGATCCAAGTTGCTTATTCCATATTTGGTCTATCTCTTCCTTGTATCTAAGCTGGTGCTCATTAATGATCTTTCTGTTTTCAATCTCATTTCCTCTCTTCAACCTGATCTTTCTAAAGCTAAATCCTTCTCCTATCCCAGTGGGGTCTCCAGGCCCGTTCAGCTCAAGGAGTCCTCTTCCATTACATGCATTTACAAAGTTTCTGCTAAGACACCATGGTGGAGGAACCATTTCCTCCTCGTTCTCCTCGTCATCACTCTCAACCACCATCTTGTACCCAGAGTCCTGGAGCTTTCTTTCTCCTGCCAGCATGCTCTCATATTGACATATGTTTTCTGGAGTAACAAGCTTCCTAAGATCTTCCTCTCCCAGCAAGGCAGAACTCGGTCTCAGTACCCATACGTTGTCCCTTCCTTTCTTCACACAATCTGCATATTCCTTCAGCCATTTTCTCTTGCTTCCTTCACTGAAGTAAGGAAACATTTCATCCAACTGTGAAATTCTAAGTTCCTTGTTTCCTCCCTCCTTGTTGTTGAACAAGCGGAATGCAGCAACCTTAAGTCTGTTCTTACAGAATATGTTTAGTTTCCTAGAGTGAGGTGCATAAACTTCTTCCAATGGGAACTGTTGTCCGACACAATAGAGATTGTCAATGCTCCTGTATACTAGGAACTCCCCATCTGGCGCAGATTCCGCTATACACAGATAGTCTCCAGAACTATGCTTGAAAACAGGTGCAATAAACAAATTGTTAGTAAGAGCCTGTATGGATGTCCCAGGAGCAACATCACCAAACCCAAAAAAGGGGGAAGGGTCCTCAGGATCTAGAACTGTGTATTGAGACTGATCAGGAGCATACTCATCTCTTGCATTACTTTTTCTATAGTAGATATTGAGTAGACTCACCATCCCAGAGTTCACAAGGAAGAATGGATCCTCCTCGGAATACTCAAATAACGAGAACGGGCTACCGTCCTTGACAGTTAGCTCCCCGGCCTTCTTTATGATGCTTTGGACCTTGTTTCGGGTACTCTCCAGAGCCTTGAATCTTATTCCATTTCCACTCACCGTGAACTTTGGCCTGTGGAAGTTTCTAAGCTCCTCCTTTGTGTGGTTGTTCTTGTAAAATATCGGATCTAATCTCAACGCAGGAAGAGAGTGTTGCACTCCAAACGTTCCTAAGCTGTTCTTTGCTTTTGATTCCTGCCCATAATACTTGTCAAGCGATATGTTATACTTTCCTTTCAAAGGCTTGTCTACAGAAAACACCTCCTTTTGCTTCTTCTTAGGCCTTGCCTGCTTCTTCTCGTCAGTCTTCTCGAAGATCAGGTTGGGGTCCTCCAAATAAAGAGTGAGAAATGACTTACGGCTCTTTACATCGTTTTCATCCACAATAACATACTTTTCCCAATCTTCTTCAAGAATACTATCCACTAATTCTATGGTTACGGTGTCTACTGTTTTCGAAGGCCCTGTCTTATCCGTGTCATACACTACACTGTTTTCCCATTCAACAAGGTCAAACGGGTACTTTATTTCCTCAACCTCCTCTAAGGAATCCTTGAAGGTTTTCCGCTTTGATATCTCTTTTTCAAGTTGTTTCCTCTTAAGATACTGCCTTAACCCTGTGCTTCTTGTCGAGCCGGAAAGTGCCTGGAGTGTTGTACTACTATCCCTTGCATACGTCATGCTATTCCTGAACTTAGCCTGGTCATCCACTTCATAGCTCATCGATTCATTGGGAAGTTTTCTTCCTTTGTACTTCCTAAGCTTATACTCATAAGACTTCTCGGTCACAAGCAGGTCTAAAAATCTTACGTTTGTTCCTCTCTGCCTTGAAGTCCCATCCAGACTGCCATTCTCCTCATTAGTCTCTGTCTTACTCGAGCATTCTCCAAATTCTGCTTGCATTCCCAAATGTTTGGGGCTGAACACCTTCCAATTCCGAATTGGTAGGAGAAGATGTTTTTTCAACCCTAGGCCCCTATGAGCACTGCCACACCTGCAGACATTCCCCAGGAGTATATCAATAATGAGAATCCATTTGCACATATGAAAGAGTATTCTGAGAGTCAATCCTTGGACCCAGAGGTCAGGCTTCGGCTCAATGCTTTGCAACAGATGCAGCCAAAATTTATTCCTCTTGGAATCAATGATAGAATACTCAAGGCCGAGAGGGCCGTTAAAACCAAGGCTATAGTTGAATCCCAAATAGAGAAGCTGCTCGATGAAGGGATGAAGCTTATAGATAGTACAGTCCCAGAAAGAGAGGAGGCTCTAAGGAGCAATGCTGATGATCCAAGAGTCCTTGATATCCTTATAAGTATAAGCAGGCTGAGGCTGCTGAGTAATCAGGAAAGGCTTAGGGAAAAGGTTTATTATGCATTGAAGAGCACGATCCTATCAGATACGATCACCTCTATCGACTACTCCTCATCGATAGACGAGGACCATCTTTCCGATGCAATGGAATACGGGGAATTGGTAGAGAAGTATAGCCAGACTGAAACTCCAGTATCTGCAGGAGATTAAAACCCTAACTGTATCTCTTTTCATTGAATACACACATTGATGATGTGATAAATCCTTCTAGGTGATATATACTTTTCATCCCAAATCTTATTCTCTCCTCATACTTCAAGGCTTGGTGTGAAAGCAAAAGAAATGTTTTGAAATCTTCCCCGAGAATAAGGCTACGTAGCAGTTCAATAAGAATGGTCCTGGGTGATATGCACGAGTTCAAAAGCATATACAAGCTTTTTCTTATCTCAACCAACCCTTCAGGTGTTTGGTTAGACTTGACTATACTTGAAATCCCCATGACCATTAATTCCCAATCAAGCTTCAAGTCCTTAACATTGATCTTTGGCCTTTTTGTCTCTTTGTCAATCATATTAAAACAGAATAGTTCAAGAATGCATAGGGCCCTTCTCATGTTTCCTTCAGACTCTTTGCATATCTCCTCAAGCTTTTCTTTTGGTATAGCATAGTTTTCCTTTTCTGATATCCTGCACATGTTTGATATTATATCTTCATTGGAGAAGCCTGGGATCCGAAGGAAAAAGCATCTGCTTCTTACTGGCTCTATCAGTCTTGAGAGTTCGTTGCATACTAGTACAACCCGGAGGACGCTACTATACATTTCGATGGTTCTTCGAAGTGCAGCCTGGGCTTCTAGGGTCAGCTCTTCTGCAGAGGTTATAGCAACAAGCCTGATTGGAGCTTTCTTGGCGCTCTTGAGCATTGACAATATAGGCTTTGTCTGCCCCATCTCTTTGATTATACTTTGTATAACAGCTTTGTCATGGTGGCCATACTGCGATGGAGATATCTCAACATATTCGTTGGACTCCATATATGACACTTCTATCTTCTTCGCCCCACTCAGAACTTCTACTGTTCTGATCTTCATTTCAGGGCTTCCTCCATACAGGTGGGTTACTAGACATAGAAGTGTGGTTTTCTTGCCGTGGCCCGGCCCTCCATGCAGTATCAAGTGAGGAATTGTTTCAAGAGTATAACTCTTCAAGACACTTGAAATTTTCTCCCGTCCAACTATGCTGTCAAATGATTTCGGCCTATACTTTTCAATCCATATCATCCAGGGTGTAGCGCTAGTCGGGCTTTTATTGGAAGCCGAGCATCAGAGCATTTCTAGAAGTAGATGGGCTATGTCTCTTTGAATGCAGATTCTTGTATCAAAGACTGCTTCTGGATTTCTATTTAGCAAAATATAAGGCCATGAGAGGTTTTGAGAACAACGACAGAAGACATGAAGGAAGGGAAGTTTCCGATGGATTGTTAGAGCATAATGGTGGAGAAGCTCTTAATGGGGGTAGAGAGGCGATGGGGCACATGGCCAGCCAAATACCGTACAATGAGTTTGAAACCTTTGTTGAGGATTATTTTCCAGAGGTGGATGAGGAGAGGTTTATCAAGGCTACTTCAAAAACAATAATCGACGAGGAGTGGCTCGAAGATATAGTTGAACATGAAAAGGAGTACACTAGGGAGTCTATAATCAGAGGGCTTGTGGGATGCCTTATAGACGACGGAGATGTTCTTGGAGGATGCTTGGAGGATTCTGATGAGGACGGAGATGTAGAGTTTAATGCAGAGGATTATCTTGAAGTGGAAGAGGCCTTGAGGTCCTTTTCTTCTAGGAATGTAGAGGATCTCATTAGGCTATATAGAAAGCAGGTTACTATCAACAACAAGAGAAAAGAAGTTCTTGCAAGGAAGCTAAGGGAGAGGCTAGCTTATCAAGGATACTGGATGGTGATGAGAGCTATTGATTCTGACATGGAAGGCTTACTTACCAAGAAGAAAGGAAAAAAGAAGAAGAAAGAAGGTGGAGAAGAAAAGATGAAGGAGATCCTGGAAAGGCGCAGTGAGTTTATAGAGTTGTTCAAAGATATTTCGATGTTAGAAGATGATTACAAGGATTATGAAGACCTATTTGACCCCAAAGAGAACGTGGATGCTCATGAATATGGGATAATACCATATGATTACCTTTCATAAGGAAGGGACAAGTTATCTGGAGACGAAAACTCGGCGGTGATGAAGACCCCAAGATGAGTCTAGAAAAAAAGCTAATGAAGAGGCTTGAGGGAGGGAAGTTTAGGATGCTGAATGACAGAATGTATCATGGGAAGGGGTTGAAGAAAAAAGACTTGAGACTGTACCATGAGTTGTATGATCTACAGGTGAAAAGGTGGCCTGTAAATCCTCTTGACATAATAATTGAGAAGATAAAAGAGAAGGGAGGAGATATGGTGATAGCAGACGTAGGGTGTGGAGATGCAAGGATTGCCAAGGAATTTGAGAATGTAATATCCTTGGACCTTCATCCTTCTAAGAAAGGGATAGTGCGGTGTGATATGAGCAAAAGGATTCCCTTGGAAGACAAAAGTGTTGACATTGCAGTCTGCTGCCTGAGCATGATGATTGAAAACATTGCAGTTCCTACAAAAGAGATCAATCGGATACTAAAAGAGAACGGGTATTGGTATGTAGCAGAAGTCAGGAGTAGGATACCTGGTGTAAGACTTCTAGAGAGGAAGTTTGAGGCCTTTGGGTTTGAAATCAAGCAGGTTGATGTGTCGAATGAGCAGTTTGTTATATTTGTTCTGAAGAAGGTTCTAAGCAAGAATTGGAAGAAGCTTCCCCAGATAAAGCTGATGCCATGGCTATACAAGAAGAGATAGAGAGGTGGATAACGAGGCTTGTTTATTGGACAAATCATTTGTTAGAAACACTGAAGAAGAAAACGAAGGCCGTCGAATACACCGAGTAGTATATGAAAAACAGAATCGATATGAAAATGTTTGCCGTTGACATAATGGAACATTCGCTGCAATTCTTGTATCCTGACCTCATTACAAACACGTTGTTCATGACTATGAAGAAAGCTATAAGGGTCAGGATCTTTGCAATGACATGGAGGACTTAAATTAAAATGATCACTTACCATTAATGATTCTGAAGTATAGCTTGCCTCTTCTTGCGACTGGCTTTATGAGAGACACAAATGCTGAATATGTTACCATTGATATGAGAACCTGGCCCGCATAGAAATATCTCGGGGCTATGAATATCACGAGGATCAATGCAAAGAATGTTGTGGCCTTTGAATTAATATGGTGGAGCACTTACCATTTCCAGTTTGTCTTTGACAAGCATTATTGGGGCTAGGAACTGAGTGGTTTGTTGATAGGAATGGATTGGTTTGGAGGGCTTGGCAGAGCAAAGATCACCCTTGAAAGGGTAGTGGTTGGGTACTTGAGGTAGAATGAAGTAAAAAATATTTCTGGATCCCTATGACTCGGAGGTTTACCATGACGCCGAACTCCCGGAACTCTATAAAGACGCCTATTTCTGGAATGAAGGTTGCACCATTTCCAAGATACTCTGTGGCAGGTGATGAGATTAAGAGAAGAGACATGAGGATGGTTAGAGAAAAAGGATACAGGCAGCAATGTGTTGACACTATTCTGAAGTTTCTAGTAGAGAATGGATATGATGGGCAGGTGTCGCAGAAGATTTTGCACAACCCGTCTTCAAAGGACTTCCAGAGCATATTCAAGTTTCTATATGGATTTATCGATGACTTTATGTTTTCCTCAAGATTTGAAGACGAGGTTGTGATGGTTATGAAGAACTTAAGGTATCCATATTGTGGAGAGATTACAAAGAGCCAGCTGAGTGCAATAACTCCACATACGTGGCCTGTGATTTTAAGCATGTGCAGTTGGGTGGTGGAGCTGATAGGCCATGGGGCATCTCTTCTTCAACAAGAGGAGGAGAAGAGTGTTGAAAGTTGTTTCTTTGAGTATGTCTGTGATGGATACATGAGATTCATGGAAGGGGATGAAGATGACGCTGGGCTTGAGGAGGAGTTTGAAAGGAAAGTCACCGAGATATACACTGGGATGTTCAGGGAGATTGACCGGAAGAAGGACGAGCTCGCTAGGATTGAAGAAATGATAAGTGAGTCCAGAAAGATTGCAGAAAGCAGGGGAGAGTTGGATAGAAAGAAGAAGGAGCTGACCGATGACCTGAACATGCTAATAGCCTCTGAGAAGCAGCTTGAGGGAAAGAAGAGGAAGTATCTAGGAACTATTAATAAGCTATCTGAAGACATTATGAGAATCGAAGAAGAGATCGAAGGTCTAAAAGCTCAAGAAGAAGGGCTAAGAGCACAAATAACGAAGCAGAAGATCAATCCCGAAGATGTAAAGGAAATGAATGCTGAGAAGATAGAGCTATTCAAAGAGCTTGAGAGGATGAAGCCTGAAAAGGAAGGGCTCATGAAGGAAGTAGGGGAGCAAGAGAGGGAAGCTCAGGAAAGGGTTGAAGAGGTTGAGAAACTTTTCTTTGATCTTAAGGGTCTTAGAGACGAGATTTCGCTAAGGATTGTGAAGGATGCGAAAGGAGGAATTAAGGTGATGAACGAAGTAAATGGAGAGGTGTTTGATAATGGGATATCTGATGTGATTATGGGACTTGAAGAGGAACTGAATGGCAAGAACGATGTTCTCGTGGCAGCAGAGATGAATAGAAGTATGCTTGAGGAGGCAAAGGGTGAGAAAGAGAGTGTGGTCAACGATCTAAACAGTAGGCTTAAATATTGTAGTGATAAACTTGTGATGGCTGGAAAGTTGTATTTGGAGAAGAAGGAGATATCTGAAAATGAGCAGAGAAAGAGTAAGACAGAGATGGAGCTACTTGAGAATGAGCTTCTGAAGCTCAACTTGGAATCCAATACATCCCTGCTGATGAGTGAGCAAAAGCTGCAGAAAGCCAAGATAGTTCTTGACAGAACACTTAATTCTATAAATTATGAAAGAGAGGAGATCAATAAGATGATATTCAGCTTCTACAATGCAGTGGTTGATTTGCATGGATCGATCCAGTCCCAGGTAGGCGATCTCCGGGCTTTACTCAACAGATGAGATGGCCACAGTCAATAAAGCAATGTTTCTTGATGCAAGCATACTAGCGGAGTTTTATTGTGCAATTTTTAGCCCTTTCAAAGAGGTATGAAGAATGTTAATAAGAAGCCCAGCAGAGGAAAGATCCAGAAGGGAGGGAGGCCATCTAAAGGCGATAGGAATGAAGGAAGAGGAAGGATGAACAATAAGAAAAAGGGGAGTGTGAAGGCCGGGCTGGACAAGAAGATCTTGATTGAGCCACACAAGAGGTTTCCAGGGGTGTATGTTGGAAGAGGGAAGGAGGATCTGCTGCTTACAAGAAGCTTGGTTCCTGGGACAAGTGTGTATGGAGAGAGAAGGATCAGTGTTGAGGTTGAAGGGGAGAAGGTTGAATATCGTGTCTGGAATGTCTATAGAAGCAAGCTTGCTGCAGGGATTGTATGTGGGGTTGAGAACATCCATATAGGGCCTGGAAGTAAGGTATTATATTTGGGAGCTTCATCCGGCACAACGGTTTCACATGTGTCTGACATTGTTGGTAAGGATGGGATGGTGTATGCAGTTGAGTTTAGTGAGAGGTCTGGAAGAGACCTGATTAACATGTCCATGAAGCGGGCGAACATTGTCCCTATAATAGAAGACGCTAGGCATCCGTCGAGATACAGAATGCTTGTGCCGATTGTCGACTGTATTTTCTCGGATGTTTCCCAGCCTGACCAGACAAGAATTGTTGCACTGAATGCACAGTACTTTCTGAAGGAAGGAGGTGGTGTAGATGTCTCCATCAAGGCGAACTGTGTTAATTCATCGATTCCTGCAGAGACTGTCTTTGCCGATGAAGTGAATATCCTCAGAAAGAGTAATATCAAGCCAAGGGAGCAAGTGACTCTTGAGCCATTTGAAAAGGACCATGCAATGATCGTTGGAAAGTTTGTATTGGCAAAATCCAAGGAGAAAAAATAGTTCTTCTAGCAAAAAGTTAGAAGGCGAATTAATGAGGATAGAATCAAGTCGTCATATCAAAATCTTTATTTTCGGCTAAATAAATGGCTTAAAGGGGTAACTATTTCTCACCATTTCATTGTGGCCTTCTTCTTGGCTTTCTTTTTAATATCACGAGGTTCAGCCTCAAACATTGTATCACTTTCTTCAATATCTGCAACATATCTTTTTTTCCTATTTTGCTTCTTTTCTCTTTCCACTGCTGCTTCGTTGGCCAAGTGGAACCTGTCTTTGAGTTCTGTTCCGTAGATTCCACTTTCAAGCCTTAGCATTAACTCATCTCCAATGTTCTTCTCGAAGTTGATCTTGTTCAAAGTCTTAAGTGCCCTAAGCTTCTCCCTTCTATTCATCCTCTTCTTCCTCACCATGTATTCTGTCCTTCCATGCTCCTTGAAATACTCTAACCTTCTAAGATACTGCGTGAGCTTTGAAAGTTTCTGTTTGCATTTGTGAATAATCTTTTCATCCCAGAACTCAAGGTTCTCTTCTATCTGTTTAAGAGCTTCTTCGTAGTTCGAAGACAGCTTTATCTCTTCATAAGCATCTCGAGGAATATGGACACGCTCAGGCTCTTTGACAAAAAGAGAGAGTTCTTCCCCCACCGCTCGAACCGTTGCATACTTTGAATTGGCCAGTGGACATGAAAACCGGTTGCATATCCCCGTCACATTGTTTTGGTTCCTGCACAACGTGTCCTCTTCAGTCTTCATCTTGAACGAGCAATATCCATCTCCCCCGATGTTCCTCCATATGCTCTCGTCAGACATCTATCGTGGGTACTTCCCAATGTAAATATTAACTGAATATAGACTTAAATCTAAGTCTTCTTAGTTAATACTAAGGGGGTACATATCATAGGGGCTACCCTCTCAAGTGCTTGAAGGAAAAGCCTTCAGGAAATATCTCTGTTACGCTAGAGATCCCAAACTTCTCTAAAAGCTCCCCTAACTTATTCCTGACCCGAAGATGCCCTCTATGAAGCCTTCCGTTCAGATGCCTACTGATCTTTGCATCTGTGTCACTCAGAACCAAGTTGACCCCGCATACGGTGCACTTTTCCATTCCTACTCCATTACTCTTTACATAATATGCTTCCTTGATCCTTTCCAATTCTTCCCTCACTTTCTCACATTCGTTGAAGCTATGCCAAGCCTCTTCCACATTCCCCTCCATTCCAAGCCTTTCGATGTCTTGATACATCTTATTGAACACCTCTTCCTTCTCCTGGATTTTACCAAGCAAGGAAACGTCTACCATATTCTCTGAATTTTGTTCTCTAATCTCGTCCTGTACACGAAGAGCAATCTCTACAAGCAACCTAAGAAACTCCCATTCATATTCTTCATATCTTTCTTTCCCACCCCTATTGTATTCAGCCTTGTAATACTCCTCATGGTTGTTGTACTTACATTTTCCTATGCTTTTTCTGGTGTTCCTGAACAATTCAAATGGACAGAACGAGACAAGCATGTATATACAGACATCCTTCTTTGCTGAGAATGATTTCCCAGGATCATAAATGTCCCTGTCAGGCCCAAGAAGCATGTCAAGAACTTCCCTCGCCCTATCTGTCATTAGAATAAGGGACAGTATGCTTAAAATGGAAGTAGTTTAGGGCTTGCAACCACCATGTTTGCAGAAGATTGAGCCTTCATACATTTCTCCATCCTCTAGAAACCAAATAGCCCTGCCAGAAAGCAAATAAGTAGAGGTTCTGCCATACCGTTGGCTATTAACCTGTTGGAAAATTACTTGGAGGAGGTATTATCAACCATGATCAAATCTCCACTTCTTAGTTTTACAGAGCATGAACATAAGGTTTTCTTCAAAAAAGAGATATAATCATGAGGAAGCCTTGAAGAGGTAAGATCCAGAAACCTCAGAACACCTTTAAAGTGTATGATGGTCTCATAGAAGGAGGTTCCATTAAAGATACACTCAGAAAACCCGAGACCAATCAGATTTGGGTATCTAAGATATACCGTCTTGAATGTCTTATTGTCTATTTCAGCCTGAGATACATAAAGTACTTTCAGGTTGGGGAGAGTTTCCTTCATATATTTCAAGTCTCTTCCCTCGACATGCATCATTTCTACCATTTCATAGTTGAGGCCTATAAGACATCTCAGAGCCCCCACACATCGGATGGAACTTGCAAAAGAACATAGCCTTACATCCAAGCATACGTCTTCTTCAGCAATCTTAAACCACCCCAACCCCCTTTCAATGCACAGGTCAGTAAACTGCTGAATGTCAACCTTCATATTAACCAGAACTATCCTTTTCAGTTTGGGCATCTCTCTAATCTTCTCTAGAAGCTTTTCTCTCCACCTATGGCATCCCGAAACATCGACATTCATCAATGACACACTTATTAATGACTCTATCCCAAGAATACTTACCATATCTTCATATGGTATTCTAGTGTCCTTCAGAGTTATTTCTTCTAGCACAGTGTTCACAGGGCTTTTCATCCTCACCCCCAAAACTTTAAGGAGCTTCAATTCCTTGATGCAGGTGTTGTTGATCGAGAACATATCAAAGATGGATGAGTCAACGACCCTCAATGCCCTGAGGTTAACAAAGGGATGAAGATCAATGTCGAAAGAGGCCCTTGACTCATAGAATCCTCTTCTTTCATATGACTTCTTCCACGGGGCAAGAACAGATATCTCTCTTGGAGACATATGTTTGCAGAGGACTCTCAGGCGTTTATCGTATCTTGCCATCCAGTACACCAAGTCCCAGGAAATTCTAAGCACGGGGCAAGAGATTGCCCTTTGAGTCAAACACCTCTTGCTTCTAACCTTGAGGTCTGCTATTCTCCTCATGCTCCAAGGGATTTTCTCATCGACATATTTCAGTATTCTTCCTTCTCCCCTAAGGGTGGATGAGTCCAAAAGAGTCTGGCGTAGTGGTTATGTCAATAGGGATGTTTGTGTTTCTTGTTGGTGGTATTCTTCTGATGGATAGGGCACTGATGATATCTGGCAACCTTCTGATCATCATAGGCATTTCTCTTCTGGCTAGATCCAAGATGTTTACCTTGCTGCGCCCTGAGAAGATACAAGGTATGGTGATCTTTGTAGTTGCTGTATTGTTTCTGATCTACGGGTTTCTAGCATTTGGCTTCCTTTTGGAGATCCTGGGTTTATTCCTACTTTTAAGAGATAACATTCCCACATTCAGAGCTGTTCTCAGGACTTTACTATTTGGAAAGTTGGGAAGACTTATGAGATAGATCCATACCGAATTAAACATCGACGAGTTTATTTTGCAGTTGAAGTATTGAGGTTGTTCTTATGTTTTTTCCCTCCAGGACATTCAATCTGTAAGGAAGAGTCATCTTGAAGGTCTTCTCTCAGGATCTTTAGTCCATATGTATTGAGCATTCTTATGGCATCTACCTCCTCGCGATTACATCTGTCTGCATCCCATCCATGCTTTCTTTTGAAAGTCTCAAGAACTTTTTCAATGCATCCATAAGCTTCCTTTACATCCATCAATCCAATCATCAACCTATTGCAGAGTACATCGCATATCCGGACTGCCATTTCATTATCTATACAATACTCTACTTCCTCACTGAAGTAGGAGTATTTCACAGACAAAAGCTTCTTCCTGTCTTTCTTGATATATTTAGAAAGCTTTAAGGCATTGGTCCCATAGAATCTTACAAGCCTTTTTGCAACGTCCTTTGGCACATTCAGCTTTTTTTGCACAGAGATCCAAGTGTCTTCGCCATATCCATTGGCTCCAAGTATTTGGACATACTTTGTCACACATGGTCCCTTTGGCTTCAGGGAAAACGTGCTTACAGCCAAATCTATGGCATCCTCGGCTATCTTCCTGTATATCGTCCACTTACCTCCGGTAACCGTCAGAAGCCCATTCTTCTCAGCTTGTACAAAATGTTTTCTAACAATCGAGCTTGTCTCGGAAACTTCAACATCCTTGACAAGAGGTCTTATTCCTGTCCATATGGCTGAGACTTCATCCTTTTTAAGATTTGGATTCTGGGAGGTATAGGCTCTAACCTCATGCACCAGAAACTCCAAGTCCTCCTTTGTTGGGGAAGGTGAGGCCTCGTTCTTTGACTTAACATCAGTAGATCCTACAAGAGTCTTCCCCATCCATGGCATGAAAAAGGCTATTCTGTTGTCACCCGTAAGAGGATCCAAAAACCCCATCTCCTTAGGTGCATACTCCTTTGGAATAACGATGTGTGTTCCAGAGCTTTGGATCATGATCTCCTTTGCATTGCCATCATTCATTTTTCTTAAGCCATCTGCAAAGTTCCCTGTGCTGTTTATGACCCCTGCACTCTTAATTTCAATCTCAAACCCCGTAATCGAGTCTCTGCATCTGACCCCGGTAATCTTTCCTTCTTCAGTAACCAATGAGTTTACAGATAAGTAGTTCACTGCCACTGCTCCATGATAAACTGCAGTCATCACAAGCATCACATTGTTTCGAACATCATCTTGTTGCCCATCAAAGTAAACCATTGCCCCACAAAGGTTCTTCTTGTTAACATGAGGGAATACATCTATAGCCTCTTTCCTACCAATAAAATAGCTTTTTCCTAATGACTTCAGCCCTGAGATCCAATCGTAAAGCTTGAGTCCAAGATAGTAATAAGGAATAAGTATCCTACTGTATATAGGAACCAATATCTTAATGCTATTTGTAAGGTACGGTGATATCTTGAACATGGTGCTTCTCTCGTCCAATGCCTGCCAAACCAGCCTATATTGTGACCAGTCCAAGTTGCTGACAGCACTTGCAAGGTATCTTACTCCTCCATGCACAAGTTTGGTTGACTTTGAGCTGGTTCCTGATCCAAAGTCCAAGGCCTCTACTAAGGCTACTTTCAGTCCCCTTGTTGCTCCATCAAGCGCACATCCTGCACCTGTGCTCCCCCCACCAACTATCACCAAATCAAATGTCTCCGATTCAAGTCTCTCCATCATGGCCTTCCTAGAGGGTGCCTCCCAATCCTCAGAAGGTTTCTTAATGTACTTCAGCCTTCCCATCACAAATATCTTTTTGTAGAGATACCGGGCTACCATGACCACAGAAAGAAATAAAAAAGCTAATGCAACCAGCATCACAGTCCTCATCTCTCCCGCATCTTATACTTTCTTGCATCCAATTACTTGCTGACAGCCAAGGAGACAAATAGGCCTAGCGAGACTTCTATGACTTAGTTGATGTCCCTCTATTCTATTGGTCTCAAACCCTTTTACTACAAATAAAAAAATTCTTGGGGCCTTTACATTAGATGGAAGGAGTTAGGTTTGCCGATGTACTGCAGTCCTTTGAAAAGAAAACAGAGGACGATGAGTATGTGAGTGTGGAAAGAGACTACAACGAAAGGAGAGTAATAGAGAACGATGTGAGGCGCACAGAGTTGCTAGGTGTGGATAAAAAAGACTATAAGATGGTCAAGTTTCTGAAGAAGCTGCTTTTTGTGGAGCTTGATAAGATCCCAATCAGATACACACAAGGGATGAGTGAAGTTGCATCGGTATTTGTCCTCTACTATTTCCAAGAGATTGTTGGGGAGGAAATAGCCAAAGGGATTCTTGGGGGTGGAGATCCAGAATCTCCTGGAGAAGGCAGCCCGGAGAATTTTATTGATGTCCCTGAAGACGAAAACGTGGAGCTTAAGAGGTTTCTTTCAAGACACAAGGATACAACAGCTAAACTTGGTGTTGTACTCACAAATGTGTTTAAGAGAAAGCTGGAGCCACTTGTTACCGATGATTTCAAGATATACAAGGAAAACATGAAGATATTTGTGGAGATGATGAAGAAAAGAGGTATAAAGATTCCGGAGTTAGAAAGTTATAAGTTCATGGGATCTATTCTAACATTCTTCCTGAGAAATCTTTCGAAAATAGAGGATGTCCACAAAGTGTTTGAAATAATCCTTTCATGCCCCAATACTTGCCCATTTCTGCTCTTGGTGCAGTTTTATGGCCGGATTGCTAACAACAAACCCATAGAGAATATTAACAACAATCTATTTACAAAGGTAATAAGGCTTGAAGAGGAGTTTGTTGAGACGAAGAAGAGAATTGAAAGGAAGAGGCCTGAATTTTCGAAAAGAAAGATTATAGCAGTAGGGGGAGTTATTAGTATAGTCACTGCGATTGTTGTGTATAAAATAGCAAGAAAGGAATAAAGTCTCTTTTCCAATGGACTATCTACTTAAGTTTTGTGGATAGAGGTGCAGGGTCCTACGAACTATATAAAAATCAATAAACATCCTGATTTTGAAGGCTTTGTTCAAAAACGGTCATTTAATTTCAAGTGCCTCATTGATCTCGTGTAGGAAGTACCTCTCAATAAGAGGCCTCCTCTTCTTCGCAGTCGGCGTGACAAGCTCTCCATCAGAAAAGCTCTCAAACCCCTTCCGCACCACAATAACACGAGATGGAATCTCAAGCCTCGTTATCCTCTTCTGCTTAAACAGCTTCTCCCCAGTCTCAACAACATGCCTAAGAATCTCCTCGTCGCTCTTCTTCGTCCCAGGACACACAACAATCGCAACTATCCTGTCGCTGTCAGACCTCCGTGGAATGCACACGTCATGCACAACCTCTCCGTCGCTGTACAGCATCTCAAGCTTCCCAGGATCAATGTATTCTCCCTGAGACGTCTTGAACCCATCCTTCACACGCCCAATCACAGAAAACATCCCGGTATCGGTGTCAAACATCCCAATGTCCCCAGTCCGGAGCCATCCGTCAGAAGTAAACAGCTCCAGAGTCTCAGACGGCCTCTTGAAGTACCCCTGTGTCACATTGTCTCCACGAAGCAGGATCTCCCCAATCTTGCACGAAGGATACCGTCGCCCATACTCAGACTTGAGCTCCCCGCTTATCTCCCCAAGCTTCACCTCGTTCGAGGGAAACGGAATCCCGACATTGTCGTACAAATAACAGTCCAGGGGCTGCACAATCCCAGTCCCCACATTCTCAGTCTGCCCATATCCCTGGAAAATCCTGCAGGAAAGCACAGCCTGCATGTACACCAGCACCTCCTTCTTCAAGGGCGCAGACCCGCATAGAACCTGCCCGATCCTTCCTCCAAACTCCTTGGATACCTTGTCAAACACAAGCCAGTCCAAAAGCCTATTCCGCAGCTCTCCTCTGCTCACCCTCCACTTCTTGTACCAGAGTGATGCTCGGAAAATCCCCCGTACCAGAATGTTCTTCTGCCGAACATTCTCCTCAATCTTCTCCTTAAATAGATTCAGCACCCGTGGAACAGAAATGATGAACGTAGGCTTCACTATAAGGTAGTCCTCTTTGATCTCCTTCGAATTCCCTCTGAAAAACACTATCTTGCATCCATACGCCACAGAAATGTTGACACATATCCTCTCCATCACATGCGCCAGTGGAAGGTACGACAGGTACACATCGTCTCGAGAAAGCCGCACCATCTCCCTCTCATTCGACCCCCGGAAAACCCCTGCAACTCCAGAAATAAAGTTCTTGTGGGTCAGCATCACCCCCTTGGGCTTCCCAGAGGTCCCACTTGTGTAGCATATCGTCGCAAGGTCGTCCCCGCTCGGGTACCTCTCCTTCCCAACCTCCCCAGACAGAGAGGCCGCATCCTCAAAGTAATACGTCCTGATCCCCGCATTCTCTAACCTCTCTCTGACCTCCTCGTCCCGGTCCATAAGAACCACACACGAAAGCTTCCCCCCCTTCTCAAGAACACTGTCCAGCAGCTGCCTGGCCTTGTCTGCAGACGCAACACACACCTTCATCCCGGTCTCCTCAAGAATCAGCTGCACATTCTCCGGGGAAAACGTCGAGTACAGAGGGACGTTCGTGCACCCGCACATGTAGGACGCCATCTCGGTGACTATCCACTCGTACCTGTTGACAGAGTAGATACCGACAGTGTCCTTCGGCTCTGTCATCTGCCCGATGAGCCTGGCAATGCTCTCTGCATCTTTCCAGACCTCGTTGGCAGACCTGTAGACAACCTCGCCCTCTACTATTGTTCCGTAAAGAGGGTCGTCGCCCATGTTGTTGCATCTGTTGAAGAGAAGCTCCAGAAGTGTTGTCGATCCATCGGGGGTGCATACGACGCCTCTTTGGAAGTTGACGTGCTGCACAGCTCCCTCCTCAGTAATCCTGATTCGCTTCTTCATATCCTAGGGATTCAAATTAATATTTTAATAAACTATACCATTGGAAACATTTCACAAACAACCTTCATTCAACACTAAACTTCTGAATATATCACCTTTATCTTTCGCATGCATTCATCTATCTTATCAACTACAGAAGAATCTCCAGTTACTCCATCCCTACTGATATATGCCTCCTTGCTCCCATTCTTGACCTTCACAATATCTCCATCCTTCTCAATCACAAAATAATTCTTCAAAACACTAATCAAAAGCTCCTCCTTTCCCATCTTGCTCAGCTTAACACTCTTCGTTTTCAGTCCAATCCCAGATATCATCTTACTTATAGATATCGCCAAAACATCATCTGCATAACTACTTTTCCATTCAAGCACAACCTCCTGTCCATCTAACTTAACATGGACATTTCCTATCATAAACCCAGACTCAACCTCAACAAGCTCTGAAAACCCATCCATGAGAACTTGCTTCAATAGAACAGCCGTAGAGTTATACGGAATCCTTTGTCTCTCATATATATTCATCTCCTTGTATTTAGACTCTATTAATTCATCTCTCTTGTATATCCTGATGTCGTCCTCTGTTCCTACAATAATCCCTTCAAACTCTCCTTCAACATTAGTAAATATCTTTGCTTCGTTGTCCTTAACTAGGTCAAACTCAGCCTCCTCCCCGTTTCGAAGAGTATAAAGTATCATCTCAATCCCCTTCTTCTCATTTCTTTGTTGAATAACATTCCTAAGCCTCTGCATCTCATTCATCTCGCCATGCACAAAGAAAAGATGCTTGGGTTGGCACTCCTCAATAAACTGACTGTTCTGTGTGAAATCCACATGTGCACTAAACGAAATATATTCTACAGACATGTTAAGCCGAAGCTTCTTTCCATTCAATGCTTCTATCTCCTTAGGCTCACTAAGTATCTCCTTTGCAAGTGTTCCATCTACACAATACCCAGGTATTATCACTGCATTTTTGCTGTCAGAACACCACCGCTCAAAAAGATCTCTTGAGAGCCCACTCTGGAGCATCCCGGGACTGGCCATTATTACACACGGCCCCTCATCATCAAACGAATCTATCCCCTTCAGATTCTTGACATACTTGAACGCAAAAGGATTTCGGACAAGGCTCAACTTTTGGATTCTCTCGTTCATCATCCCTATGTATGTTTGATACACCCCCATACATCTCTTTGCTAGTGCAGATGCATAATATATGGGAATCTTCTGTAACGAAGTATTCGAATTCCAGTGCTCTTCAAGAATGAGAAGTAGTTCTTGTGCCCTTCCAAGAGCAAACACAGGAAGTAGGCATCTACCACCCCTTTGAACAACATTCTGGACAATACTTGTAAACCTCCCTTCTCTTTCAGCCCTTGGGAGGTGGCACTGCACACCGTATGTAGACTCTGTTATTAATCCATCTATTTTGCATCCAGGTGACTCGGCTGCCTTAAGATGCCTATCCTCCTCTCTACTGAAATCCCCCGTGTAAAGAACTTTGCTTTTCTCTATTTCAATCAAAAACATGGCTGCCCCTAGTACATGCCCTGCATTCAGTGCTTTGACTTTAATTCCTTTCACATTAACTTCTTGGTGGTAATCAATCGGTATGATCCTGTCGTAACACTTGATCAAATCACTTTCTGTGTAAAAATCTGCATCCGACGCTGCATTAATTAGCCTGATATAGTCGTTCAGGAGCCATTTAAGAATGGCTTTTGTAGGGTGTGTCATGTAGACCTTTCCCTTGAAGCTTGTCTTCTCCGTTAGAAACGGTAAGGCAGCAGCATGATCCAGGTGGAAGTGTGTAATAAATATGGCATCAATCTTAGAAAGGTCCACAAGATCCAGAAAGGGGAGAGAGGCCACCCCAGTGTATGCAGGATGAACCCCACAGTCCAGCATTATAGTCCTCCCACCACATTCAACAATAACACACGACCTCCCAACCTCGTTTCCTGCCCCAAGAGGCATTATTTTTATCTTCTCATTCGAGAACATACCAGGGGAAGAGAGGTGGATTGAATTTCATGAAGTCTTTCCTCTTATTAATAGAATAGATATGAGGAGTCATTTATTATTAATGAAAATCGTTCCAAATGTGGATAATTAGAAAATATATAATGACTAGTAACCTAAAATTTAATGGGAAAAATCAAGTCCATGGCTATAATACCTTACTTTGCCGGTATTATAGTGCTTGGCAGTGTTATATTTGCTGGTGACACTCATGGTGTTAAGAATCTTGTACCGGGTGATCTTAAAAAGAGTGACATGTCTTCTCATTTTGAGGATATGAAGAGGCGAATCAGGATTACTGAGGAGGGAGCTGTGCAGCACGTCAACTTCCAAAGAGGCGTCGTATGCACCCCCGATGGATCGACAACACTTCTGGAGCTTCTCTTCAACAGATGCAACAACATGGGCGACGACCCTCTTTACGGAACAATAGTAGAGGGCGAGGTTGTCTACAGGTCTGCCAACGAGGTCTGGAAAGATGCAGAGAGCATTGCCAGGCTCATCGGGCAGATGACAGAGCCGAAGGACACTGTCGGTATCTACTCTGTCAACAGGTACGAGTGGATAGTCACCGAGATGGCGTCCTACATGTGCGGGTGCACGAACGTCCCTCTGTACTCGACGTTTTCCCCGGAGAATGTGCAGCTGATTCTTGAGGAGACCGGGATGAAGGTGTGTGTTGCGTCTGCAGACAAGGCCAGGCAGCTGCTGGACAGTGTTCTTGAGAAGGGGGGGAAGCTTTCGTGTGTGGTTCTTATGGACCGGGACGAGGAGGTCAGAGAGAGGTTAGAGAATGCGGGGATCAGGACGTATTACTTTGAGGATGCGGCCTCTCTGTCTGGGGAGGTTGGGAAGGAGAGGTACCCGAGCGGGGACGACCTTGCGACGATATGCTACACAAGTGGGACCTCTGGGAAGCCCAAGGGGGTGATGCTGACCCACAAGAACTTTATTTCTGGAGTTGCAGGGGTTTTCCGGGGGTCGAATGAGAGGGAGATGGTGCGGCTTTCTCGAGACGATGTGTACCTGTCGTACCTTCCACTGGCGCATGTGATGGAGAGGATATGTGTCAACATTTCTGTGGCGTATGGATGCAAGATAGTGTTTTTCAGAGGGAATTCGAAGGAGATCAAAGAGGACTACCTTATAGTGAAGCCTACGTTCATCATTTCTGTTCCACGGGTGCTGAATCTATTTAAGGAGAAGATTGAGGAGAATGTTCGGCAGAAGAACATTCTGGTACGGGGGATTTTCCGAGCATCACTCTGGTACAAGAAGTGGAGGGTGAGCAGAGGAGAGCTGCGGAATAGGCTTTTGGACTGGCTTGTGTTTGACAAGGTATCCAAGGAGTTTGGAGGAAGGATCGGGCAGGTTCTATGCGGGTCTGCGCCCTTGAAGAAGGAGGTGCTGGTGTACATGCAGGCTGTGCTTTCCTGCAGGATTTTCCAGGGATATGGGCAGACTGAGAATGTGGGGACTGGGATTGTGCAGCCCCTGGACTGTTATTTGTACGACAATGTCGGGATTCCGTTTCCCTCGAACGAGGTGAAGCTTGGGGAGATAAGCGGGGAGCTCAAGTCTGAGTATGGGCGACGGTATCCTTCGTGCAAGATTGGGGAGATCCTGCTTCGTGGAGACAATGTGACACAGGGGTACTTCAAGAGGCCGTCTGAGACTCTGGAGCTGTTTACTTCTGACGGATGGCTCCGGACTGGGGACATTGGGATGTTTGACACCGATACCGGGATGTTTTCTGTGATTGGGCGTGTGAAGGATGGGTTCAAGACGTCTCAGGGAGAATACATTGATCCTGGGAAGCTTGAGATGCTGTACAGCGACGGAGAGGTTGTGCATGACGTGTGCATTCCACGGAGGTCTGACAGCGACAGGATAGTTGCGATTGTTGTGTGTCCTGGGACGAAGAAGAGCGACGAGGAGATTCTTAGGCATGTTGTTGAGACTGGGGAGAAGCTGTTTAAGCAGAAGAGGATAACGAGGCTTGAGATTCCATCTCGTGTTATTGTGGTGCGGAAGGGGTTTGAGAGCTTTTCTGATGGAGAGCTTGTCACGCCGACTGCGAAGAAGAGGAGGCCTCTTATTGAGAGGTACTTCCTACACGAGATCAATGAGGCACTTGAAATTAAATGACCGTTTTTGAACAAAGCCTTCAAATCAGGGTGTTTATTGATTTTTATAATTTTTGCCAACCTTTCAAACCCTGAAATGGAAAATTCTTCGAATATCAACAAGAGAATCAAATCTGAAAAGGTTGGAATAGACGGGGTTAGAGGGCAAATAGAGGAATATGCCAAAACTCTCAACCTGAAGCATGTGAATGTTAGTGAGTTGATGGACAAAATAATTTCGGGATGGTGTGAGGGCATGACTAAGAAGGAAGTTGTGGACTATTGCAGTGAAACGGCAGCATCTATGATTACTAAACACCCTGAATATGGGCGAATTTCATCTAGAATCATTGTATCATACATTCATGAGGTCACTATGAATTCTTTTTCTGAGAAAATCAAGTATATACAAGAGCACAGGGGGACTATTTCTGAAGAGATGTATGGAATAATACTGGAACACAAGGAAACGATTGATGCCATGATAAACTACGAGAACGATTACCTATTCAATTATTTTGGAATGCTTACTTTGATGAAATCCTATATGATAAGGGTGGGAGATGAGATTGTTGAAAGACCTCAGGATGTATTTATGAGGACGGCTCTTCAAATCCATAAGACTAACTTTAAAAGGGTGAAAGAAACCTACGATATGCTTTCCAGGCATTACTTCACCCATGCAACACCAACTCTTTATAATTCATGCCTTAAGAATCCTCAACTGGCAAGTTGCTTTCTTATAACACCGAAGGAAGACTCTATTGAGGGTGTGTATCACACGATCAATCAAACAGCAATCATAACGAAATTTTCTGGAGGAATAGGACTTAATCTTCACAGCATTAGGGCAAAGGGGTCCGCTCTAAAGAACACCGGGGGGAAAAGCAATGGAATTATCCCACTAATCCAAGTTTTCAATGCAACAAAGAGATATATCAATCAAGGTGCAGAAAGAAGGCCTGGGTCTATAGCCATTTATCTTGAGCCCTGGCACATGGAGATATTTGACTTTTTGGATATAAGGAAGAGCACAGGACCTGAAGAATTCCGTGCAAGAGACATTTTCATTGCACTATGGGTTAATGATCTTTTTATGGAGAGGGTTAAGAATGATGAGGAATGGTCGTTGTTTTGCCCAAGCCAAGCGGTTGGGCTGGAGGATATGTGGGGAGAGGAGTTCAATGAGCTGTACTGCAAGTATGAGAAGACTATCAGTAGGACTGTAGTCCCTGCACAAAAGTTATGGAAAGCCATAATAGAAGCCCAGATTGAGACTGGAACACCCTATATGTGTTATAAGGATGCATGCAACAGACTCAGCAATCAACAGCACCTTGGGATTATTAAGTCATCGAACCTTTGTACCGAGATAGTTGAATATTCCTCTGGAGATGAAGTCTCTGTATGCAATCTTGCATCTATTTCCCTTCCCATGTTTGTCAAGAATGGAATGTTTGACTTTGAGTCCTTTAGGAATGTAGTTAGAATAATAACAATAAATCTGAACAAAGTAATAGATTCTTCCTACTATCCTGTGGAAGAGGCCAAGACATCGAACATGAAGCACAGGCCCATTGGGATAGGAGTGCAGGGACTGGCAGATTTGTTTGCAATTTTAAAGCTACCATTTGAGAGTGATGAAGCCAGAAGTCTGAACAAGGAAATTTTTGAGGCCATGTACTACTTTGCGCTGGAAGCTTCATGCGAGCTGGCTGAAAGTGAAGGCCCGTTTCCATCTTACAAGGGATCCCCAATAAGCAAGGGGATTTTCCATTTTGAGCTTGCTGGAAAGAAGGCATCGAACAAATGGGATTGGGAGGGGCTTCGGGAAAGAATCAAGAAGCACGGGACCAGGAACAGCCTCCTGATTGCGCTGATGCCAACCGCTGGAACTTCACAGATATTCGGAAACAACGAAGCATTTGAACCGTATGCATCGAATATATACACCAGGAGAACACATGCAGGAGAGTTCCAAATTGTCAACCAATATCTTATTGACGATCTTGTCAAGCTAGGGTTATGGTCCTACGAGATGAAGAATCTGATTATTGAGAATGAAGGGTCGATCCAGAATATCATATCGATTCCTCCAAAGATCAGAGAGATTTACAAGACAGCCTGGGAAATAAAGATGAGGTCTGTGATTGATTTGGCAGCAGATAGACAGGCGTTTATAGACCAGTCCCAGTCTCTGAACATATTTATAGCAAAGCCGACATATTCGCAGCTCACCTCGATGCACTTTTATGGATACCACTGTGGGTTGAAGACTGGGATGTACTACCTAAGGACAAGGCCGATAACATCAGCAATCAAGTTTACTGTGGATAAGAAACTTGCTGAGAAAACCCTATCTTCGATGAATGAGATGGATGAACCCTGTTCGATGTGCTCGTCTTGATTAAACATTATTGTTTTGACTTAGCCTTTTGACCAGTTAGTTGAATGGTTATGCCCTTGGAAGATGTGTTACTACCATTCAAGGTACCCAACCCATAGATGAATTTTTTTGAGGAAGGAGAGAGGTTGAAGGCGATTTTCGACGGCTTGGTGAAGCAGCACAAGAAGAGCAAGAGGAAGGTTGTCGATAATAAGAATGTAAGCAAGGAGATACTCCAAGAGTATGAAGAGAACAGATTGAAGTTAACGTATTTTTTCAGGATGCATTCCAAGTTTATTAGGTCAAGGAAGAACAGCGTTGGAATATTTTCGATAGACGACTTTGTCAAGGCCAGGACGGAGGAAGCAGCGATGGTTTCTTCAAAGGATGGAGTGATTGGAGAAGAGAGGGCTGTGATGGGATTTTCTATGGGAAGGCCTGTGGATTGGAATGGGGTGAGTGGTAGAGGAGGCATGAGCTATGGGACAAGTAGAGGGGAGCCATTTTATATGCAAGGTACTATTCCTCATGGAAGATGGAGAATGCCTATGGAACAAGGTGGGCCTATGTGGATGGGGCCCATGGGATATCCTATTACAGGAAGGCAAGAACGAACGCCGTTGTGGGGCCCTGCAGGTTTCCCAAGACAGAACGGAAGTATTGAAGGATTTCCCTATGCTCGACCTCATTGGATGAGATACAGAAGCTTTAATGGAGTTTATGATGACCATGGAATGTGGACGACACCTGGATCGAGGATTAATAGGCAGTACACGGGATTTGGTGTGGGAGGAGAGTGTATATATGATATGGATGGCAGATTTCCTAACGGATATGAAATAAGTAGAACCGAAGAAAGATATGGAATGACGGAAAAGATACCGATGCCTTCCTCAGCATGGGGCTCATCCAGGGGAGATGAGAGAAGAATGAATGGAATGGGGCCACCGATAGGGTGGATCGAAGGAAATCGAATGTATGGCCCATATGGAAGAAGAGAAGAGATCCCAAGGCCCGGGCCTCCGCATCTAATTTTTCCAGGTTACTCGGATTATGGAAGTGGCACCACACCTCAAACATATAAAGGAGGTAGCTCTGCAGCAGTATGCTCGTTATATCCTGAGATACCTGGAAAGAGACGGTGTTTTGGGCAATATACTCAAAATTTCACGTGCAAAGATGAGGAAATTGGGATGGCAAGAACAGAAATTCCTAAGGCCGACATCCTGGATGAGACACCTGTCTCTCTGGAAAGAAGTGAGATATATTCTTCCAACCTAGAAGATCTTTGGCGATTAGATATAATGTCAGAGAAAGAGGAGACACGAGATGTAGCAAAGAAGGATGACAGTGAAATAGCATTTTCAAAGGATTTACTGAGGAATGGCTCGGAAGGGCCTAAGGGCGAATTCTCTGATGTAAATCGTGAAGCAGATTCCGATGTGGAAACAATAGAGGATTTAATCGAGCGCAAGGATATTGATGAGGAGGTGAAGGAGTTTATCTATGAGCTTTGTGACGGGTTTGTTGACCACATCATCCATATGTCATGTGCGTTGGCTTATCACAGGAAGAAAGACGTTGTCGAATTATGTGATGTCAAGCTAGCACTAAAAACAGAAGTTGGAATTGAGGTTCCTGAGGATGATGGAGATTCGAAGGATGTGTCTTCTAAGGGCAAGGAAAAGAGATAAAGGCACGGAGAGGGTCATTAGATGTAATGGAATAAAGAATCAGGAAAGATGTTTCTTCTGATTGAAGGTATGTTTTGTTTCTAAAAAGTTTTAGCCCCCTATTTTAGAAGATGGCAACAACTAATGGTAAGAATAGCAGGCTAGCAATTGAGATGGAATCGATGTCGAGAGATCCACCGCCAGGGTGCAGTGCAAGCCCAATAAGCCCCAATGAGCTAGACAAATGGATTGCAGTGATTACTGGGCCACCTGGGTCTGTATACGAAGATGGAATATTTGAACTTTTGATAGTCTTTCCTCCGTTCTACCCATTCAGCCCGCCAAAGGTGACGTTCAAGACAAGGATATTCCATTGTAACATATTTGAGAAGAACATTTGCTTGGATATTCTAAAAGATCAATGGAGTCCGGCTCTAACAATAGATAAGATCCTTTTGTCCATAATTTCATTACTGCAGGATCCAAATTCTGATGACCCTTTAAACAAGGAGGCTGCAGATTTGTACCGAAATAACAGAGCAGAGTATAACAGGAAAGCCAAAGAATGGGTCCGGCTTCATGCTTCTAAGCACAAGTCTGAGGAGTAGGCATCCTAATAGAACAAGTAGTTCTGTTATATTAAATTGTTTTGGTTACTTCTGTGTAAGTTCATGTGATGAGATATGGGGAAGGGAGAAATCCTTGTCTGAAAACATCCCTATGATTTTCGGAGAAGCCGGGTCGTGTCTCCTTGAGGATCTTAAGTCGAGTGCCCTCAAGCCTTATAGGCATACAGAGGTAAAGGCAATACAAGGCGAGAATGAGTATCTAGACGCAAAGATGGAGGGGGTTAGGAGGCTAGCTGGAGAAGGGATATCCGAGGAGCTTTCTGTGAACTATGTCATGATGAAATATTTTAAGGAACGTAACGAAAGAATACTCAGGAGCTACAAGTTCCATCGATCTCTATCTCTTTTTGACGACTTCTTCTCTGCAAAAAAAACATCTGATATGCTCTCTTGTGAAGAGGAAGAGTACATGAGGCGATGCCATGACATCCTCGGAGAGTATCTTGAGCCCTTCAGCCACTTCGATTTCACAATTTCAACGCCTCCCATACAGTTTTTTGTACAAATAATCACACTGGAAGACTGTGGGGTGGTGATGGATGAAGGAGATCTTATAGAGCTTAAAAAAGACAGGATATACTTCATTAAGAGAAGTGCTGTTTCTCATCTAATTGGAAATGGGCTCGTACGTATCATTTAATGAATTGAAAATTATGGAAATATTTATTTAAGTCTTCCATCCATATTCTTACCAATAATTGCCACGGCCTCTTCAAACGTGAGTCCTTCTTCTCCAACAACATAATATCCTTCTTCAAAGAGGTCCTCTACCTCCTCTCTTACAACGCCGAATATTTCACATTCCACATTTTCCTTGATCTTATCCTCATCATATCCTCTTTCTTTAAGTCTTTTGTAAAGAACCTCAATGGGCGCAGTCAGCAAAAACACCAGATCGAAAGCTGTTCTCTCCACCATTCCGCAGCTGTGAGTGTCAATTATATATGATTCCTTGTCAAGGACATGCTTTTTCAAGGACTCCTTCACAGTCTTGTCATCAAATAGAAGTGACTTGTATACTTCACTGTACTCCTCATACAGATTGTTTTCTTCTATGTATCTACTTATCTCGATGTGTGGAATCTTGAACTTCTTTGATATGAATGATGAAAAGGTTGTCTTCCCCACCCCGGGTGTCCCAGTGACTAGGATCTTCATTAAGAGGAGTCTAGAGACAGTCAAATAAATTTAGCCTTTAATTCTTGATTCTACAAAGTCCTTGAACCAAATGTCCTCTTCAAACCTCTCACAGAATCTTCTTACTATATCTCCAGCGCCCTTCATGTCAAGCATGTTCAAGAGATAGAAGGATCTATATACCTCAAATGTATTGTCTCCGGATGGGAGGCAGAATCTGTTCCTTCCAAAACTCTTGAAGCCTTCAAGAAACTCATTGTGGATCTGTGTTCCCCTGATCCTATCGTTGAGTATTACACAGAGAAGCTTCATTAGAGTCTCATGGCTCGAGCCTTCTACCCCAGAGCATTTTGAAAGAACCTTAAAAGATGTCTCAAAGTCTCCACTCTTGAACGAGGACATCCCAAACTCCTGCAGCACCTCCTGCTCAATCTTTGTCTCCCCAATGGTGTCTCCCATGGTTTTATAATACTCTTTCGACTCCTTGTATCCTTGTACCCTATCAATGTAAAGAAGCTTGAACAATGGATGGTCTGTTTCCGTAGCTCTTCCTAGCTTAAAGAATTCAAACTGTAAGACTCTTCCTTCAACAGATTCTCTGCTAATGTCCGAGAGTCTCTTGAGCAGTTTGCTATAAGGGGTGATCTTGGAAGAGTCAAGGATTTCATACAGAATCTCGAGATAAAAATCAATGTTCTCCAGGAGCATGCTTCTCACTACATCCTCCTCCCCATCTATGAAACAATCAAGCAGTTCATCTATTGTTCTCATGATCTCCACTCCATCCTTGGACTTCATATAGGCCGACAGAAGAGCTATCAAAGCTTTGGCTTTCATTGTTCCGTCCTTGGTGCTGTCCTTGAACTCCTTTAACTCTTTCTTCCTCTGCTCACCATCTTTGATCACTAGTATCTTGCTCAAGTCCTTGGATATCCTTTCCTCATCATTTTTATCCTCTTTCTGGGTATCAATACTCTCCTTGGGCTCGTACCTCGACAGTAACTCGTCAATAGCTTTCTTGTGTGATCTGGTATATACCTTTGGCGACATCAAAAATTTCTTCAGAAATGGAGGAAGTGCTCTGCCAAAATGGTTCTCTACTTTCTTCACATCAGTAAGCATCTTCTTCAATTTCTTGTCAAAGGCCTTCTGATTCTCTTCCTCCTCAAGCTCCATCACCTTGCATTGCAGATCATAAAGTCTTTTTTCCTTCTTGCTTTGCTTCTCAGATTCTTCATATGTCTTTTCCTTTACTTTAGCCTTATAGTTCTCTTCCCTCTCTTCATCAGCCGACTCGAAAAATCTAGACATCAGGGGATCGCTAGATTCTTCAAAATCTGATAGGACACCCAATTCCCCAGAGTTATTTATTTTATACACACAGCCACTATAAGTACACCCAGTCTTTGTCCACAATCCCTTCCCTCATCCAGAAGTCAAGAGACCTGGAATTCCTTGTCAGAAGATCATTAAGCTGCACAAATGATACAACTAGGTCTCTTCCATTTATCTGGACCTCAGCGTGCGAAAGCGGATGGAACAATTCTACACACACATCCGGGCTTAGGCATACCCTGTCTTCAAGTTGGGGGAAAAGCCTTAAGGCATCTTCACACTTGTCATCGTCCTCACACCAATAGGAGGAAGTAATGATCCGCCCCTCGGGAGAAAGATTTTTTGAGAACTTCGAAAAAAGCTCGAGATCCCTCTCAATGATATCGAAGCACTGTAGGTTCTTGTGAAGTCTGTCTCTGAGCACATTCAGGATCTTCTTTTTTGGGTCCTGGTGAAGAACTAGAGATTTCACAAAGTACTTCTTATACCTCTCCAGAAGATTAGGCATAAGATCAAGAAAAAAGCTCAATATGTCAGATGTCTTCAGCCCAGGATACCACGAAAAAAGCTCATCCTCTATCACATCCATGCTTTCTATATGGTCTACTATGCATTCAAAGAGATCATCTCTCTTAATGAGCTCCTCCTTGATTCTTTCAAGCTTCCTGATTATCTTTTTGTCGATGTTCCTGAACGACTCGGAAACTGCAAATAAAATGTTCCTTGTACTCATGCTTCTTATTTTCAAGCTGAGCACCCCAGGCTTTGTGCTCTTCTTCGCATGCTTAGAAGTGCTCATCGAAACAAGATTTGGAATATAACTGATTCTCTTGCTTTTAAGGCTCTCACTATGTGCTGCCTCCATTGTTTCTTTGTCAAACTTCTTCATCCTTCTCACAGCTTCTCTATCTCTTTCGATTTCCTCCATCTCAAACAAAGAATTTATAGGACTGATCAAACTCATCATTTTTCACTTGTTTTGGATGACAATAAGCTTGTAAGAAGCTTACAAAGAATATCAAAAAACAGAAGCTTACGTATGAAGGCTATCAAAAGAAGACAGTTTAATAGGTAATTATCCACTTCCCTCCAACTCTTTCGATCTCTTCCTTTGCTGACGGGGTGAAGTATCTGGCCTTGACCACTATTGGCCTTTCCAAAGGTAACTTTCCTCCAATCACAACGTGATATCCAAACTCTCTGACATCAATCACAGGCACTTTATCACTATTGTCCAAGAACTCGTATCTTTGCTCTTTTGGAATCACCCCCCATAGCCTTGCAGAGCTGATTGGGCGGGCATAGTTTGAATTCTCCTTTCTGTGATAAACTCTCATTCCCCTCTTTCCATGATAGTCCGGATGGAATCTTGTGAAGAAAGTCTTCATATGGCTGAATCCTCCAGCCAGTCCCCGGCCTCCAGAGTGCTTTCTATGCTTCCCTACACGTCCATACCCATGCGACACATGACCACGCATCTTCCTAGTCTTCTTAACCTGTTCTGCCTTTAAATTAGCTCAGACGCCACTTACCATTTCAGGGATAAAATTTTTCGCTACACAAATCCAAGTCGTTCTATGCTTTTCATCAGGTTCAGTGGTGCTATACTTTGACCCTTGGGCTGGTGCATGATGTAAGAACGTGAAACTGCTGTTTGAGTAGAATTCAAAAGCAGAGCAAGAGTACATGATAATGCACCCCACACATAAGAAGATCAAGGTCAGCATAAGACTAAGGCCGTCCATGGGAGACAAGGAGGTATGGAAGACATCTGAAGACGGCTTATGGCATGTCCATGGACAGAAGAGAGTGAAGTACAATGGGTTCAGAAGCATCTTGACAAATATGACAAATGCAGAGGTCTACAAGGAGTGTGTAAGAGAGGAGATCCAGAAGTTCCTGAATGAAGAGAACTGTACAGTGTTTGCATATGGGCAAACGGGCTCTGGAAAAACCTATACAATGCTGGGAGGAGATGAGGAGGGGATTATAAAGCTAGCCATACGGGATATTTTGGACAGGAGGCCTGTAGGGATATCATACTTAGAGATTTACAATGAAAAGCTTTTTGACCTTTCAAACAACAGCGAGGTTCAGATGTTCAACGTCGAGAACAGGAATGTGATTTCAAATCTATGGGTTGAGCATGTGGATAAATGGGAGGATGTTGCATCTTTTATTGAAAGGTGTGAGAAGAATAGAAAGTTTGGAACCACAGAGTTCAATACAAAAAGTAGTAGGTCACATACTGTAGTTCAAGTTACATACAACAGCAACAACAGAGTTAGAACACTGAACATGATAGACCTTGCTGGAAGCGAGAGGGCGAGTAGATCAATGGATAGGAGGAAGGAAGGGTCGTTTATAAATAGAAGTCTTCTTGCACTTTGCACGATTGTTAATAATGTAGGGAACGGGAAATACCTGGGGTTTCGAAACTCGAAGCTGACTCGTGTGCTTCAATCATCACTGGATGGGCGCACAAACCTGGTTGCAATCTGCACACTGTCACCTTATGAGGATTGCATTGAAGAGTCTGTGAGTACACTAAAGTTTGCAGCCAGGCTGTGCAGTCTTGAGCTGAAGATTGAGGAGACTTTGATACCCAATGATGAGAATATGAGATGTGACAGAGATATGGGAGGAAACGGTCTCAGATGCGGATTGAAACATAAATGTTGCAGGAGGTTTCATTCTGAAGCTGGTAAAGAGGCAAGAAGCATTCTGGAGAGAATGGAGTCTATGACTCTTGAGAAATGTCTTGGGTCTTATGAGTATCCGAAGATTAGAAGCAAAGAGAAAAAGGTGGACTACGATAAAGTGTGCAGTGAGAAGGATTCTATATCTAGGGCACTTAGGGCCTTTGGATCTGTGATCATGGAGAATCTCCGGTGTAAGATTGAGCTTATGGAAGAGTTGAATGCAATCAACAATGATAGAATACATCTACTGGAGAGGATGGTAGGGGAATTGCTTGGTAAGAACCCGTCCCGGAGGATGAATGAGATATTTATACTTGAAAAGTATAGATTTAATCTTCGCAGGAAGATGGTTGGAAGGAAATGATATGGGATATATTCTTACCCATGGTAATGGTGGGGCCGAAGATCAAGACGCTTCTGTTCATGAATGCAATGGTACTTATCCTGGTCTTCCATTTTCTTCCAACGATTATAGAGGAAAGGAGACTGAGTAAAAAAGTGGAGGGAATGAAGAGAAGGTTCAACCTGATGCTCAGGGAAGGAAATGAGAGCGAGGAAAAGCTTAGGATGCTGAAAGCATTGATAAACAATGCAAGGCATTACAAATACGGAGACATACCGCTTGAAGGATCTGTGGAGGAGGTTAGAAAGGCTTATGATGAACTAAGGATATGTAACGGGCCAGTTTTCCTAAGGCTTTCGAGCATATACAACATTTCTATTTTTTTTCCTGTGTTTACACCTGTGCTCATACAAAGCATAAAGATTCTAAAGCACAAGACCTGCTGATGTGAAAGAGCCAAGCTCGAAGTATAATAAATGTATATGTTCTGTGTGTCTGGAGTCTTACGATGCCCTGGAAATAATCTTTAGACAAAGAAGAAAATGGATGACTTGATGCCCAAGGGATGAATGGCGAGGAGAGTGGGAAGGAATGTTCGATGCAGCAGAAAAGACTAATGGGAGCTCTCAGAAGAAGGGATTTTCTTAAGGAGGAGATGGAAAAGATCGGACAGGATCTCCAAAAGCTAGAGGCCCACCGAAGGGTGTTGGTGGACATACTAAGGATTTGTGATGGTAGGATGGAGATAGACGTCAACAGATATAGGCCTGTTTATAAAATAGATCTCAGCCATTCGAAAGGGTTGATACACATTCCCCAAGAAAAACACCATCTAGTAATATACAATCTTGGAAAGATTCCGTCACCAAGCATGAAGCCCTTCTATAGCCAGAAGAATGTCTATCCTGTTGATTATATGTGTAAAAGGGCTTATTATGGGAAACGAGACGAGCTTCTAGCAGGGAAAAGAGAGGTTCTGTATACGTGTACAATTAGAAATGTTTGCAGCAAGCCTTTATTTGAAATAACTGAAGGGGATCTGTGCATAAGAGGGAAGGCAGGAGAGGTGTTCAATGCATTTAGAAGCCTATTTCCTGAAGGAATTGAGTTTACAAGCATAATCGAGTTTTTTGGGCTGAACAATCTGCATGTCAGGAAGCTGATTAGTGAGCAAGAAGGATTTGCAGATCTTGGGATTGGAGACAGATGGGAAAGAAGGCCCTGAGCAGGTTAGGTTGTTTTATATTAAACACTTGTGAGAATTTTTGTAGAGTATTGTTTGAGGGGCTAACCCCAAGGATGAGCCTAAATGAGATCGTCAAAGAGGCGGTAGGACTACAAAAAAAGAAGGAGGATGAGAATACATGGTCGAAGATTAATGATGTGCTCCTAAAGCTTGCTGCAAATGTTAAGTGTGCGGAGGAGGCACGAAAGGTACTTGAGAGTGCTGAGGAGCTTATTATAAGGTCGATGCAAAGCGACCGGTCAAGGCTTGCTGGAAGTGCTCTTGGGCTTCTTAAAAGTTGCATCTGTATTTTAGGGAGTGAGTTTGAAATGGCAGGGCAATATCTAGGGCCTTTGGCCAAGGTGTGTGGAAAGAGTAGCCGAGTGTTTTACTCTAGGGGAGAGGAGGTACTTATAGAGCTATGCAAGAATGTGAATATCAAGGTCTATGCAAGGTTTTTCAATGAGTATTCTAGCTGTGCCAACAAGAATGTCCGGGTGGCGATTTTCAAAGGGATTGAGGCATGGGCCGAGGGATCTGAAGGAATAGAACTGTTTGAAGGGCTTGTGGCAAAGGGAAGAAGGGATGCATTTTCCGATGTCCGGGATGTGTGTAAAAGAATGATGGAGAGGTTTGGACTTGAAGGAGAGAAGAAGGAGAAAGGATGTACTGGGAAGGTTGATAGAGAGAACCTAGAGAATGGAGTGAAGAAGGGGCCTGTTAGAATGGTCAGAAGGCCTATCCGTGTAGAGCATATCCTGATGAATGGAACTGAAGGAAGGGGGGTTGAGAAGAAAGAGCTTGTGCCGAAGTTTTCTCCCATGCGAAAGCAAACGAGAACAGGAGACGGGGATTATGATAAGATTAAAGAGCTGTCAAGGCAGGTTGAGGATATAGCCTCGGATATTAAGCCGAGTGTGAAGTCTGAGAGAGGTACAGGGCATGGGAGGATATCAAGCAAGATCAAAGAGATGGTCTGTGGAGGGGGTAGCAAGAGTGGAATTGTCTATCCTGGGTGTCTAGGTGAGACTTCAAAAAAGATAAGTCATGAGGATCTTACACCTGTGAGGCTGGATAAGTATCTTAATAAGTATCGTGAAGAACATGGAAGTCTTGGGCATAAGAGGGAAAGCGGAGTCAGTGGGGGGTTTGAGGTTAAGGATACTGAAGTAGACGAGGAATGGGAAGTGAATGAGGTTGATGAAGAAAATGATGAGATTGCTGGATGTATGAAAAGACATGAACCTAATGCAAACAAGGAGGAGGATAGGGAGAAAGAAAAGGTTGTTGTTGAAGATGAAAGTTTTGTTGGAGAGATTAGTCAGGACTTGGATGATGGAAACGGAACATGTCCGGAGGTAACAGTAGGAGAGTTGTCGAAAAGCTTGGCAAATATTTCGATTAACGAAGTAGGGAGTCAATCTCAGGATTTCTTGAATGGGCAAAGTTTTCTATCTTCATCTTTTGATAGTCCACGTGAAAATGTTAATGAAGATAAAGAGATAGAGGATTCATTCAAGGAATACACCATAATGGAGTCTATGAGAGAAGAAAGCTGTGAAGGATGCGAAGAACAGAATGAAAATTCTTCTGAATCCAAAGCATGGATAGATTCGGGAGGTTCTATTGATGAATCAAGCATTCCTATGGATTCTAAGATGGAGAATGAGAAAAAAGGCAAAGCGAGGAAGGATCACAAGAAAGCCCTTGAGATGATAAAAGGAAATCGCTTTGCAGGATTTCTTGAGCTGAGTGAAAGTAGTGGAGAGGAAACCGTGTTTTCTAACAAAAGTGAAGGAAAGAAGAAGATTGATGTGGGATACCTGGAAGAAGGTGGAGCCGACTTTACAATGATGGATTCCTTTGTGGAAGTCAAGAAAGGAGTTTTCCGAAAGAGATAAAAGGATAGGATGGTTGAATTAAAGTCTTTAAGTTAATCAAATTTTCTGTATTTTATGATGAAGAACGTAGAAAAAATAAATATGACCAAAACATTGGTTTAAATTACCTTGGGTATAAATTAGTGGTTAGATGATAAGTCGACCACTTACGGGCAGTAAGTATGGGCCTGTGGATCTCCTTGTGGGCTGTTGTGGGGCTTGTAGGAGTCCTTCACCTGCCATTAAAGCGGAGGGGAATGCATGAGGGCGGAAACGCAGCAATGAGTACCTCCTGCAGGGTAGAGTCAGCAGCTATCCATGCCAGTCCTTTTGATCTTGAATGTTTATTTTTTATAGTTGGGAAAGAAATCTATCCAAGACTGCTTAAAAAAAAAACAAAGATCCCTAGACATGCTTGAGAGCATAAGAATAGAGCCGAAGATGAGCTACAGAAAGATAGTGGGTGTGAACGGACCTCTTGTTATAATGGACAACATCAGGTTTTTGAAATATGCAGAGATAGTTAGCCTGACATTACCTGATGGAAGTATCAGGCAAGGACAGGTTCTAGAAGTATGTGGAAAGAAGGCTGTGATCCAAGTGTTTGAGGGGACATCTGGGATAGACGTCAAAGAAACACAGGTTACATTTACTGGAGAGACCTTGAAGATGGGGGTGTCTGAGGATATTCTTGGAAGAGTATTCAATGGAAGTGGAAAGGTGATCGATGGAGGACCGAAGATTATTGCGGAGGACTATCTTGATATCCAAGGGCAGCCTTTGAATCCATATGCTAGGATATATCCTGAAGAGATGATTCAGACAGGAATATCATCGATCGATATAATGAACTCGATTGCAAGAGGGCAGAAGATCCCCATATTCAGTGCATCTGGGCTACCACACAATGAAATAGCAGCACAGATCTGCAGACAAGCAGGGCTTGTGAAGAGGAAGGATTCAATAGACAGTAGCGATGATAACTTTGCAATAGTGTTTGCAGCAATGGGGGTGAACGTGGAAACAGCAAACTTTTTCAGAAACAGTTTTGAAGCATCTGGGTCGATAGGGAGAACTGCACTGTTTCTCAATCTGGCAAATGACCCGACTATCGAAAGGATAATCACACCACGACTTGCTTTGACAGCAGCAGAGTACCTTGCATACGAGAAAGAAAAGCATGTTCTTGTGATTATGACTGATATGAGTTCTTATGCAGATGCATTGAGAGAGGTCAGTGCAGCTCGAGAGGAAGTCCCAGGTAGAAGGGGATATCCTGGATACATGTACACAGATCTTAGTACGATATATGAAAGGGCTGGGAGGCTTGAAGGAAGAAATGGATCAATAACCCAGATTCCAATTCTGACAATGCCAAATGATGATATAACACATCCGATTCCGGATCTTACGGGATATATTACTGAAGGGCAGATATATGTTGATAGGCAAATTCACAACAGGCAAATATATCCTCCTATTAATGTACTTCCATCACTCTCTAGGCTGATGAAGAGTGCCATCGGAGAGGGGATGACGAGGAAAGATCACGGAGATGTGTCGAACCAGCTCTATGCAAAGTATGCAATTGGTAAGGATGCCCAGGCAATGAAGGCTGTTGTTGGAGAAGACTCACTTTCCCAAGAAGATAAAATTTCTATAGAGTTTCTAGAGAGGTTTGAAAAGGAGTTTATAAGCCAGAGGCACGACGAGTTGAGAACGGTGAGTCAATCATTAGATATTGCATGGGATCTTCTTAAGATTTTCCCTAGGGAGATGCTTAATAGGATTCCATCTGATATACTGGATGAATTCCACTCTGCAGCACCCACTAGGGCTGAGTAGTCTTATTAAATTTCTTGTTTCCAAGGGCAGATGTTTTGTGTAGAAAGATGAAAAAGGTGATACTTGTGAGGCCCTAATGAATGGGATGAATCAAGATCAGAAAGTCTTCACCTATGTGTGTATACAATGTCCCTCTCTGAGAGAACTAAAGCTCAAGGATCCTATCAGATGTACGGAATGTGGAAACAGGGTTCTTCGAAAGAAACGGACGGACGAGGTAGTACAACTGGATGCAGTCTAAATTACTCAATAAATGGTTATTCTATGATTTACTACTTCTTGGTGATAGGATTTATAAAAAGTCTAGGACAAACCCCAAATGGAAGAGGGAAGGAAAAGAAAAGCAAGAGATCAATTGTCGCCATACTCAAACCCTGGAGAAGAGAGTGATCATCACAGCCCGGCTGTAGAATCTTCTCCGTTGCCAAACAGGAAGAGGGCTAAGGCAAGGGTTGGAGATTTATCAACGATTGCAAACTCTGAGACACTGAAGGGGGTGCTAAGCTCTGTGAATATTCTTCAGCCCAAGGTAAAGAATGATAGAATAAGTGGATTGAACAAATGCTTTCTTAATGCTGTGCAGAAGGTGGTGGAGAAGGAGTCGAACAAAAGTCTCTTGTATTTATTTAAGCAATATGAGAAGTATTATGAGGAGCTTAAGGAGTCCAACAGCTAAACTCTAGGTATTGAATAAAAAATGATATTATTTAAGGTGATGTAAACAGATAAGTTTTGATGAGTAATGTATGTTTAGTTGTGATAGATGGATGGGGATATGACGAAGCAAGCACAAGGGGAAATGCAGTGAATGAGTCGAGATGCCAATGGATGAAGACTCTGAGTCAAAGCCGCCACAGTCTTCTTCTACATGCACATGGAAGATATGTAGGGTTACCGGATGGACTGATGGGGAATTCTGAGGTAGGGCATCTAACCATAGGAAGTGGCCGGGTTATTGAACAGGATATACTGAGGATAGACAAGGCTATTGAGGAGGGACGGCTTAGGAGCATGCTTAGGAAGGAGGTTCAGGAAGTAGAAGGAAAGATTCACCTAGTAGGAATGGTCAGTGACGGAGGAGTACATTCGCACATAAGGCATCTCAAGGGTATTCTGGAAAGTCTCAGAGACCTTGGTGAAGAGGTATTTATACATTGTGTGAGTGACGGTAGAGATACCGAGCCACGAGTATTTTTGAAATATCTTAGTGAGGTTGAGGGCTTCTGCCAAAAGATTGGGATTGGAAAGGTTGCTTCTATAGCCGGTAGGTTCTACACGATGGATAGAGCAAGCAACAACAAGAGAACAGAGCTTAGCTTCCAAGAAATGACAAGTGGAGAGGAAGTGCAAGGAGAAGTCCGGGATTATATTCTTGGGATGTATGAGGAGGGCCTGAGTGATGAGACCCTCAGACCTTTTCTTGTTGACAAAAGAGGCAAGATAGAGCCAGAAGATACCATCATCTTCTTTAACTTCAGAGCAGACAGAATGAGGCAGATTACCTCCAGATTTGCCGAGAATGGAAATAACATAATAACCATGACGGAATATAAAAAGGAACTTAAGTCGAAGGTTCTTTTCGAGAAAGTCTGTGTAAAGAACACTTTAGCAGAGATCATGTCTAGCCACGGGATGATACATTCCCACATAGCAGAGAAGGAGAAAGAAGCACATGTAACTTACTTCTTCAATGGAGGCAAGGAGCAGGCATTCCTGAATCAAAAAACAATAATACATCCCAGCCCAAATGTTGAATCATTCGATGCAGCCCCATCAATGGCGTCAAAGGAAGTAACCTCCTCTGTGATTGCTGAGATTGGGAGTGGAGTGCCCCTAGTGATTGCCAACCTTGCACCTCCTGACATGGTAGGGCATACAGGGAATCTCGAGGCAACAAAGATGGCAATTGAGTTCACAGATGAATGCATAGGATCAATTTATAAGGCTTGTAAATCGAATGGATACACTCTTATTGTGACTGCAGATCATGGTAACGCCGAAAAAATGATAGATGAAGAAGGAAATTGCTGTAAGACTCATACAACAAGTAAAGTTCCGCTAATAATCTGTGAGGGAAAGCCGGGTAGGCCTTCATCTTCATGGGGATACATAGATTCTAATTACTCATTGAGAGATGTAGCACCGACTGTATTGGAAATAATGGGGATTCCAAAGCCAAAGGAGATGACAGGAAGATCGGTCCTTAAAAGCGCCAGATACCCGCTTTCTTCCGATAAAGAACCACAGTAGTAAAAGAATTTTCGTTGGAAGAAAATGTTTTAATCAGAACATTCCAAAGTCGATTTCAACTTCCTCCTCTTCAGGCACCTCCTCCTTCTTTGCTTCACCAGGAGTATCGGATGGGCCCTTCCCTTCCATGGGAGCTGCCGCCTCTTGAGTACTACTCATCAGCAGGTTCTTAATCTCAAGCGCATCCATCTCAAAAAATTCACAGATCTTTGGGTGGCTTGCAAGACCAAAGAACTTGAATACAGAGTCAATCTTCTCCTTGGTCACCTGTTGGTTGGTTGCGTGTATAAGCAACGTGGCTAGCGGGTACATATCGTTTATCATCTTTTCTTGTGTCATTCTACTTTAAGCAATTTAACGATATCGGGCCCAAAGTTTGGTAGCCCCTCTCCTGCTTTTGCTTTTATACTTTTCGGTGAAAAATTTGCTTTCGGGAGAGGCAAGGATTCAAGGTTCTTGGACCGTCCACGAATCCCTTCAAATGGACTTTGATAGACAAGTCTTCAGAACATTGAGCAAAAGGCGTTGTGTAAGGTCCTGCATAAGAATAAAACACAAACCTAGGATCTCAAACTTCTATCTCAAGAAAAAAGACAAGTACGAGTATGTAAGGCATAGGCTGGCCACGATGGAGCCATACTTTCTAGAGCTTCTTGGGATTGGAAGCTTTGAGCCTGTAAACTATGTATCAGACACTTCTTTCTACACATACGGTATTATTATGAACCCATTTGGATACAAGCTAGACTCCAAAAATATATTCATTGCATCTAGCATTGATGGAAGTAATGATGTCATTGTGAAATTGAACCTGGAGCACTTACAAAGGTATTCTGTCTTTCCAGGTCAGATAGTTGCAATCAAGGGGAAAAATGGAACAGGAAGGGAGATAACTGTGGAGGCTCTACATTGCATACCTGTTGTAGATATCAATTCGGCAGAAACTCCTTCGGAAGAGAGATATGTCCAGCCAACTATTTCGGCATTTTCAGGACCTTATGGGATTGGGCCAGAGTTTAGCATTCTTGACAGGGTCCTTATAGAGGATGTAGATGTATTGATACTGGTTGGGCCTTTTATAGATCCTCTGCAAAACGATACAAGTGAATCTCCAGGCTCGATGATGGAAAGGGTATTTATCCCAAAGCTAAAGGAATGGTTATCAAGAAGATCAGACAGTAAGGTTATCCTTGTTCCATCTACCAACGACATGGCATGTCTGAATGTATTTCCTCAAGGTCCAATTGACATTAGCGATGAAAGGATTGTATGTGTAAGTAATCCTTGCGAGTTCTTTTTAAACGAGTTTTTGATAGCAATCTCCTCACTGGACACAGCTCTTGAGATAAGCTCTGAAGAATGTTTTTATGATTCCAAATCAGAGAATGAGAAAGATGCCTGCGGAAAGCTTCTTTTTGGGAATGACAGGCTGGAGAGGATATCATACCACTTGATCTTCCAAAGAACCTTTCTTCCTGTCTTCCCATCAATGAATGTTGTTTCGTATTCTGTACCAGAAAGCATTTCCATGGATACAGCACCGGATATATACATCATTGTGTCAAAACTGAAGTATTTTTGCAGAAATGCCGGTCCCTCTGTGGTTGTCAATCTGGGGCTTCCTGTGAAGGATGCAGAGAAGGTGGTGTGCCATATAAGTCTTCCAGAGACACTGGGAGAAAGGAGGCCAGTGGTGGAATTTGGGTGTCTAAAATAAATCCTTGGGACCAAGCAGAAAATAAACAAGAAGATGCCCATAACCTGGCATGCAGTCACACTTTGAAGTTTTCGACAAAATGCTGGAGGAAATCCAGCAACTGCGCCTTGATGCAATCTATTTCACAAAACTGACGTCCAGGATGGATGGAAGAATAGAGAGGTTGAGAAGGAAGTGTAAGAGATACAAAGAAAAGTTTGTACGGAAGCCATTGGAAAGATATGCTAGGAAGGTCGGCAAATATCATAAAGCCATAAGGAAGCTTCTACGCAGTAATGGTGATAGTGGAAAAACATTCAAGAGTGTTATTGAGGAGCTTAAAAAGAAATGTGAAGAACTTTGTTCGAAAGCAGATGTATCTTTTGACCTTGAGGGCCCATCAATACCTGAGATGAACTGTGTAGTAAATTTGGGAGAAATGGGAAAGAATGAAAAGCCATATTGTAGGTGCGGTAGGCCTCCATTCAAGAGCATGATAGCATGCGATTCTACAGATTGTAAGAGGAAATGGTTTCACTTTGAATGTGTTGGGATTTCCAGCCCTCCAAAAGCACCCTGGGTATGTCCTGAATGTAGGAAGGCAGCAACATTGACTGGATGAACATGCCTAGTATAGTAAAAGATGTGTTTAATTGTCTAAGTATTGACAAATAAGTTTACATTGCTAGGAATATTAAAATGATTACTATGAGGAATGCAGCCACCTTCTGGGCATCAGAGTCATTTGGATTGGGTCTTCTATGATTAAATCTCCTATACATCTGGGAATACAAGTGGTCATAGAAGTCACCAGAGTACATGAAAGGCTCCTGATATCCTTGAGTACGGAACACATTAAAAAATACATTTTGCATGGCATCACCACTGTAACTGAAGCCAGTGGTAGGCATATTGAACGCAGGTGCTTCTCTTGCCATATCATATCGCCTTCTTTTTTCTGGGTTTCCCAAAGTTGTATATGCGTTCTGGATCATTCCTGAAACGGCACTAGACTCGTGCATACCTGTTCTGTCTGGATGGAACTTCATGATCAGCATATTGAAAGCTCTCTTTATTTGGGGCTGGGTTGCGTCTTTAGGCACACCTAGAATGTCATAATAATCGGAAGGGCTCTTTTTGAGAAATTTCTCGATTTCTTTATGCAATGAAAATGCCTTTCTCGCCTTCTCCATTTCCTCTGCATCCTCCGTAGATCCTGTTAGTTCATACTGCCTTTGAGCGTTTTCCAGATATCCAGCATAGTCTTTCCTACTCAAACAGGATCTAGCTGCTTCAGAATAGTTCATGGAGGGGTCTTTATCTAAAGATACTTGAATTTGGATGATTTGAATCTGAGGTGAAGGATGAAGAGAAGGGAATAGGCGTATAGGAGAATAAAAAGAGCAGTAGAATCTTCAGGACTACAAGAAAGTGAATGTGTTACAAAAAAAGAAAAAATTTTACCCTTCAAGAGGAGTAGTCCATGGAGATAGACGAAAGCAAGAGAGCAAAGAGTGATCCATTAACGATATATGTAGGGGACCTTTCACCAAAGACCCTTGACTCCGATCTCTTTAGAGTTTTTTCGAATGTGGGAAAGGTTTTGAGCGTCAATTTGTTCAAGAGGGGAGAGCCTGTTTCATCTTTTGCATTTGTGACCTTTGAGAATGAAGAGGATGTAGAGAGGGCCATCAAGGAATATAAACATTATGAATTGCACAATAGGCAGATAAGGGTGATGAGGAAGGATGAAAGGCCTCCAGAGACTGGGAATATCTTTGTCAAGAATCTTCCTGAGAGCTTTACTAGCAAGGATTTGGATGATGCATTTTCTATGTTTGGAGAGATTGTGAGTTGTAAGGTTGCAACCACACCTCAGGGGAAGTCCAAAGGGTATGGATTTGTCCAATTTAAAGAGAAGAAGGCTGCAAAGAAGGTGATCAAGAACTTCAACAATCTCAACGGGCTTATGCTTGGAGGAAACAAGATTGCTGTAGAATTATATAACCCAGACATGAAGAAGGGGGAAAGCAAGAAGGTATCTACGATGTTTACAAATTGCTTCATTAAGAATTTTCCGGTAGACACCACCGAGAAGGAGCTCCTAGAACTCCTTGTTCGGTATGGGAAGGTGACGTCTTTGTACTTCCCTATAAAGGATGATGGGAAGCCAAAAGGCTTTGCATTTGCTAACTTTGAGAGTCATGAGTCAGCACTCAATGCCATCAATAATCTCCATGGAGCATTTCCCTTTGACAGCAGTAAGGACGGAGGAGAGCCTTTCTACATTCAAAAGGGGCAAAGAAAGGAAGAGAGGGCTGAGGAGCTTAGGAAGATGTTTGAGCAGCTGAGTATGCAAGGACAAAGCTATAGGAAGAATCTCTACATAACAAACATTCCGGAGGGGTTTGGAGCCGAAGAGCTCAACAACATATTCAAAGAGTTTGGAAGCATTACATCCATGTCTGTGGGAATTGATGGTGCTAACAGCCAGAAGCAATATGCTTATATATGCTACTCGACCCCGGAGGAAGCAAGCATAGCCGTGGAAAGGGGGAATGAAATATATCTTGATGGCAACAGGCTCCAAGTTTCTTACTTCAAGAACAAACTCGAGAGAATGAAAGAAAAAGAGTTTGGAGGCCTTGGATACAAGCCAGGGATTCCATACATGTACAACCAAGGTGTTAACTTTACGTCTAATGGATACAAACGCGAGAGGAGCAGAAGTGGAACCATGAGACCATATGATAATGAGTTTGAAAAGCTACATAGTCTTGTGCTTGCAGCTGCACCGTCATTCAAGAGTCAATGGAAGAGCTTTGGAGTCAACAATGAAGCCGAGTTTTCTAACAAGGTCACAAGGGCTTTTCGCAACAAGCCTGAGGAAGAGATCAAGAATATGATCAATCTAAACTTTGTGCTTACAAAGAACATAGCTGCGGTCATTGAAGATGACAATTCCAATGACCAAGTTTTATTATAAACATTAAAGCCTTAACGTTCTAGTTGTTTCTTTTGTGTCTAGCCCTAGGAGAGATATTATCGCGAGGGGATGACAGGGGGATTATCTTAGTGGTAGAGGGTTTGCTTCGCATGTGAATTGCCCGGGTTCGATTCCCGGATCCTCCATTGCTTTTTTAAGTAGAAACGATAATTTCGATAGACTTTAGTCCCGGGGAGATGCTGTTTTCAAAGGAAACTCTCAAGTCTTTTGCACAATCCAAAGGAATCTCCAACATCGATGACGATGCACTAAGAGTACTCTCGCAGGACCTAGAATACAGGATCAAGGAGGTGTGCCAGGAGGGAAGCAAGTTCATGGTCGGGTCGAAGAGGACGAAGCTATCCATTGATGACATCAACTATGCCCTGATCAGCAGGAATGTAGATCCTCTTTTTGGATACGACCCACAAGAAAGCCTAGTTTTCCGTGGACTTCCATCTAATGTATACTATGTTCCTGATGAAGAGATTGACCTAGAAGAGTATCTTGACAGGCCTCTTCCGAAGATTCCCCTCCGCCCTTCCATCCAATCACACTGGCTGGCCATTGAGGGTGTCCAGCCTCAGATTCCTTACAATCCCATACTTCTGGAGAAGCCTGTTGCAAAGAAAGATACACTTGGAACATACCAGGAGGAGGCAGAACTGAAGTCTCAGAATAGACATATGCTTACTAAAGAGCTCGGCATGTACTTCGATAAAGTCATCCAAGCCATGGAGACTGATGAGCAGATAGCAATGGAATGCTTGCATAATGAAAGTGGGATCCAACAGCTTGTTCCATACTTTGTCCACCACTTTAATGAGCAGATAATGAAGAACATAAAGAACAAGGAAAGGCTTATGACTGTCATAATGGTCTACAACTCATTGCTAAGGAACAAGTATATCTTCATCGATCCTTACCTTCACCAAGTTCTTCCTTCACTTATAACATGCGTGATTGGGAAGAGTGTTGATGATGAGGTTAGGAGAGTGGCTGCAGATGTTGTCAAGTATGTGTTCAGCAACTTCTCTGGGTCCTACAAGACCCTTGCACCAAGAATCATCAATACCCTCAGCAAGGCATGGCTAGATAAAGAGAAGACAGAGTCTACACAATATGGTGCTCTCCTTTGCCTAAGCTCCCTATCCAAGCATGTTGTGGAGACAGTCATAAAGCCAAAGACAGATTATTATGTTAAGGAAATCAATAATCCAAAGGTTACCGAGCTTTTGAAGGAGGTTTTAAAGGCTGATGAGCTTTAATGCATAGGCAGGCGTCTTTTTCTTGTTACAGACAGTCTAGTTCCTTTGCTATTTCTTTTTTTTCTGTGGGTGACATGCAGACAACAACCTCTGTACCGTTTTTAATCTTCAGAAGCCCATGATCAATAAACTCACTGATCATCGAAAGAACAGAAGCCTTTGATGTGAGAAATAGCTTCCTTTTTGTTCTTTCAAACAGCTCGCTAAGACTCACCGTGTCTTCATTACACAGCAGGATTTCCTTCAACACAACCCTGGAATTTCTTGGAACACTGCTGACAACTCTGGACGATGCCTCTACTTTTGTTGCTCCAAGATGGATACCTATTATCTCCTCTTCGTATGGATCGAAAGTGGTGAGGTCTCGGAAAATAAAGTTGAATCTTTCAATGTCTTCAAGACTAAATCTTATGTCGACTCCCTCAATGGTTCCCAGGATGGCAAAGTTCTTCAGTCCTGAGAATTCTAGCATGCTGAAGTCAAAGTTTGCCATGATAAGCTTGTACTTCTCCTTTCTGGTTCCTATGGCCTCATCTATATCCTTTATTGTTGATGTCTTGGAGACTCGCTGGGTCTCCAACCTAGACCTACGTCTTACAGTGTCCACGATTTCTGCAAGAATCTCATGCCGGCCCATGGTCCTGCAGTTAAGGTAGATTGCAGTTGGAAACATCTTTTTCAGCAAAGGCTTCTTAGAGCCATATCCGTAGAACAAGATGTTGAACGACCTTGTAAGCACATTGTATTCCTTTTTGCAATTCAAATGGAAATCGGTCAAATTCTGGCTCATCAGTACGGGTATGGTGAAAGAGCAGAAATGTACTTTTTGCCCATGGCCCGCATTCTATAAAGCTCATAAGGTATAACAATTCTCTATAGATAGCCCATGAATGAGCACAAACAAAAACTCAGAGAAGTCCAGATTCTTCTACACAGACTGTTTGGAACATCCAACAAGGAGATAAGAAGGATTTTAGATGAGTTACCATCATCTCCGACATCGGAAGGTATTTTAGATATATTTAGGCTTCTCTTCAGCCTAGGAAAGTACAGCAACAGGGAGATGCTGTGTTTTTTAGATGCATTCCAGAGGTTTGTATCGGCATGCCATGTAGATATAGGCAGTGTTGGAAGCAAAATAGTGGATCTTAAATTCACACCTTCTGAAAAGGACACGGATGCTGCCATTCTCAAGTATTTTGAGGTTATAAACACAATGGCCGAGAATATCTCACAAGAGTCCTCGAGGAGCGTGTTCATCAGGTATATGTTTATACTTTCCCATAATGTTGTAAGCAAGGGGGCACAAGGTGAAGTGCTTGAGAGATTCAAGGTGTTTCTTGAAAAAAAGAAGGAGTTTCTAAGGCTCTTTGCTGATAGAAAGATGTACAAGGACATTGGATGCACAGAAGATTTGATTGCGAATTTCTGTGACCTCTTCAATGACGAAGAAATGGTTGGGGTTGCATTGGAGTGTATTTCCCTTAGAGGATTTGCAATAAATAGAACCCGAAGTAGATATCTGTTTCAGATGTACTACCATGAACTTCCTAGGTGGTACATAACGGGGCTGCACGATTCATTGATTCCATATTTGTATTATGTCTTTGATAGAATCGGGATCTATAGAAACGTTTCTGAAGAAGTATACAAGGAACTAAGTGGGCAAGAGATAATAAGAGCCATGGATGAAGACATGAAAGGCGAGGTTTCTTCTGAAGAGTGCGATATACTTACAAACAACCTTGGACATCGGAGTGTAATGCAAAACGGAAGAATGACCGGGGTGAGAGAAGATATAAGAAAGTTTAATAAAACAGGGTGCTTGGAGCACATGTTTGAGAAATATGGAAAGCAGATGAGCCTTGAGCTTTTGAGGTACTTTGAGGAAACGGACCTGAAGAAATTGGGAGCCTTTCTGTGCAAGCTCAAGAATGAGGCTTACTTAAGAATATTTGCAGATACGTTTGATTTTTTCGATATGGCTGTTCTCGATGGACTCCGAATGTTTCTTCTTTCTTTCTACCTTTCTGCAGAAGGCCAAGTGATTCACAGAGTTATTGAGGTCTATGCTGATAAGTACTATCTGGACAATGCAGGGAGGTGTACATTTATGGATATAGATAAGGATAACAAGACAAAAGAGTTTGTGTTCAATCTTTCATTTTCGTTTCTTGTTCTTAACACAAAGTTCCACAATCCTAATGTAAAGGCAAAACCCACGTTTAAAGATTACATGAAGGATTTTACGGCAGAAGAGATTCCTCTTTCGTTTAGGATGGAATATCTTGAGTCGATGTACCAATCCATCAAGAAGAAACCTTTAGAGTTTCCTGTTAAGAACCAGGCTGGAAGGAACCACTATAAAGTATTCAAGAAAATATGCAGGAGACTTGGGGAGATGGCTGGCGAGAATATACCTGGAATGGAAAATAATTCTTTTCTTGGTCCTGAGCTTCCGGAGGATGTAAAGATCTGTACATCATGCAAGATGGAGGCCCACCGAAAACTGTTCTCGGTAAACTTTAGAAGGTTTCTTCTTCTGGATCCAAAACCATTTTATGAGATATGTAATAAGCTTAGCATGATTCATCCATTTGAGGAGTATCTGGAAGTCCACAAGGAAGACACATTGAAGTTCATAGAGTCCTTTATCTATTACTTTAGAATGAAAGGAAATGCAAGTCTTTATGCCACTCTACTTGATGTTCTTTCAAAGATTGATAAGCAGAGAAGTGGTAGTGTGCTTTCAGACTTCGGGATTTCGTTTCTGAAGAATTCTCCAGGAAAAGACAGAATCCAGCAGCAATATAGAGATGCATACAGAAAGCTCTCGAATGCGGAGATCTGTGACTTAAGCCTTTTGTGCGACGGGCTTCGGATTTTTCTATCGAGAGAGATGCCAGATGGATCGCACAGCGAAGAAGATGTAAGCTTGCAGAGAAGAAAGCAGAAGTCTGCTGGGTTTGTGAGGAGTATGGTTGTTGATATTCTTAAGAAAAACATTACAAAGGTAGAAGACATATCTATGCTTGATGATGAGAGTGTTGCTTCTCTGCTGAGGAAGTGTGTTGATATAGGAAACAAGGAGAAATTCCACCATATATCCAGGTTCTCCACGGATGAAAATCTGCTTAGCCTCTTCAGGTGGGTTCTTGAAGAAAGCCCTAAATTCATAGACAACGATATTCTCGAAGTATTTAAGAGGATTCCCATCTTCAATGAGAATGGATTCCGCTGTGTTCTACTTCTGCAGAACAACGGATTTGACATGTTTGATTTTGTTGTCACAGTGAAATATGAAAGTATTGTCTGCAGAGCAATCAATGCTCAGGAATGGGAGGATGGAGAGCAACCAGACCAATCCAGGCTTGAGTTTTCTGTAAAGGATACATTAGAATGCTATGCCATCGAGGAGAGATATGAAGAAAGCCTGCAGAATCCTTCGAATCTGTTCCACTTCTGTATGTCTTCAAGCTCTGTTCTGAACCAATCGAAGGTAAGGCTGATCCATAAGTCTAGATGTCCTTTGAAAGAGGAGATATTCGGGGCCGAGGAGATGGACAAAAGACTGATATACCTGATAAAGAAGGCAGACGTGATGAATAGCAAGGATATAGCCAACTATGTGCTTTGGATTGTGAATCTATTGTCTTCAAGCCTTCCGCTTCTATCAAAGTTTTTTCTCCGAAACTTTGGCCTTCTTCTCACCTTGAAGAATCAAGTAATGGCAAACAACTTCATCAAGATATTCTGTTCCAGAGTGTCCAAGGCGATGAGCGGGTCTGAGCTGTGTTGCAGTTGTGGATATTCATTGTTGAATGATGTGGAAAAGCTCATCGAGATGCTGCGGAAGTATGATCTTGCTTCGGAGAAAGATTTTGAATTCTACTTCAATGGAAAATATGAGATGATAAAGAGTGGAGGAATCAAGGTTGATGATAAAGATGTGGTTCTAGTAAGGGTTGAGAAGAATGAAAATGATATAGATGAAAGCAATAAGGACACCCTAGATACAGGAAAGGGAGATGTGAAGGAAAAGACTGATATAGAAACCAAACCTGACTTTCATTTATAGGTGAGTTATCCAAAATGTGTGGAAATAAACAAATAATGGATGGATATGTTGTGTTGTGTCTCTTTTCCCTGTATTCCACTTGAAGAAAATCACTTGGAATCAACAAATCGCTTGTTTTTGCCACCCCAAGGACATGGAAATGTTTATGAATGATTCCTGCATTAAGGATGAGCCGTGGAATGCACCCATAGGAACCTTCGATAAATATTATAAGCTTTCCAGGAACTTCATTGCAGAGCTTGTGCATCTGGGGCCTATTCTTGTGTCTGTAGTGGTTGAGCGGGATATCTCAAGAGCATTAGTGAGATCTATCCTAGGTTTCAAGGAGTACAGATTCTACAATGGTCACATTGATGGGTGCCCGTACTTCTTTTCTGTTCGCAATAGTCTTTCTAGATACTTTGGGGACTGCATAGATGGCTGGAGGTATTCAGAGGCCACAAGTGCCCGGAAGCCCTCCTTTATGGGAATGATTAGCTCTCTGTTTTCCCTTGGGAGCTGGCCACTGAAAAACGAGTCTGGGGGGAGTAGAAAGGGAATGTATGATACGATATCCAGTGGAATGATGGGATGTCCCAAGATGTTTTCCGTTGAAGAAATAATGGGGCGTATGGCTGAAGTGAGGCCAGAGCATGCTGGAGAAGTGGATAATGAGTTCTATAGACAACCTGTTTATGTCGATTTGGTTACAGAGAGTGGTAGAAGGATTCCTGAAAAAATACTTGGAAGGAGACAAATCAGCCCTGAAGACAACCTTGATGTGTTTTCAGATGATCTAGAAGATGCCAAAGCACCATCGCATTCTGGAGAGAAGAGACTACGACATGCACTCCTTGGGTTTGTCTTCAATGAGATCGAGTATTTTTGCCAAGTGAATACATTTTACCTGGATGTTGTAACGAAGGTATTGAAGGAGAAGACGGGGTTTGAAAACGTATTCAAAGGGTTTTGCAAGGTTCATAGTTTTGAAAAGAGATTTATAAGCTCTATGAAAGACATAGCCGAAGAAGCCGGATTCGAAGTGGATAGAGTTCTATCTGATCCTCAATACTTTGCTTCAGAAATGAAGGCCAGAGGCTTTCGAGAGATTGAAATGGATGACAAAGAGATTGTGGAAAGAGTTTTGGACTCGTTTGAGAGCAATCTTGATGGATTCAGGTGTTATGAAGATATGATGCTATCCCATGAGGAATCCATTGAATCCTTAAAGAAGGCTAAGGACTGTGCAGGTGTTCCAAGCCATAGAGTGGTGGACGACTGCTTTTGCAACTGCTTGCAAAGGATTGTGAGATATCCTATTCTTATTGACGACATACTTCGGAATCTTACAGACGAAATACATGTGAAGAGGGCAAAGAAAATTTATCTAGGAATGATAAGACTTATTAATATAATTGATAAGAAAAAGGAGAGGCACGACAACATCCTCTGTGGATTATTGATCAAAGAGAAGGTTACTGGGATACCAAAGGATGTGTTAAAAAGGAAGATGGACTTTCTTTCTCAATTGAATTGTGAAGATTCAAACGGAGAGCCTGTCACGTTATTTTTGTTCCATGAGGTAATGATTATTGCTGATAGAGAGGGATCCTCTGTACCCATCCAGGATCCTAGGTCGGGGAGATACTTTTTCCGACACTCTTTAATGATGAGGGACATAGGGATTTGTGCATTTGGGATTTCCGGAGTAAAGATAATAGTAAAAGGAAGCTTGGAAGGGCGAGACGATTTGTATGAAATGACAGAGATTTACGACGATGTTTGCATTGGAGCAATGTACTTTGCAAAAGGCTCCCCACATTCTATAAGATGCTTTGTTGAGGAGTGCTATAAAGCAAGGGCAAAGATTGAGTCTGGAGCTGAATTATATGTATCATCCACAAATGTGTTTTTTAGGGTTTTCAGGAGTGAGAAGATAGAAGAAGAGGACTGTTTTAGAAAGAGGGACTTGATAGTATATACAAGCAAGGAGAAGTTTAAGGTGTCTGAAGACCCAAATAGTGGATATCTCGATGTGGAGAATGGGGTTCTTAGGACAAAGAACCCGGAGAGTTCGGAGGAATGCATAAGATACGGAGAGAGTAGACTGAAACACAAGCTTGCGGATGCGGTGGGAAATGCCATCAGGGCCACAAAGGCACGCATGGCATCAAAGGACGTGCCTTGGAAATCCCCTCAATTATTTGCAATGTATAGAATAAAGCTTAAGGAGGTTGTGGAGGAGTGCGGGGACTCATCATTTACTGAATTCAATGGAAAACTTTCTAAGTGTGATTCTGCCACCATTACTAGGAAGATTTGTGTGGCAAAAGGAATTATAAGATACTTGTCTAGATCCCTACCATATGTTGGATGTAACAGACTCTCGAAAGAGCAGCTTCCTTTTGATGCAGACCAGGATGATGGTAGGCTCAAGGAGAATGAGATCATAGCCTTTCTAGAAAATGCTTTGGATATAGAGGAGTTAGAGGATTGGGTTTTTGATGAGTATACTGCTGAGGACATCCTTTACTTATTAATGTATTTTGTGCGCACAAATATGTACACGTTCTTTAGAATAGAAGATATAGAAGTTCTGTATAAGGCATTACTTGTAGACAGAATTTGCCTTCTAGGCACAATCACCCCGCAGATAAGCAATCCTCTGCTTATTACATCTTTCTTTGAGATCATAATCACGGCAAGAGATAAGCTCCCTATCACCCCGACGTTGAGGATGTTTCTGGCCATGCTCGGGCCGTTCAAGGTGGATAAGTCAGATGTGATTGAGATGCTGGATAGAATCCGTTGGTGACTGATATATGAAATAAATGTACTTGTCTAATGTTTCAGAATATTAATGAGAATGTTTACTTTTGGAGACAACACATTGTTTGGTACTTAACATGGATACAGATGAAGAAAGAGCCTTGAGAGATTCGTCAAGAAACATGAAGACAACTGTTCAAATCATACAGGAAAAAATGGATCAACAGGGACTGATATATGAATCTATTGAAGCAGAGGCTGCAAGAAACGACAGGATTTTGTTCCTGAACATTCGTACATTTGAGGAAGCAATCAAAAAAATGAACAACGATCCGAGAAATAAGATAATATTTATGTTATTTTTGGTGATTGTGGGGTGTAGTGCATATTTATTCCTATAATAAGGTCACAAGGCCCGAGAAATAAAATCAGATGGTTCTACAAGCTATATTTTTCAACATCTCAACATCAAGCAAGTTATCCTTGCCACCATACTGCTCGTAAAAGTCTGTTAGAACATCGACGACAAACCTCTTATCTGCATCTGATGCTTCGGAATACTCCTTCAAGAAAGTCTTGTTGATTCGGCACATGTCTTTTCTCAACTTTCCCTTACTTCCCTTATTCCCTTGCTTCAGATACTTCGTTGTGTTTCTAAATCCTTCTGGATTTGCTTTCAATGACAAGATGAGGAAGTACCTGGCCATGTTGAAGTATTCCTGGTCCATGGGAGAAATTGGAAAGCAGGTGAAAAAGGTGGATATCACATCGAAAACTAGGTGGAAGGAGGTTGTAATCTTTAGATTCCCCATCCCGCAAGCTACTATCCCAAGACATAGCTTGTACCTTTCAATATCCCCATACCTCATGGAAAGCTGTACTTCTTGCTTGCACCTGCTCGATGTGAAGAAAAAGTCTACCTGTTCAGACAAAGACTTCCCTGTCTCTGTTGCCTTGATCTGTCTCCTCAGAATCCTGATGACATCAAGATTGCAAGACGAGTTTGATATCAATGAAAGCGTCACAAGAGATGTATCAAAAAGTATCTTAAGCTCACTATTACTCTTCATAGATCTTTCCGCAAGAAGACATACATCCAGAATGGCTTTGAAGAGGCCTCCGCTAAGGTCCAAGGAGATACCCTTATACAGAAGATAAACAGACACATATAACATCCTCCCAGATAACCTGTAAAGTTCATAGAAACTTGCATTCTCAGCCTTCTTCCTCACCTCTTCAACAATGACATCTAGATTCTCGTTCATCTCCAACCCAAGAGAAAACAACTCAGAATATAAAACTTCTTCGGGCTTGCTTGCATCAGATCTTCGGAGTTTATTTCGAAATCTCATCTGCTTACTACCAAAGAGGATAATTCCATTGGCAAGAAGCTCACAGAGGGAGTCTTTCAACTTTATGAATCGGAACACATCAAGGCTAGTCTTCATGTACAGCATGGACATAGAAAGAGATGCCATGACTCTGTATGTGTAGTCGTACCATATCTTATTTCCCCTGTTGTACTGCTCGTTCCTAAAAACCCCTTCTCTACTTGCTTCCTCCCTCAAAACATTCTTAACAAGTATATTTCCACTTCCTGCATACAGCATTCCAAGCCCAACAACACATCCAACATGAATATACAAAGGCTGCGAGGACTTGAGATAATGCAAATACATCTTTCCTAGTACATCATCTCTCTTTCCAATGTGGCTAATCCCCGTCCCTGCCAGAATCGCCATGGACACTACAGGATGTCTTGGTGTAACAAGTTGTGCAACACTTTGAGGATGAATCTCACTCAGCCTACCTTGAAGTCCAAAGGCGAATATCCTACCAGCAACCTCAAATTCATTTCCCACTCCTGTAGATGCAAACTCAAGGATCCTTGACTCTATAAAGTCGTGTGCTACTTCGTCACAAGAACTCAGTCCACAGCCTCTATAGACAGAGTAGTTGAATGTGGGCCAATCTGCCCACCCACTCTCTTTGATTTCAATCTCACTCAATTCTCCATTCTTATAGATCGGAAACTTTAGCTGTTCAGGGTTGTATCTATTCTTGATCGCACCTAACCCACAAAACAGATAGGCCCTTCCTATATTTGATACCGTTCGGAGAATGTACCCTTTTTCCCTCTTGTTCTCTAGGTCATACTCATCGATCTCAAACGTTATTGGCTTCTCGTCAAACAACGAAACTACTTCTTCCATTCGAGGATCCCCAAAATGTTTCTCAGCAATCTTACAGAGCTTTCTAATAGATCTTACAGGCTTTGTGCTTCTAAGTATTTCACCTCTCTTCATTTCCATATAAATCACCCTGTACCCAAGATTCATCACATCGGAATATCTCAAGTTTACAATTGCATCTAGATTGCACCTCATGATCCTTCTATATTTCACCTTCATCACATCTTTGCTGCTTACAAAGGAGGGACGGGCATATCTAACCAGTTCTTCACATCTGGATACAGTCTTTAGCCCCTTCATTTGTGGAATATCCATACCTAAAAACTCCCACACACTTCTACACTTAGCTAACCACTCCTCTAAGGCACTATCAACTTCTGCCACAATGTCTTCCGTAGGCTCCAACAGATCAAACCTTTTCTTTTTACTTTGAAGAAACGTGCTCATAAATGCTCTTTGCATGGCCTTCGGGTAACATGAAAGCACGTTCCTTTCCAACTCATTTATTCCTTCCCAGAAAGGCTTGCAATAATCCTGTCTCCATCGGGTGGAAACCCTTGACCTGGGCCATAGATCCATTCTGATTGGAGAGCACACAACCTCATTTCCGAGAAACAATATGTCGTTAATTCTCAAAAACTCAAGCCACTTGCCCTTCGAAATCTTCATCCTATACTTTACAAAACATCCAATGTCCTTTTCAAACTTTACAGTGGTTTCAGACAGCAGCTTGCTTCTCTTCACCCCTCCCCTACTACTTCCAGGCTTGACAAATAGTGCTACATCCCCATGAATCCCCACCATGAAGTTGTCATAGTCTATAATATCCATCTCTACTCCTCCCTCACGCCTTCCACTTTCTTCGTAGTCTTCAACAAGGCATCTTATCCCTCCTTCTACCCTGTAGGCAATTAACATTCGGGTCCTATTGATCTCATCAAAGCTGTCATCAGCCATGTCAGAGCACGAGGACTCCATCATCTCTTGAACATCGAACCTCTCAGTCGCAACATTCTTGATAAGGTATCCTCCCACACCTTCTAGAATCATATCCCCAGATATAACTTCCTTCAGGGAAAACCCATGGTGGAAGAACACAAACTCCTCGGGCTCAAAGGGGTGTGAAACAAGCATCACATGGTTGTTTTCCTTGTTCTGGTAATAGATCCCCTCCTTCTTCACAAAAGCAGCTTTTATTGATCGTTTCAAGGTCATGTCCTCCTCCCCGTAGAAATGAATCCCTGTCCGTGTACAAACAACAACCCATCTTCCGAACTTTCCTGCATTGATGATCTCCTCCTCAAATATCAGCCTTTTCCCTTCAAACATAGCCTCTGTATCTCTCCATTTAACTACCATCAAAGGGTACACTCACTAAAGTTTTATAGTTCCTTTTCCATTCTTTGTAGATCATATCTCCTCCTGCTCGACAGACATTCCGCATTCACATCTGCATATGTCTCCTTCCACCTTAAATGTATGGATATGCTTCTCATCATTTCTGACATCTATTCTGGTTCTTCTTCTAAGCTCTTTTATTCTTTTTTTTAATCTCCTTATCTTCCGATCGTCTGCTCTCCTTTTTCTCCCTCTCTTGGTCTCTTCAACCTTATCAAGTGATCCCCACTTGCGAATTGCAATCTCTTCAACTTCAGACTGCAGGTACAGGTACATGTTCGACCATGTTCCCTTACGAGGATTGGGTCTTTCAAGAAATCGCAACTCCTTAAGCTCATCGTTTGTAAGAAGATAGTCCGATATGCAAGAAGTCTTAGTGACAAACTTAAGAGCATTACAACGGCACGTCCTACAAACAGAAATCCCAAATGTCTTCTTCATCTCACTGTCAAGCGGTATTTGTAAACAGTACTTGCATCTATTGTCTAGAGAGATGGGGAGAAGTATAGATTCATCCTCCGTTGCTTCTCTTTCACCGCCCTCCTTTTCGGCAAAAAACCCTCCATCCTGTAAATCATTCTTCATGCAGTCAGCATAGGGCATGTACTTTTCGTTTATACTCTCCTTAAGTGGAGTCAAAACTGCTTTTCTGGGATCATAAAGAATAATTCGCTCTCCTACACCCCCGAGATGTTGTTCGATTTGTTTGGGCTCTTTGGAGAGAAGCCATCATGGTCTCTGAGTCCAATTAAGTTTGATGGGGGAAATCAAAACAACTTTGGGGGGAAGGTGATAGTTCCCCAATCCGTGCTGGTCGATCTTGTGTCTTTTCAGATACAACCTCCATTTACTTTTGAAATCTCACATTCCGATGGGATTTACAAAACCCATTGCGGAGTTCTGGAGTTTACTGGAGAAGAAGGCCAGGTTGTTGTTCCCTCATGGATGTACCAGCAGCTTGCCATGGAAGATGCAGATGAGGTTGTGCTCAGATACATGACATTTCCTATCGGGAAGTTCGTAAAGCTGATACCACACTCTGTCGACTTTCTTGAGATTGAGAACCCAAAGCTGGAGTTGGAGTCATGTCTAAGAAACTATCAGGTTTTGTCTGAAGGAGATGAGATACTATGCCAGTTTGATGAGATTGGATCGATAAGGTTCACTGTTGCACACATAGAACCTCCAAGTAATGCAGTGTATATTGTGGACACAGACCTAGCCGTTGACTTTCTGGAGCCAATTGGATTCAAGGACAAGATGGAAAGAGAAAGGACAGTCACAAAGTACATTGAGGTGATTGACTCAGCTCACGATATAAAGCCAATCAGAATGAAGAAACTTGGGCTGTACATGTACAAGCCAGCAAATTAAAACCAGCAGTCTGTTAACTGTTTATTGGTGTAATGGTGTTTCTAAGGCAAGGGGATGGAGGGATTTCATCGCCGCCTCGTATGCAGAGTACAGAGCACCTACCTCATGTTCATTCCCAATGCTATTTACGATTTGATCAAATGAAAAAATACCTTCAGACATAAGAATGAAGTTCTTCACAAAGCACTCCTTGTTGTCCAGGGGACATAGAAAGATTTTGAGGTATTTCTCAACAACATCCATGAGAGGGACAACGCTCACTTTTGTTCTTAGGTATCGCTTAATCTCTGAAATTTCAAACAAAAGAGACTCTGAAATCTGAGGAGAGACCCTGGTGGTGTAGATTCTAGAGAAGGCGTGGGAAATTATGTCTTCTAGTAATGTAATTTGGACGTCTTCGTGTATTCCTTTTGTCCTTTCATTCATTATACTTTTATCCAAGAATTGTATGATTTCTCTAGAAAGTCCCTCAGGTGCTGCAAAATCTAGCCCCGAAAAATAATTGGAAAGAAAGTCATCTATAAATGCATTCTGTGATCTTTCAACCCTTCTGATTTCCATGTGGATCTTTGGAATGTCCTCTTCCACCCCCGACTTCTCTATGATTTGATCTAGGAAGTCCAAGGCTGTTTCTCTTATGAAAAGAAGTGTATTCAACACAATGATAGATCCATATAGATCCTTTGAAGAATTTATCCTTTTCATCAGAAGACTTAAGTGCTCGTCAAAGTAATGTACAAGATGCCTATATACAGACTTATCATTGAGATATTCAACTCTTTTGAGGATTTTTCCCACTCCACGGAAAAAGTCCAGGAACCTTGAAACAACACATGCTCTGGTATCCTCTTGATTGAGATCGGGCTGCATCAAAAAGCTGAAGGATCTCCTCAGGTATATCTCTATGTTTGGAATAAATAATGATGATACCATTGTTCTATGAGGGCACAAAGCTTCTTGATGAGAATCTACTGAGGGAGCATACAAAGCGCATGCACAGCATCCATGTTTCTCAAACAACCTTCCCAACCTTTTTTCATGCTTGATTGTTGAATTGAAGGCTTCCATAAAGTCTTCTTCATCAACCTCGTTGTAAAAAAAATAATCACATGCTCTCTGTTTCGTCATGAAATAGTATTTGAGCAGTATTTCTTGCGATAGGCACCAATCATCAGGAATATGAGAATACCTGAGGCTTATCTTGGCTATACTTTCTTCAATCCATGATAAACAACTGTCTAGTGAGGACAGCTTCTGGAAATTACAATTCAGGAACTCTTGATAGTTTACAGAGCACAATGATCCTAAATAAGAACTTGCCAGTGACCTCATCCTTTTCTCGAAGACTTCTCCTTGTAGTAGAATGATATTTATCAGTGGCCTTGGGATTCCTCTCTGCTCGTGAATACACCTTCTCATCTCCTCCTCCACAGAGGACTGCAGTCCTTCCAAATCATTTGTGCACAATCTATCTCCAAGAGCCAATTTCTCCATTTCCTGGCGGATCCTATCGTAAATTTCCTCATAGTTCTTTGAGTTATACAGCATTCTTAGCTCTATAGCATGCATCCATCTTCCCAGCCTTCGATGTTTTAGGTTAGGAGTGAAACACCTGTTTCAGGAAGGAGATGGGCAGAGGCAAGACAGAATATATTCCCAGCTGTCTAGACAGGATAGAAGTATTGTCAGATAAAAGTCAAATGTTTTTCTAGTCCTGGAAAAACAGGACTGGAGATGGAGAATTTGTTGGAGGACGATTCGGAGAATTTACTAAGGATGAGCCCTGACGAGTATTGGGTTGGAGACTTCATGCACAGAAAAGAGAACCATGCCATTGTCCGTGTCCCAGATGAGTTTCTGGAGGATAGGTTCAATATTATTGGATTGGACAGGTATATAAAAAATCTTGAAGAAACATATAACTCAATACTAGACAAGGGCCCAAGAAGAAATCTCAAAGAGGAGTCTTCATTATATTATCTGATACATCAAAGATACATCTTCACAAAGTCTGGGCTTGAGGCCATCCTGGATAAGGTAATGAGCAGAGAGTATGGGGTGTGTCCAAGAGTAGGATGCAAGTCATCGGTCGGGATGGTTCCTGTTGGATTAAGTGATGGACCGTCGAAATCATCTACAAAGATTTATTGCCATAACTGTGTGAATGTATATGAACCTAAAGGTAATCTCCAGCTATTAGATGGGTGCGCCTGGGGAAGATCATTCCCACATTTTCTGATCCTGGCACACTCATACCACTTTCCCTCAAGAATGTATGAGGAGTATGTTCCAAGGATCTATGGGTTCCGGATTTGCTCTCACGATGACAACGACTCTTTTTCTGAAGATAACTGAAATAAATGCCTAATATGGAAGACAACCGGAATTTTATTAATTTTCAAAAGACATGCAAGCCGTAATGAGAGACGAGCTCCTGGAAGAACAATATGGATTTGTGCCTTATTACGAAAACAGAAGAAGAGAGGGATGGGTGTTGAACTATACGGTGGTTACGCTTAGGGACGGAAGGATGAAAACAAAACTCTACCTGATTGATGAGGAAGGCGGTGAGTTTCTTGTGAAGATCCCTTATTTCCCATCATTTCTAGTCAGGGCTTCCGACTATGACATTACTGAGGAATACCTTAGGAAGAAATACGCTGGTGAGATTCATGATATGGAAAGGACACATAGAATTGACTTCAAGGAGGAGAATCATTTGAATAAGGAGCCAGGGATGTTTTTGAAGGTAAGATTCAAAACCGAATCTGGGTTCGGTGAGGCTTTAAAGGAGTTGAAGAGAATAGTGGCGAGGAATAGAGTGCAGAAAAGCCATGAGTATGATTGCTTTGGGGAGGAGAGAACAACCAATGCCGAGAATCTCATAGAATCTATCCACGAGCATGATATTCCCACAGAGGTTGCCACTGTTAATGATCTGAAGATTAGGTGTGGAAAATGGTATGGATTCTACTATACAGGGGAGATGTATGTCGTAGAGAAAAGTGAAAGGATTGTATTTCCGGACCTTAGAATACTTGCCTTTGACATAGAAACATCCAAAAAGCCATTGAAGTTCCCCAACCCGGAGTCTGATGAGGTGATGATGATATCGATCAAAACGGAATGCGGTGGGGAGTTGATTGTCAATCGAAGGCTGGTTTCCAAAAGTATCCGAAGGTTTGAGTATAATCCAAAAGAAGACATGCAATGCGTTTTTGATGTGGTAAATGAAAGTGACGAGGAAGGAGTTCTGATTAGGTTTGTGGAGATGATCCAAAGGCATAGGCCTCACCTCGTAACAACATTCAATGGTGCATCATTTGACTTTCCGTTCTTAGAGAAGAGAATGTCAAGGTATGGGATAAGTCTCAGAGAGACGGCTGGGTTTGCTCAAAAAGATGAATATTACATCTCACCATTTATTGTGCATCTTGATTGTTACAAGTGGGTTAAGAGAGACTCCTATCTTCCTGCTGGGAGCCAGGGCCTCAAGGCAGTTACCAAAGCAAAACTAGGATACTTTCCAGATGAAGTTGATCCCGAGGATATGGTTGGGCTTGCCATATCCGACCCCGACAGAATGGCATCTTATTCTGTCTCTGACTCTGTTGCAACGTACTTCCTTTACATCAAGTATGTTCAGCCCCATGTTTTTTCTATATGTTCTCTTATTCCTCTTCCCCCAGCATTAGCACTTTGCCAAGGGTCTGGGACGTTATGCGAAGCTTTACTTATTTCTGAGGCCATTGAGTATAAGGTGGTGATTCCCGAGAAAAGAAAAGAAAAGAAGATACAGGAGTACAATGGACATATAGCGGAAAGCATTACATATGTTGGGGGGTATGTCGAATGCCTGAAGTCTGGGATTTTCAGGTCCGACTTTGAATATGACTTTGAGATGGATGAGGGATTCATTGATGAAATGGCTTTAAATCTTGATGAAATGGTTTCTGAATATAACGAGGAAGAGGGTTTGGAGAGCATGAAGATTCAAATCCTCAAGAGCCTCCAGGAAAACAAAGGAAAGATTAGAAGAGAGGGACTTATATATCATCTAGATGTAGGAGCTATGTATCCAAACATCATCCTCACCAACAAACTGCAGCCTATATCGATTGTTGATGAGGACACTTGCATAAGATGTGACTTTTCGGACGAGTTGAATGAATGCCAGAAAAGAATGGAATGGACTATGAAGGTCGAGTATATTGCAGCGAGCAGAGAAGAAACAGAGAGGATCAAGAAGCAGATAAAAAAGGAGAAGGGGTTTGTAGGTGATAGAGATGAGGAGTTGAAGCAAAGGGCCAAGAAGTACTCCAAGGAGATATATGGGAAAGCAAAGAGGAAGGAAAACTGTGTAAGAAGTTCGACTGTTTGCCAAAGAGAAGTTCCGTTTTATGTGGAAACGGTTAGGAAGTTCAGGGACCAGAGATATGTTTACAAAAGATTGTATTCGGAGGCACAAAAGGCTTTTGAAGCTGCAAGAACCGAGGAGGAAAGGAAGCATGCAATGAAGTCTGTTGTTGTGTATTCCTCACTTCAGATTGCGCATAAATGTGTTCTGAACTCTTTCTATGGGTATGTGATGAGAAAGAGCTCCCGGTGGTATAGCATGGAGATGGCAGCAATAGTCTGCAATGTTGGGGGGAATATCATCAAGAAGGCAAGGGAGATTGTCGAGAAGATAGGGATTTCTCTAGAGTTGGACACAGATGGTATATGGTGCCTAGTTCCGTCTTCGTTGATATCATCTTATACACTTCCTTCTGGAAAGAAGTTTTCACTTCTATCGAGCCTCCTGAACCATTTTGTATGCAAGAAGTTTACTAACCACCAGTACCAAGAAAAGGTTGATGGTAGGTACATCACACGGATGGAGAACTCGATATTTTTCGAGATTGATGGGCCGTATAAGGCGATGCTTCTTCCAGCATCCACCGAGGAAAATAGGCTGTTGAAGAAGAGATATGTGATAATTGACAGAAACAACAGGATTGCAGAGCTAAAAGGGTTTGAAGTGAAAAGACGAGGAGAGCTAGAAATCATTAAGAAGTTTCAAGAAGAGCTATTTCTTCATTTTTTAGATGGAAGCAACCTCAGGGAGTGCTATGAGTCACTTGCAGAGGTGTGCAGATATTGGCTGGATATATTGCGAAGCAGGGGAGAATACATTGATGACGATACGATTCTTGAGTTATTATCTGAGAGCAGAAGCATGTCTAAAGGATTTGATGGGTATGGAGGAAGAAAATCAAGCCTCACGGTTACGGCACTTAGAATGTCTGAGGTCTTAGGAGAAGGGATTCTTGAGGAGAAGCTGAAATGCGAATACATTATTGCAGCATATCCCGAGAACAGGTCTGTTGCGGAGAGGGCCATACCAGTAATAATATTCCGGTCTGATCGGAAAGAGGAATTTCTTGGAAGATGGCTGCAAAGGAACTATTCTGGAGACATTAGATCCATTATTGACTGGGACTATTATAAGCTAAGGCTGGAATGTGTTATTCAGAGGATGGTTATATTGCCTGCTTTATCCCAGAGGGTTGGAAATCCTTTGAAGGAGGTGCAAGTACCTGGGTGGGCGAAGGCCAGGTCTGAGCTTAAGGGGTTTAGCCTAAAGAATGCCAATGATATTGAAGAAGTTTTCTGCAAGCCGAAGGTGAAGGAGGGCAGAAACACGGAGAGCACAGTCTGCAAAAAGGATGAGATTGACAAAGAAAACCACATAGTTAATGGGAAAAAAAGGAAAGCGCCGATGGAAACTGATATTTCAAGGTATACTCTTGGAAGTAAAATGAGATGGATGGAAGCGATAGAGGAGATTAATGATAGAGGAGATATTATCAAAGTGGCACGTGGAGATGATGGATACATGAATGTATATTATAGTGGGAGGGTTGATGCCAGGGAGAGGATTCCCTTAGAAAGGAGGATCTACATGGAAGTCAATGATTGGAAATATTTTGAAGAATCTGGAGAGGTTGAGAAAATGACGGTATGTCTTCCCGAAGGTTCTGAAGACGTAGAAGTAGGTGTGATTAAGTTGAAGGAGTACGAGTTTATGTGTAACCACTCATTATACAAGAAGTTTCTGAGCCATTTTTCAATAAGAAGGGTTTTTGAAGATAAGGTTCCAATTCTGTACAGCAACATGAAGGAATGTGAGGGACGTGACATTAGGTTTGTGACTGTGTCTGGGTTTATGTTCCAAGGAAGAACTGTATATGCAGCTGGTAGGGAGGAGGTTCTTATATTTTCTGGAGAAGAGGGATTGCATGATCTTGGAAAGCATCTTCTTGAAGGCTTTGGAAAATGGGAGGTTGCAGTTATCAACTCGAATGATCCATGCAAGGCCGAGCTTCGAAGGATTTTAGAGAGGCATCACGTTCTTGAAATGGCTTTTAAGAGAAGCCCGCCTTTGAAGGAATATTCTGAGCTCTGTAATGAGCAAAAGGTGCTCCATCAGTGGATGAGAGGGGAGATGGAGTTAATGTGCAAGACCAGTAAATATACAGGGATACCGATTTTCAATGTAGATGAACAGCTAATGGATGTATTGTTTTATAGGGAGTTGAGAAAGAACAAGGTTGTATGTAGAAAACGGAAGCCTGAGATGAATCATCTCCCATGTCTGAAGGCAGAGAGATTCAAGCCTGGATTCTACAAGAGATATACTATTGAAGTAGAATGTATAGGAACACTAGTTCTCTCTATTATCGAGTACAAGTCATTTCTAGGAGAGGATACATTATTTGGAGGAGTGTCAAGAAACGACTTCAATGTTCTTCGGAACTTTCTAAAAAGGGTAGTCTTGGATTCCATCAGAGGCGTAGAAGGAACAAAGCTTCTTCTAAGGAATATAGGGTCATGGATAAGAAGAGACTCGGGCATTATCTGCACGGAGCTCCGGAATATTTGTTGCATGTTACAAAAAAGGTACATGATGAATCTGGCTAAGAAACTAAGAGATGAAAGATACGATGTGATTTGTGTGGCAGGGGATATGATTCTGATCAACACAGAGAAGATAAGTGAGAAGTCGGCATTGGAGTTCTTCCAACATGTTCGTAAGAAAGGACTGGGGCTTTGCGGATACGAAATGATGAAGATGAAGCTCAACAGAAAGTTCCAGAGACTTGCATTTGTAAGCCCAAGCTCTTACTTTTTTCTTTATGATGAGGAATACTTTTGTTTCAGTGAAAGCAGTGTTCCAACAGTGTTTCTGAAGGCCTATTTTGACGATGGCCAGATAGATTCAGAATTTGTGTATAGTCTTGTGACTAAAATTCCTTTGGAAAGCTCTAAGATGGTTATGAAGCTTCTTTCATTTAGGCAAGATGCACAAGCATTGGTGTCCAACTGTTATAGGCTTTTACGTTTAAGTGAGTTTGAAGAGAAAGAAAATACAGAGATGTACCTTGACATTGTATGTCCTTCATGTGGAATGGAGAATGTGTTCAGATCCAGATGCATAAAATGCTATAACCCATATCCAAAAAATACCGTACTGGATGCATGCATGGCTCGTGCCAAATACCTCCTTTGGTTGGAGCTTACAGGAGACCTGTATTGTAATAGATGTGGGAGAATCAATGAAACAAAACTGTCTGAATTCTGTAGGTGTGGGGGGACTTTCAGGAAGGTAAAGCATTGGGACAAGATAGAAAGGCTGAAGAGGATAGCCTCAAGCCCAGCCTTTGATGATTTTTGTAAGAGGATTTCAAATCATTTCATGAAATGATCTTTGTACTCCAAAGGTTAATAAATGAACCTAACAACCCCATACTTTAGGATGTGCTCGAATATCAGAATCATTGAGAGAAACAATAGCGCACAAATAGATGTCCTCCTCTATGATCATGTTCTAGCACACATAATTCTTGACACGAGGATGGAGCCATCATCGGTTAGGCAATTTTCAATAAACAGCTTGGGAAACAACCAAAACTCATCTGTTAAGGTTTTTGTTAACTCTAGGAAGGTGGACTTCGCATACGAGCTTATACTTGGATATGTTCTAGGATGTGTGGGGATTGAGGAGTATGACTGTAAAGTCTATTTATTCGATGAAATCGATGACTTGTGTGTATTAAAGAATCTGATATTCGCAATAGATGAGAAGTTCAACATAGAACTGAAGGCCTCTTCGGAGGATGGCAGAATAATGATTGCTCTAAGGGGGAAGATAGTCTATGAGACAACTGCAATGATATAACCGCTAAATACACCTCACATCAACATTTTAAAGTGAGTTCTTCCCTTTTCAGTACTTTGATCTATCAATAATAAACTCATCAAAGGAATCATATACTCTAACTGTGCTATCATGAAGTCCAAGTATCTTATCGAAGCCTCGAAGAAGATCATGATCATGTACAACTAGAAACACAGTCTTATCCTTCATCTTTTTAAGTATCATCTCCACCAGCTCCTTCTCAGAATCTGCATCCAGATTAGATGTCGGTTCGTCCAGGACAACTATGTCGGAGTCCTTTACCATCGCTCTCATGAAGCTAACCCTTTGCTTCTGTCCTCCGCTTAGAAACTTTCCATTTTCCCCAACCAGAGTCTGATATCCTTTCTCAAGCTTGCTCAGCATCTCATGTGCATTGAAATGCACACACTTTTTTAGAACATCCTCATATTCAATGGAGTTGCAAGAGTAAGCTATATTTTCAAGAACAGTCCCGTTGAATAGGTGATGGTTCTGGGGAACAAACGAAATGAGATTCCGGACAGATGACTTTCTGATTCTTCTTAGCTCAACCCCGTCAATGTATATTTCTCCCTTGTATTCAAGGAACCGAAGAAGTGCATTGATGAAAGACGACTTCCCACAGCCATTCTTCCCTATTATGCCTATCTTCTCTCCCTTCCTGATCTCACCATTAAAGCCTTCTATTACAAGCTTGTTCCCTATGTGAATAGACACATCGGAAAATCTTATTGAATCGCTAAATGTCTCTATAGTGAGGCCAAGACCATCATCCTCCTCGGCTGCATTTTCAATCCTTGAGTCAAAAATATCTGTTAGATTCTCGTTCATTGTAAAGATGCTATCCTTCAGCTTCATTATTCCGTTACGTAACTCAGAAAAGAACTTTGAGTACTCGATGTATCTGTTTCCTATCCTCATACTTTTAAACATATATCCATTGACTATCATGAACACCAGAAATGCATTTGGAATGAAAAACAGGCTTTTCTGGAAAAACTCTACAAACCCGTTGACTTGATCATACCTTCTGGAGTGCCTTCCAACATCCCAAACAGTTCCTAGATATTTAGACAGCTCTTTCTCTTCTTTGTTGTATGACTTAATTATATCATAGTTCTGTAGGACTCCATAAAGCCTATTTGAGGCTGTATTGTATGCAGCATTGTACTTCCTTCTGAAGTGGTTTCTGATAATTGTACCACGCCACGATACAACAGCATACACTAGTATCTGGACAATGGTTAATGTCACAATACCCATCGAGCAACGGCAGAAGTACAGAAACCCCCACATAACATATGTCACATTGAAAAAGATGTCTGCAAAGAATATTCTCATAAAACTCACTATTGCATTAGACCTTCGCTCAACCAGTGAATGTATCTGCCCAGATCCTAGATGATGAAATCCATGGTAGTTCATTAGGAGATACTCCCTCAAGCAGTGATGGAACGACTTCCCCATAAGCAGCTGGATAATGTAGGCCGAAATAAGCTTGTAGATAAGGCTTGCTATATAGTGATTTATAGGCAGAACCATGAATGAGATAAGAAGCCTGCTGGGGTCCGTTCCATCGGTTGTCTTTCCAACAATATATTGCTCAATTTTTGTTATCAGCTTTTGAAATTCAAAATGTAACTTACTTGAAAGCATTATAAAGAACACGGTTGCAGAAATCCCCAGAAGAACTGTCTTGTCCTTGACAAGGAAATCTACCACCAGTGACATCATGTAGGAATATCTTCCATGCCCTCTGTTTTTCATTTATGGAGGGTTTTGAACTTCTTTTATATGTGGGGGCGGGAAAAAGATGGTGCAAAGCTTCAATTCCGTTAGTAATGTCTAGTATGAGAAGAAGAGGCAATCAAAAATATATGCCAAATGTAATGGATATGAGATTTCATGGATTGGAAAAAATCACCCCAATATGGATAGAAGAGGATTGGAGGCATGTCTATATGAAGTGCTGAGGTCCGATCCCGCTGCAGGAAAGAGGGCCGAAGCAAAGATCCTGGAGCTGCAATCAAATGACTTTGAAAGGTTTATATCGATTCTTGTGGAAGTCTTTGGCGACCTGAAAAGTAATGATCAGCTCCGAATGGTTTCCGGGATTATTCTTAAGAACAGTCTTCACGCAAATGATCCCGAACTCCAGAAAGGCTGTTTGAGCAGATGGCTAGGGATGAGGTGCGAGTCTAGAGAATATGTAAAGAACATGCTTAGAGGGGCGATGAAAGGCCCCATTCCAAGGTTCTGTACCATGGCCGGGGCAGCCCTTGGGCAGATAGCCAGGATTGAGATTCCCAACAATTTATATCAAGGATTTTTTGAAGAGATGAAGAGGATGGTCTGCGATGAGGAAGCAGTATGTGGTGTGTGTGAGGCTGTGGGAATATGTTGCAGCTATCTGGTGAAGGAGGCCCCTGACATCCTTCAGATGCACAATACTGCTGTGTTTGAAATATGCATGTATCCTCTTAAAAGCGGAACCACAAGTAGAGCCAAGCTGTCTGGACTTAAGTGCTTGATGAACTGTATGGAAATCCGGGGGATATTTTGCTATGAAGAGAATGTAAACATATTTCTAAATGCGACAATTGGGATATGGAATGGGAATGATGAGGAGCTAATACACAAGCTGATGATATGCTTCAACAGGCTTGTGATGCTTAATTACAAGTTTATTCAGAAGAGTATATTGGAGAATATGCTAGCACAGTATTTAGGAAGGTTTTTCAAATCAAAACACGATGAAATCAAGATTCAAGCGATTGAATACTGGTGTATTTTTGCTGAGAAAGCGGACGAAGAGATGATCAACAAATACATGCCGGTTGTATTGCCAGAGGTACTTAACCTTCTTAAGAAAGGCCCAGATTACTACGGAGATGTGTGGTCACCACACAAAGCTGCGTCTTCTTGTCTTGAGATGTACACAGAGCTGAAGGGTGATAAGATGATGAGAAATGGGATGGTGTGGGGGTTTATAGAAGCCTCTTTGAAATCTGGATCCAAGAGCAATGTAGACATAGGTGCTGTAGCGTTGGGAAGTGTCATGCACGAAAGATGTGAGGACTGCCTAACAAAGATTGTCCCAGATCTTGTTGCTGGAATAGAATATGAAGAGTCAAAAGACTCCTGTTTGTGGGCATTATCTAGGGTGGCTGAATGCAACTTCTACGCATTAGTCGATCATCTCCCCATGATTTTGAACAAGTGTGGATCAGTTGTTCTGGAAAGCTCCAAATCTTCGATTGGAGCTGCATGGGTAATGGATTGCATATTCCGTTCTATAGTAGATAGCAAAAGAAAGGAGGGATTTGCAAGCCACATACCAAATGCAACAAAGAAAAGAGCAGATGGGTTTATCGAAAGCTTCCTGACGAAGCAATATTTAGACATTCTTAATGTATTGGTCAAAGGGACAGAGTTAGCAAGCCTGAATGATTCAAGCTTGAGGGTTGCATTGTTTTCTGCGCTTGACGAGCTGATTCTGATATGCCCGCAAACTGTTTTGGACATTCTTGTTGGGTTTTATGACTACACATCGAAAAAGATTGATGAGTGTATAAGTGTATTAGGATATGCCACCCAAGATCAGCTACTAGTGGTTGAGGATGTCCTCTCAAATTACATAGGGCTTATTGAGGCAATAGCGACTGCAAGAGAAAGAGAGGATGTGGAAGACCTTCTTGAGCTGTTTATAAGAATCCTGGAATCAACTCCAACGATAGCCTTTGGGGAGGTTTATACAAGTATCTCGAACCTTTCCTCAAAGTTCTCTCCACACGCATCTAAGATACTTCCTTACATGGCAAGAGATATGAGATGCACAGATAGGTTTGTCTTGAGTTCTGTGATAAATCTTGTTGGAAGGCTTGCAAACACAATGGGAACAGATTTCAACATTCTTGCAACTGTTCTCACATCGTCTCTAGTCCAGTGTCTCGGCTCCGAAGCTACTCATAGAGATCTTAAGCCGACAATACTGTCTGTATTCGGGGACATTGCACTGGCACTAGAGAGAAATTTCGAGTCATATCTTGATATGGTTGTCATGCTATTTCAGCAGATATCAGAGGTTGGAAGGTATTCCGACGAAGAGTATGTGGACAATCTCCGTAGGAATGCAGTCCAGCTTGTGAACTGTTCTCTGGTGGCTATTGGCGACAGTTCAAAAGTCAGAAGTGTTCTGCCCAGGATCATTGGGATAACGCATAAGATAGGTGCCGAAGATGATAGTGGAAAAGCGAGCAACGACATCCTTGGACTTATTGATGACCTTGTTGGAATGTATGGAAAGAACTTTGGACTAGACGAGCCATGGATTAAGGACTTTCTGTATGGAATGATGAAATGTGGTGATGACCAGAATAGAAAGAAAGCCAGCAATGTCCTGGAAATGCTAAGATAAAATATAGCAGTCTTGAATTAAAGTGCTTCATTTAATTTAATCATTACTACAAGTCAAGAAGTCTGATTGTGGATTCTTCTATACTGCTCGAGATGTTGCTTCATGCTACACAGAAAATCAGATAATGTAACTAATATTTCTTTTAAATTTCTTGCCTCTTCTTCTCCAAACTTACACTTAATCATGCTGGAGTACAGATGAAACTTCTTGAAATTACAGCTTACACTTTCAAGCTTGCTACATGCAAACCTGAAGAACTTCGCGTATTCCTCCTTAACACTCTCTTCCAACAGGTCTAGGAGCTCCAGCTTCTCTGTGTACATTTCTATGAAGTAGTTGATCTTCTCACGCATTCTCGTCAACTCCTCATTCTTCAGATCATGTATGGGAGAAAGCTCTTCAAGTAGATACTCCGGCCTAACGCCATTGGCTTCTAACATCTGGAATAAAAATGGGAAGAGAGAAGTATTGTTCTTTCCTCGGTAGTTACTGAATACATACAAGCTGGAGAGCCTGAACCCACTCGCCTTCTTTTTGTTCATCGAGTACCGGAAGTTCATTGTGTTTCCAATCTCAAGAATCATTTTGAGAACTACCCTAAGGCTCTTGCTATCCAGGATCTTACTACAGACCTCTAGCAATCTTGAAAGGGTCCCTTCTATAAGAAATATCTCGTCAAAAAGCTTTCTTTCGAAGATCAATATCTCAATAAGCTTACGAACATCCAGTAGCTGTGAGTATGCCAGCATGGCCTTTTCAACCTTACTAAGGGACCCAGGTGCTGCTGATATCAGATTCATGACCTCTTCATGATCCGGATACATCTTTTCGATGTTCAGTAGATCCTGAAGCTCAAGAGCATTGTCGGGAGATTTGAGTATGGAGTACACATTCTCAGGTGTTATGTTCCTCATCTCAAGATGCTTCAGCGAGAGGGACACCAGAAACAGCCTGCCGTCTTCTACAATGCTCTTCTGAATCTGCTTACTTTTGCTTTCGTGCTCAGAGAATGGTTCGCAAAATATCTCCTCAAACCTCTTGTAGTCAATATCAGCATTGATTCCGTCAACATCATCGAATATTGTCTTCTCAGCCCTTGCTAATGGAATCCAATGGAGGGGCTTTTTGATGATAACGGCAGGCATATCATATTTTTCAGCCGGCTTCTTCTTTAATATTATCTTCTTCGTCTTCAGATTGACGGTCTTTTCTATTCCGGGTGACAGCACTATCAACTCTAACGGTTTCAACTGCCCACTCTCCATTGAGTATAGGGTTCTCCTGTCAAACACCATTCCGTTGGAAATGGATTTCTTCGAGCCATTGGCAGCCTCTGGCTTAGTCTCTTTGCTAGGGCTACATTCCTTCTCCTTGAATGTTTCGTCCATATGTCTAAGTACCTTGGCCTCAAAACTACTAGTCTTCAGGCCCTGGACCTCCAATCCCTCAATAAACTCTCTAGCCTTCTCTGGACAATACTTCATGAATGCACAGAACTTTGCAATTATTTCGTTTCGGCCTTCAGAGGTAAGCCTCTCGTAAATCGCTCTATCAGGCTCTCCCCAGAAATTCTCATTCAGCAATCTAAGCCCTTGGACAATGTCGGTCTTGTACATGCACAATGGCTTCTCTACAGGTTTTCCTGACTCAATCATAACAATATCAATAGTAAATTCTTTGTCAAACTTCTTCTTAGATAGAAAGCACTCCATGTCATCCAAAACAAATCTGTATAAACCCTGCCTATAGAAAAGGGTGTTGATTCTCAAGAGAACTACATTTTTCTCTGTGCCTCCAAAGTAATAGCACATAAGAATCTGTATGTCTTCAGATATCTCACAGTCAACTCCGCTGAACACAACATAATCCTCATCTCTATAAACTTTGTCGTTGCCGTCCTGCTCTCTAATCACAGACAGCTCTTCCCCCTTCCTCATCACTTTCATTCCAACCGTGAAATCTTCGGCAGGCCCAAGAGGAATCGTAGTCACTATAAGCTGCTTCAAAACAACCGAATGGATTCTATCTCCTTTCAAAGCGCTTGCAGAATCAAAGTACTTGATGTATCTTTTGACTGTATTGATGTTGGATAAACTCGGTGCAAGGGCGTCTTCAAAATACCTCTCCCACACTATTTCCGTTCTATCGGCAACCCCACAGTGCCTTAGAATACATCCCACTAAAAACCTCAGTTTGTCTTCATCACCACTCCTTACCTCAAGTGCAGCTATGTTGTTTGAATTAAATTCTAACCAACATCTTACAGCACATGACACCCTGTAGGCAAGCCCAAGATCAAATTCAAGCGACGGTATTCTTTGAACATTAACGTACTCCTTGAGATTCTCCCCGGTGCACCAGATCATAAACCTATCCTTATAGTTATCATTAAAAAACTTGATAAGCTCCTTGGTGTTGTTTCTCCTTGTTATGTTTTCTGTAGAATTCTCCCAGCATTGCCCAAATACCAACACACGGTGGTTGATTCTCCAAACATTAAGGTTGGCACCAATCCCTGAGCCTCCGACCTCCTTCTCCTTGGCTTCCCCCTCGGGCTTGGAAGAAGGCTTTATTGAGTCCACACATCTAAAGTCTCCCCCTTCGCTGTTCCTCACAAGAGCTTGGATCTTCTCGAGAATCCCAGTGTTAATTCTGGCTCCACTCACAAGAGTCTCTCTTTCCATCTTCTTCCAGACTTGACCTTGGTGTTATAAAAAAGATGAAACGCTACCAATCGATGGTCACCTTCTTGTTTCATGGCAAAACAAACCCAGAAAATAAACCTTACAGAGCTACTTTATTTCGAACAAAACCTTATAGCAGATCCTAATAACAGTCCCGAGACGAGAATAAACATAACATAAAAGAAGGGGCCCCAATGAGAAGACAACTCAATCTCCATATCTATGTGTTCTGTCTCAGGACGTGACAATGAATCCGCAACATTCTTGAACTCATCTATACTTCTTATACACCTATCTCCGTTCTCCTTCCTAAACCTAGATATCATTTTCTCCTTCTCCTCAAATAGCTTCAGGAGAAAATCATCGCCATCCATACCGTCATTATTAGGAATGTAATCCAGGAAGAACATGAAGTTCACCTTCTGTGATTTGTTTATTATCACATCCCAATAAGAGAAGACATCATTGGGATACTTTACATAAGGATTCCCTATCATCGTGAGATCTATGACTCCTTCCATATCATCCCGAATATTTTCCCTAAGTATCTTAAATCCAGTGGTTCTTGGAATAAGAACCTCCTCAGGATCAAACCCCTTTCCTTCAACCTCTACGTTTGCCTCAACCGACCACTTGTGAGACTTGGGGTGGGAACATTTGTCTATGTATGTCCCTTCTGGAAAAAGAAGAAGGTCATACTTTCCTTCCTTCTTGAGCCTAGATGCCCCACTCATAATAATCTCCCTATCCTTGCTTACCTTTCTGTTCAAGAAAATAAATTGGAAAAACTTCATACCATAGCCTAACAATGGAATGTTCCTTAAAGACATTTTGAGAATAATACAGAGGTCCTCAAACCTTTTAAGGTAATGGAGGACACAGCAAACGAATAGCCAGTCATACTCTGTCAAGTGATTTGAAATCACAACATTTCTATTCCTTTTAAGTATTATCGGGTTGTACCTGATAAACACCCTCTGAGGAAAGTATCTAGAAAACATAGCCCGTGTGAGATGGAGCCATCCGACCTTTGCCGACTTCCTAAGAACTCTTTGAGATTTTTCTCCACAACACACCAGTTTGGCCACAGATACAACTATAAGCCCAACAATAATATATGAAAAATATACTATCATTGCTATTATAAACTGCATACCATTCCAAACCCTTCTCATCACTTCAGCCATGTTTTTGATCTAAATATTTTTTTCCAAACACGTTTCAATCGTGATGCTTCAATTCTGTCATTAATCCACCTCTAAAAGGCGTCTGATGTGTATTTCTAAACAAGTCATCTCTAGGTAGCCCCTTTAGGTATTTCATGACCTTAAGGAGAGAATCATCGTCTAGCGCTCCGGTGTATGGGGGGATATGAATCCCATTACCAGGCTGGAACTCATAAGAATGAGGGCTGTCATCAACTAGAATCACCTTGTGCAAGGGTCTTCCAAGCCTGCATAGATCCTTAACATATCTCCCGTTAGTAAGCGTGCATGACTCCCTATACAAAGAATACTTTATATTCTTGTTCATATCAATCATGTCAATAACCTTCCTAGCATACTCTTTTTTTGCGGCTGTGAATATGATCACTTCATATATGTCTCCAACCCCGTTGATAAACTCGGTGGCATGAGGCCTTACCTTTACGTATATGGGCATATCCCTACTCCTTGGAACCTCCACACAAAAGTCGTAGAACTCCGGCATCTCGAAAGTTGAATGTACCAAGGTATTGTCAAGATCCAGGACAAGTGTTGGCTTTGGATCATATTTTCGTGGCAGAATAGACCTTGGGGATTCTTCATCACAATTCACCTTTTTCATCTTTCTTCTACTCTCCATGGACACTTCTTTCTTGTAACAACCACAGAGACCTCTTAGAATTTTAAGGATCCAGGGCATTGACATAACGGGGGTATAAGCCTTGCTTCAATTCCTCCCCGATGACCGAAGGTCTTGGTGAAGAAAAGTACTTTGCCATGCTTGGAAATATAAAAAATTCTATTCTACCAACAAGAGAAGAAACCCTATCGCTGATCAAGGAGGTCCAAAAGGTATTTGAGTCTGAGCCAAATATTCTGCATATAGATACCTCAGTCAATGTCGTTGGCGATGTGCATGGCCATTTCTATGATGTGTTGAACATGTTGAGCCTAATGGAGGATCCATCAGAAAAGACATATCTATTTCTTGGAGATTATGTTGATAGAGGATACAACTCCGTTGATCTTATTCTTCTCCTGTTTCTATACAAAAGACTTTACAAAGGCAATCTGTATCTGCTAAGAGGAAACCATGAAACACGCATGCTCTCCTCGGTTTATGGATTTAAGGAGGAGTGTGTGCGGAAATACGACCTTGTTGTGTACTGGAGGATTTGCGAAGCCTTCCAATACCTTCCTGTTGCAGCAATAGTCTTAAGGAAATACTTCTGCGTACACGGTGGGTTAGTTCCTGGCATGTCTTTAGACTTCATAATGAAACATGACAGAGTAGGAGAGATCACAGAGATAAACGATATCTTATGGAGTGACCCGGATGAAACGCCTGGGTTTCGGAAGAGCCAAAGGGGTGCTGGATATTTATTTGGAGAGGATGTCCTGAAAAACTTCCTTAATGAGCATGGTCTATCCCACTTTGTCCGATCTCATCAACTGGTTAATGACGGTTATAAAGCATACTTTGGCGAGAAGCTGTACACTGTGTGGGGAGCCCCGAACTACTGCTATTCTTCTGGTAATATTGCCTGTGTTATGGCTATTGATGAGAGCGGCCATGATTTTAGATTGTTTGATAGATGCGAGGAACAATACAAAGAAATCCCAATGAGATACGACTTCTTTAATGGGTGAAATGGACTGGTAGGAATTTCAAATATACTATCGGACGATAGGAAGACATTCCTTCATGAGGTCAAACAAGGTCTCGTTTTCCATTGCTGCAAGAACCCTGTCCTTGTCATCCAGCTGTTTGTTTAATGCCTTGAAGTTTACATGTCCGTCATTTATTATATGAACTTGAATAAAATGGTTTTTTATGTATCTACTCAGCTGTGCTTTTATACACAGCCCTATCACTGCAGCCATGGAACAATGAGGTATTGTGGGCTTGAACATCACTCTTACGTACTTGATCGGAAGCCCAATACTAAGTGTTGCATCATCCGAATTGATAAGTCCAATACTTATTCTTTCCTTAGACACGACGCCGAGCTGCTCCAGGGTATAAGGATGCTCGGGATCTCTTATGTCTCTGATAAGCTCAAAGACAGTATGGGGAGTAACTTCTTGGAGGGTTCCATTAGATATCTCAAGAGGATATCTTTCCTCTAACGAATTAACAATAAATGGAGACTCGTTCATACATAGGGGCTTTGAACAAGTACAAATGGACTATGGAGCAAAGCTTTAAAAGAGACTTTAATAGATCAATGCTTCTCCTCTTCTCTTCTTTTCTCCACCAAATATCACATGCTTGGCTCTCTTCAAAGGCTTCTGATGGGCAAACTTGCATTTCGTGCATTCCAGCTTTAGTACAAGCTTTTTGGTGACCTTTGCCTTTCTTCGGAGAATCGGCTTTGTCTGTCCACCATAACCCCTTTGCTTTCTAGCATACCTTCTGTTTCCCTGTGCCCTCGGATTGTCCTTAGATTTCTTGGCTTGAGAGACTTTGTGAGTGGAATAGTTACTGCACTTCTTGCAGAATGTATTTCTCGTCTTCGGAATGTTCACCATCTTTCCAAGGGCAAGCCCCAGAGAAGTAATTTTTTCATGAAGCCAATCCTGATGAGGGGAAGCACGAAGAGAATTACTGAGGCTAGGCTAGTGTGCCTCTTGTGCACAGCAAAATTATGGAAATACTGACAGGGCATCCCCCCATAAAATGTCTACCCCGGCGAAGCGAAGGCTGATGAAAGACTTAAAAAGAGTAAGGAAAAACTCGTTTAAAACAATATTTGCTGAGCCTCTGGAGGATGACTTAATGACATGGGTTGCCGTTATCTTTGGACCGGAGTCAACGCCCTTTGAGGGCGGAACATTCAGCTTGGTTTTGGCATTTCCAGAGACATATCCTCAGGACCCTCCAAACGTAAGATTCGTCTCGGAGATGTTCCACCCAAACATTTATCCTAATGGAGAGCTCTGTCTAGATATCTTGAATAATAGGTGGAGCCCAAGCTATGATGTAATGGGGGTCCTTATATCTATACAATCCCTACTCAATGATCCAAATACAGCATCCCCTGCCAATACAGATGCGGCAACTCTATTCTTGTCAAATCCAATCTTATATGCAGAAAAGGTGAAGAATTCAGTTGTAAAGAGCTGGGTGGATGTTGAAAACCTTAGAGATAAATATAAAGGCAGCTAGCTGCTTCTCATACCATATCTGCTGTCCAATTAAAACATTAAGATTAAGCCTTTGGACATACCTTGGATGCTTCGGTCCCTTTGTAAGACTTAACTAGTGTATCAACAAGATGATTGACATGCTTCTGGATATCACTATTTGTTCTTGACAGGAGATAATAATCAAACTTATACTCAGTTAATCCTAGGATATCCTTACGAATGCATTCTACCCAATTAGGGTAATCAATGTACTTCCTATAAAGATTCAACAGGAGGTTGTTGTAGTCACCAAGCTTTGATCGTGTCTTTCCCAGCTTCCTGCTGATATCCTCAAAATCTCTTTCAATTATTTCCCTGATCCTGGATCTCTTCTCCATTTTCCGTTGGCTTCTATTTATAGAACTTATTATCTTCTCTGCATCTCTCAGCTCATTTATTCTTTCCCAGAAGACCTTATGGTATGCCTCCACATCATCTCTGTGGCTTAGTAGCATTGCTATTTTTGGAACATTATCCTTTCCAACCTTCTCCATCGCCTTCACAAAAGATTGGAAGTCTTTCTTTGTCCAATCAAAACCCTGTGATAAAAGCTCTTTCTTTCTAACCATATCACTCTGCGAAAGGACCTTGCCTTCTTCGTAAAGCTTGATCTCCTTCTCCTGTATGTCCTGGAGCTCTCGTGGATAGAATTGATACTCAGGATATTCAATAATTCGCGGCTTGGCTCGGAAGAGAATACTCGCCCTTGAGGACCTCCCATGATTATCTTGGTTGCTTTCAATAAAACTCTCAATCTTCTTGACATTGTAGTCTTCTCCTTCCCAACTGTAGCAATCAATGTTTGTGTTCAATCCATCACTAATCTTGAAGTCACATAGCCTCATATTCATCTCCCGAGTCTTCTCCTCCCCTCTTCTAATTATATCGTCGATACTCTCATCCTTTCCTTCATCCTCCCCAATTTCCATTCCGTTTGCCAAAATATCAATAAGTTCAGACTGACTGACGGTGGAGTTTCTATGATATCTTCCCTGCAGCAAAATGTCATCCAGCCTGAGCTTCTGCAGTGATCTATAAACAATCCTCTCCTCAACAGTATTCTCACTAATCAGCCTGAAGACCACAACTTGCTTCTTTTGCCCTATCCTGTGGGCCCTATCCTGTGCTTGAAGATCCATCTGTGGATTCCAGTCCGAATCAAACAGAACCACCGTGTCGGCAGTAGACAGGTTTATCCCAAGGCCTCCCGCCCTTGTTGTTAGAAGAAATATGAATTTATCACTTCCTTCTGCGTTAAATGCATCTATTGCTTCTGTCCTTTCCCTGTAGGATGTAGATCCGTCAATTCTGCAATATTTATATCCCTTGAATACTGCATAGTCCTCAAGTATATCCAGCATCATCGACATCTGGCTGAAAATGAGAACCCTAGACCCCTTGGCTTTGAAATTGGCCAGCAACTTGTCAAGCATCATCATTTTGCCAGAATTCTCAATTATGTGCTTATCATTGGTGTATGGTTCAGGCTCTGCATCTGGGAACAGATATGGATGATTGCAGCACTTCCTCAACTGCATAACAACATTCATAAGCATTCCCTTTGGGTCTCTTGTATTTCCAAGTGGAGATAGATCCCTTTTCAGAAGCATCCTGTACCACTCCCTCTGCATAGCACTTAACTTCGAATATAGATTGATGATTTTTTTTGGAGGCAGCCCTTTCTCAACATCTATCTTCTCTCTCCTCAAGAAAAAGAGCTGAAGAACACTTCTGATCCTTTTAATGGCTTCTCCATCCCCCTCGTCTATGTTCATCACGTACCTTTCAAACTTCTCGGCATCGTTGAAGATCTCAGGAACTATGAAATTTAGCAACGCCCATAACTCATGAACATTATTCTGAAGAGGTGTTCCTGTAATAAGAAGCCGGTGATCGCAAGAAAAAATCCTAACTATCTTACTAAGAAGGCTGTGCTCGTTTTTTATTCTATGAGCTTCATCTATAATTATGTATGACCAATTAACTGTATTCAGAATATTCTTTGCATTTATACACATCTCATATGTTGTTAAACATGCATCCCATCTCGATGACATAATTTCTTCTGCCTCCTTCCTCATTTCCTTTCGAGAAGAGTAAAACACACGAACCTTGTAATTAGGCATGAACTTCTTAAACTCCCTTTTCCAGTTGGCGAGGGTAGACTTCGGAAGTACAATCAGGTGCTTTTTCTTCTCCTTTCTCACATATCGGATGTATCCAAGAAATGCAATCGTCTGGAGAGTCTTTCCTAATCCCATCTCATCTGCTAGTATACAATTTATAGAATTTTCATGCATATTAATTAGCCAGTTTAATCCCTCAATCTGATAATCTTTAAGCTCATGCAGAATAAACCTAGGACTACTGACAAACGTGTATGGCTCAATAGGCTCGTCATCTCCTCCAATAACCTCCTCGTAGTTTGGTATAAACGCCCTGAAAAATTCGTTGTCACCAATGAAATTTTTGTATTTTTTCAGGAGCTTTGCATTCATCTGAGGGCTCATTCTTCACAAATTTTTCTTCTAAACTACCATATAAGGAAATTCCGCCTCTCACTCAAATTGCATATTAAGGTATTTAATGATCTCCTCAGCCTTGCTTTTTCCTAGACCCTGAATTCTCTCCATCTCTTCAGAAGACTTTCCAAAGAACTTTTGAAGCGTTCCACAATCTTTAAGTATCTGCTGAACATCGCTTTTGTTTACTTTTGGAAAAGAACACAGAAACCCTTCTTCGTCACGGCTTCCCCTTCTTATTATATCAATCGATCTTCTCCCAGCCGCATCAAACCCTTGGATGTATCTAGAGCATTCCTCCACGCTGAATCCCAACACCATTGTCAGGGAGACGGTCCTGAAGAGTTCTCGGATCATCTTACTATAGTTAGGGACATCCACATGAACAAGCAACACCCGCACTTTGTAAGGCTTAAGCTTGTTGATTCTTTTATAAATGTACTCAGGCTTGCAACTGTGAAAGCGAAGAGATAGAAACAGCAAGGCGACAGAGCCATTTACCTCATAGTCAGGTGTTATCGAGTTGTCATAGTGCCAAGTTGCATTTGAGAGATAGTCTAATACACTATTCCCCTTCTGAAGCGGAGAAACCTTTATCATCGATGGGATAATCTCTTGTTTTCCATTATAAAGGTCAAGTACCGACGATAAAAATTTAATGTTGTGCTTCCTTTCCAAGTATTTTTTCCATGTTGATAGATCTATTCTGAGATGCCATTTCCTTCACCTTAGAAACAACCTTGGCCACCTCTACAAATTCTGCAGGGTCCTCATGCCTCCTCCCAATCCATATATATCCATTACATCCAGCAATAACTTTAATGCTATCATTAAAAAGAAACCTGGTTTTGAGTGGTTCAAGCAGGAAGTGGGGCACAAATACTAAGAGTCCCTTGCTTAGCTTCCCATACCTATCATTTCTTGTATGCAGTGCTGCAGTGCCGTTTCTATTGACTTTCTGGATCTCAGACACAACAAGATCGTTGATATCAAAAAAGCTCCTCATGGACATCTCGTCGGACTCCTGCTTACGGCGCTGGACCGCTCCAGGAAGATTGATCGCAGACAGTCCTAGATAAACATCTGATCTGCTGTTTAGGTCTATCTTCCACTTCTTGTTATGAATCCCGACAACCCTACCTATAACAACATTACCAACCTCCGGGGTGTATTTCATAGGGAACACGGGATCTATGGCTACAAGCTTGTTAGTAATCCTTACCTTCCCAAAGTATGTCGACACTATATGGCTGTCTTTGAGCTGTGTTCCATGGCCTCTTATATATCCATCACTCTCTAGCACTTCCTCCCCAGGTAGAAACAAGGCCTTCATCGGGGCATGGATGGAGCATCCAAATAATCACCCAGATGGCCACAAATACTCTTTTATTCAAGCCCTGAGATGAATGTCGTTCCGCTTGGTGCAGGGCAGGATGTCGGGAGATCATGCGTCCTTGTCACCATTGGAGGAAGGACAATAATGTTTGATTGTGGGATGCATATGGGATTCAATGACGAACGCAGATTCCCTGACTTTTCATATATCTCGAAGACTAAAAGCTTTGACAAGGCCATAGATTGCGTAGTAATTTCACACTTCCATCTAGATCATTGCGGAGCCCTCCCGTACTTCACAGAGGTTTGTGGATATAACGGGCCGGTTTATATGACCTTACCAACCAAGGAAGTCTGTCCAGTTCTATTGGATGACTTTAGAAAAATAGTCGAAGGAAAGGGAGATAGCATTTTCACATACCAGGACATACTCAACTGTATGAAAAAAGTCACTACAATTAATATGAACGAGACATATAAGCATGATGAGGACTTCTACATCACACCATACTATGCAGGGCATGTTCTAGGAGCTGCAATGTTCCATGTTGTTGTTGGAGACCAGTCTGTTGTATACACAGGAGACTATAGCACAACGCCTGATAAGCATCTAGGCCCTGCATCAATCAAGTGCGTTCGGCCGGATCTGCTGATCACAGAATCGACATATGGTTCGATAACTAGAGACTGCAGAAGAGTCAAAGAAAGAGAATTTCTTAAAGCTGTTTCTGACTGCATAGCGAGAGGAGGGCGTGTTCTGATTCCTATATTTGCATTGGGAAGGGCACAGGAGCTATGCCTGCTGCTGGATGGATACTGGGAAAGAACTGGACTAAAGATACCTGTTTACTTTTCCAGTGGGCTAACCGAGAAGGCAAACGAGATCTACAAAAAGTTTATTAGCTATACAAACGAAACTGTCAAAAGAAAGATATTTGAAAGGAATGTGTTTGAATACAAGCATATAAAGCCTTTTCAGAAGTATTACATGGAGAACAAGGGACCCATGGTCTTGTTTGCATCACCGGGGATGCTTCACTCTGGGATGTCCCTCAGGATGTTCAAGGAATGGTGTGAGGATGAGAAAAACCTTGTGATAATACCTGGATATTGTGTCAGGGGAACGATAGGGGAAAAGGTTCTGAACGGAGCAAAAAGATTAGAGGTTCTTGGAGAGGAGAAGGACATAAGGCTGGAAGTCAGGAACCTGGCATTTAGTGCGCATGCAGATGCACAAGGGATCTTGAATGTAATAGAACAGTGTAGCCCAAGGAATGTGATGCTTGTCCATGGAGAAAGGTCTCGAATGAAGCAGCTCAAAAGAAACATCGAGGAAAGATTTGGGATTCCAACATTTCTTCCACCCAATGGAACACTTATAAACATTCCATCGAAAAATACCATTAACCTGAGAATAAGAAAGGAGAGCATTTCTAAGTATTTCAAGCCAAGCTTGTCAAAAAGCAAAGTTTCTCTAAGGATGAAGCTATCTTCGGAAAAAAAGGGGAATTATATCGATGTCATGAGTTGCGAGGAGTACATTGAAGATAATACTTAGACGTGGGTAGAATCGCATTTTAGTTGCTTGAAATAAGATGGGAGAAAACTTAAAACATTTGGTTTGAAAATAGTGTGAAACAAAGACCGTATAAATTGTGTATACAGTGAAAGATTATGGAAAAAGATGATTTTAGATGGCTTGAAGGAGATGGAGAAACAGAGGCCGAAGAGTTTACTCCTGCACCTTCCAGGACATCCTCAGTGAATTATATAATAGACTCTACTGGAGGGATATTCTATTCCGTCTTTGTCATCTCTTTAGTGGCAAGGCTCATTACATATGTCTTCGGACTTAATCCATATGCATTTGGCTTAGACTTCAACCTAATACTTTTAAGCACTATTGTTATATCTTTGCTGTTTATCCTTCTTTCAATAGCAAGAGAGACCATAACGTTCATGGGCTTGACTCTTGGGATTGTTGAGAACTCAGATGTATATGCAAAGATACAAAGGCTTGTGATGGTTTCTGTCTGGTTTGGTGCAAGTTTATACTGGGTGAACTATGTGAGAATGGCCTATGGGTATGACCTTAACATTCCTCGGAAGGTTCTTGTCTCTGGGATGATAACATGTATAGCATACTCTATTATAAGTGTTGTTATGGGGTACTTTGAAAGTTTTTTCCTGAAGAAGACACTCAGCACCAAGCTGAGCGATGTACAAGGGACTGAGAGAATAGTGTGTGCAATGAAAAATTACAGATATGATGTTTCTGAATCAGTGAGTAGCAGGACCCCGGAATGCTCATGCAAGGATGTGTTTTGTTTTAGAGTATCAGCGAGCATTGGAAGCAGAGAGTCGAGGAAGGAGAGTAGAGAAGAGGGATTTCATTTGTTTGCGGGGGGTCTTGTGATAAATCCTCCTGAGATTCATGGAATTATGGATGCCAAAACTCTTGCAAGAGATGTTTTTACCAAAGCAAGTAATGGGAAAGATTCTCTCTCGTTTAGTGATTTCAGCACTATTTTCCCAACACCACAAGACGCTCTGAATGCATTTGCCTTCTTTGATTCAAGTAACGAAAGAACTATTTCAAAGAAGGTATTTCATGATACAATGATACATTTCTACATGGAAAGGGTGAATCTTGAGAAGAATGTAATGAGAGCAGAGAAATTTATTAGCATAGTTACAAGTGCCATCAATACGGTTGTGGCTGTCTTTCTCTGCTTCATTTATCTCATAATTTTTGGAATTCCACCTAAGGAGTTGTTAACATTGACACTTAGTGGATCTCTTGCATTCAGCTTCATTGCAAGTAAGATAATTCCGGATTTGTACCGTGGCTTTATGATGCTTACAACACATCCATTTGATGTGGGTGATGATGTCACAATTGACGGAGTAGATTATAGAGTTTATGAGTTTGGATTGACAAGTACATCTCTGATTGGCGAGAACGGGGGAAAGATAAAGTTTCTGAACAGTGATCTCTGGAAGAAGAAGCTTGTTAACATGACAAGAGCACCCGAAAAGATAATTATGTTCAACTTCAATCTGAATCCTGACATAAAGGTCGAGGAGTTTGGGCGGTTTAAAAGTCTAATACACGAGTTCATCAGGAAAAGACCCTTCGACTATGACGATTCTTTCTCTATTCAGGCAAAGACAGAAGGTTTTTCAAGCATTGATGTCCTAAGCTGCACAATGATCCTAAGGTGTAAGAACTACAAGACTAAGTCGAAGAAGTTCGTTCTTAGAATCGAGATGACCTCGTTTCTGAGATCATTGGTGGCAGACATGGGCATCGGGGTGAAATGAACCCTGGGTACATGCAATAAATTCACGGTATTTATTTAAGATCCTTATTTTTGAAGATATGCTTGTGACTGTTCTGTCGTGGAATGTAAATAACAAAGAAGGGGTTGGAGATGCCATTCCGAAGATATTAGGGCACACCAACTCCGACATGATACTGATATCGCTACAAGAACACTTCGATGTTTATAGTAGCGTAATAAAGCCTGTTTTGAAGATGTATCCGTCCTATAGAGTGATTTCTGTTGACAGAGTCTTTGGACTATGGTCCATTGTACTGTCAAAAGAAAGATACACTGCAAGCACCATAAGGATGGGTTTTGGACCATTAGGACTCATTAACAAGGGTGTGTGTGTGACCAAGATATCGAATGGGGTTATATTCATAAGCTGCCATTTGTCTGCACACCAGGAGAATAACAAAAAGAGATTGAAGGAGATCAGGAAAATATTTGAATGTATTTGTGATGAAGAGTCTCTAAAAAGTACTGACACTGTTATCCTTGCTGGAGATATGAACTTCAGGATTTCTGGAGGGCTAAAAAATCTCGACTATTCGAAGGCAAAGGAGAACGATCAATGCAACGAATTTAAGAGGGCCTATCCGTCATTCTCAGAGGGCATAATAGATTTCAAGCCAACCTACAAATACATTGTGGCCACCAATGAGCTGTGCAGTGAGAGACAACCATCGTGGTGTGACAGAGTATTCGTGTCAACATCCTATACAAGCACGTTCAATGCATATAGATCGGCTTACAATGTGAAGATAAGTGACCACAAGCCTATTGTTTGTGTGTTTGAGGTAGGTGGCAAGAGAATAGATAGAACGGCTATCCCAATGGTTGGATACAATGGGCATCAAGTCATACGTGGATTTACAAGATTTTACTGTGGTATCTATGAATATCGAAACACTGCTTTTGTATGTCTTTTGGTGTTAGTACTGTATCTGATGCTTATAAGGTCCAAAACTATTCCAGGACTTAGTAGTCTATTCAGAAGATTTGGTCCTGGAGCATATTACTGATAAAGGTTGTTTTTGTATTTTTGATTCTATAAAAGCCCCTTAATGGAGGAAAGGTTTGAATGGAGAAGAATGGGGTCCCCCCTTGAAGAGAAGCTACATGAATATATCCAAAGTATAATTGAAGAAGAAGACCTTGCATGTATTTCAGAGAAGATTTCTGTTTACTTTGACGCATGGCCATTCAAAGACTTTTCTCTCAGATGCTGGAGAGAACTCAGTGATAAGCTCCTGAGTATCCTCTCCATTGAGGAGAAGAAATATTTTTCTGAAGGTATACAACTGATGAAGATATCCTCGGAAGACAAGAGCCTGGTGATTGCAATTCTTAAGCTTTTTCAAAGGATATTTGGATATTCAAAACAAAGGCATCCTCTTGATATTTCTACTCAAATTATGAGGTTTATATATGCAATGGATCTAGACATTGCAATTGAATCATACAAGGTGCTTACATTCTGCCTCAATTATTCTATAGGCCTGGATGAATTTTCTAATGACCACGCCATTCTCTTCAAGTGTCTAGGGGTTGACCTCGGCGAACCGAATGGAGAAAGAGCTTTTGGCCTTTCTGACAAAGCTTTTATAAACATACCTGAAAGTCTTGGAGATGGAGATATGTTCAGCATTCTTAAGAAGCATTCCGATGAATATGGAAAAGGAAATCTTGTGTTTGAACTTCGACGAAGAATGAATTCCACAGACACAGATGGCCTGAATGCATTGAATACTCTTGGAACATGTGTATTTCTGATACTTGCTAAGGGAGAAGGTGTTTTTGATGAGGTCGTTGGAAGGGTTGATTCCTTAGAGATTTGGAGGCTTACAAGTGGAGAATTATCTGAGAACATGGAATTTGCGATTATGAATCTTTTGGACATACTTATCTATGACGAGTTTGATTTTGCAAGGATTTCTAGAATTCTCGAGCTGAATAATAGCCACGGGTTCTTTTATAGAAGATTTGCAAATGGATTTAATGAATGGAACTTTGAAAGGCACATGGTGTTTCTTGTTTACAGCACCCTTGTAGGAAGCCAGAAATCGAAGTATCTCAAGATGAACATACTCATGGAGGTATTGCCAAGATTCTGTGAATGCTCACCAGATGTTCGGTATCATCTTCTTCGTGTGATAAAGATGCATTGCAAGGAGTCAAATTCAAAAGGCATTTCTGAATTTATTTCTAAAAACGGAGTGAAGATCTTAACAGAGTATCTTGAGCATGCAGAGGAATACGATATAGATGAAAACATAAACCTCAGGTACGCATTTAGGATACTGAGCGATATTTATATGGATGAAAGAAACAGGGCAGAGGTAGGAAATTTTGAAGATAGTGCCTTTCTTGACATTACTGTTGCAACAATCAAAAAACTTTGTCTTCTCGATGCCCGTCTTGTATCTGTATGCGTGGGGATACTATCTTCTTTCATGTTTGATGAGCCATTGAATTTTCCAGTATTCATGAAAAAGGGAGCAGGCATTGTATTGAGGACACAGTTATCAGTTGAACCCAGTATGGAGTATGTCTCTGCATTTATTTCTTATATCGATGCATTTTCCTTGAATCTTAAGTTCCAGAATAAGATAGTAGAGGGAGAGTATCTTTTTAAGTTGTTAGTGGTGTGTAGAGAAGGAGAATTCTTGGGGTCTATGAATGGCACCAATAAGATAATGTCTTTGCTGAATGTCCTTATAATGCATCATCCTGTATTCAAGCAAGATATCTTGAAGTTTTACGCTCATGGGATTAATTACTTAAAAGCCCTCTGTGGGACAAAAGCAGATGGGTGTCTTACGCAGAGGGAATACTATATCGAAATTTTCAACAACCTCTTCAGTCTTATTGAAAAGATGGAGGTCTATCCAGAAAGGGAGGATTCTGTGGCGTTCTTCGATGAAATATTTGACCTTGTTATCAATCCAAAATATTCCTGCAGCATACAAAACCTCTTTAAGGGGTCTTTTAGCGAGGTCTATCGGATGATTTACAAAGAGGCTAGATCTTCTTTAGATAAGCCTCTCGAGCAACTTATTCTTGATACAAAAAGAATTGTAGAACTTTATAAGGCTGATGAAGGGGGAGTTGTAGGATACTGGGGAAGGAACGCCCATACGGAACAGAAGAAAGAAGTTGATGACTTGATGTTTTCTTATGACAACCAGATTGCCTTGGGTTGTATTTTGTGTGAGGACTTTATGGAACTGGCAGGAAATGAAGTAAAGGAAAGTTTGTTTAAGATGATGGCAGGGTTGAATCTCGCGGCCATCCGATTGAATGGGATTTTTCTCTCCCTCTGTAACCTTGAAGAACATAGGTTTTTATCTACTTACAGATCGATAAGGGTTAAGCTCGAGGAGAGCACAGCAAAAGAAGACAGTAGGCTTTACGTATTACAGTCGATATATCTTTGCAACCTGTTTCTACTTCAGAAAATGTATCCCGGGATGATTGAGGCGTCATTTGACATAACTATTGAGTATGTTGAGAAATTAGTGGGGATAATGATTCTAGAAGGAAATGACTCGATTGTTCTGGGACTTAGAATCATAGAAAGATTGAGCACGTGTTTCAAAGAAGAGCATTATGGAGCAATATCTAGAGAGGAGTTTATAAGGTGTTTGCTTGTGCCTCACCCTAACAGTGAAAGACTGGGGGCTGTTGTGAGTTTCTTTGTATCCCAGTTATCATCAAGAATGAGCTCCAGCCCAGAGTTAAGGTATATGTTCTTGCAGTACTTGAAAAGCGTGGATGTCAAGGATCCTATAGATGCTCGGGAAATTGAATTGGGCAGCATGATTATCGAAGGGATTGGGAAGATGTTTGGTGATTCCAGTGGGCTTTCAAGACCACTGTCAGACATTGAAATGAACATGATTCTTGATATTTACGAAAAGTTCTATATATCGCCTTTGTGTGGGAGGTTGATGATCAGGAGAATAATAAGATCGTCAAAATTTACCATGAGGTTGGTCAAGATTAGGGCGTTTTCATCATTCCAATACTTTCTGATGAAGGATGAAAAGGTGTATGACCATGGGTGTTTTATTATGAATAGATTCTTTGAATACTCAGATGAATTCATCGACATGGCTAGTACCATCCTTCTGTTTGCTACCGTTGGGCGATGTCCTCACAAAATCGATATCAAGGAACTTGGGAAGAAGATTTCTGGGCTTATTACATCGGATGTCTCTTCATCAAAGATATTGTTTTTTTTAATCATGTACCTTAGATTGATACACCAGTTGAAGATGCCTAAACTCTATTCTCTTGGATTTGAGAAGTTGATTCCGCGAGTAAAGACGTGTGATGAAATGATGCTAATGAGAATACTTCTCACCTATGTTGTGAATCCAGACATTGGCAGTGTTCTGAATGGGGTTAACTTTCCTTCAAGAAGAATCAAAGCAAAAGACGGAGATTTCTTGAAATCCCATGATTTTCTGATATATAGGGACTACGATCTTTTTGTTGAGAAGTGCTTGAAAAAGTCTGGTCTTGTGTCTAAAAGCTCCGTTTGCCTTAAACATGGATGCCATAGAATCCACTTTAGAGAAGGAAAAGATGAATCCTATGAAAGTGATAAGATAGAAACATCCAAATTTTTCATCAGAGAGCTTGTTCTTCTCCTAGACACCCAGGATTGTTTTGGATTAGCGATTCAGCTACTTTGTGAGATTATGTTTAATAATCCATTTCTGCTGTATGATATATGTAGATATCAAGTCCTAAACACTATATACGAGAAATGCATTAGGAAGGTGGATTTATCGGCTAAGCAGAAAATGATTGGAGAGTCTCATTGGGGGGTGATGTTGTTTGTGATTGGGCTTTATTCTGAAGTTCTTCTGTCCAAATCAAACAGCAGTCTAGAAAAACAACCAGACAAGGAAGCAAGACTTCCATCTGTATGTGATTTTCTTCTTGAAAAGATCGAAGATGGTTCTAAAGAAGACTTTCTGAATGCGTCGTTTATACTTATCAGGAGCCTAACACCATTATTTATTCTGAGACATGAGAATGAGGAAGATACAACTATGGAGAAGTTTAGAGAAAGTTCTATCTTTATGGGATCTGCGGGAATTTTCGAGAAGATGATAAAGAGGATAATAACGATTGATGAGGTTGATTCCAATTACAGCATGTGCATTCAGCATTCATTGGATTATCTTGGTAGAGCCTTTAGGTATTGCTATGGAGACATCCTCCAAGATCTAGATGATTATGGAGATGATGAATCCCATGTCGAATACTACAGCCTTGCTTCTGAAGACCAGATGTTTGATGAAAGCAGTTTTGACTCTGACGAGAGCTATTTTGATGATTCACCATTTCATGATTTGGAAGAGGACAGAAACACAAGGTCTGATGAGACAGAGAGCTCCTCTCAATCAGAGAATGCCGTGTTCATTAAGAGCATAGAGAACGACCACGAGATACCAACAACAATGTACTTGCTTAACTCTGAGTATTACACCGTTTCTGCAGAGTGTAGAGATGAGATTGAAGTTTTGATCAGCAAGAAGCTCTATTCAGACCTGATTGATAAAAACACAAACTACTATGATTGGGATGGTGGCTGTATACAAAAAGACATGGTGTGTGAAGCAGACAGGCCAATTGTTCGGTCCAAAAATTCTGAGAGCTATCCGAACGAAGATTCCGAGGAAAGCTACGCAGATGACAAAGAAAGAAGAATATGGGATTTTGGATTGGTTTTGGAGGAGGGCAGTGAAGAGGATTTGAATGAAGGAGCGGATATCCAAAACACATTAAGCAGTAGGGGGATAGAAGAGAATGAGGACATGGGGTCATCAGAATCAGATGTCGGATCACAAAATGGAGAGATCCCATCACTTGACCCTGAAGTTCTCAATAGTATGGGACAGTATGAGCTAAAGGAAGTATTGAAGGCCTACTTTGATGAAAGAAGAGCTCTGTCTCTTACCTATGTGCCTCTACATGTAAGCTTCTATGATAGACTTTCTTCTAATGTAAGGCCTGTCTTTGAAGAAATGGAGAGAGTATATAGGGAGAGCTTTTTCTATGACATCAGGAGTGAGTCTACAAAAGAAAGTGATGAGGAGACTATTGAGGTCAAGGGCAATCTTCTCGAGATGGATCTCCTAACATTCGAGAAGTTTATTAGGAAATCTATCACTGAAAAGGAGTTTCCATTTGCTAAAGGCTGGAAGTTAGTTGATGCATTATCAAAGGATGTAAAAATGAAGAAGGTCGTTTTTGAGGTATCCGAAGCCATGATTTCTTCTCTTGTGGCATCCAAAGAAGATAGCCTTAGCAGCCATGATGCAGTGAAATTCAGAAGAACACTCTGTTTGCTTCTCAGCGTTGTTAAAAGCTCATTGAGATACTACGATTATTTCCAAGAGAACCCGGAGATCATAGATAAGATCTTTACTCTTCTCGGAAGGGTTAAGCTGACGAACGACCTTCTAAGGTTGGTAACGGATTTCAGTGTTGTCTTTAGAAAGGACAGCGGTCTTGTTTTTGGCAGAAATGCCGATCTGAGAAGCATTCTTGAATGTTTTGGCAGAATGGTTGACTCCGAGTGTTTTAATCTTCTTGAAGAATTCATAAACAATACTGCAGATCATTTTTGCACAAGGTTTTTGGATGTCATTTTGGTGGAAATAAGAAGGCAGTTCTCTACCCTCTCTCAGGACATTACTACAGGCTTTCCTTCTGATAGATTTTTAGAGAACCAGAAGATATTTCTAAGGCTTTGGAAGATGCTGGCAAAGATTGTGGGGAAAAACGGCAAGATTGATAGGAAAAGAGATGATCTTCTTATAGGCTTGATGTTTGACCCCTTTTGGAACATCTTCTTTGAGAAACAGAAATACAAGGATTCCATTGAGGATCTGATCAGTGTGTCCGATGTTTACGAGGCTTTTTTCATTCTTGGAAAGGTTTTTGAGAATAGAGCAGAGGCTCCAGACAATGGAGAAAGATGCAATGCATTTAAATCACTCTATAAAAATACCATAGAGACTCAGACCAATCAGATCAACTTGCTTGTTGATGAAAAACCAGAAAAATTTTTTAGGAACTTTAATAGGCTCATAAGCCATTCGATATTAACATTCAGTAACAAGAAGAAATACTTGTCCAGAATACTCTGTGTAGAAGGGACAGACAAGCCTTCATCCTCCTACAGAGTGTATGTAGACAGAAATGATGTGCTGAGGAGCTCTTATTTTCAGGTGATGGCAAAAAGTCCTGAGGAGTTCAGAACAAGAAGATTGGAGATCAAACTCACCGGAGAAGAAGGATTAGACTATGGAGGATTGACAAGGGAGTGGCTTGTTTTATTAGCAAAGGATCTGCTTGATCCAAACTTTGCTTTATTTGAGTTTTCTACTGGAGACAAAACAACAACAGTCCCTTGTAAGAATAGCTATGTTAATCCCGAGCACCTGTCATACTTCAAGTTTGTCGGGAGAATAGTGGCAAAAGCTATAATGGATGGAAACTTCATAAATCTTCACCTGTCCAAGTTCATTTACAAACATATTCTTGGAAAGAATTGTGATCTGCAGGACCTAGAGTCCACAGACCCTGAATTCTACAAATCGCTTGCTTGGATAAGGGATAATCACGTTGATGAGTCCTTAGGATTAACATTCTCCTTTGACGATGTAAACTTTGGTATTCATAGAACTGCCGAGTTGATAGAAGGTGGTGCAAATGTCTTTGTCAATGATACAAACAAGACAGAATATATAAATCTGGCGACACAATACAGACTTTTCAATGGAATTGAGCTTCAACTATCTGCACTAAAATCCGGGTTGTTTGAGATATTAGGAAACGAGGCTCTCGAGATGTTCGATGAGAATGAACTCGAGCTTCTAATCTGTGGAATCCCAGATATAGATATTGACGATTGGAAGTCCAATACTCTGTACTATGGATATACAGAAAGCTCAAAGACAGTCATTTGGTTCTGGAAGGCTGTGAAGAGTTTCAACTCTGTAAACCGTGCGAAGCTTTTACAGTTCGTAACGGGAACATCCACCTTGCCTTTTGAAGGGTTTTCACATCTTCAAGGAAATAACGAGGTGCAGAAGTTCTCCATTCATAGGGTTTCAGACCGAATGGATAGTCTCCCCACCGCTCATACATGCTTTAACCAGCTTGTGCTTCCAGAATATTCTTCATATGAAAGTCTCCTGAAATACTTGACACTAGCCATCAATGAATGCTCCACAGGTTTTGGCTTCATTTAAAAATAAAAAACGCTCAATATGAATTTATTTGGGTTCTTGGTAAAGTTTTGAAATGCTATTTTTCAGGTCCCCATAATCTCCTTTGTACTTCTTATTTTTCAGGGCATCATTGACAGTCTTTTCAACGTCACTAGCCAGTTTTTCTCCAAGCCCTTTGGGAAGATGGTATCTCCCCTGACTCTCAATGTTCTTGTCAAGAAACAAGGTGATGTCTTCTTCCTTTCTCTTTGAAATCTCCTTCTTCCACACTCCTAGAACATCCTCGAGATTAATCTCAATCATTTTCTCTATAGGAATTCCTTCGATATTCTTCAGATAGTTTCGGAAGATGTAGATATTATTTATGATGTACATAGACTTTGGAATTCCCTTTAGAGTTTCTGCCAAAAACAGTATCTTTTCAACTGTCTTGGCACTGAACTTCTCAAAGATGTCCTGGGAGGCTTCCAACTCAAAGTCCTTTCCGTATTTCGATACAAAAACCTCAGAAACATTCCTATGGTCATAGAAGGCATCCAGTGCTCTCTTCATCTTCAAGCATAGCTCTTCTGTGCCGCAATGCTTGTTAGGCTCCATCATCATATCTAAATCCTCGAAGTATCTAAGAATACTATTACATATAATCTTATGAATACTATCCTTAAACACAAAAAGCTCCTCCACTACTCCGATCCTCTTATCTCCAGAATAGTTGAGCTGGTCATTCAGCATGATCAAAGCCGGGATATTAGAAATATCCTCTTCCTTTTCCATCTTCATAAGATTGTCTGCTATTGCTCTTTTCAGCCCGATTATAAACATCTTTAGTAGCCCGATATTTGTAACTTCGGAGTTCTCCTTCCCAAGTATATTGTTATTCATTTTAATGATACCCAATAGAAACTTCTCCAGGTTTGTGGTTCTCTCAAGTAGTATCTTGATGTCTGTTCCTATGTCATCGAACCCTAGTGTGGAATAGACTGTATCTGTATACTTACTCATAAACCTTCTTCTGTTACCATTCGAAAGAAGAAAGGCTGCAAACTCTCGGAATTCTGGCTTGTATTCACCGCTTCTTCTCAAAGATCCAAAGAAGGATTCAGAAATTCCATCCATCGTCTTTTCAATAAACTCGTTCAAAGAGTTGATCTCTAAACCCACAATTTTAACTTCTCTATACTCTTTAAGCACACTGCTCATATCAATAAGTGTCTGAGCAGATTCCATCACTTTCTTTTCCAGGAGCATTTTCAAGTCTCGCGGGAGAAATCTTTTTTCAGACTCTCCAAACACCTTAATCACCTTAGACTTTTCCTTCTCTATGGTTTCCTTTGTTAATATAAATGAATTGTAGAATGACAAAAGTTTACCAATATTTTTCTTTGGGTTGATGTAGGGCCTAAATCCATCAATAACACTTAGCTGAAGCCTTTCCACTAGTGAGCTCAGCCTGTTTGCCTGCGTCTCTATTTCCCTTGAAATCTCGGCACATTTCTTAAGCTTATGTAGAATATTTGGGTTTTCAGGCATTCCCATGGGTTATTGGAGCAAGAAATTCAGAAAGTTTCTCTTCTGACATGATTGGTAAAGGCAAAACAAAATACCAATCATTACATACTTCCTTTATTATTGCTTTCAAGATTCAATCCCTTATCAACAATGGTGGACTTCAGCGCTTCCAGAAAGACATTGCTCACAGGATTCATACTGCTAGCATACTCGGACATCCTTAACAACAGAACATACGATCTTGTTGGAGTGGATCAAGGATACACAACCTTCAAGGGTTATCACTACAACTCCGAGAAAGACATGTATGACGAGGTGTTCAGCTATAAACACAAGGAAAAGATTCATCTGGTTATTCCAGGAGACTTCACAGGGACTGGCAATGTGAGCTATGTTCTTGTCACGAAGAAGGGCCCTGGGAAGTTCAACATCTACATGTACTTTTTGGATCAGGACGAAGCAAAGTATCTTGGAGAATCGACCGCAGCTCCATTTCTCTATGCTTGTCCTGAAGATCTACGCCCTCAGATGCTTATACAATATAGTGATGGACTCAAGAAAGTTAGAATTGATGAAGATAGAAACATAGTCAAGGACCCTGCTGATGAGTATGGAAAACTTCACCGTGATCATACCTCTGCATTTGTTGAGCTTGATGGGTCCATGAAAGCCTGTCTCTGTCTTGTTGTTGATGATGGGGATGGAGGAAAGCTTCTGAGGGTTCTAAGCAATAGAAATGGGGAGTTCGTGAACTATTTTGAGATGAGATTACCTAATGAAATAGGGCCCATAGTCTTCGGTGACTTCAATGGGAATGGAATGAATGACATGGGGTTTGTTCAGAAAAGTGGGGAGAAGTATCTTCTGAAGATATATTTTAATACGACATCCAGGGTTGATGAAGGAGGCAAGAGACTTCTCGGAGGGTTTCTTCCACATCAGGTCGATAGTACGGTGTTTTCTGAGGGAAATATGAAGGTCATAGATCTGGGCGAAGTATTTCCAAACTGTACACCAGTACTAAAGTCTGAGGACCACTTTGAGGGCCTACCCTATGGAATATTCAATGCAGATCTTAAAGCAAAAGGAAGACAGGACTTCTTTATCATAATGAAGGATATAGACAACAGCACCAAGGTTGGAGTTCTTGAAAACAACTCTGTTCCAGATGACATTCGGTTTGAGAAGGCAGTGTATAATGAAGATCTATTCAATCTCAAAAATGTTATCTCAATAAGCTGCTGTGATTACAACAACAAGGGACGAGAAGCCGTGTTTTTGAATAGAGTTGTGGATAACAGTGCAGTTGTGGAGGCTTATAAGAACGATTTATCTAAAGAAAATCTAAAGCTAAGCCTGTCCACAATCCATCCTGGGCAGCAGAAATACGGGTCTGTTGTTCCAGGGGTGTCGTACTTGGTGTCCTATGGAGACGGAGAGAGAATTATAATTTCAAATCAAATGCCTTATAGCACATTCGTACATCTGAAACATCATGTGGCCTATATTGGCCTGGGGACAATCAATCTTATAGTTGACAGCCTGATGATAGGAACCCCAGGAAAAAGTGGAAGTCCATATGGCGGCCCTTATGTGATTGATTCGATAGCAATCCCAAATACAGATTTAGTTGTGTACCTGGGAAAGAACGAGAAGTACACTGTGGAAGCACACTTCATTGTTGGAGAACACTTCAAAACCATTATCGGCACATTACTTATAGTTGCAGGAGTTAATCTCGCCTTCATACTTTTACTCCAATACAGAGATAGAAGAAGAATGATCAGGGCAAAGAACATGGACAAGCTTCACCCATTATTCTCTACACTGCAATAATGAAAATATTAAAGCCAAAACCTTTATTATTTTAATTGTAACGAGGTATTCTCTGTCACTAATCTGTCTCCACTAAAGTCTTTCTATTCAATCCTAAGGACTGTTTTTTGTTCAGGTAGAAGAGGAATCCAACCAGAATAAGGGCCAGCATTCCTATAACTAGTATGTAAGCCTCGACATTGTCATAAGTATCATCCCCAGTTGCAAGAAATGCAACAACAATAGGAGAGAATGTAAATGCTAAGTTCAAGATGCAATATATAGTAGCAAAGCCTGTTCCCAAGGATTCTTCAGACACCAAAGAGGGGATGCATGGCCAATAGCAGGCTATAAGTGGGCCCGAGAATCCTAGAAGAGTGGCAGATGCATAAGGAGACAAAAAGTTGAAAAATATCCCGGAGTGGCCCAGAAGAAAGAGAATACACCCGCTCATGATCATCCACAGCTTGAATCCATATGCATCGGCAATTGCACTTGTAAATGTAATCAATACTAGGGATGTGCCCTCAATAGTTGCTAGGATATTCCCTGATGATATGGCCGACAACCCGTATCTCTTTTGAAATAGTATTGGGGCTACTGTATAAAATGGAGACCATATCAAGGCAAATAAAAAGGACATTCCGACAAGTATATAGAATGCAGAATGGTGAGTGTTCTTCCCCTCAAGTCGCGGCTCATAAAATAGCATTCCCGATTCTTCAAAGAGTACCTTAGGCTTTGCCTTTTCAAGCCTGCTCTTTATCGTTATACCTTCTCTGTCATCGCATTTCCAGGGGGAAAAGGGGTTGTCGAAGAGAATCGGATCTGCTTGAGGAAGCTCTCTAGGCTTGGATTCACTGTAATCATGGAAGAACGGACTTTCTGGAATACTTAGGACATTGGGCATGCTTTCGGATGTGGAATCGATGGTCTCTGAAAAGGCTGTCAGTCCTGGATCGTTAAGGAAGCCTTCCTCAAGGTGCATTTTCCCATCTTGTATCTCGTCTCCAAACCCTTCCTTCTGCAGTTCAATGAGCTTTTGCTTCAGTATCTTATGTGATCTTTCAGAGCTGTTTATCTTGAAACATAACCAGAGTCCCAGGAGTGTCAAAAATATCCCAATTACACATGGAAACATTCTACCGATCGTATCTGCAAGAAATGGTGTGAAGAGGAAGTTTGCCACTGTACCTAGCCTGGCAATGCAAGAAAAAATCCCCATGGCGAACCCCAGCTCCTTTCCCTTGAATTCATAGGATATTAACCTGTTCTGAATAACAGCAAAGCTTTCGCCTCCAATTCCAAATAGAAATCTCCCAATAAGCATAACCTTGAAGTTCCGGCTCCAGACACCTGCAGTGAAGATCAGATGTCCGAGGAAGACAAAAGTACATAGAAGCTTGGCCAGCGTAGACTTTCTTATGTGTGTAATCCATCCAAAGAATACTGGAACAATTATATTTGGAAGCGAATACACAGAGTAGAGCAAGGTTATCTTATATTCTATTCCTGATTCTGTGTCGAAGCCTACATGATGGCTAAGTGCAGACGGGATGTCGTATACAAAGTAAAAGGAAAACAATATTAAACCAGACAGCAGTAATACTCTGTGCCTCTCCTTCATTGTTGTCAATGAATACTCATATCTTTTATTTCCAATCCTGTTTCAAAACTGCCGAATCAAGTAAGGCAGAGAACAGAGACTTTGGCATATTGTAAATGTCATAGAATCCAATGGAACAGCTTTAATCATGTAAAGTAGAGAAGTTTCGACTTCTTTCTGCTTAGAACTTCTTGGATCCCATCCATAAAGTCATTTTGAGAAATCTCTGTTTTCTCCTTTCTGAGAGCCGCCATTCCTGCCTCCACACAGACTGCTTTGCATTGTGCTCCATTGAATCCTTCAGTACTTCTCGCCAGCTCGTCAAAGTTTACATCGTCCCTAACACTCATCTTTCTTGCATGGATCTGCAGGATTCTTTTCCTGCCCAGCGCATTCGGTAATGGAAACTCAATCTTTCTGTCAAGTCTTCCACTTCTCAACAGAGCAGGATCTAAAATATCTACTCTATTGGTTGCTGCAATTATCTTCACTTCCTCGGAAGAGGAAAACCCATCAAGCTGGTTAAGAAGCTCCAGCATCGTCCTTTGAACCTCCCTATCCCCCGTTTGGTCAGAGTCTGATCTCTTCGCTCCTATTGCATCAATCTCATCTATAAAGATAATCGTCGGCTTCTTTTCCTTTGCAAGGGCAAATGCATCCCTAACAAGCCTAGCTCCATCTCCAATATACATCTGCACCAGTTGAGGCCCAGCAAGCTTGAGAAATGTTGCATTGGTTTTACTTGCGCAAGCTCTTGCCATGAGAGTCTTTCCTGTACCAGGTGGCCCATACATCAGAACTCCCTTCGGAGGCTTAATGTTTAGCTTCGCAAATCTTTCGGGATATGTGAGGGAAAGGACTATTGCTTCATTAAGCTCCTCTATCTGCCTTTCTAGGCCTCCAATGTCCTCGTAGGTTTCGTCTGGTTTTGCATCCGACTTCAGCACCATTCCTCCTACTTTCATGTCATAATCAGGTGGAAGCTTCTCAAACACTATATTTGTATCTTTATGTAAAGCTACAAGGTCTCCAGGCCGAAGCTCGGAATTGGGTATAAGCCCTGTTATAGGGAGATATGATGACATCCTTGTGGATGCATTCACAACAGCACTTTGATCATCAAGAACCTCAACAACATTTCCAACCAGGTAAGGAAGTTGTTTATTAAGCCTTATTCTCTCCATGTTTTCTGCAATAGAGGCATTCTTTGTCGAAATATCATGCTTTATAGTGCTGACCCGGCTTTGAAGAATTCTGGTCTCCGAATTCAACATTCGAATCTTCTCCCGTATCTTCTCAAGAAACTCCTCAGGATTGCTTTGGTCCATCATCTCAAGTTCCTCCAATGACATCCTAGGGCCTTTATCTGTGCTTAATTTTTCATCCTCCAAAACAATAAGAAAACAAGGCCCTTGCATCCAAAACAATCACCCAGATCCTCTTTCTTTCGGAAGTCTATCAATAACATGCTTGTAAATCTCGAGCTTTTTGTTAAAATGTCCCAGGAGAATCTGTGCACATTTGTGATATTGTGTATCCTTTCCATTATATGCAAAGCAGTTGTTTACCATCAGATTCATATCTCTCACAAAACTTTCTACGTATTTGTACTCATTGTTCTTCAGTTTGGACATCATAGTAGATAGATCCATAGGATTAGATATCTGCTTGTAGTAGTCGGGAACCTCTACTGGGTCCACAGGCTTCAAAAATGGCCAGGCATATGGGCTAACCTGAAGATCGGATATGAGATACGAAATAAATCTGGCCTGGCACTTCAAGTCACTATTCTCCCTTGAAACATATTTGGCATCCAAGACTCCCGGGATATCTTCAATGCTTTTGATCCTTGAATAGTCATCTATCTTGTGAACAATGTGATAGGTATTGATCTTCTTCATTTCTTCAAATAACTTTTTCTTTATATTTCCAATTATCTCCTGTTTCTTTAGATAGTTAATCTCCCAGAATACATGGCACTCGACTATGGTGCCACCCTCATAATCCTTAATGAACCCAATCCATCCTCCAAACTCCATTTCAGTTGTGAACCCTTGCTTCCTGAAGTATCCTATTGCAAAGTTATCTGCATATGTAACCAGATAAAAGGGCCCGGAATCATTCTCAAACATCTTGTTTAGAAGTGGGCTGAGATCTTCAATAATCCTATACTCATGCTTATAAGTTCCAAGCACGTTGTCTGCAAACTTCCATTTGCAACTCTTAATCTCCTCCTTGATAACTTCCTTGAACAAATCCATCATAAATCCTCCAACTCCTTTCACTTGGAAGTCATAATCAACGGCTAAAAATACAATCTCCACAAAGCCTCTTTCAAAGAACGGCCTGTAACATATCCCTCCCACAACCTCTTCTGCAGAGTTGACCAATACCATGTTGGCGTGCTTGGTGTCGAACACTTGCCTAAGAATATATTCCTTGGGCATCTTCGATAACTGCCTCTGGAATAGACATTTGATTCTAAGGAGAAGTATCTTGTCTACCTGTGGGTCTGAGGAAGACACTATGGCACACTTCAATTCTCTATCCTTGAATTTCTGGCACATCTCATTTCCATCCTTTCGAGCTTGATTATTTTCCAGTCCAAAAATATCCATTCCAATGCCACCCATCCCCTCTAGGCCTGATTTTCTGCTCCATTTATGTCGTTCACAATAACATTCTTATATCTTTCTTTCACAATATCCATTTCCAAACGCTTAAATCTAGCAACCCCAACAAGCACTCCAATAACTCCTCCTCCTACCACATCAGAAATAAAGTGCTTGCTGTCCATTACTCGACTTGCTCCTACAGCGATAGGCACCATTAAAAATGCAAGATAAAGTAGAAAAACAAAGACTTGGTTCATCTTTGCTCTCAACCTAGGGAGTCCAAATTCCTTGGAGGCAAAGAGCATCAGAAATATAAATCCGCATGCTGCGATCGAGGTATGCCCAGATGGAAAGCTCCTTCTTCCTTCAAGAATTACCCGGGGATTTCCTGTGCACTTTCCACCGGCGGGGCTGCATCTGCTTAGAAAATCAGGCCTAAGCCTTCCAATTATATTTTTCATGTTCTCAACAATAGAAGATGTGATGAGGCAGGCTAGCAGAAACGACAGGTAGAAGTATACTTCATAGACTCTCTCTATAGTATTTATACGGAGTATCACAAACATGAGTACAAGAGGAATAACAACCGATACAGCTGTAATCTCTGCAAATGTTATCGTTTCATGACGCAGGTAAGGCTTGGATATCGACCTGTCGCTTATACTGAACGGCCTTTCATATGGCTCTATTGCACTTGAAAGAAACAAAAGTCCCATGGACACAATCATGACAATAACCATTTCTTTCGCCATGTTATCAGATACCCTACATTTATTTGGTATCAAGAGTTCTAAATAAAGGAAATACATAGAGAAATCAACACAAACAGAGTTTACTGAAGTACCTTGTCTCCCGGATAGAAGTATCTTTGGACGCCGTCTCTAGAGATTGCAGACATCCTTATGCACCCTCCAGAGGCATTGTCTCTTCTTATTGCAGAGGAAACAGCATCCTTGATAAATTTAATTCCTTCTTCAAGGCTCATTCCGCTTCTCCAATTCATATCACAATAGCCGTATATAAATGCAGATCCAGACCCTCCGATCGCCCAGTCGCATTCCATAAGCGATCCCCCAAGAGATATGTTGAATACCCTCGGCTTGTCATCATATCCAGCAACTATAAGACCTGCCAGAAGGGTTGGGTTTTCGTATATGATCTTGCTGGCTAAAGTTGCTGCTCTATGAACTGAAGGAACAGAGCTCTCAAGGCGTGAGTACATATTAAGATACATCTTCAAGTATTCGGAAATCATCTGGGTGTCTGCTGAGCTTCCTGACCTGCAAACAAATATCTTGTTTGTAATTTGTGTAAGCTTGTCGGTCACCCGGCTTGGAATATACGTTCCCATCGACGTTCTCGAGTCTGCTCCGATTAGTACACCTCCGTCATACTTTATTGCAATAATAGTAGTCCCTGTCTTCTCTCTCTCATTAAACATCTTCCAAGGGCAAGCCTTCCTCTTCTTTTGTTAGCAAAGGTATCAAAAAAAACACTTATGATAGAAATGCGTAGTCTCCTAAACAATATTCTTAAGAGGAATAGTAAGATTGACAACAATGTTTTCCTCGGTTGTGCTTTTATCCACACAAAAATATCCTATCCTCTGGAACTGGAACTTGTCCTCTGGTCTTGCTCCAACAATTCTTTTATCACAGAGTCCATAGAGAACCTCAAGACTGTCTTTGTTCATCTCCTCAAGGTAAGTAGAATCCTTTGGGGTGAATGATGTCCAGAGAGGAGAATACATTCTCATCTCTATCTTAACAGAATCAGATCCAACCCAATGTATAAACTTCTTCGGAACGCCATTCCATCTTTCTGCCAATATCCCATCATCAGTCACCTTCACAACCTTTATAGGATAGAGCTTATACAGCCCAACAGGTTGTTCAGGAGTAAGCCTTAGGAAATCTTTATCTCCCTTTTCCATAAAGTCTGACTTCTCTATGTATATAACAGGAGTAAAGGAAACATCTCTGGTTATGCTCGAGCCGGGAAAGTCCGGAATGGATATGTTACAAGGTTCAGAATTCATTATAGTTACCTTTAGTGGGTCTTTTACACACATGATTCTTCTGGAGGTTTTGTTAAGTTCTGCCCTTACAAAATTCTCAAGTTTCTTTACATCGACCGTTGTTTCTGCGAAGGTGAGTCCAAGGCTTCTACAGAACGCGTTAATGGCATTTGGAGGAAATCCTCTTCTCCTCATCCCTTTTATTGTGAAAAGCCTAGGATCATCTAGGTCTATCCCATACTTGACTAGCGGTATCAGCTTTCTCTTGCTTAGAACAGTGTTGCTTATATTCAGCCTGCTAAATTCCCACTGAATCGGCTTATATATCTCAAGCTGATCAAGCAACCAAGTGTAGCTCTCTTGCCTTGTAAAGAACTCCCTTGTACAGAAGGAATGTGTCACATCCTCCAAGCTATCAGATACACAAAGAGCAAACTCATATGTTGGATACACAGTATACTTGACATTCTTTGTAGGATGCACTGCATCAAGAACACGAATCCCTACTAAGTCAAGCATTAAGGGGTTTTTTGTATAGGTATCCATCTTAAATCTGAGACATGCTTTCCCTTCCTCCCACTTTCCATCAATCATTTCTTGAAAGATTCTTAGGTTTTCTTCAACCGATCTGTTCCTATACTGACTCAGATATGTCCTGACTTTCATGTCATTGGATGTAAACTCCCTTCTTCTTTCACATATTTCTTCCTGAGACAAATGACAGATATATGCTTTTCCCTTCTTTATGAGTTGGAATCCAAATTCGGTCATTTTGCCAAAATAGTCACTTGAGGCAGTAACCTTATAAGGCTCAAACCCAAGCCACCGGACATCCTCGTAAATCGAATCAAAATATTCTGCTTCCTCATTCTTTGGGTTTGTGTCGTCGTACCTCAAATAAGTATATCCTCCAAATTTCTTGGCATATTCAAAGTTCAGATTTATTGCCTTTACATGTCCAATATGAAGAATCCCATTCGGCTCGGGAGGAAACCTAGTGACCACCTTTCCTCCTGTTCTCCTCAGGTGTGCCTGTCTTATCTCTTCACTAACCTGTGGAGTTTCTCCAGGTCCGGGGAGTTTTCTAATCTCCCCCTCTTCTAACCAATCTCCTCCTTCTAAACTTTCTATATGCTCATCATCTGCATCGTCAGGGACCTTGTTTATTTCCTCAACCACCGCCTTAAAGTCTGCACAAGGCATAACTTTCCGTGCTTTGCTAATCATATCTTTTTTAGACAGCCCTTCGCTTCTCATCCTATCGATGTGCTTTCGTATGTCCTCCTCACTAACTTCATTTGCCTTTACAAAAGCAGCCATCTCTTCCACAGAGGCGCTTCTTTTCTCCATGTATCTTAAGCATTCCTTCAACATACTCTCATGCTTAATAATCTTTCCATCAATTAGGTTTGCCAATAGATCGACATCTGCATTCTTTGGTGCTGTACAAGCAAGAGTATACAATAACCTATTTGAGAAGTCTCTTCCAAGAAATATCCTCTCCATATTCTTTACCACCTGCTCCTTTTTCATTACTTGGCATCGCTTTTCAGAAGAAATCTCCAATCTCTCAAAAACATCGTCAAGATTCAGCATATAGGGTAAACACAAATTTTTATTAAATATCCTCTATGTCCTGCTAGTCACGCCTACCACATCTCTTTTTCTTCTGCTCCAATACTTTCAAGTATTCGTCTACAGCTCTTATTTCATCGATTATTGCTTTTCTTCTTTTCTCGGCTTTTTTCAAGAGGATATTCACATTTTCTGCTATTCCTTTGACTTTCTTGGAGTTGTCACACATACTGCAGGGATCCTTGCAGACAGTTTCTTCTTCCGGGATCTAATTGGGTATCGGAAAAAACATACAGCTTGATTTTAGGACAAGGGAAGTAACCGAATGTTTAAGCCTTCAAATTAATCTTGTCCTATAATTTGCCTTAATATTCTACACATCTAGATCAAATACTAAATTAATTATCTTATAGTAGTAAATCACCAATCCTAGGAAATCTATGCTATCATATATGTGGCAGATTAGGTGACAAGTGTATGGATATATCCAAATATGATGTGATAAATTCGTCTTATGATACATAGAAGTTCCCTTTATGGAAATGACATTTATGAAGAGGATAGATTCTTCCATTCGAGTTGGAGTTGATTTAAGGCACGGAATATAATTCGGCAATGACCCCAGCTCTACCATGTCTAAGTTACCTAATCTCGTATCCTCACGGATCAATGAGATAAGAAGAATTTATGTGGAAGCAAATAATAGAATTGTTGATGAAATGGACTCGATGGTAGATAAGTTTGTGAAAAGTATTGGAAGTGTCCCGGATATTTCTACAGGCGTCAGTGCATACCTAGAAGAGAGGATTAGGTACATTCGTGAATTTGTTGTTGATAGCATAGGATTCTCAATAAGTGAGTTCAGAGCCTTGTACAATCCTGATGGAAACGAGAATGCAAGATCTAGAAGATTTCCTAAGTTCATAACCGAGGCATTGGAAAGAAGTTTCGAGATTGATCAGTATCCATCTGAGACCGAGAAGTCAAGACTTGCAAAAATATGTAAACTCTCGACCAAGCAAATAAATAACTGGTTTACGAACAAAAGAAATAGAAGTAAAAGCCATGAAGGAGGCAGACAGTATTAGCTTGTAAGATGAATTGTGTATGATTTTAATATAATTCATACATGTATGTATGTATTTCTTTGAAGTAAAGTAAGAGGTTAAATTAACTTATCTTTTCATAAGAGGTCAATAAGTAGCCAGTTTAATCCCATACTTGATATAGTGATCGATTACATCTGGGATCTGTCTTTTCGAAACAGACAGAGCGGCTTGGATTTCGGGGCTTTGAAAATCTTCAAACCATCTAGGCCTCTAGGAACAAGAGCAAGAACGAATTCTGCCGCTAATGTAAGCAGAGAAAAGCATAAGATTTTAATTGCTAATTTAAACAATTAGTTGTTTGATGAAATATGGGGCACTGCCAGTATTCAGAGCAATTGGTTTCGAGATATAATGCAGAGTCATGTCTGATCATGGCCTTTCTGACTGTAGAGGCTTTGGCTTGTGCTCAACTAGCTCAGATCTTATTTATTTCTGTCATATTGACACAATTGAAATATTAAATTATAAAAACCTCTATCAAACAAGATTAATTAAGCCGCCGCAAGACAATTAGATAAAACAGAGCGAATGGAACGAAGGCCATGAACATAATAATGGACATCTTGAACAGAGTCGTGTATGCAGAAGAGGATTATTTAGCCAACAGAGTTGGTAGAGAGAGATTGCTGGAGGACATAAAGCATCTTCGGAAAGAGTACAAGACTTCAATATCCAGTGATTCTGGTAGAGAAGGAATAAAGTTCAAAATGGCACTATTATTTGTTCTTAGAAGAGTAAAGCACAAGATTCTGTTTGAAGACAGACTTGTGGAGGTTATCGACTCTGAGATAACTTTTATTAAAGAGTGTGTGAAAAGCATAATATCGGAGCCTATTAGGACTGGTCTGGTAGAGGCCACCAAGTATATTCAACACGAAACAGAGCGTAAATGCTCTAAGCCAAAGACCAGGGCCAACTTTCCTATGGATACTTCCCAACTTTTGAGATCTTGGCTTAAAGAGAACATGGACAACCCATATCCATCAGATGCAGAAAAGGCCTACCTTTGCCAGAAGACTGGGCTCGGACCGGCGCAAATCAACAACTGGTTTATAAACGCTCGAAGAAGAATTCTGCCGTTCATGAAAGGAAAATGTACCAACTTCAAATAAATTTAAACGAATGTTCACTGGTGGAATTTTCTTGCTTATCAACCGATATGTACTTGAAATTACGGCAGTTAGTAAATTATCAAGAGTCAAACTTTTGACTCGTTTAAATCCAGGATGTAATAGGCCATCCATTTCATTCCAGTTGTAGCCTATGGCTAGCCCAAGGTTAATGAAACTGTAAGTAAATATAAGACATAATCTATGATACCGAGAGTAGTCAATTAAAATACATATGAGTCCTGGAGATAAAATCCATTCCATCCTTTTAGTGAATTATTTATAACCATTTATTCTAAAAATAGCCAGTAGAGAAAGGCTTAGAGTAGGGTCACTCCATTCAATTCTCCTTAACCTCAAATTTTATTCCCTTTGACGATAGCTTCTGGATGATGTCTGTATTGTAAAGCACACAGGCAGGTGTAATAACGCCTCCTCTGAAAAGAGTCACCCCAGTCCCTCTTACTCTCTGGTTGAGGGATCTCAGAAATACAACCGCTGTCTGTGTCAAACATATAGAAGTCATTATGTAAGCGGGATCGGGGCCAGATATGATCAAGCATTTCCCAACTATCTCATTGTTCTTTTCCCCTCTGGCTCTTATTTCAATTGTAAAGCTTGAATTTCTTATTTCCTCAAAGCTTGGGTTACTCTTGATGAATCCAAAGGCAAAGAGCTTGCTTAGGTTCATGATGATCCGCTTCCCAAGCGCAAATCCAGAGAAGAACCAGACAATCCAAAGAAAGATCCAATACTTTATCATTCCAACTCTTCCTCCCACATCTAGATATGCAGCATATTTCGCACCGTGAAGTCCCACAGACTCTAGGAGCTCCTGGCTTCTTCTTACAATGGAGTAGTCTATTCCTCTAAAGATCACCTGATAAGAGCTTTCCCTTACAATCCGTTGGGATCGTCTCTTCTTCCCTTGTCCGTATCTCTTCTCTCTAAGAGCTTTCATCTCCTTGAAATTTGCAACAGACGCGAGCAGTGACTCCCAGGTGGTCTCGTTCACAACAACATTACTAATCTTGAGAACGCTTTCGATTTCCGCATCATCAAACATATCCCGAAGATACATAACCCCGATGTCAGAAGGAACGGATTCAAACCCACAACAGTTAATGATGTAAACACCCTTTCTGGCTGCTTCATCATGATACTTGTTGATGATAAGTTCGAAGAAATACACTTCTCCAGATATATCCATGTAATGAGTGCCATTCCTTATGCATGATTTGACAATACTCTCGCCGTAACGAGAGTAAGGTCCAACACAGTTTATTAATATCTTTGTCATGGATGCAATTTTATCAATACCATCTATTTCGCACTCATAAACTGGAAATGCCTTGTCCTTGATCTTGCTTATATTCCTTGCAGCCAATGCTAGTCTAACATTCTCCGCTTTGAAAGCCTCTATTATGTACCTTGCTGCATATCCAGATGCACCATAAATGATGAAATCATATTCTCTTTCCATAGATGGGCTAGCTTCAAAAAAAAACATTATTTATCAAAAAGGACCAACCTAAGGTTGTATATCTACTTGCATTCTTGTTTTTCATGATTGGCTATATTTGTATCAATGATACGGAATGAACCAATGGGACAGACAGAAGTCAAAATGATTGGTTTCTTGGTGTGTACAACTTAAATACATATACCGAAACGTGAAAGACACAGGGAATGGATGAGAGTTCTGATAAAGGCAAAGGAAAAGAAAGCATATCCAATGAGAAAGTAGAAGAGGACAGGATGTTAATGGTAAATGAAGAATCCAATGCGGAGAACCGGGAATGCCTTGGATCCAACGTTATGAAGCATGTAATTGGTGCAGCATGCATGTTAAGCCATAAATCCTCATCAGAAGACATAGTTGAACGTAGTGAAGAAAAGGTTTCTACATTCGATGTATACATAGTCAATGAAAATGGAAAAGTAAATGGATATGAACTCAAGCATATCAGCCCTATCGACGGGCCTGAGACTGAAGATCCTCCAAGAGACATCCAAGTGGATGAGATGATGAAGTCTTTTCATTTTGATCGTAAAAGCAAAGGAGTTCCTCCTCATGAATTCTACAGAAGAAGAAGATCCTCGGAGCTTCCAAGGAACAATGATGGAAATAATAGCTCTGGAGCCAAAGAAAAATGTGACCCAATAATTCTTGAGATATCCGAAATCTCTGATACATACAATACTGATGGTATGAATGAGAATCAAGATGATAGTACGTCCAACCAAAGCACTACGCTAAACAAGGACTGTTCACAGCAAGGTGAGGAAGTATTGACTCCATCCATTGTTTTGAGTGATTCCACCGGTCAAGAGTCTTTTCCTAGATTTAACAGGGAAGATCTTACGGCCAGTGAATGTTCTAGGGAAAGGAATTGTGTAGTGCTTCTAAATGAAAGTAATACTGCCTTCAAGACTTCTGGAATTGTATCTTCAGAGACTAAGAATGGTTCGCCTACAAACAGTGAGACTGAAGTGGTAACACTACCTGATATTAGCAAGGCCATTAAACTAGAATCCGAAGAAAAGAAAGACATGGAGGCTAACAGCTGTGAAGATATGGGAGACATTATAAAGGCCATTCAAGCTCAAGAGCCTTCTGATAAGCTTTCCATAAACCAGAAGATTGGACTAAATAGTCCTTATGATTCCGCCGGGAAAAAGTGCCAATGTGAAACCATGAGGGGGTCAGAAAGCCTTTCCAAGGAATTGAAGACTGCTTTGCTTGCGGCATTCGTCCCCTCTATGGAACCTTCGAAAGCCGAGACGGCTGAAGCGTCCGAAACATCAGAAATGTCTTTTGTAGAGACCAGCATCACTCGAAACATTAACGAGAATATGGACACTACAGGGGAGATTGAGAGGTTCAGGGCTGTTTTAAACCTTGGAAGCGCAGCAAATAACCCTACTTATTCAGATGGAGAAAAGAAACCCAAGGAAGAAGATAAAGACAATGAAATGATAGTCTTTGTTGAAGCTGAGGACATCTACAAAAAGAAGAGCAGTACACTCACAAGAAACAATAAGGTTGGCCGGCTAGTCAAGTTCTTCGAGAGTCTAGAAGAAAGAAATAAAGAAAAGGACTAGGGATATTAAATTTAAAGTTGTTTTACCGATTGATTAATTTCTTCTGACGCTAATCAAGGGTCAAGAAATGAAGCTTCTAGAGTAAAGTAGACTTGAATAAGGAGGTAGGAGTCTCTTGCTTTTCATTGATGATTTCTTCCATTGCTTGATCAGACAGGGGTGCATGAGAAAAGGGACAATCCTTCCTACTGCAGCTTTTTCTTAAATGAAATGCTTTACATGGAAACTTGCTTGTGTCATGGGAATATGTGCAATTATCCCCATGCTTGCAGGAGTTCATTAAGAAAAACTTACATAATATTGTACGATAGTTATTGGGAGTTGGCCTTTCGTATTCCTGGGGCTTTTGAACAGGTCTCAGAGTGGCCTTATGCGTTCTATACTCCAACAGATAGCTCTTATTAAGACGAGTAGGAACATTTAGTTTCGGAAGCATTTTGATGGGTTCGATAAAAATAGCTTTTCTTTGATCGAGGGTAGAATGAGTACGTTAAAAACCCTTTATAAATGAATGAAAGGATACAATTCAAGGTGCCGGGGAAGGTGATCGTGAATGGATCATACATAGTACTGAATGGAGAAACATGCAGGGCCATAGCTCTTAAGACATATATCCTATCAGAAACAACCAGAATCGTATCGGATAAGCCAGAGATAACAATAGAAATTAACGGAAAAGAAAAGAGCACGTACTGCTATGAGGATTACGAATCCAGCATTATAAATGGCCCGGACTGTTATTTACTGAAGATTGTCGATTGCTTCTTCAGGATCACCGGGATTTCGCCTAAGAACATCATAAACATCAAAATGAAAGCTGAAGATGGCTTTTTTATTAATGGTCCCACAAGAGAGAAAACCGGAATTGGATCTTCAGCTTGCATCCTTGTATCTATAGTGTATGCTCTGCTAAAATTCCATCAGGAAGACCTTGAGAAGATTATCCTGCAAGATAGCTTCAATGGCTGGGGGAAATCTCCCAGATTTCAGGGCGACTTGAGGTCGTGGCTGGGCCATCTTTCTTTGTCTGAAGAAATTGTGGAGCACGTTTTGCCTGTAACATACTTGGTACACCAGAAGGTTAATCAAGAGGGTTCTGGAAGTGATGCAATATGCTGTCTTCTAGGATCCATATACTTCAATAGGAAAACGTGTGTTCCGATGGAGAAGATCCCTCGGTATTTGGTTCTTGGATCTTTCGGGAAAAGCACCTCAACAAAAGAAATGCTTAAGAGAATTGATCTTGAAGATCCTAGATGGGAGTCTCTTAAGGCTATTAATTTCGAGATTAACAGGGGAAGAGTTTGCCAAAAATATCTTTACATGGAATATCTGAATGCTATGAGAGATATAAGCATAGATATCGTTCCCAAAAAACAATACGAAATATTGATGAAAACCAGCGAATATGACATTTGGGGATGTGGAATCTCAGGGGCCGGAGGAGATGATTGCATATGGGCCATATCTGATGATTACAAGGATGTATATAGATATTGGGAGAAAGTATTTACTTTTACATTTGTAACCGAGGTGTCTTACAGAGGAATTTGTTTAATGTAAAGACCTTTCTTGCCATTGGTTAATCTGTTTCCCCTTCTAATAAGGGGAAGACAGTATGCCTACTATGGTTAATGAGAAAACCAAGTTCTATAATCTCATGAAGATGTCAAGCCCATGGAAGTTCATTCACAAGGAGAAGATCGTAAACCCGGAGAAACATACAAGCTTGAGGTGGAAAATGTTGTCCTTGAGGTTCCTAACGAGGATCTATCTTCGGGTTCTAAGTATGTTAGACTGTTAAATGGAGTATCTGCTACCTTTGAATCAGGGAAGCTATCGGTTGTCATGGGACCCAGTGGAGGTAGCAAAACAACGTTGATGAACTTGATTGTGGGGATAGTTCAGAAACACTCGATGTCCTATGGAAAAATTTTGTTTCAAGGAGAGGAGAGGGATCAAAATACATGGCTATCTCGTATAGCGTATCTGAATCAAGACGATTGCATAGTTCCTTATACAACTGTCTATGAATATATATATTTCTGCGTTAACTGCAGAACGGCAAAGAAGCGAAGAGGAAGTGTTGGGGAAATTGTAAGCAGTGTGATGAAAAAGCTTCACATTCAAGATCTTAAGGATACGATGATGACAGCGATTTCTGGAGGAGAGAGAAAGAGAGTGATGATAGCTGTGGAGTTTGCAGCCTCCCCTGATGTGTTAATTCTCGACGAGCCGACCAGCGGACTTGACTCCCATCTTGCGTTTGAACTAATTCAGATGGTTAAGCAATATGCGATTGAAAACAATAGTATTGTGATTACAACAATTCATCAGCCTGGGCCTGGACTATTTAACATGTTTGATGATCTATTATTTCTTTATAGAGGATCTGTCGTATACTCTGGGCCAGCTGACAAATGTGAAGAATTTTTCGATTCTAAGGGAGTCCATAGGATTGGACAGCTGTCCATAAGTGAATTCATATTTGAGCTCTTCTCCGATAAGTCTTATGTTCCTGGAATCGAAGAATACAAGGAAACAATCAATGAAATAATAGAGTCTGTGGCACAAGAAGGAAATTCAAAAACCAAGGATAGAGTTATGAAACATGACGGTAATTCTCCAATCAACCTTCCATTCAGTCTTTCAAAGGCACTTATGATAGCCAAAAGGCAATTTATCATTGAATGGAGATCTTGGAGAATGCTAAAGAACCGTATTCTAGAAATGGTCTTTCTTGGATTCTATATTTACTTCATGTATCCTATAAATTTCGTTGGGAAATTCATAAACTACACCACTGATCTTCATTTAGATACAAGTGCCGAAAGTGGCTCAAAGTTCATTTTCTGTCAGCTTCTTCGTTTCCTGAAGTCCAACTTTGACGAATCATTGGGGCCTAATATAGATGAAGGCATCAAGTGGGAAATGTCTCCATTTCTGTTGTTTTTGCTTTCATCTTTAGGCCAGACAGAATTACTAGATGGACTAGATTACATTCATAGAGAGATCTCTAAGGGGACATATGGGCCGTCGACTTTGTACTTTTCGACATGGATAACTGAAACTCTCCCAATCATTCTGAAATATCTTATGTTTGTTGGGATTATATCATCTTTGGGGGTCCACGACGGGAACACAATTGAGCTAATTACTTATATAATCATAGGAAACCTCCTAGTTCTATCATTCAATATAATGACAAGGAGCATCGCGTCTTCCAATGTTCTTAAAAGGCTCCTATCTATGTTCACCGTGATATTCATACCTCTTTTGAATCCTGATACACTGTATGTGATTTCTGGTTTTCTTTCCTCTCCATCGGTTGGAACGCTTGGGCTTCTGAGGTTCTTCAAGTACTTTTTGCTACCTTTCTGGCCTCACATTTTCTTCCAGGGCTTTATGAAGTTATCTTTCTTCGAAAGAGTACTATTTCCTGTGGAGCCAAATGAGAAGTTTACTCCTCCATATAAGACAATCATGGGTATACTAGTAAACTCATGGCTCTATGATCCGAGGCTTAGTGACGAAGAAAACAAGGAAAAACTCTTCAACCCTCAAACGAAGTTCCTAGTCAATTATGATTATTCTAGGTATTTCTTATTACTTTGCGGGGCCATATCTCTCATGATTGTTGTTTTAGTCAGCAACTTCGCTCTTATGCATAGGTTTTCTCCACGACTACGGCTCAGGTTATCTAAAAGATAAATTTTTTTAATTTTGTTAGTTTTAAGATTGAATTTCCTCCCTTGCATGGAATCTTTAGTTCTTTGGGATGGAAGGTATATTGGCAGGCTCAAGAAAGTTCCAAAAACTATGCTTATAATTGATAGATATGGTACGATATCCGAGAAGGAAAAGAAGGGCATAAAGGACTCTGTAATGGAAGTAGATATAGATTTTGAAGAAAAAACAACACATTACTCTCTTGTGATACTCTGTAACACAGCCTTGAGATTCAATCTAATTAATCCATTGACCTTAGCTGAGTGTGAGATTTGGTTTACTAGAAGGGTTTTTTCATCAAGGGTATTTGCAGATGCCCTTACCCACTACTCTGAGTGTGAAATAAGAAATGGGGTATAAGTGGCCCATGTGCCCATTGGAGACATCTTCCTTTGCAGCCTTCCGTTTGAAGACAGAGATCAAATCCATCGAATTACTTCCGGGAACGTCATTATCTGTAGATAAATCTTCAGAGGAGAGATATGTTATGGAAGTCGGATATACAATGCCAATTACAGAGGGGATTTATGAAGGGAGGGTGCTAAGATTCAAGATAAAGATTCCCCATGCATATCCATTCAAACCACCAAAGCTCCTGTGTCTAGATAAGGTGTTCCATCCAAATATCGACGATGACGGAAATGTTTGCATGGAGATTTTGAGGCTAGGATGGAGACCTACTCATGGGTTAGAGAGTGTATTTGTCAATCTTTATGTTATATTTGTTGAGATTACTGGAGAAGATGCACTAAACACATTGGCAGGAGATTTGCTCAGAATGGACTACGAGAGGTTTGTAAGGATTGCAAAAGGCCACGAAAAATTATAGGTCCTCTCAAATAGTTATCTATTACCGGTGCGTTATTGCTATATACTCCCCTCCTCCATCCTCGGTCAGTTCTTTCAATTTGAAATCAAATGGCAGAGAGGTTGGGGATCCATTAACTACAATAAAGTCTGTCTTCCTTCGGATTCTTTTGTTTAGATTCTTTTCAATGAATTGATATGAAGATCTAGGTTCAAGCAAGACATCCCCAGTGTTGTTCGGTGATGTAAGTATTCTTAGTGCACCGTGGATCTCTTCATTGAATATCCTAAGAGGTGTTCCTTTTAAGGAAGAGTTCCTCCATCTTGAGGATTCATATTAAAGAATTTTTCTACCCGTTGTATGGCCCACTTTGGAACAAACAATCTATTCAATATTCTTGATGAAATTCAAAATCAAATTCTGAGGGAAGAGAAACCAAATACTCGAAAAAAAGCACTAGAGGATGAACTTCACAAGCTATATTTGCACACATCTCTGGAGATATGCAAGCAAAGACTACGCGGATCCGTAAACAAGGATACCCTTAGCAAGGTGGGGAAAATTAAACAATATTTCAAGCATATAGAAAATATCCAAAATTGAGATATAGAGCTCCCATAAAAAGATAAGAATGACGGTTATTTATTCTTTTTCTCAGCTTTCTTCATTGCCTTCTTAAGAGTACCAAAGACCTTGTAACGTTTCTTCCTTTCATCTTTCCTAACTCTTCTAGGCGTTATCTGGAACTCCTTTCCAGTAAGCTTCGCCACAATATGCTTTTTCTCAGTATTTGACAGGGCTTCAGCACTTGAATAAATCTTTGCCTTGAGAGTAGTTCTGTGAGTACCATACCTGTTCTTGAAATCCCCAACTACAATGTTCTTCTTGTTTGTTTGATAAAGCTCAGATATCTTTCCTCTTATCTCCTCTTGGCTAGGAATGGGCATCCCAGGGTGGTATACAACCACATCTAGCTCTCTTCTAGAGAGCAGCTTGTTATCCCTCATGCTAGAAATCTCTAATTCCAAACTCTATAAGTTAGCTTCAACTCTCTCACTTACCATTTCGTGAGGGATAAAATTTTCGGAAATATCTGCCTTCAGGCTTTGAACCTCGGGTCGCGAAAATATTTTCTTCAGGGAGGAGGCCCTTTGAAATGGTAAGTGGAATCTTGTAGACCTGTTCTAACTTTAGGCAACTATTACAATCAACAAGGCAGGTAAGGTTAGGAATCAAACACCAAAGGATCCTGTTGTCGAGAAAGAAAGAAAGAAGTGTGGTCGCTGCAGACAACGCTTGAAGTTTGAGAAGAGGAACGATATGGGATATTTCGAGGTGGCTGGAAAGATGAAGCTGAACCCTCAATCATGAAAGATAAAATAAAATCTTATTAACCTCCATTGTTGTGATATTTCTTCTATAAAACATACTTAATATAATGCCCCTGCTGCTTTCGAAGCTTTCTTGATCTCTATCAAGGATGTCAAAGAGTAGCATACAGAAAATGCAAGCTTCAAAAGTGGCAAGCATACATTTTAATTTAGATATACTCGTCGTTCTGTACTCTTCTTTGCTCTCCGTTATCCTCTAAGCCCTTCTCTTGAAATGTATCAACTCCTCCTGCAACAAGTATAACAGTATCTCCTCTAATAAAAACATTTCCGAGGCGTCTGGAGAAATCGCAGCCTTGCCTCTTCTTCTTTCCTTTGTTCCTTCCACGCATATTGCCGATCTCCTTAGCATCTCCCATCAGTAAATTGTAATGGCGATCATATGCTATCACCTTTCCCATAACCTTTCTGTTATTCCGTAGGGAAACTAACACAGGCATTGCTTTTACCATGGCTCTGTGAACAAGTGAAAGAGGCCCTTTCATTTCCATCTCCTCCTTCTCGTTAGGACTATCCAGATTCTTTGGGAGAAACATCCATGGGCCTGACCAAACATTAAAATAATCAAAGATTTATTCACATAACTCAAAGCTAGTCATTTTTCCTCTTGAGCTTTACAAACTCCACTAAACGATCAATAAACTTGCTAGAGGTCTTTCCATGACAGAAATTTTCTATAAATCCAGAAATAATCTCATTGGACACCCTTTCCCAGTACCTCATTGCAATTCGTATTTCTTTTCTTATCTCATCGATTTCCCTCTGAATATCGACGTTTTTGATCATTTCATTCATTTTTTTGCTCATTTTTATTCTTTTCATATGAAGAAATGATATATTCAAATCTTTTGCAGAAACACCTCTTTCGAGATTCCTCCTGACATATATGTCGTAGTTCCGAACAATGTTCGTTATTATTCCACTGGTGCTGATTCCCTTTGTTCTTCTTATCGGTATAAACATCCCCATATCCTTTACAAACTTGTAGATATCTTCCTTGCCCTCTCCCTTGTATGGTATGTCATCGTGTGCAACAAAATCTATTTTGTGTTTTTGGATAAATTCTGATGTTAGTTCCCACGGCGCACTTGTTATAACCTCATCAACATACCTGCAATGTATCAGCCCTTCTGCTCGTTCTTTTTCATTCATAACAAGATTCCCCTTGAGCCTCGTTGTTATGTTATCATCAGTAACACCAACCAGCAAATAAACATCCGGAAAAAGGTTCTTTGCTTGCTTCAAACTTCTGGCATGCCCATAGTGGAATAGATCATACACTCCATCGCAATATATTCTTACAGGCCTATTGGTCGGTATCTTATATACACCAACATCGGAATTCATTTCTTCGTACTCAAAAGCGTTCCTATCTGGATATGTAGGTGCTATCATTCTGTATTCCTCTGGATTATTCTCCTTCTTCATGGGTTGGGCCTACAGAATGGAAAATAAACCCAAACAAATTCCCTCGCAGGTTCTAAGGTTCCTATATCATAAGCTATCAAGATGCATCACTATATTTATTGAAAATATCACTGAATATAATCCAAGTCTTGAGGAATCCCAAAGTTACTGTTAAACTCCGGCTTCTCCATCGAAAACTTGTTGCATACGTAATCCTGTATAATAAAGATATTATCAATAATTTTGTTGTATTCATCAACTATCTCCTTTCTATCATCGACAAATTTATCATAGATCGTGGGGTCTGTCTCCTCAAATTTGCTTAGTTCCTCCTTTTGTTCCTCTTCTATCTTTGCTAGGGCATTTAGTTTACTCTCTAATTCCTTTCTTTCCTCAGTGTAGTTCTTGGATATCCTTTCATTCTCCAGGTGTTTTTTTTTCTTTAAAATCTCCTCAGACATGCTTTTACATTCCTCGACAAGCTCTTTGAATTTCAGATTCTTCTTCTGAACTCCCTCAGATGCGAATGACCAATATAGATTTGAGGTCCCGACCTTCTCAACAGTGACAAGTCCATCATCAACGAGCTGCTGCAAAATCTCCTTGATAGTGTTTGCTACTATCCCTTTCTTCGAACCTAGGTTTTCTAGTTCCTGCAACTTAAAGAACGATCTGCTTCCCCGGATTATTTCCAGTAGAATCGTCTTCTTCTGATCAGCTTTCATTTTGACTGTTGCCATAGCTCTAGGGCTCTTCAAAGACTGCTTATTAATGGGTGTACTCTACTTCATTACTAAATAAAGAAACCCCATGATGTCGTTGGAGCTGACTAGGGAAAACATTAATGCAGTCTCTCTTGAACTGGTGAAGAACAAAAGGATGTTTGACAAGAACGTGAACTATGTAATGAGCTTCATGATCAAGGCCTTTCCAGAAAGAACTGAGCTTCTCAGCAGAATAAAGGTCCTCAACATCAAATCAAAGGCTGCAAAGAAAATAGATCTCGAATCAGACATCATGGATCAAATAGCAATGAACGTCTTCGCCATTAAAAATATCAATGAGGGAAGCTTCATGAAGAACATGTTGACTCTATTCAAGGATCCAAGCTCTTTTTCAAAAGTATTTCTGACTTATTTCTATTCTAACTCAAGTCTTGGAATCGAGAAGACAGATGAGATCTTGGATAAGCTTGTAGAGTTGCTACTAGAAGAATCTAGTCTTAAGGAAAGCTTTGAGGGATTCATAAATGGCATAGGGTTTTCCGAGTACTCTGAATCCATATCCTCAGAAAAAACCGAAGAAATGGGAAAAGAGCTAGGTACAGATGCCCATAAAGAACTCACATATAAGGCATCTAACGACGAATCCTCAAGCACGGCGATATCGTTGATCTCTTTAGATGACTCTGAAGAAATCAGGAGAATTGATACATCTATATCCTTACTGTTTGAGGGAAGAAAGAAGAAGCTGTCACCATTATCTCTAAAAACATGTGCCAGGGTGTTGAGTATCATGAACATAATATTAGAAAACAATTACCCAGGGTGTGTAGATGTTGTTCCCGTTCTTATGTACATTTCAAAAATAGACCAAGTAATCTTTAAACGGTCGTTGTCTGCCTTGAAAACAATACTAAAGAAGATAAATTACAAAGACAAAGGAAGGCTGTTTGAAATGTTCTGTGATTTACTGGGCCAAAACCCAAACATGATAAGAATGACAATGCTCATTGCAAATACCTGTGGAGATTACTTCAGCTGGCCAGAATTCCTTGAAAGTGTAGATAGAAACGAAGAGGTTGATTTAGACATGATTGATAGAACCTGCATTCCGCGACCTTCTTTCTATGAGTTTATAGTGCTTACTGAGAATCCAGGAAGATATCTAACAACAGCTAAGAATATAATTAAGAACGAAACAGACATCCATCTTCTCAGGGACTTGGGTGAAAAGATTAACGATACTGAACTAGGGGGAATAAAGCAGATAAAAAGTGCTATAGATTCCAGGATTAAGGCCTTAAGCCATGAAGAATGCCCCAAAAAACAAAAAAGATCAGGGAAAAATCGTGATAACTAAAGAGTAAGTTTAATTCTATCGATTTAAGTTTTATACCAATATTCAAGACGCCTACAAAACACATTTTCTATGGCAAAAGGTTGTTCTTCCACCCTTTTCAAGGGAGATGGCATCCTTCAATATCCATCTGTCTTCTTGGTCATCCCATTCAACTTCTATTTTGTTGCGACACACATCACAAAGTGCAGGACCTCCGGAGTGTGCGATTTTCTCAACCTTTTCAACCTCTAGCCTGAGCTTGATTTTTTCAATATTCTTGGTCCATGCCTCTAAAGTTGGAAAGAATTCTCTACTTATGCAATCTTTCTCTCCCAATACCCTTGCTTTTCTCCTATGTTCATCAATGTGGATCCTCATCTGCTCATCGCCCTCTGGCGTATCTTCATATCTTAACCCACACAATTTGCATTGATTTGGAGGGTATAGGACAGACGGATCCACATCAATCTTCAAGTATTCATTGTTCAAGATCCCAAGCTCGTTTTCCTTTCTATCCCATGAGTTTTTTGATTTTGCCTCCTCAAACACGTTTTGGCCTATTCTTTTGTTGGATGGTTCTTTATCCTTAGGGTTACTATCGGACACGGGATTCACAGGGAAGTGTTTTGCATCACTGCATCCCTTAATGTCGGCAGGTTTTGAATTTCCCTTGCTATCTACCTTTGGTTTCTTAGGCCTTTCCTCCAAATCCTCTCCAGATAACAACCTGGAAATTTTGTGGTCCGTATCGAATTCTTCCTTGTATCTTCTAAAGAGATTTAAATATCTTGCGTCTTTATTGCAGAGTAGAAAAAGAAAATCTAAAACAGGTTCCTTTGAGAGAAGGCTTCTGTGGTGCTTAATTAGTGCATCACTCATCACTTCCTCGTTGTACCTAAAACTCTCTGAAATCATAAGAAGAACGTTTTGTGCAATTTTATCATTCTTCTTGAGAATCTTCAGAAGAGAAATAAATTCGTCCATAGAGGGTCTATTGAATTGGCTTTTTATCGTTCGTCCTTCAGTGATATCAGCCCAGGCTTTAACTAAAAACCCCCTAGGTTCTTCTCTTTGTACTTGATCTTCTTCTTTGGTGCCGGCTTAACAGTCTGATTTTCCTTCTGTGTAAACTCTTCGATAATTTCATTGAGAGTGGAGATCACTTTACCAGGTCTAAAAACACCCTTGGAGACATCCCTCTTTCTATACATCTCTTCAAGCATCTCAAGATTCTCTGGGAATTTCATAAGATAGTCCTCCTTTTTCTTTAGGTCTATGTCTATAACCTTGACACTTCCATTGTCCCACAGCACAAATCTTTCCTCGAAAAAAAAACAACTCTTATTTTCGCTAAAGAAAAACCCTAAGAGGTTCTCAACCTCATATACAACTCCCTTGGCATTGATGAGGTCGAACCTATCGCAAAATATAAACTCTCCCCCAGTTTTGTACAATACTACGATCGTTTCCCCGATAGAGATATTCATCAGGTTCTCTATGTATATGGACTCTGCAGCCTTATCTTCTATGTTCAAAGAAGTGAGCCGAACATGTTTTTTGGTTCCTTCCTGGATGTAAAGTCTGTCTTGAAAAACGACCGATTGGATTTTTAAATTAGTAAGATATATGGTGCTTAGTCTAAGGTTGTTAAGATCCAAATGAAACACCTGATTTCTTGTTACAACTAGTAGCTCTCTGAACAGATAAAAGCATATGAACATAGGATTGCCTGTGTATGGAAATACCTCTTTGACCCCTGTTTCGCCAAATATCAGGATCTCTTTAGTAGTTAGTATGAATATCTCTCCAAAGGGAGAGGTGCATAAATCAATTGCTTGGATATTAAACATGGTTATTCTCTTTTGTTTGTAAACATAGATGTGATTGCCTGTGAGGATAAAGGCTTTTCCATGTCCAGTTACCAGTCTTACGCAAAGGTCTTTTATTTCGAACCTGTATCTGTACTTCCCAACAATATCGAATTGGTAGCCATCTCTTGAATATATCACATTGTAATTATCTATTTTTTCCATGAAAATCACATGCTTGGGACTTCTAGATTTGACGGCAGATCTTCGAAGTGGAAATATCAGGGGGATATCTATCTTCTTCCTGCTGAAGTCAAACTTTCCGTCGTATCTGGGTGGGCCAAGCATCTTGAGCGTAAACATACTCCTGAGGCGCTTAGGCAGTCTTTCTTCAGGAAAATTTATCATGGGTGTCCTTTGGAATAATGAAATGAGCCGAAAATCCACGTTCTCTATCTAGAAGCTGTAAGTTTATTTCAACATGTTTGATATTTTGTATAAGATTTTCTAGAAGCGGACGTGAAGAGACCCCAGTAAATGAAATGCCAATACTGCGAAGCAGCAGAATTCTTAATAGAGTGTATAACATGCGGAAAGCATTTCTGCAATTCACATAGCGCTTCATCCATATCTCATATAGTGTTTCATCTTGTGAAAGCAAGGCATAAATCAATTCGAATTGGAGGAGACATCAAGTGCAGGAAATGCGGAGAGGACAATTTGTTTAAACTTCTAGATAGCAATGGGAAGATATTTTGCAATGCATGCGGCTCTGGCAGAACCTTGGTTGAAGAGAGATGTCTTACCATAATCAAGAGCCCCGAGGTCCAGGGAAGAAGGCTCACTAAGCAGCAAATGGCTGAGATGGAGGAGAAGAACGTGCCGTCACTTCCTCAGGTTAAGCCGAGATTTGAAGCTGGGGAGTATGTCGAAGTGTTTTCTTCGCTAATTGAGGCTGAGTGCCGGAAAGAAAGGGAGATAAAGGAATCGATGAGACAAGAGAATGTGTTTGTTCGGTGGGAGAAGATGAAGTATTGTTATTTCTACTTCCAGAATGGAGACAACGAGCTAAAGATTAACATTGGTGATGAGATTAGGCTGACCCATAAGAGCGGATTTGTCTTGAATGGATTCGTTAGCGGAGAGACATTTAGCGAGGAGTTGAAGGTGGAAGTTGAAATACCTGGGGATTACCCAAGAAGCGGATATACTGTTGAGTATCTTTGGAGAGGTGTATGCTATGAAAGAATGGAATGGGCTTTAAGGAAGTTATATAACACATATAAGAAAGAGATTGGGAAAAACAAAAAAAACAAGAGTAATAATGATGAGAAGGGCTTGCATGAAGAAGAAATAGATGCCAATAGATCTTTGGGCAAAAGAAAACCGTTGGACTGTATTGAAGGGAGGAATGGGCCGGATGGGAGAAAAGCAACAAAAGCAAAGAAAAACTTAAATGAAGGGCCATCTATATTTGAATACATCCTGAAAGGATATAAAGAAGGGATCAGTAACATCGATCATATTTTTTCACCTCCGAACCTTCCAAAACTCAATACTTCCCAAGAAACGGCGGTTAGAGCAGCTCTTGGGAGAAAGGTGACGTTGATACAAGGGCCACCTGGGACTGGAAAGACATTGGTGTCATCTTCTATTGTTTACAACTTTGTGAAGCATTATGGAGGAAAGGTCCTTGTTGTTGCGCCAAGCAACACTGCAGTAGATCAGCTTACTCTGAAGATCCATAAGACAGGCCTGAAGGTTCTACGAGTAATGAGTAGAAGAAGGGAGTGCGGGCAGTCAGATGTAAGCTTTCTGTCTCTTCATGAGAATTTGAGAGAGTTACAAGAAGGAAGAAAGAAAAAAGATGAGGGATGCAGAGACAATGGTAGATATAATAGTATCTACAATGACGAGGTTAGTGAGTCATTAAAAAAGCAGCTTCTAAATCAAGCAGAAGTTATCACATGTACATGTGTAACATCGGGGCAGAAGATGTTTAACAAGTTCCGATTCCATTATGTATTAATTGATGAGGCAGTTCAGTCAACAGAGCCTTTAAGTCTTATCCCTCTGGTATATGGATGCAAAAAGCTTGTGCTTGTCGGGGATCATAAACAACTAGGCCCTACAATTCTGTGTAAGAAAGTGGCACAGGCTGGATTCAAACAAAGTTTGTTTGAAAGACTGATCTCGATTGGGGTGGTTCCGTATGTATTGTCTATCCAATACAGGATGGATACAGATCTTTGTGAATGGCCATCAGAAATGTTTTACAATGGAGAACTCCTCACAGGAGGAAAGAGATTCTGTAGATTTGATCTGGGAATCCCAACAAACTTTTTTTACGTATGTTATGGAAGAGAAGAAGTAAGTGCAAGCGGGACCTCTTTTATCAATCAAGCCGAGGCTCTATACTGTGAAAGTATAATAAGACATCTATTCAAGTGTGGTGTTACGGAGAATCAAATAGGTGTGATAACACCCTATGAAGGGCAAAGATCTTACATTCTAAACAGAATATTTGGGGCGGAGCCTGGGAATCTCGAAATAAGTAATGTTGATGGGTTTCAGGGAAGAGAGAAAGACTTTATAATAGTTAGTCTTGTTCGAAGCAATTTATATCAGGGGATAGGATTTGTTGGAGACAAAAGAAGAATGAATGTTACACTAACAAGAGCAAAGCATGGACTAGTAATAATAGGGAACCCAACGACCTTGATGAAGCATGACATGTGGAGTAACCTATTGTCGTTCTATGATAAAAAAGGTCTTGTAATGGAAGGGCCGTTGCACAACTTGAGGAGGGTTATCATAAAGCCTCCTAAACTTTTCGATTTCAAGGAGATGAGCAGAACTCTTATGAGCCAAATATGATAATCAATTCATCATCAATTAAAATAAAAAACAATGAAGATGTTGAGAAATAAGAATTCTTGGATTATTTTTATGTTTTTCTTTATGCTTTAAAGGGAATTTTACAAAGATTGCTTCTCAGGTAGTTTTGTACTTTCCAAATCAAGTTCCTCTTTTATATCTAATGCAGTTCTTCTGACTATGAATACAGGGTCCTTGGTAAAGTTATCGAGATTGAAGGCTTCCTTGAAGAGGCAGGGATGTTCTCTGTATGAATGAAGTAGCGCTCTTCGATATCTCCAATCGTTACCATGATCATCACACAGGATCTTGATGATTTTCTCCTTGAAATCATTATTTGAGAAATAGAACAGGGTTTTGATTTGAGAAAGAAAAGATTTTCTATAGCGCTTGCATACCTCAAGAACAATTTTTTCTAGTTCCTGCCTTATACAGAAGTTGGAAGTATCAAGTCGATTGGAGTCCCCAAATATCTTTTCATCATCTAACAATGTGTTGGGTATCTTTTCTTCATCATTGGAACGCACATTATCAAACAAGCTTAGGGTGATTTTGACTATCTCTTCCAGGTCATAAGCAATGTGCCCATAAACTGTGTTGGAAACTCTATCTATTCTACTTCCACACATCCTTTGAAGGATAAGAAACATCTTCTTATGAGGGAAGACTTTAAGAAACTTTATATATAGCCTACTTATATCTGAATAATCATTAATAGATGAAATCGATATCGATCCAAAAGTATCCACGCACCATTCGACATAAAGATTAAAAGTTGTTGTTGTAATGATTAGATGCTCAGATTTCAATATCTCTTTTTTTACATCCTTCATTTCCTTTATCATTGCCTCCAAGGTTTCAGGATCAACCGTCTTTAGTTTAAATATATGAAAGGCACAAACTGACCCATATTCCGTGTTTATATACTTCCTGAACAGATTTAGGAGCTCTTTATCAAATGACAAGCTAAGATACAGGGCGACATTTTCAAGGAAGAATCTTGGAGAAATAGATTCAATATCCAATAGACATCTCTTGGCCTCGACCAAACAACGAATCTCGTCAGAAAGCTTATAAGAGGCGCACAAGCAGGTTTCACCTACATTCCCACCTCTTCCACACTTACAGAGGGTTTTACAAGACAGGTCATCGGAAACTTGCTGAGACTTGTGGTTAAGAACATCTCTATCCATCTTAGCTTCTCCAGCCTCATTGGAATGCTTACTGCCTTCTTCAGAAAACGACTCAATGCTAGATTCGAAGAATGGCTTGCCTTGGCTGAAACTTAGATCTTCTGGGAATTTCTCGTTACCTTCTTTCCTACTACTACTATTCTCGCCTTCTATTGAATAGAAGTCCGTTTTCTTTTCCTGGTCCTTCTCCATTTCCTTATTACATTCGTCTTTACTATCAAAGGATATCTTAATATTTTTGATACATTCTTCCATTTCTAAATCAATCATCTTATCGACACCTCTGCATCTTTCACATTTATATCTGATACTTCTTTCCCTCATCAACTTAACCTTCAGGAGATAGAGCTCAACAAGAAAATCTTTTTTCTTGCCAAATATTTCAAATAATTCGTCAAACTCCCCCGTAGTTGTTCTGGTAAACAGAAAGGCCACAATATCAACTACCTGCTTTGTACATATCTTAGCAAACGGAAGAACGAGTTTATAGAGATAATCTATACATTGCAAAGAGTCATCGGCTGTTCTGTTGTTGATGACAAGCCCACATTTGTCAGCAACGAAGCTTAACTCCTCATCTTCTTCCCTTTCTCCAAAATGAGCTTGCAAAATACTCCCAACCTCTTCTAATATTACTAGACTTGTGTTGAAATCCAATAGCTTGTGCTTGGTCATCATCTTGATCATCCTTGAGAAGTCCACAGTTGAGTGATTATATACCTGCTGGATATTCTTGTAAGCCCACACAATATGCTCTGGATTATCCATATCTAGCTTGTCTATTCTGAAGGAAAAGTCTTTGGAATTCACGCCTCCATCCTCCTTGATTTTACTCTCTTCCATCTCAATGGGGTCAAAAAACAGCGAATATTTCCAATTCCATCATGATGCCGGATTTAAGATCATGCCTGTCTATGTCCTTTTATTAGATAAGCTGATCATGGGCTCTTCCAATTAAATATACTATTAATCTACAATATGATAAATACTATTGATTTTTGTGTATATCATGAAGAAATATCCTTATCGATCACAAGAATTTTGTATCCTTAATATAGGTAGGTCATGGTAAACAAATCTGACAGCATCCAGATTAATTGCAAATATTTCCAAAATAAGGAAAAGAACATGCACATGGAACACATTCTTTGTTGTTAAAATGTATAAATAAGCAGGCTTTGGGGAGTAAATTAAAGATGTTAAAGCTCTCATTACTCCTAAGTCTAGTAGGCTTTAGTGCAGTTCTTGCGAGTGGAGGAAGAAGGAAATGTGGTTTAAGAAGAAACCCCGATGGCTTCAACTATTTCAAAGAACAAAATCTTCTTGGAATTAAATACAAAAATGATGTAAGGAGGCTTTGTGGAGATCAAGCATTCGAGGATGGTTCTTGCAACTCTTCATCTTATTCTTCTAGCTCTGAAGAATGTGGTCGAAGGTGCCCTAAGGATAGGGATGATGGTTGCTCGTCACGTTCTTCATCTTGCGATAGCTACAGTTCATCATGCGACTACTCAAGTTGCTCCTCTACTCCATGCTCTACTCCTGTGCCTCTGAGGTGTGAGAATGAATTGAAGACACCTATAATCAACATGGGAGAAAGGATATTTGAGTTCCTTAAGAACTATCAGGACCAATATGAGAAAGCTGTTGTTCTTGCTTTGACCAACATTCTTTCTCAAGTTTCAGGATTCAACCCTATCTTCGCAGGTGCAGACTATGATGCTTTGGTAGAGCAACTCAAGACACTTGGTGTTAATGTTCCAGCCAATACTGCTGCGGAACTCGCATCAATAGATTCCTCTGAATCAGCTGCTCTTTCTAGAACCATTCAGAATAATGCACAGAAGGTAATTGGTGACTTACTTGGGAGAATTAGCTCAATGTGTTACTTGGATCTCGTGAGCCTCATCAACAGTGGGCTCTTTGCTAGCCAAATTTCAAGTGTATTCAATAACATTCAGCCAATCATTACCATTGCAGGGAATGATCTATTTGCCAAGCAGATGGCTGTATTCCAGAAACTCTCTGGGTCTCTGCCTGCTGCTGCAGTTACTGCCATCAACAATGTCCTTCAAGCAAACAGGAACAGCTTTGTTACGTTCTTCACAACCCAGGCCTCTACTCTTCAGACAAATGTTCAGGATGCTGTTACAGCTTTGACAACGGCCCTCACAACCCTATCAAACAATGCATCAAGCGAGTTCGTCAATTTTGCAAACTCTGAGATTGCAGCACTTGTATCCAGGGTCTTCCCACCTTCTTCTACATCCGATGGCAGTAGTGGATCGGGAAGCAGTAGTGGATCAGGAAGTAGTGATGGCCAAGGAGGCAGTAGTGGATCGGGAAGCAGTAGTGGATCGGGAAGCAGTAGTGGATCAGGAAGTAGTGATGGCCAAGGAGGCAGCAATGGATCAGGAAGTAATGGTGGGTCAGGAAGTAGTGATGGCCAAGGCCAGGGCGATCAAACCCCCGAGCAAGATGGCAATTAGAGGGCCGACCATTCTAGTGCGTGAGTCCAAGCCTCAAACTCAACTCATCCATAAGGCATGACGGGTACCAACAAAACGGATAAGGACTCATCGACTTCATGGCTAAAACATGCCTCGTATTACTATCTTCGACGGTGAAAAGGCTTTTCATTAGGCTGTAAATAAAACTGATTTCAAAATTTGTCTTATTTACAAGATACTGTTGCTGTGACCCATGAAGTTTTCGGACTTAAATATCGATCAAAGAATTGAAAAGGGACTTAATGAGAACGGGTTTATTACAATGAAAGAAATTCAACAACGGGTAATTCCCGTAGCACTAGAAGGCAATGACATAATTGGATCATCACAGACAGGAACCGGAAAGACTCTTGCTTTTCTTATACCCATTTTACAGAGGCTAACAGACCTCCAATGGAGAAGAGAGGATGGCCTTGGGTGTTTAATAGTTACACCAACACGTGAGCTGGCTTTACAGATATTCGATGTTCTTACCAGGGTTGGGAAACATACTACATTGAATGCTGGTCTGATTATGGGTGGGGTTGAGGCAGAAAACGAATCTCTGAAGATTAGCACTATGAGCATTCTTATATGCACACCAGGAAGATTCCTTCAGCACCTACAAGAAAATCCTTGTCTGAAAACCGAGAACATTCAAATATTGGTTCTTGATGAAGCAGACAAAATGATTGAGATGGGATTCAAGGAGATTCTGGAAGATATACTTGAGTACATTCCTTCAAAGAAGCAAACCTTACTGTTTTCAGCAACACCTAAAGCCTCAACAGCCAGAATCTTAAAACTGGAAGACCCGAAGATTATATCTATATACAAGGAAGAGGGATTTCCATCTCGACTACACCAATATTTTTATATGATGAGGATAGAGGATAAAATCAGCTATCTGCACACATTTATCAGAAGCAATCCGGAAGTCAAAGGGATAGTATTCTTCAGCACTTGCAAGGAGGTCAAATTTCATCACCTTCTATTCGAGAGACTCAAGCTCCGTAACAGAGTCTTTTGCCTTAGTGGAGGGATTTCACAAAGACAAAGAATAGATACATTCAAAAGATTCGTAAAAGAAAAGAATGGAATTCTGTTCTGTACTGACCTAGGATCTCGAGGACTAGACTTTCCAAAGGTCGACGTAGTTATACAATACGATTGCCCATGCAACGTTGAGACATATGTCCATCGTGTGGGAAGAACAGCTAGAAACAATGAGGGTGGAGAGTCTTACGTATATCTTGTTTATGGGGAGGAAAGACTTCTTGGAGACATTCAAAAGAAGGGATGGATTAGAAGCCAGGAAGCTAAAGACAAAAAAGCAGAGGATGAAAGCATCTCTGAAGAGATTCAAGAGGGTCCAAAGATCCAAATTAAATGTATCGATAAGATGATAAAAGGGCTCGTGAAATCAAACAAAGAGCTTAATGAATACTGCAAAAAGTATCTTGTGACATATGAGAAGTTCCTTGGTTTTAGTAGTAAGAGGTATTCTGAAAGTATATTAAGAAAGATTCCATCATTATATGAATATTTTGGAATTTCGAAAGATTAGAGAAACTCATTTATAAACAAATTCAGCCAATCGATTTTTTAATGTCAAGGTTAATACTCATTCAATCTAAGTAGTTGATTGTACTTACTAACCCTCTCACCACGACAAGGTGCACCTGACTTCATATATTCAGCACCAACACCTACTGATAAATCGCTTATGAAGTGATCTTCTGTTTCTCCGCTTCTATGAGAAACCATAATTTTCATTCCGTACTTTCGAGCAATCTTTATTGCCTTTATTGTCTCACTAATTGTACCTATCTGGTTGGGCTTTACTAGAAGTGTGTTGCACATTTTTCTTAGGCCTGCATTTTCAACAAGTTGTGGATTAGTGGCAGTCAGGTCATCACCAACAATATTGATTTTGTCTCCAACTTTAGCATTTATCCACCTCCATCCGTCATAGTCTTTTTCTGAAAATGGATCTTCAAGGCTATATATCTGAGGATACTTCCTAATGACTTCCATATACTTTTCCCCAAGGTCTCTTGTAGTATAGACCTCTCCATCAAGTTCATATTTCCCATCATCCCTTGTAAACTCATTTGCTGCAAAGTCAATAGCAATTTTCATATCTGTTCTGTTGCATCTTCTGGAGGCTTCTAATATTAGATCTAGCCCATCCTCTAACTTCTCTATAGGAGGTGCAAACCCTCCTTCATCCCCCACCGAAGTATGCAATACACCATACTTCTCGGATATCGTTTTCTTCAAAGATTCATACAATACACATCCACACTCAATATTTCTTTCTAAGTCATTGTGTTGATATACAACCATGATCTCTTGTACCGTCATTGCATTTCCGGAGTGAACTCCTCCGTTTAAAACATTGAAATGAGGAATAGGCATCTTTCTTTTGAATGGTCCTATGCTCGAAATAAACTCATCCACTCGTTTATTTGAGTATCCTGCACCCATTTTACAGAAAGCCGTGGAAAGTGCTATTATTCCATTCCCTCCTATCTTTGATTTGTTGTTTGTTCCATCCAGATCTAGTAGGAAATTGTCTATGTTTTGTTGATCAGCCGCATTGTATTCTAGTTCAAGTAAACTTCTTGATATATCATTGATGTTGTTTATAACAGCTCTTACACCTCTTCCATTATAAAGGTTTCCTCCATCAGAGATTACCACAGCTTCTTTTGAACCTCTAGATGCGCCTGATGGGCAAGAAGACCTATACACACCTTTACCCGTTATTAAGTCAACCTCCACTGTTGGATAGCCTCTACTTGTGAGTATCATTCTTGACTTAATACTTAGCAAGGCATCCTTGATTTTCATCCTCTGTTTTGTTTGAGACTTAGTGGCCATAAATTTTGTTACTCAATTCCCTTTGACAGACAATGAAAAAAGACTTTGCAAAACATTTGATGTATCTCTACTGCACAGCATTCAGAACGGTTGGAATCCCATCTGTCCATAGAAGAAAGATGAAGAAAATAAAGATGATATCAAATAAATATCAAATAAGATTGTCCAGAGAAATAAAGAGAACAGTGTGTCCCGGCTGCTACACCATTCTTATCCCTGGATTCAATTGTGTATCAAGGGTTACCAGGGAGGAGAATGGGTTGTGTCTCAAGACCTCGTGTAGTTGTGGAAACGAAAAGGTCTTTGTTGCCCAAGGAAGATGAGCCCAAGACTATCTGACAATACATCAATTATGAAACGCGGGTGTGTTTCATAACTTAGATATAAAGGAGCTGGGTTTATATTGACATGGCAGTCATGGATCTACTTATAGAAAAAATAAACGATCTCCAGGACATATGTACAGAGAATAGCATATCAAATAAAATAGAACTCCCACAAATAGTGGTTATTGGTAGTCAAAGCTCCGGAAAAAGTAGTGTCCTCGAAAACATAATAGGCAGAGATATTCTTCCGAGAGGCACAGGGATTGTCACCAGAAGGCCCTTGATCTTGCAACTCATCCATAGTAAAACAGAAGATCATGCGGTTTTCAATCATTTTCCGGAAAAAAGATATACAGACTTTGATGAAGTGAAGAAAGAAATCATAAAGGAAACAAATCGAATTTTAAAGTCGAAGAATGATGTCTCACCCCAACCCATTATACTTAAGTACTATTCTTCTAAGGTTCTAACACTCACATTAGTTGATCTCCCTGGGCTGGTGAGAGTCCCGACTAATGACCAGCCTAAGGACATATGTACCAAAATAACGGAAATGTGTAGGAAATATGTATCTAATAAGAATGCCCTGATTCTTGCAGTGTCCTCTGCCAATACAGACATATCGAATTCTGATGCTCTACAGCTTGCTAGGGAGGTTGATCATAACTATGAAAGAACCATTGGCGTTCTTACCAAGGTAGATCTTATGGATTCTGGGACAGATGTTGTGGACATTCTAGCAGGCAGGATCATATGCCTAAGGCTGGGCTTTGTTCCCGTTGTAAATAGAAGCCAACAGGACATTGAAAAAAACAAAGGCATACAACAGGCATTAAAAGACGAGGAGGTATTTTTCTCGACTCATGAGTCTTATAAAAGGAATAAGGCATACTGTGGAACGTCATACCTGATAGCAAAGCTCCATAACATTCTCCATGAGCATATAAGGCAATGCTTGCCGGATCTCCAAGAAAGGATCAATAGTGGAATGATCGATGCACAGAATAACCTTCGAGACCTTGGAAATGTATGCTTAAGCCCAAAAGAAAATGTAATGAGAATCATCAATGGCGTTTCTAAGAGATTCAGTGACATTCTTTCAGGGAATGTTGAGTCTAAAGGAAACGAGCTGATGGGAGGTGCAAGGCTGAATTATGCATTCAACCACCATTTCTCAAAATTTATAAACAGGCTTGGTGCTCTTGACAACATCCACGATGAACAGATAAGAGCGTTGCTGTATAATTCTAGTGGATCATCATCTGTTCTACTGTTTGGTCAAGCAGCCTTTGAAAAGCTAGCAAGGGTTTCTGTCGAATCTTTTAAACCCCACAGCTTGAAGCTTGTAAGCATAGTTTTTTCCGAGCTGGTTAGAATGATCAAACATATTGTAGATGGCTCTACTATGAGCAGGTACCCTGCACTTGGGGAGAGGATCATAAGTAGTGCGATTAGAATGTTTAAAGAACGATGCGATGCAACACATAAGCTGGTCGAATCATTTATTGATTGGAATACAGGATATATCAGTACTAAGCATCCAGACTTTATAAAGTGGAGTGAAATGCTGTCGAAGGAACTAGAGGATCCTGCGGTAGAAAGAAAAGCAGAAAAGATAGACTTCTACAAGGGAATGGAAACCAAGATGACTCTTGACTCCATTCCTAATACATTGAGGATTCGTGATGGGCTTTCCGAGCAGGAAACCATAGAGATAAGTATGATCAAGTCTATGGTTGAATCCTACTTTGAAATAACTAAGAAGATAGTTGTCGATCAAGTCCCAAAAGCGATAATGTGCGAGCTAGTAAAAAAGGCCGAGAATTCCCTTCAAGAAACACTGTTTATGGAAATATACAACAGAGAGGATATAGACACCATAGCCTCTGAGTCTGAGGAAGTGAAGATGGAAAGAAGCAGGATAGAGTCCATGCTGAAAGCCCTAAAACAGGCCTATGATATAATATGCTCTTTATGAATGAGATTAAATAACCTAGTGTTTAACTAGCTTATCTCGGATTGCAACACAAACATATCTTTCTTATAATAACTTGGATCGGTACGTAGGTTGTGAATGACATCATGCAATGGAATAGCCCTTATGGATGATGCCGTTCCCTCATAGGCGATTTTTATGTTTATGACATGAATATGCAACCTGAGATACGTTGGTCTATAATGAAAGAACATAAAAACATGGTTGAAATCCAAAGAGAACATGGTTTCTAAAACATTGCTTGCTTTCTCCTGTGCTCTTACTAAAATTTCCCAGTTATCTATATCTCTTACCGTTTTTAGACCAAGATCCTTGAATATTATCAGAAGATGAAGGGCATCTATGTTCTGGCAATTCCATTTATAGTCTGGAATGATCATTATTTCTCCATCCTCATACAAGATATTCTCATTTACATTCCTTTTGTTCTTTAAAGTAATGTTATCCATCCAATTAGTACTTATATGAGCATGGTTATTTATAAAGTCTAGGTATTCCTTATAGGTCTCCTTAACATAAACAAGTCTTGGAGAATATTTCTTGATATGATCTTCAGTTGCTGGATAGATGACCCTGAAGTTGATATAAATAGGGCCCAAAACCCTGTATGAATAATATATGTTGTTTGATTGGATATTTTCCATTGGAAGGGACAAAAACTGGATAAAGGTATCTTTTGAAACTGATTGTCTTGGAAATATTAATATTGCCTTTTTATCCCGAATTCTACCTATATATAGATTCCCCTCCGAGTTCACAAGACTTTGATCCAAGATAAACTCCTTAATTATATCTTTCATGTTAGGGTCTAAATTTTTACATATAATGCTGAGATCCCTAATGGAGAACATCAATAAAGAGGCCAATGAGAGAGCAAAGAAGTTACGAGAAAGGATAGAAGAAGCCACGGGAATTAGAATTGGAGGGGTAGAATACGAAGAGGATTATTCTGAGGTTATTAATAGGTGCTGCGAAAACCTTATTGGATACAAAAAGGTGCCCTTGGGAGTTTCAAGCAGGGGGGTACTAATAAACAACAGGGAATTCTTTATTCCAATAGCAACAACCGAAGGTGCACTGGTTGCATCGATGAATCGCGGAATCAAACTTATGAATGCTTGCGGAGGAGTTGAAGGATATGCAGAAAACATTGGGATTACAAGGGGGTTTATTATGAGGTTTAAGACTTTTGGAGAGGCAATGAGATTCTATCAATGGATAAAGGTGGAAGAATCTGTTGCAAACCTCAAAAGAATTGGTAATAAAGGAAGCAGGTATTTGAGAATTAACAAGATAGAATCTAAGCATGTTGTTGGAGAAGATGTATACATAAAGGTATATGGATACTCCGGAGATGCTATGGGGATGAATATGATAACAAAGGCATGTGTTCAAATATCTAGTGAAATAACTCGAATGTTTCCAAATTCATCCCTTGTGTCCATAAGCTCCAATACATGTACCGACAAAAAATGGTCGGGCGAGAACTATTGTAATGGAAGAGGGAGGAGGATATTTATGAACATTAAGATAGATGACAAAAACTGCCGAGAAATAATTGGCGTTGGGATAGACAAGATTCTGGATGTATATCATTCAAAAGTCGTTGTTGGAGGGTCTCTTGTGCTAGGGGGATTTAACTGCCAGGCAGCCAATTATGTGGCAGGAATGTTTTTGGCTTTGGGACAGGATCTTGGGCAGGTTATTGAAAGCAGCAACTGTGTATTGAGTATGAAGAAGTTTACAGCAGATGTTCTGAGTGTTTCTTTGTTTATGCCTTCTGTTACTGTGGGGGTTATTGGGGGTGGTACACATCTAGAGCCTTCAAAAAGTTTTCTAAAGCAATTTAATAAGGGGAATGATGACTATATAATAACGAACAAAGATGAAGACAAGTCATCTGGACCTGGATATCTGGGGCTAGCGGTTGGGACAGCAGTGCTTGGAGGGGAACTATCTCTTCTAGGTTCTCTAGCAAACAATACTTTAATGGAGAGCCATCTGAGATTGAATAGAGGAGTGACCCAGACAACGGAATAGATAAATTACACTGATGTCCTAAAGGCAAATAGTTTGTGAAGATCTCCTTTTGATCTATCAATGATTTTTCTTGTATCAAAAGAATAAAAATAAAGACCCATCATATTCGGATGTCAATTAGGTTGACGATAAGATATCGAACAGACTCTATAGAAGCAATTGCCATGATGACGGATACTCTGGAATCTCTGAAATTAAGAATTCAAGAAATCACGGGAGTACCTGTCGATTCTCAAGTGCTTCTGTTCAATGACAGGATCCTTAGCGATAATAACAAGGAACTGAAGGAGCTAGGAATAGAGAATGATTGCACTTTACATTTGAAGAAAAAGATGGAAGTAAAAAGCGAAGGGAAGAAACCGGACTTCACTGCCTCAATGATGAAGAACCCTTTGGTTAAGAATTTTCTGAAAAACCCTGATGCAATGAGGAGCATTGTTGAGATGTTTCCCGGGCTCAAGGAGGAGATGAATAGCAATCCTGAGCTGAGAATGGTGATGAATAGCTCAAATCTGCAAGATGAGCTAGAAATGTTTTCCATGAATCCTGAATACATGAACACTCAGCTTAAGAACCTAGATATAACAATGTCCAAGCTGGAAAACATTCCTGGGGGGCTTAATATGATAAGCAGCATGATCAAAGATGTTCAAGATCCTTTATCCTCGGCACTAAAAGAAGGAATGGGGAGAGGATACAGGGTAAAAGAGGGAAGGAAAATAGACAAGCCCATTAATGAAGCAATTCCAGGCGTGTGCAAGGAAGAAAGCCAACTAGTGAAGTATAAGGACAAGTTGGCCGAGCTCAAACAGATCGGGTTCAGTGATACCAGACGGAACTTCATGGCTCTCATGGCGTGTAATGGAGATTTGGAAGGGTCTATAATGTATTTACAAGAACTCGATAGGAAGTCATCACCTACACAAAGGGCAAAATAAAAATAAAAGACCGAGTCTCCTTCATCTTCTTTAGCTTGAAGATCTTTGGCTTTATTTAGGATAGAGACAATCTTCAGAATATTTTTAATAGCAAGATACACTATACTTCACTTCCGATATACTTAGAATTTACGAGATCGATGAATCTACATACGCTGAAAGAGCATATTCCTGCTATATCACAGATGTTATTTCCATTTTTTCGCAGTTTAAGAAGGTCATCAAACCTAAATGAAACTGGATGAGAGACTAGAATGTTTTGGACATAAACTTCTACGCTAAAAAGAAGAGGGGCTTCTGAGAGAAATAGGAAGAATATTTCTGAGATATCGGGGGAATCATATATCTGGACAAGCACACCCATACTCATAAGCTTTTCTGCACTATACTTATGTGTTCCATATTTAGAATCCCTAGTGATGTCATCAGTGCCACTGAATCCAAATAAGGATCTTTTCTTAATTGCTAACTTTGCAACAAAAGAATTGAGATAGTTTTGATAAAGTTCTATCTTTCCGGATAGATAATCATCTCTGTAACATAGATTATCATAGCTTATCTCATTTATCCTAAGTTCCTTACTTCTTTCTTCAGACATGAACCTTAAGATGACTATATCTTGAGCTAACATGAATAGAAGCTCAGAATAAAGGTTATGCCTACTAGTGATGTTTTTGTCCTCCAAGAAGTTTAGATCATCAATGATAGATTCCTTCAGTTGATCAATAGTTTCATATTGTGCTGGAGGAGAGGTTATCGACAGTTCGTCCTCTTCATCCTTACTGTAAAGGGCATGCCTCTTCATGTCTAGATAGCGAGACTTTTCCTCTTCATCAGATTCCTTTAAGAGCATTTCTACCAAGTTCCTCCCTTTGCATACCGATATAGCGTATATAAGCTTCTTTTTCAATCCTCTTACAAAGTTATCCAGTGCTATTTTTTCTGGATCCTGAGAGCATATCCATTCAGGGCCAAAGAAAGTAAATGAAAGGGTCTTGTTTTGGTCATCAGGGAACAGAGGCAAAGACTCAAGAACCTCACACAATTCCAGGCCTAGCAGTTTGGTGTTACTTAGAAGAAGTGTAATCAATTGGTTAGCAGTACTACTCGGGAGATGCACCGTAGCTCGTTTAAGCTTGCCCAGCTCGTTCATTGATTCAAATTGGAAATAGTTATCAAGACTAGAAACATTTGTAAGCTTTGAAAGGATTGATTGGTATCTTTCACGGCATCTTCCAAAGAAAGAATAAAGAGGCGAGTAGAATCTGAGATCGAAGCTCTTTTTTTCTCCATTGGCTAAAGGCATGTACCCTTTCACGCCATCATTTTTCTCCTCTTCACCATGATCAGATTCCTCAAAACTTGTCACCCTGTCCGTTATATACTCCAAGACCTTTGATATTATAAAGCATTTGTTTCTGAGGGATTTACTGACCTCGAATGATTCGATAAATGCATCGGGGGCTAAGATGAAAGGCATCACAAATTCAGTGTAAAACATTCCTGCTCCATAGAGTTTAAGGAAGTATCTAAGTATATAGGGAATGGATTCAATGCACGATTCCAAAAGATCTAGTGCAGATGAAATCACACCACGCATGACCATAAGCCTTGTCTGGACTGCCTCCCTAACTCTCTCGTTCTCCAATGCTTTGTCTACGGTTGTACTTTGGTTGAACAGCATTGTATAGATAAGAACCGGGTTGGCATCCACCTCAATATTTTCTAAATTCTTTACAATGTGAAGGATCTTGTCCCTCAAGGAGAAACTCCCCTGAGATATCCTGAAATAGTTAACCATAAGCTTATGGCAAATTGATCCGGATGACAAAGTATGATGAATAGGAAATTCAACTTCTTTAAATAACTCAAGAGAGAAAAAGGTACTTGAGTGTATTCCCAGAGACATGTCCATCGGAACAAGCTTTCTTACATCCAGCCCATTATCTAGAAGTTCTCTCCTGAATATTTCTAGCACAAGATTTATAAACATATACTCCTCTTTCTTAGAACAAACATTAGAGAAAATAGGAATAACAATGGATACAATAAGAGTATCTGGGTCACTAACATTTCTAAGTAACTCTGAAAGATATTTAGGATTGTTTTGTAAAAATAATAATACTCTCTCAAAGTCCCTAGTATCTTCGTCTTCTGGAATCGGGTTCTTGATTGTTATATTTCCGACCTCCATTCTGTTTTGAACTATCAGTCTGATTCTTGTTTCAATATCTTTTATCTGCGCTTCCTTTGCATAAATGCTATCAAATTTCTTTGATATTTTGTGATGAAGATTTTCAATAAGGTTCTCCTTAACCATTTCAGATGAATTGCTAAAGAAAATAAACACAAACCTTCTGATAGAAAATAGGGACACGTCCTTTCTATAGTAGATATCATCAAAGCATTTCTTGTACAGAAAGGTTCTCAGAGTCAGCTTAAGAATGTCAAAGGATTCATCACAAACACTTACATCTTCGGATAAAAAACTCCCTTCCTTATCAAGTGTATCCTTTTCCGTCATGCTTTCCTGATCTAAAGATTCTTTTTTCGTGTCATCTTCTTCGTTATCTACTCCCTCCATAGCCATTTTTTCCTTTAATACATCTCCTATGTTATCAAACTTAGGCATGTGCATTTTTTCGACCTGTACATCAGCCCTTGCCATATCGTCATAAGAAAAGACCTTTCCTTTGGCACTTTTGATGTTCCCAGCGACTCCTTTCGAGCTCAAAAGGTGTGCTAATGCATGTATACAGTATATGACTTTAACAAAATTCTTCTTTTCATACAAATCAATCACTTCAAAATGGAAATATTCAGGCAACCCTATTTGCATTAATCCATCCAAAAAGTAATTGATATTGTCTGTATGCCTATACTGCAAGATGGAGTCAACAAAAACATTTTTAACTGAGCTAGGTGCAAATATCCTACATATGTCAGTAAGAATCACCCCCTTTCTCATTTCTTCTTCAAACTCTTCAAATGACTCAGGCACATCAGTGAAGTCTCCTAGCCACGACTTTGCTTCCTCAAGCCTGCACAAATATTCATAAGCCCGTGTGTTTCTCCTTTCCTTGTCCATATCTTCTGACGAAACATGAACATCGGTGCCTAACCTTTGATGAACATTGATACTATTTTTCTTGAGTTCTTCTTTCCTGCTTTCCATGGGTGAAAAAAAACAGCAGAATTTATTAAGAATTCCTGAAGATATTAAATCTTAGAAGCTAAAAACTTTGCCCCTTGGATGAGAGACTTGCTCCAGAACTTTATTCATGCTTTTTTCAGAAATCAAAGTAGATCTCCCTCTCCCTTGTTTTTAGAGAGTGCCTCAAGGTACCTGAACCCATCCAGATCTGCCATTATACGGGATGATGAAATAGAAGATACCATCAAATCTAGGTCATATGGAGCATACCTGGCGTACAGGAGAATGAAGAAAAACAACATTACAAAGATGCTTTGCTATGTTCTGGCAGAAGTGGCCGACTCTTCTCCTTCTATAATGGAAGAGCTCAATAGAAACGTGAAGAAGGGCGCCCTGGGAATCGAGGTTTCTTATTTCACGGAATCAAGTCTTACCTTCATAAAAGAGAGTGTTGGCACACACATATATGGAATTGTATTTCAGATATACCAAAATGCATGCATATACAAAAAACTGAAGTCTGAAATATCCTTTTCCTCTAAGGCACATTCACATTTCTATGGAATTGTAAGAAAAGAACTGGAAAGATATGAAAGGTCTGTTATTGAACAATATGAAGAGCTTCTTCCATTCTATACTGGAATGTACTCCTCTTATATACGAATTCAAATAGTTCACCAACTAAATGAATGCTTCAGAGACAATCCCAGAAACCCTTTTGAGTTTCTTAGATTCAATTTTCTGTCAAATCATCCATTTTACAGGAAGGTTTTAGAGTCAAGCTGCTTACATATCAATAATTGCCTTAGAGAGTTCCTGTTTACAGGATGCTTCAGGGATGATACCAACGAATTCTTTATATGTAGAAAGACATCCATTGAGCCATGGGAAGAATTCAGCATCGACTTTGGGCTTGTTCCTTACTTTATTAGCAATAGGCTTGCTCAGAAAATATTATACATAGGAAAGTGCTCATTTCTTTTAAGGGGATGTAGTGCCTCGAAAATGCTCAGTTTAGATGATCTCCACGAAGCTCAAATATCTGGTGAATGTCGAAGTAAGGGCATTCAGAGCTATAATTTTCTTGATGAAGAGATAGAAGATAGTCCTAAGCATATCAATATCCTAAACCCAGGCCTTGAAGAAAGCATAGACATGATGTTGCATAGGATCAACAGGGAAATAGACCGTGTTTTTCTTGGAAACCCGAGTATATCTAGTCAAATAGAAGGAATTAGGAATACCTTTTTGTTTGGTAGATGTGACTTTATTGAAACACTTTTTCTTTATCTAAAGGATAGTAAGGATCTTAGCAGAAAAAGTTTCAGCTATATTCTAGACCTGGCCATTAGAAATACTTATGGAAATGCTGATGAATTTACTTCCAAGCTAGGTGTATACATTGTGGATAATGAAAACAAATATGAAAATTTTGCACTATTTTGTCAGGTGGACTACCCTGCAAGTATAATAGTTACAAAGGAAAGCATTCTTAAGCTTGTAAAGATATTTCAGTTTCTCTGGAAGCTAAAGCGAGTTGAACACCTTCTTTTGAGGGTTTCAGGGATGAAGATACAGAAGACATCCAAGATAAAGGTTATTTCTTATAAGACCTTACTTTATAAGATAAATTATTTTGTTTTTGAAGAGGTAATAGAGAGAAAATGGAAATTCTTCTCTTCAGTTGGCGAGATGCCACTGAACGAACTAAGACTAGGAATAGAAAGGGCCTTAGATGGAGTCATAAACACATGCCAAATAGGAGGTGGGATCGAGGATCTTCTTGATTCCATGAAAAATTCATTAATGGATGTAGGAACAGGGTTATCCTTGTTTAGTGATGCTAAGATTCAAAGAAGATTATCAGAGTTAATGGAAACATCTGGAAGTAATTTTATTGGGACATCTTTATATGATCTCCACAAATATGTTTAGAATTACCACAGGTTTAGAATTTATAGGTTATATATTAAAGATATTCCTTTCCACCTTCTTCTATTATCCCTGATTTTACTATTTTCACCGGAATTACGGGTCTAGCATGGCGTGTATTCACTCTTTGTATATCGTTTATTAAGGGAATGGACTCTTCACTGACATTTCCAAACACGACGTGCTTACGATCAAGGTGAGGCTGGGGGGCAAATGTGATGAAGAACTGGGATCCATTGGTGTTGGGCCCGCTGTTAGCCATAGACAATTTTCCAATGCTGTCGTGAGTTTTTATGAAATCTTCATCTGCAAAAGGTTTTCCATCATATATGGAAATAGAGCCTGTTCCATTTCCCATAAGGATATCCCCACCTTGCATCATGAACCCCGGAATAATCCGGTGGAAAAGACTGCCTTCATACTTATAGAATCCATCTCCAATTTCTGTTCCCTTTACAAGTTCATAGAAATTTCTAGCTGTTTTAGGAGCTTCATTCCAGTATAGTTCAAAAGTAACTCTTCCAGACTTTTTTTCTCCCCCAACTACATATTCCAAGTCCATATATGGTGTTCCCAAGGCCGAAGAAGCATTTATTGCTACTCCAATTAACAATAATAAAACATTCCGATTTTTCATAATGGGCTTAAACCTTAAATTATTAATAAATTTTTTGTTAGTACCCATAAGAATGGAGTTGATGAACTATGAAAAGCTTGTGGTTATGTCTGAGCCAAGCACCGACTCAACAAAAGTCAGAATTGTGCTCTGCAGTAATACTGAAGAAGGCGTTAGCATAATATCCGACGAAAAGGATTCTTCACATCGAGAATTCCTTAATAGTTTAGGTGCCAAAGGGAATTTGGGTGAAAACTACATACTTCCTGAGCGAAATGGAAGGATAACCGTGTTTGTAGGCATAGGCAAGGTAGACGAAAATATACTTCTTGTCAAAAGTAACGCAAGAAAAGCAGGAGCTTCTGGATACAAAGCAGTATCTCAGTTTAGAAATATAGAAATATCGTTGGGTTCGGAATTCATGGCAAGGGAGGTTGTATCTGGAATAATACTAGCTTCATATAAATACCAGTTTTTAAATAAGGAAGAAGGAGAATCTAAGAGAATGGCAATAAATTCTCAAGTTGACGCAGTTAAAAAGGCAATAACGATAGGAAATGCACAGAACTTTGCTAGATTCTTAGGAGACACACCAGCAAATCTCATGAATCCAACGTTATTTACAGAATATGCCACCAAATACCTACAAGGTAAAAGAAACGTCACAGTTGAAGTGTTTGGTAAGGACTTTATGAAAAGTAAGTCCATGAATCTTCTTTTAAGTGTTTCCCAGGGGTCATCCCAAGAGCCAAAGCTTTTGGTTGCTAAGTATAGGGGAAAGAGTGGGGAAGGTGTGGATCTTGCATTGGTCGGGAAGGGGGTTTGCTTTGATTCCGGTGGAATATCACTAAAGCCGTCTGCACGAATGTGCCGTATGAAGGGAGACATGCTTGGTGGCGCTTCAGTTCTAAGTGCTTTTGGAGTTATCGCTGATATGGGTGTAAAGATAAATGTGGATCTTGTCATTCCATTGGTGGAGAATCTTCCCAGTGGTACTGCAACAAAGCCTGGTGATGTTTATATAGGCATGAATGGGAAGAGTGTCGAGATTGACAACACAGATGCCGAGGGAAGACTTATTCTTGCCGATGCACTTGTATATGCACAGGAGAGAAATCCAACTTACGTATTTGATGTTGCCACATTAACAGGGGCTATGTCAATTGCCCTTGGGGATGTATTTATAGGATATTTCACTGAGGATGACAATCTTTCTGAAATGATCTATAGAAGTGGAATTGATGCCAACGATCCTACATGGAGAATGCCCTTGTCGCAGCTGTATCTACCAGCGATGAAGTCGGATGTTGCAGACTTGAAAAACACGGGAGAAGGAAGATATGGTGGATCTTCAAGTGCTGCCATATTTTTGAATGAGTTCGTCAAGAAGGAATGCAAATGGGTCCACTTTGATATTGCAGGTGTAATGGGGAGCAACAATAACAAAGGGGTTTACGGAGATGGAATGACAGGTTGTTCTGTTCCTGTATTGGTTGAAATAATCGAGAGGCTGTCTGGAGTAATTAATTAAAGATTGCATCTCGTAATGGTATTTAATTTTCAAAAAGTGTCATGGCTGCTATGCCAATAGCCAGGTTTCAATCAGTAATCATGTCGTTTACTATCTTCTCTATATCCTTCATCGCACTATCCAAGTATTTCTTTCTATACTCACTTCTATTTTTAAGAAAATGCTCCATTAGGTATGAAAAATCGTATTTTGAAAATTTGAGGTTTTGATTAATAAGCTCTAGCACTGAGTCTGTATACTTCACATCGTATCCCTTACTGAACACTCTAACCCCAAGAATTTCAATACATCTAATAAGCTGCTTTTCTATTAGAAGAACCACTCCGCTCTTTTTAATGCTTTCTATCTTCTCTAACTCCTTTATAAGGTCATCCTGTTCATATAGAAACTCATTAAAATACTTAAAGACATCTTCAATGAAGTTATTGAGAGGTTGGATTTTGTTAATCTTCCTAAGGCCTTTGACAAACCTTTCCTCAAGAAATGGGAAAATGTATGATGATATCCCCCCTTTAGATTTCGAGGCTACAGTGAGATATCTCATCATCTCTGCCTTGTCGTGGAATACAATTTTGGGAGAGAGAAATAGCCCATTGGCTTCAGCATACTCATACTGTTCTGTAAACACTAAATAGTTCATTAGTTCCTTGTCAATCTCAGGCTTTGGAGAATCATCGAAGACTTTCTTCTCATAGCTATATGTTAGCTCCTGATAAATTCTAAGTATATATTCCACACTTTCCTTGTTTTTCTCAAATATATATACTGTCGGATCTACCTTTACTTCTAGCATGTCGTCTTTAACCTGGATCTGAGCAATACTGTAGCTATAAGCATTCAAAAGTCTATATTTCTTGAATCCCTTTTGAACTGCACCAATCAGAAGAATATCGTTCGCCAGAACAAGAATACACTCCCACCCACTTTTTTCCCTGAGAGTGTCGAAATGAACCAAATATCTTTCTTCAGTTGCAAACACACCAGCTTCATCGTCAAAGTTATTGAGTATCAGTCTGAACTTTTTCACAAGCTCCTTATCTACAAAAACTTCTTCTTCTACACTTCCATCCATATTACATCTAACTAGTTCCTTGGATAGGTCTACCATGCTAGTAACCATTCTATATGACTCTTCGTAGACGTTAAGGATGTTAAGTAGAGAATCACTGTTGAGCAGAAACGTTCTAAGTAGCTCGGTATCTATCTCATGCTCTATTTTGGATATGCTATGCTTTTCATTTTCTAGTACAGAGCCTTCATATCTCTGAAAAGTATTATTTAAATAAGATTCCAAATCAAGGGAGGTGAACTTCGATATTTTACTTGCCAGATCAGTCATAGGGGCTTAGACTAGCCTAATAATAACCATTTGTTTATGGTAAATATTTCATGTCCCCATGAAAAAGTTTGACCAACAGCAAATCGATCAAATTCTCAAAAAAAGGTTTTTTATAGCTCAATCAGCTCATATATATGGAGGTGTTTCGGGACTGTACGATCTGGGACCGCCAGGACTGTCCGTAAAAACAAACATTCTAACACTGTGGAGAAAACATTTTGTACTTGAGGAAGACATGCTTGAAATAGAAACAACTACCATGCTGCCTTACGATGTTTTGAAGGCAAGTGGTCATGTGGACAAGTTTTGTGACATTCTAGTTTTTGACGAGGTAACTGGGGATTGTTTCAGGGCAGACCACCTGGTTTCGGATGCATTAGAAAAACTGCCCTCGACTGAAGGGATCACCGAGGATCTACAAAGGGTTGATTGCATGGGGTGCCAGGAAATTGATGAGGTTATATTGAAGTACAATATTAAGAGTATTTTAGGAAACAAGCTGAGCAAATCACAGCAATTCAATCTTATGTTTGGAACGCAGATAGGCTATAAAGGAGACCAGACTATGTTTTTAAGGCCTGAGACGGCACAAGGGCAGTTTCTAAATTTCAAGAAGCTTTATGAGTACAACAATGGTAAGCTTCCATTTGCATCAGCATCCATAGGAAAGGCATACAGAAACGAAATAAGCCCCAGGTCTGGTCTCATCAGAGTTAGAGAATTTGATCAGGCAGAAATTGAGCATTTTGTTCTTGCAGAAGAGAAAGATCATCCAAAGTTTGGAACTGTTAAAGAAGTCAAGTTGAAGTTTATAAAAGAAGTTGGAACTGAGGAGATCACCTTAGGAGAAGCATTAGAAAGAAAAATTGTATGCAATGAGACGATTGGGTATTACATCGGAAGAACAGCATTGTTTTTGATCGATCTGGGAATTGATAGAGAGCTACTGAGATTCAGACAACACAAAAAAGAGGAAATGGCACACTATGCTAAAGATTGCTGGGATGCAGAGATATATACATCTTATGGGTGGATTGAGTGTGTAGGAATAGCAGATAGATCATGCTATGATCTAAAGTGCCATGAGGGTGCATCGAAAGTAGATTTGAGATGCAAGAAGAAGCTTTCCCATCCAAAAGAAGTTGAAGAGTGGGTTTTGAAGTTAGACAAAAAGGAATGGGGCGCAAAGCTCAGGAATAGGTTTTCTGCGTTAATGGAAATGGTCAATGGATTCACCCAAGAATATATCGAACAAAATATTTCGAGCTCTGAAGAAAAGAAGAATTACTTAAATGTAAAGTTTGATGGACATGTTATTAGCTTTGAGTGCTCAAAGGTAAAGAATAAGGTGTTTGTTGAAAACATAATTCCCGATGTGATTGAACCATCTTTTGGTGTTGGGAGGATTCTCTATGCTTTACTTGAACATTCGTTCTACTTAAGAGAAGATCTAAGGCCAGTATTCAAGTTTAAGCCAGTGATTGCGCCAATTCAATGCGCAATAGGATATCTTATCCATTTTAATGAATTTGATGAGCATATTCTAAAGATAAAAAGGTTTTTGACAGATAATGGATTGGTGGTACATGTAAACGAGCGTTCGTGCAGTATTGGAAGAAAATATTCGTCATGTGATGAACTTGGTATCCCGTTCTTCATAACATTTGACCCAGATTTTCTTAAAGATAACATGGTAACCATAAGGGAAAGAGACTCTATGCAGCAAATAAGAGTTGAAGTTGAGAAGTGCTCTTCCATTGTGTTAGAATACATCAAAGGTCTATCCAAATGGAATTAAATAATTTCCCTGGATTCTTCCTGGTTTCATATTTTGAAAATAACCAGGCCCTTTCATGAGGACAAAAAGAAAGATCATAATTCTGATACTTGTTTTCACAGTACTTTTCATACTTTCCATAGGTGTCATAATTAAGGAGAGACATTTGAAGACAAGCTCGCAAACCTCTCACGGTATGAGCATATTGAGCAATAGTACCAATAAGACATATGATATAAGCTCCGATAGGACTTTATCAATTGAGGACGAGAATCTTTCTTTAAATTCGCTAAATAATATGCCAAAAGAAAACGAAGTTATGGATAAAATAGATAGCAGCTTTGCTTTAATTCTTAGAGAGGATAATGGATTGATAAGGAAAGAGGATTCTTGTAATTCTCGAAATAATACAGAGTCCATCGAAAATAAGCTATTTAAGCGCTCCCCAAGGCTTATTTCATTTGAGGTTAAAGAAAAAAGTTCTACGGGAGAATATCTATTCAGTTTATTGAGAAAGACAATCGACAACATCTGTAGCTGTTCTCCTTCTGGTGGAAGGAAATATGAGAAATCTGAAATTACCTCCGACCACATAGGACTTATTAATCATTATATGAAGTCTTTTAGGATACTTGTTTATAAGCTTGAAGTAATGTATTCTGATGGTTTTGAATTAGAAAATATTTATACTCCATATTCTGATTCAATTGATTGTTTTACAGGAATTAAGCTTACAAGATATCACACTGCAGATTCCTTTACAAAGAATGAGCAGAGGTACACATCATATATAAATCAATTTGTTGATACAGAAGCAGCAAATATTCCTATAAATGTGGAAGGAAAGGGCCAATCTTGTTTGAATGTCAGAGATCATATAGTGTATACTCTACTTCATTACGTTTGCCTCTTCTATTTAAAATCTTGGAAAACCATAGATATGCTTTATACGAAGTTAAATGTCGAGAAACTAAGTGCGTCGAATGTCGATCTATCAAAAATTATCAACGGATATAAGTATAAGGATATAATAGAGACAGTGAGGCCAATTCATTTTGTAAATACCAATGGTTGTATAGTAAGACCATTGATAATGGAATAGAACATTTACTTTAATACATTCGTGATCTTATTATGCCCACAAAGTTGGTATATACGGACTAATAGGCAAAAATATCCATGCCATATGATCAAGGGAATCCCTTCAGTTTATCGTATAAGTGGAATAATTGTTAAAGGTGTAGAAAGATTCACAAGATGTAATTTTAATACAGGAAAGGAAAGTAGAGAGCTGGGATAACCATCTCTATTTTGTAACAAAGCAGATCTTTTTACTTGTGAAAGTACCTTTCTTAGGTTGATTTTATAAAACAAGGTAGCTGGGCAGTAGAGAGAGAAGGATAATAATATTAAAAGATTAATAAGAAATATAAACACCTGTATCAATGAATAGGGCTGGTTTGAAAATGAACGGGAAATGGATAATGAACGAGTGGATAAAATAAATAAGGAAATAGAGGCCATAAAAAAAAGATAGATAATGGTTGTACTGTAACTCTAGTAGCCAATATGTATTCTGAAGAAATGATCAGGCATTGGTTATGTAGATAATCTCTTCCAGAAACAGAATGTCTTCGAATCAGTAGGGATATTCTAATGATTGTGTCGTATCTTATGAGTGGTTATAGAAGCCTGGAATATAAAGAAAAGGATTGAAAGAAAGTGGTTATAAGGAGGCTGATTAATATGACGGCGTCAGGTAATGGACAATAGGATATAGGAAAAGGGGGTTGTGGTGTTATATTGAGTAGAAAGAGGAAGGGGATGCAGTGGCATGTGCTCTGGGAGATCATGGTTTATGGAGTACTTTGTACCTCTCCAAGCTCCGAGGATATGGGCCAAGGGAAGGCAAAGTCAAGAGATATGGTGGTGATACTTCCATTATGTTTCACAAAAAATTGGATAGTTGCATATCCAACGTCAAATCTTGAAGATTTGAGAGACCCAAATTTGGATGGAAAAAACTTGAAAACCCGTATTAATTATTGGATCAATTATATTTCTATAAATATATGGGGATACAGCTTTGCAGGCTTAATCACCAGAGAAAATATTAATGAGATGTTTAAAGAGGAAATTAGGGAAAATCTAAAGGACATTTCTAGAAGTGTAGCGGAGGTGTATAGAAACGGTAAAACATTCAGCGAGGTGATAGAAATGGTGTATGAAAGAATGTTCGAATGCAGTGGGAAGGGAAATGAAAAGATGCTGAAGCTTGGAAAGGTTATCGAAAAAAAAGTTAGAAAGTACTTGGAGGACACTGAACGGTTGTTGAAAGATGAAAAAAGAGAGAAAAAGGATGGAGATATTGTAAAGTTATACGAATATGTTAAATTATATACAAAGTCTTTCTACGATGTGAAAAGGTGGGAGCAGCAAATTGCTGTGGAGAAGATGATGTGTGAGGCATGCAGAAGCCTCTATTCGAACCTGAAAGAGGAACAAATTCTAGGGATGGAGATTGAGGGGAATATGAGGAAGTTCTTGGATTCAAAGGATTCTCTAAAGAAAATTGGTGATAAGATGTGTCTAGAGGCTACGATTATTCAATGTGAAGTGTTTTTACAGGCATACAAGGACTGTGGAAAAGAAGTTGTAGAAGAATTAGTTAAGCAGATATTGCTGGGAAAGGATGGACAAGAGATTGATATGGAGTATGTACGGAAGGTTAGAGATGTGATTGAGGAAAGGAAGAAAAGAGAGGTAATGGAGGAAAGGATAAGAAAGGAACAGAAGAGGAAGAAACGGAGGGAGAAGAAGAGGAAGAAACGGAAGGAGAAGAAAAATGAAGAAGAGAAAGTGGAAAGTGAAAAAGAAGGTTCTGAAGAAGAGTTGGTTGGTGCTGTAGGAGGGGTTTGTATTGAGGAGAAGAAAGAAGAAGATAAGAAGCAGTATAAAATACATAAAAGGGTTCTTCTATGGAGAAATTCTCCTAAGACAATCAAGAGGATGCTAGATGAAGGAAAAGAAAAGAAGTGGAAAGGAAAAGACATTGAGTATATTAAGAAACAAA